TGGTGAAATGGACCTCCAAAAGCCTCTTGCCGCAGCCTTTCTCAGCCTGTGGGTCTCCAGATGTTGTTGAACTACAACTCCCATCACCCCTAGCAAGGCCAGAGCTCAGGGATGATGGGAGTTGTAGTCCAACAACATTTGGGGACCCACAGGTTGAGAACAGCTGCGTCTGCTGTAATAAAATCTGGGAGCCTTTAAGGTACAGCAAACATAGTGAAAGCACCCTTGGGACCAAGAAGCTCCCTCTGCTGCTCAGCCGAGCTCTCCAGCCTTCCTTCTGCAGGCTCTCCCTCTTCCCACCCCCTTTTCACATTTCTTCCCAGGACCATCTTCCCTGCCCTCTCCTGAGCCCTTGCCAGGGAAGATGCAGCTGCCCCTTTCCTTTGGAAGGACGGACGGTGCCGCCCTATTCCTGCCCACTCTGAAGCCGCACACAGCCCATGGCACTTCCTCGAGGCTTAAGGGGGGCAGAGGGACCCAAGTGACCAGGAGGGGCAGGTCGCAGGCTGTGAACACCCCCACCCTGCTTAATCCGATCAGCAGCCCCCTCAACTATCACCTGCCCCCACCCTGCCCAAAATGTGCTTGCTCCGTGCCCAGAATCCTTTTGCTGCTGCCACCTGAAAGCCTGTGGTGCTGCGCTTGGCAGGGAATGGGCAGCTTCCCCCTGCAGTGACGGCGAGGAAGGGGCTGCTGGACTTTTGATGGCACCAGCGGCAAGATCCCAGGGTCCCTTTTGGGCAAAGGCCCCTGGCTCCTCTCCCAGCTGTTGGCGGCCCCTGCAAAAGGCAATGTGGGCCCCACCCTGCCCACCCTCGAGCGCTCCAGCCAAGCCCAGCGGGAGAGAGGATTCCGCTTTAAGTGAGGTGCCGATATTCTCCCTGCGTCCTTCATTTCCTTGCACACCAAGCAAAGCTCTTTGGAACGAGAGATGAAAACTTGATAAAAGTTTGGCGGCGCCTCTGTCCCAGCCCCAGGGGGCGGTGGAGCGGGCGGGGGGGGAGTCTGTCAATCTGCCGCTGCGACAGCAGAGCAGCCGGGTTACAAATGCATTATGTATGCCGGTGTCGACCCTGAAGCACCTTTTGTTGGGGCTGAATGTGTCATGGCCAACAAAAGTAGACTGGATTAGCCACAGTGGATTAAAAGATTTTCTTCTTTGAGTTCACCTAATAATGCAACAATCGCCCTAGAATGTCCCTTTGAAGGGGACGCAACGGCGTTCCCTTTGCCATCTGTGAGATTCCTCCCCATCCAAGATACATGGCGGGCGGCTTTCACGTCCGGCAGAAGGAGAGAAATTGCTGGGCACTATTTCCATCAGGTGGGAAAGAGTTTGTGCCCACCTCCTCCTAAGCCCACAGCCACATGGTTTGGGGAGGAAAACTGACAGCCTGTCGTCTCCACCAGACTGGCAAAGAAAGCCTCTGTGAGCTTCAGACAAGGACAGGAGCCGCTGGACGGTTCACAAGGTGCTCAGAGCCTCCTGCTGGGAGAAGCTGACCGACCACAGGCAGATCTCTGATTCCAGCAATTCTGCTTTTCACACACACCCCACCACCACCCTGTGTTAGTTTGGAGAAGTTTGGAGCCCCTCTTCCTCTCCCCACCAGGCTTCGTTCCCTGCCGTGTCCATCGTGCAAGGCGGGTCATCCGTTAGTGCCAAGACATTTACAAGCGGGGTGGTGGCAGTGGGGACAGGGGTGAGCTCCCTCCGCGCCCCCCGCCCTCCTGACGCTGTCACCCAGCGCCCCTCCCCCTCCTCCCCCCCACCATCACAATAGCAAACACGAAACCCTGCCACAACCCTTGGGGGCTTTGATCTCCAAGCAGGCCTTTGGACGTTACCTCCAGGAAAGGGGCTGGGGAGGGCGGCAAATTTGGGCACAGCGCTCCCCCCACCCACCCCTGCCGAGAAAGGCGCCTCCCGAGCCGGAGTGGCTTTGCGGCAAATGGTGGCCCTGCGGGGGGAGGGGCCAGTGGGTGGTAGCCGTGGGGCGTTAACCTCGCTCTGCAGGAGCCCAGCTGGGGGCTTCTAATGAGCTGGCTTTGCGAAATGCGATCTGAAAGGCCCACAAAGGCAACCCAGAGAGAGGAGCTCCATATTTCCCCATCCCGGTTTCCTTTGTCCGCCGTTTATTCTTGTTTCGTGGGGCAGGGCGGGGTGGCGGCTTGCGGTGGCCCAGGGCGGGACGGGGCGGCCGAGGGGCGATGGCGAAAGAAGGAGCCGTCAATGGCGGCCGAGGAAGGGCCTCCATTGTCTCACCTGCTGTCTGCGCAGCGCCGGCCTCCTGCTGGTTCTTCCGCCGTCCGCCATGACAGGACCCATCCGGAACACTTCCCAGCACTCTGGGAGCCTCTTTGCCTTTCATGGCCACGGACTGGCTGGAAGACGATGGCAATCTTTACTTTATACTGCAGCTTTGGTTCCTCACCCTGATTGGCTGAGGCCAGGACCAAATGATGGTCCTTCAAATCCTATTGTAACTATGGCAACCAGCCCCCGTAGGCACCACTGATGTACTTATAATTGCCGGATAAACAGTCGAGACAGGCCACTTTCATCCCGCCTAGGACCGCTTCCCCCCTCGGCTTTTAGGGCGAGGCCAGAAGAGGCAGCAAACTCCCGCGACGCCGTGGGAAGAAGGTGCCACCTCACTTTCCCCATCTGGGCACCTTCCGCTCCTCGCGGCAACTGAGCACACAGCGCCTCGCAGTCATGGGACTCCTCTGTGCATGGGCGGCCCTACCCTGCGCCAAACCGAGGAATCTTTGTGCGGAAAACGAAGGCTGAAGGCAGAGAGAGAGGACGGCGAAAAGCATCGAGCTGCGGCGGGGCAGTGGGGGAGAGGATATTGTGGCAGTCCCATTGAATGGAAATTATTCTTGCATCAGCTGCTTTTGCCTTTCACGGGAATTTGCTGCGGGCTGAATAGGACCTTCCTTCCCACTGTACCAATGGTGAAGCTGGCACCTGTCTAGCGTGTAAGAGCTACATCACCAAACGCCACCGTCTCCAAGGAGTCAGATGAAGACAAGGCCAGTAAAAGGCACGAGACTCTCTCCATGGGGGCTCCACTGTCATATGGGCCTCTGCAGCGACCCCTTCGGGACAGGGGCATATCGTGGGCACCTGCATCGCTCTGGACTCACCCCAAAGCCCACAGGTGTCTGCTGGCCCCACACCCCTGTAGTCCCTAGGATAGGGCTCTTCCAGCCCTGAAGTGCCCTTGGCTGGCAAATGCTATGAGACGAAGGGCAGCCTGGAACCCTAACAGCCAGCAACCAGCACTGAAGTTAGTTCCTGCAAAGTGAGAGGAGGCAAAGGCCAAAGGATGGAACCTGCTGCACCAAGAAAAGGAGAAGAGGAAGAGAAGAAGAAGAAGGGAGCCTCATCCATAGCACTAGCAGTTCTCCAAGGAGGCTTCCCACCCACAGAAGCCACGCCACAGAGAGGTACGTTCCAGAGAGCATCTGGAGAATCTGGAGCAGGCAATGGCAAGAGATGAGAGAGTCTCAAAAAGGATAGCCTGGCATTGGAAAAGTCACAGAAAAGGACAGCTGAGGCCATCAGGGAATTTGAGGATGGTAGAACTAGAGACTGGAGCTGTTATTTCTCAGACAGCCCCCAAAACACACAAAAACATCCCAGACATCATCAGAGGCAACAGCAGGCTCCAAACGAAAAGACAGGATTCCTCCACCTGGTGTCAACTATGTTGTAGTGACCATAACAAAAATGACTTCAGAAACACTTATATCAAGGTATCTTGTCATTCATTACCAGCTAGACAAGACAGCAAAGTCTGACCCATGATGAAGGCCCTGTTTCTGTGCCTCCCTGAGGCATCTGGCAGACGACACTCAGAGGCAGCAAGCAGAAGCTACCATACTCCACAAGCTCTCCTATCCGTCCTGCTCTCATCAGCACATCTGAAGAGCCCGGCTGCAAAGGCTCATCTAGTCCAGCATCCTGTACTCACAAGCAGTGCCTGTGGGACATGATCACAACAGCACTCTTTACTGGTATCCCCAAGCAACTGCTACTCAAGAGCCAGGGTGGGGCAGTGGTTGGAGTGGCCAGGGTTCCATTTCCCTTTCAGCCACAAAGATTGCTCAGTGACCTTAGGCCAGTGACTCTCTCACAGGGTTGCTGTGAGGATAAAGGGGAAAGTGGGGAGAAGAACAAGTGTAACAAACAGGTGAAGAGGCAAACAATCTCCAATACTGGAGGTGGTACAGAGCCATGACTAGCAGCCAATGACACCTTTTTGTGGCAAGCTATACTATGCTCACGTGGCACATATGTGTGTGTGTGTTTGTGTGTGAGAGAGAGCACATTCTACAAGGCAAGATTTGAAGTAGAAACTTTCAGGCCCACATGCTATTTAAATTCTTCAGATTTTAAATTTTAACATTTTAAATTTTGAATACTGTGTAGTTTATTGCTGTAAGCGACTTTGCACCCTAAAAAATGGTGAAAAGTGGGATGTATAATTTTAAAATAAACATGAGTCATTACACTGCAGCCAGACCCATCAAGGTGGCTCTTTCATTTAAAACTAAGGAGCCATAGGATACTTGGCAACTGAAGCTTAACTCAGATGACTTCAGGACAGGAACGGCTGTTTGCATACAGTAATTCTTGCTGCTCTATGTAAACAAAGCCGCCGTGCCGTCTCCCCCCCCCCCTTGATGATGCCCAGGCTGCCCACGCTGGTTCTCCCAGTGGCTGATGCTGCCACTTTCCTGGTCCATGCCTGGGAGGGCAAATGGGATTGTATTCCTTCTACGCATCAAAGCAGCCAGACCATGTCCTGGTAGGCATGTGCTTTAACTGGGCTTGAGGGACATTCCAGAAAGCAGGGACACAGGGGCTCAGAGGTCTGCCACACAGCAACAGTCCTCCAAGCTGGGGAGACAGCAAGCCAGTTCCTAACGCTCCAGCTTTTGCCCCTTTGGTTTCTTACTCCAGCTAAAAAGAACAAGTGACTACACAGTTTCAATAATAATTCACAAGCCATTTATTCTTTTCTTCCCTGCTGTGCTTTGGATCTTAATTAAGGTTACAGGATGCGGCTTGTTCCTCAAGAGAGGTCAGTCGACGGCTTTTGTATTCTGCTGCAAATGTTGCTGTCTGGCCCTGAAGACCTGAGGGTCTCCGAGGACTCCAAGGCGGGATGCATTCTAGGGTGCTCCAAAGCCTAGTGGCAAAAGGCTCTCATGGCGACCAGCCTCAAAGTTGGGGATCACGGACCACATGGTGGCTGCAGGTGTAGAGGCTGAGCAGCAACATGCAGGAGAAGCTGGGAAGCCATGAACTGAAAGCCTCCTCCTTTTCTTTACAGCAAAAGCATCCTGAATGGAACGTGAGGAAGTAGCTCAATGCAGCTAGTCCCCTCCCTCCCAAGTCCAGGGGGCAGAGCAGCCTTTACATGATAAGTATCAGACAGTGAGCACATACTTAACCATTCTGGATCCAGCTCTCTCAGGGGAAAAGTTCCATCCCTTGGTCTGTTTAACATAAGCCCAAAGAGAAGTTCACAGTGCTTGATTCTCCTGTTAGACCTTCGGCACTTCAGCCGATTCAGAAAGTTTCTGTGCTTCAAGCTGCTGCACCAGTTCTTCTGCATAGACTTTGAACAAGGGAACAGGGTCCTGAGAGAAAGATTGGGGGCAGGAAGGAAGACACAATGAGGAAGAGAACTGATTGCACAAAGGCTAGGTTTGCACATTAAAACAAAGCCATGGTCAATGTTAACCACAGGTTATAACCCAAGAACAAACCCTGATTTACTAACGTGAAGCCTCTGGGCTGGGCTCGGACAATCCAAGTAACACACGCCTTAGTGTTATGTATGAGCCAATCCAAAGCATCACAGAAGCCCTCAAGAGAAATCAACAGCATTTTGGATACAAGTGATTACAGGAGCCAGTCTAGCATCTGCAGAGTCCGACTAAGATGCCTCCCACCCCTCCATAACTAAGCAAAAGGAGCATATTCCATGTAGTCCCATAGACAGCAAACCTTAGCAATGGAATATATTGTACCTTGGCATTAAAGCAAAAAGCACAGTTATTTTACACAGCTTTGAGGGTCATAGGTGGATGTTCCAGAGACAATACTTTACTGGGATTGGGCCACAAACACAAAGAGTGAAAACACACCTTCTTCTCCAGGAGTCGCTGCTTTTCCACAGCTTCTTCCAAACTCAGCCCAACCCATTCTGCCTCTTCCTCTGGGATCACAAACTCCTGCATGCAAAGGTAACACGCGTTAGCTCTCAGCACAGAGACTCACTGGGAGGCAGCAAAGACAGCAAGATTGAAAACTACCTTGTACCATGTCAGACCACTAGCCCACCACATTGTTCACTGACTGGCAGCTTTTCAGGGGTTCCCAACCCTATCCTGCTGCTAACAGGGCATACAAAGCAAATGTGGGCTCTATCATCCTTGTCACTACAGCCTTTCCCAAGATGCCATTGGATTCTGCATTACCTGGGGTGGAAAGACAGTAACAGGAGCCATTATATCTGTAGGCATATCAACAACAGTTATACTGGCCTTTCTCTGCCCTCTAACTATGCAACTTCCACCAGTGCCACGTGTCCCTCTATCCAAGTTCTAGGAAGTGGGAAATACAGAGCACAGCTGTGACTCTTAGCCCTTACGCATTGGCGCAAGCACAGAAAAGCTTTCATAACCAATCTACAGCCCTTAGTGTTGCTACAAGAATGATTGGTGTTCACAGCAATTGCAGATTATGATGGATGCTGGCTCAAAAGCAAAAAATTAGCTGCTACAATCACCCAACCAATGTGGGCATCTTGGGGTGGGGAAATAATATTTACTATTATGTATTTAAAGCATTCTGCAGGCATTACCCTATTTGTAACCCTTAAAGCAACACTGCAAGATCTGAACTAGGGATTCCTGATTTGTAGGTCTGCCTCTTCACCCACTACAATAGCTCCCTGGACCAAACTGAACTGCGAGGGAACTGAAATGATCCTACAGCATTCCCACAGGACTGCCACCGGACCACTTATGGGCCCCTCCAAGCCCTCAAAGCAAAAGAAGACACCCACCTTGTATTTGTCATATATAGCCTCCCTCTTTGCTGGGTCATCTGGATGGAGGGAAGGGTCCCGGCGGGCAAGTCGTAAAAGCATTGTGCGTTTCAGGTCCATGCCCAGTTTAGAACACAGCTCAGTTTTTGGGGTCTGTGAGGTAAGAGAAAGATGCAATGGCTTGTCACCAGTTTCCACCGATATGTTCAGGGCAAAGAGGGGCTTTCAATGGCAAGCAGACTACAGTCCTCATGACTTCTGTCAAATGGTTCAGGGAAAGACCTGCATCACTCAAAGGAGAGCTCTGGGATGTGGCCCACAAAGGCTGCTTCACACCACACCGTTCAAGGCCATCATGAAGTATTCATCTGATAGCTGTCATATTGGCTTTCCCACGCTTGCAGACAGAACAACAGCCTGTCAAGCTATCACCACAAACCTACCTTTAAGATGTAATAATCAAAGCCGTAGACAGCGTCAATCTGGTCCATCGTCCGCATGGTGACTGTAATCGTCAGCTTCTTATCCAGGATCTCACTGTAGAGATCTCGATAGAAGAGCTGCGGCTTCCAGATCTTCTTCACCCTGGCGGCAAGCTGAGGACACAAGGAAGAGCAGATGCAGCCAAGATCCTGGCGGCTGGGAGGGGAAAGCCCAGACCAAACGGGAGGCCCCGTTGCCCGGCGGGTCCACCTGGCGGGGCGTCGCTCCCCGGGTCCTGGAGCCAGGCGCCTCCTCCTCCGCGCGAGGCCCGCGCCCCCCTCCCCGACCTTCCCCCGAGCCGGGGTCCGCCCGCCCGCCCAGCCCCCTCGGCCCGGCAGCGCACCTTGTCTCCCCGGGCGTAGCGCCAGCCGCGCACCAGGCCCTCTCCGCCCCACAGGCCCTGCTGGCTCTCGGGAGGGAAGTAGACGGGCACGGGCACGTCCTGCACGCGCTCCCGCTCGCCGGTCCTCCGGTTCCGCACGTGCTGGGCGCCGCGGGGCCTCCAGTGGACGGCGAGGGGCGGCGCCGCGGCCTCCTCCTGCAGCGCGCGGAGGTAGTGGGCCGGCAGGCGCGCGTAGATGCCCCGCTGCAGCTTCAGCGCCTCCCACAGCCGCGGGGGGACCTTGTGCAGAGGCATCCCGCCGCCGCCGCCGGGAGAACCGCGAGGGCGACGCCTAGGCCTCCGTCGGCGCCCGAGGGCAAAGGTCAAGAGGCGGCCTCGCGCAGGCGCAGGGCACCGCCGACCCGGAAGCAAAGCGCGGCCGCCCGACGGGGAGGGAAGAAGGCCGTCCTTCCTGCTTGTTTCTTATTGGAGCAGAGCGCCGCGGGGGGCGGGGCCTAAGGGAAGCGAGGGCGCCGCGGGTCCGAGAGTCCCGCCCCGACGCCGTTACCATGGCAGCGGGCCTGCGAGGATCCGAGGGGCTTCGCTCGACAAGGCCGCGCGCGGGAGTCGGCGGCGTCCGGGCCTCCTCGTCGCCGCGTCGCGCCCCGCTTCCCCCCCCCCCGCGAGGCGGGCCGAGAGTGACGAGTGTTGGTTTCGCCATCAGCTCGCTTTAAATGACCGAAGCAGGAAAGGGGGTCACAAACCCTCTTATCATTAGGGTGTATTAATCTATGGTTATTATTAAATTTATCTGCTGTGTCAGGAAAATTGGGCATCGCATGGCAGGCCAGATGTGCTCTCCCAAGCCCACATTCCCAGCATGTTCCCACTCCTGTCTCAGCAACATCTACCTGGCTTGGTCACGTCCGCAGAATGGAAGACGGCAGGATCCCCAAGGATGTGCTCTGCCGGGAACGCTGCCTTACAAAGATGTCTGCAAATGGGACGTGAAGGCTGGCACCAGCAACGCTGCCGTGTGGGAATTCCTTGCAGGCAACCACAGTAAAAAGGGTGAAGGACCCTGGGCGGTTAAGTCCAGTCAAAGGCGACTATGGGGTTGCAGCGCTCATCTCACTTTTCAGGCCGAGGGAGCCGGCGTTTGTCTACGGACAGCTTTCCGGGTCATGTGCCCGCCATGACCAAACCACTTCTGGTGCAATGGAGGACTGTGATGAGTGTCAGAGCACATGGAAACACCGTTTAGCTTCCTGCCGCAGTGGTACCTATTTATCTACTTGCACTGGTGTGCTTTCAAACTGCTAGGTTGGCAGAAGCTGGGACAGAACAACGGGAGCTCACCCCCAGATTCAAACCACCGACCTTCCGATTGGGAGCCCAAGCGGCTCGGTGGTTTACACCACAGCAGCACCCGCTCCCTACTACAACCACAGTGTCTGGAGACAGTCAGACAGATTGTGCATCCATAGCAGTGACCAGAGGAGGAATAACCGCTGAGAGGAGCACAGAGAGAAGAAACACCGTGGTGCAGCACAACCAGATGTCTTCATCTGCCCCTGCTGCAATAAAACATGTCTCTCCTGTATCAGTCTCTACAGCCACAGCAGGCACTGCAGCCTTCCAAGAGTTTGCCTTCACCCCCAAGGGCGCATTCCTCCATTGTCCCCAGAGACAGATGGACCCAACCAACCATACACTGCCCTTCATCCAAAGACCACAGGACAGGTTACAGCATAAAACACAAAATGCATAATATAATAATGGGGAAAGGGAAGGGGGAAAGACAATCCCCCCCTCCACACACCTTAGAAAGCCATAACTTGTCAAATGTCTGGCTGAAGAACATTTTCACCTGGCGCCTAAATATATGTAATGAAAGGTGCCATGCAAGGCTCCCCAAGGAGAGCATCCTAAAGCAGGCAGGCCCTGCAGAAAAGGCCCTGTTATCGTGTTGCCACCCTCCGGACCTCCTGTGAAGTGAGGGGCACACAGAGAAGGGAAGCAAGAAGCCCCTCATCGCCAAGCAAACTTTGTGTGGCTGGCCAGCGATCGCCCCACCCAGCAGAAGGCAGCTTTTCCAAGGTCCAAGGGGGAGGTAAGAGTCCCAAAATGGAGGCTGCCCAGTCTGCTGTGGGGCGGGGGGGGGGTGCCTCCTGCTTCTGCTCAAAGGGTTGTCAGACGCAATCCCTGCACTTCTAATTAGATTGCTAGAAATAAGCACCAAAGGCAAAGGAGCACAGTGTGCATAACTTTTAATTGAACGAAATGACAGCTTAAATCAATTTAAACAGCTTCAAAAAGGCAAAGTATAACATAAAGTTAACAAGGTACTAACAGAACTTTCTGAACTGCAGTTGCTGAAGTTCTTCCTGAGGTAATCAACGAAATAACAATTTTCCCATTTAAGATTAGTGTCCCTTCCATGCCCTGCAGTGACTGAGGGGAATAAAAAAAATAAACACCCCAAATTAAGGACCTTAAAACAGGAGTGTGTGTTATTGCGCTAAAAGAACTCTCTGGAGTCCCTGGCTCTTTCACCTGTGTCTGCATCTGCAAAAGGGTTTGCCATGGTCTTATCCTGGCCCAGCAGTGCCAGCTGCGAGAGCCAGAAGACAGGTGAGCAAACAGTGCTGGGCTCTTGCCTGGCCACGAGGACTAAGAGCTCTGGGACTGCAAAGAGCTCAGTCATTTGGCTGAGGGCTTTTACATTCATTGCGGCTCCCCCAAAACGGGGAATAGCCCCAAAGTGGCGGAGAGAAAGATGCAAGAACAGGATCTCCCTGCTTGCACCCAAGTCCAAAGCCCACCAGCAGTTGAAGAATCTTGAACAACCTGGCTGGTGGATGCACACTGCTGAATGGCAACAGTGCCACGAGGTTTTCATTCAGCAGTATCACGTGACCAAGTCAGTCTCAGGCCTGGCAACGAGTGGCAGAGCTCACTTGGCACCCACAGGCAGAGGAACAGAACTGGGCTGCTCCAGCTCAGCTTTTTAGTTCAGGACACATAAACTTGGCACCTCCCTGAGCAATACATGGTTTCTCCAACCACGGCCAGCAAGGACGCCTCTCCTCCCCGCCCAGCCCAGGTGTGTCCCTTGCACTATTATCATTCACACGCCCCTGCCGGGTTTGAGCAGCCCTGTTTCTTCTTCCCACATTAACAGGAGTGAGGGTGCCAAGAGCTGCACACCAGCCTCCTGTCTTGTTATCGCCCACCACACTACAAGCCCCACAAGGAACACTTGACTCTAGTTGTCACTCCACCCCCACTCCCAGTTCCCAGCCACGCAGATTCAATAAAAGCAGGCTGTGGCGATGCACCGGAAGGCTCCAGAAAGCCCTGCTGTTTACACTGGAGGAGAGACCTGCTTCATGAGTGGGTGACCTCTCAGGTTAGGGTGAAGACTAGTGAGCCATCTGTCTTGTGGACCCTCGCAGCTCCCTGTTCTTCACCCGGCCTGCAGGATGGATGACCTTCTCCCTGCATGCCCAAGTGGCCCCAGAAAGTGGCTGGCAAGCCGACCCAGAAGCGTAGAGGGAGGCACTTGGGGCCAGAGCCTCACAAGAGTCCACCCCCTCTCAGTTTGTCACGTCACCGCATAGAGCTCCTCGCGGTCATTCTTGCAAATCTGGTAGCGGCAGAGCAGCTTGCGGGACCAGTCCCACGGATTCTGGAGCTTGTCTCCAGGTGGGAGGAGGAAGGCCACGCTGGAGGCCACCAGAATGTGCCAGATGCTGTGCGTGTAGAAGTAGTTCTCTTTGGTCTGAATGAAGGCATATACCATAATGGCCACCACAGCCAGGGTGATCCCAGGGCAGAGGAAAAAAGCCCAGCGCTTCCAGGAGGGCGGGTAGCAGTCGCGCCGGGTCACACCACGGTGAACCTGCAGGAGGAAGGCAGGGGTTACAGGCCATCCCGGGTGGGGCAGAGGGCAGCCACAGAGGGTCTCTAGATGTGGGCTCTGCCCATCCACTGAGACCAGATGCACCCACCCACCCCAAGGCTCTGGGAGAAGTCAGCTGGGTCTTTCTTCAGCTGGCTACACTCCAAAAGCGCATGATGGGTGATGAAGTTAATGGCGGGGGAAGCCTACACCTTAAAGGTAAAATACCTGCTGCAGGTTCTGCCCAGCCCACTGCTAAGAGCTGCAGCCTGAGCCAGGAGATGCTCAAGTCTTGATCCGTAAGGGGTGAGAGCAGGAGCCACCTACCCAAGCTGCAATCATGATGAGGAGGGCAACGAGGCAGGGCCCCATCATGTTCCAAACCCCTCGGCGGTCCAGCTGCAGTGACATGGCGATGAACAGGGTCCCCAGCACACAGAGGACCTGCAAGGGAAGAGAGGAGAAGTCAAAGCTGCTCTTGGAACCTCCTTGGGAGTCTGTGGCTGGTGGATGAGGAAGGCATCCCGGGCCACTCCAGCTCACCTTCTGGCATCACTTCAAGATGCCAAGGGCAAAGACAGGAGCTCCCAGCCACAAAACCATGCTGAGATAGTTCGTTTCTGAACTCTGCATTCTGCCTTTTGGCCAAATGGGGCCTCAAGTCGTCATGCAGCCCCTGCCGCCTTTGGGACATTTGGCCATACTGCTGGCATCTTTACCTTTTCTAACGCCCACTGACACCTTTGCTTTTCAGTGAGAAACTGCAGCAGAGGCCCAGGAAGACTGGAAGCCTGCCTGTCCGCCTCTCTGGCCCAACTCTGGCTCTCAGTCCACCTGGCAACACCAGGATGGGAAACCCGCAAGATACACAGGGCAAATGCACAGCGTTCATTTTCTTGCATCCGTTTTGTTTATTATTCAGAGCCTCCTGCCCCAGGGGAAGTCGTGCTGGCGACATTCAAGGTGTGAGCTCAGGACTGGGCCTGCCCTGGCTTTAGAGGGGCTTGCTGCAAACAACAGCCCCCTCCCATGCAGTACCCCGCTTGCTGGCTTGCCCCCTACGTACATATTTCAAGGTCTTCTCCAGTCGAGCCATGCACAGGACGGTCACCCAGATGGAGACCACAGAGCCAAAGAAGTCGCAGAACTGCAGCGTGTCGTAATCCATGATGCACATCACTGCAATGCCGGGCTGGTCACAGGCATGGTAGAACTGCAGCCACAGAGGGGAGAGAAGGTGCCAGTCAGAAGGCGCCACTCCCACTGTGCTGCTCTTTGCCACCTGAGCCCAAAGTCTGGAGGCGCCAGGGCCCCACTGGGCACACAACCTCAACAGCAGCCTGAGGATGCCACAGGCAGTGCAAGGGGCACCGAACCAGGATCAAGGAGCCCTCGCTTTTCCCCAGCCGCCCCACTACCAGAAAGAGGCAGGCAGAGAAAGTGGATGGTTGGGCTGGCTTGCCTGCCTGCCTTGCCCCCCAGAGAAGGGCCTGCTTGGGCCTTGCCCCACCCCAACGGGCGGCTGGGATCCCGCTCAGCACCCATCCCGCTGAGGGGGAAGCCTGGACCTACGGTGGAGAAGAACATGTTGAAGGTGTAAACGGAGGCTTCCACCAGGTGGTAGTGGTAAAGTGCAACAGCAATCGCCGGCAGGAAGAAGAGGTTGCTGAGCGTCAGCAGGAGCGTGGCCAGGATCTGCGTGCCGACGGGCTGGGCCTTGGTGTCTTCCGTGCAGCTCCAGCCACTCCAGCCTGCCAGGGGAGGAAGGGGACGCAGGGTTACCTGTTGGGAGCATCACATCAAAAGAACAAAGCCCATCGCGCCAACGCAGCCTCTGCCAGGGGGGAAGTGGAGGGCCCCTCCTTAAGGCTGCCACCTTGCACAGCATCCCCCAGAGCCCCCAGGATGGGCCCCCTGCAGCTGGGCTCACTCTCTAAGGGGCTGACTGGTGTGCAGGATACCACACCGTGGCCTTTTCACTCTGGGCTTGGGGCATGTGAGGCATGAGAACAGGTGCTGCTTATGGCTAGCCCTGCCCAGGGAAGGAAGCCAGAGGGGAGGAAAGGAGGGTAGAGGAGGGACAGGCCCCGGTGGCCTCGGCCCCAGGCATTGCAGAAAAGCTCTTACCCGCTTTGCAGCTGCACCCGGCATAAGGGTAACTGCGGCCCAGGAGGCTGCACTGCCCATACGTCCCGCAGTTATCGAAGCAGGGGCTGAGCAAGGTCACAACGGACACCTGGGCTTTGGCTTTGTCACATTCCCTGCAGAGAGAGAGAGACAGAGCCCATGTGCCACCAAGGACGCTGAGCCCTCCTGGCACCCACACGCAAAGGCAGAGAGGCCCAAGGCAAGGTGGCAGAAACCCCTGCCTGAGAGGTGCTCAGGAACCCTGGCCCCAGAGGCCTTGCTGCCACCGCTACTGCAGCAAAGGCCCAGCCCTGGCCGTACGGCTGGCAGCACCAGAGTGACAGGACTCACCCCACACCCTCCGGGCAGAGGAGCTGCAGGGACAGGAACCAGTTGGCCGTTTCTGGGTACGGGATGATGAGTGTAGCGTCAGGAGAAGAGGTGGATACGTTCAGCGGATAGCCTTGGGAGAAAGCTGTGGGGCAGGGAAGAGAGACAGGCCTTCCGTTAGTGCCCACACTCCGTCAGCAACCAGCGCCCAGCCTGCCAGTTTCAGTGCCCTCCCAGGGCTCGGGTGCAACAAGCAGAGAACCATACCTGTGTGGCAGCCCCTCGTGGCGTTCACAGAGAGCACGGGGGAGCTGGCACTCAAGCAAGCCCACACCGAGGCATTCCCAAGGCTCCAGCCAGTCTGCAAGGACAAAGCAGGAAAGAGACTCAGTTGGCGCCTCTCCCCTAGCAGTCCGGCTTCAGTGCCCCAAGAGGGGCAGTGCCAGGTCAACCCTCTTACCTGGTTAAGGGCCAGATTCAGCACCAGGGTCCCCCCGCTGTCCATGCCTGAGTTCAGGTTGAAGAGGAGCAAAGCCGGGGGCTCGGCCTGCACAGGCACACCAACGTCTCCAAGGACACGAAAATGCAGAGACACCACGTCCAGGTCTTCGCGGATGACAGGCTGGTTGCGCAGGCAGCGGCTGCTTTGGCCAAGGGGGTTGTGCGCTGCCCCGGCTCCCGTGAGCAGGGTGGCGTTGGGGCTTCCTCCCGGCAAAGGTGCCTCCTGGCTCCGGTTCAGGCTGTGATAGAAGCTGAGGAAGGAGCTGGCCCTGTCAGGCTTGCACACTGCAAAGGACACGGCGCAAGGTCAGTGAGGGCCTCAGGATGAGAAGACTGCAAGGCAGGGCAACCCCGCCCCCGACCCACAGCTAGGGCATCCGCAGCAGAGACTCAGGAACTGGCAAGCTGACGCAGCTTGGCACCCCGCCCTTGCCCCTCCCCTCTCGCAGCTGGCACACACCTGTGAAGGAGGCCTTCAGCTGAAAGGAGATGCTGGTCCCAGGGCCGCTGAGGCTTTCCACCGTGATGGGCAGCCACTTCTCCCACGGCGGTGAAGCAAGGACGCCGCTGCAGTCCCCGGAGCAGTTGAGCACCTTCTGGGAGCGCGAAGGCAGCGTGGCAGAGCCCAGTGTGACACGGAGGGCGCAGGGGCTTGAAGTGTTCACCTTGCAGCCGCCCAGCTCAAAGTGCAGCGCAGCACTGTAGCTGGGGACAAAGATCCTGCAGGGGGGAAGAGAGGGAGGAGCAGCTGACTCCAGCTGGCCAGCACATGGCAGGCCTTGGTGCCCAGGGAGATGGGGGGCACTCACCGGGCCCACCCTCTCTCCTGTTTTAACTCACTTGGCATGAAGGGGCCTGGCGGGCTGGGCAATGGTCTGCTGCGCAGGAGTGTCGGGCTCAAGAATCAGCGAGTCGATGACGCGCAGCACAAACATGTCCGGCTGGAAGCTGTAGGTGCATGGCGTTGAGATGCCCTGCAGGGAGGGAGGAGGGACGCATCACTGTCAGCCTCCTGGACCACCGTGGCTGGCAGGAGGAGGCCGCACTTGGCACAAGAGGACATTCAGGGGCCTCCGCCTGCAGCCCTGGGCACAGCAGAAGATCCTCCAGAAACTGCCAGGTCGGGCACAGCCAAGTCCCAATGCAGCAGCTGCAGGATCCTCCCCTGTCCATCCCCCCCTCCCACCACAGACTCCAGCCAAGGAGGCGGCCTGCTCTCACCTTCACCTCAATCTTCCCTGCGGCCTTGGGCAGGTGGGCCACCATGAACCAGTCGCCTGCGGCAGGTCCTGTGACGTTGACGAAGGTGGTGTTCTGCACCAGCGTGGCCAGAGTCGTGGTCAGATTGTAGGCGAGGCGGACGCTTGTGTTGGCCGGGAACTGCGTGCCCAGGGGGTTGATGACAGGAGGGGCACCGTGGCGGAAGTGGCTGGAAGGCAGCAGGAGACACAGGGGTCAGCGGGGCAGAAGGAGGGGAGACGGCCACCCTCTTTCCAGGAGGAAGCCGGCAGGCTGAGCTCCCCAGGGAGAAGGGGGGGTAGGTACGCACACGGTGACGTTTGTGCTGCCGCAGTCGGGACCCCTTCCCTGGGATGCCTGAAGGAGCCAGCGCAGCTGGACGGTATCCTCTGGCACGCGGAAGCGGAAGAGCCGGGCGTTGGCATACCAGCTGTAGAAGGAGAGCTTCTGGGCACCCTGGACGAAATATTCTGCCACAAAGGACCGGTCTGTGGGGGGAGTAGGGGGCAGGGCGTCAGGAAATGTGCAGGGGAAAGAATTCAGGTCCAGCCAGCCTTGGGCAGGTGGTGCTTCTCACCACAGGGGGATCAGCAGCCAGCCCCCCTCCACCAGTCTCTGCCAAGTGCAGCACCATGAAGGGGCAGGCAGTGCCCCCCCCAATGCCTCTGGCTTCCCACAAGGAGCTCCCAGGGGGCTTGTCCAGAGCCACAGGATCCTCTTTGGCCTCCAGGCAATAGAAGCTGGGCTTCTGCCTGCCCCTTCCCACTGAAGACCAGGAAGGTCTTGCCCAGCCTTGCCCTGCAGCAAGGTCAAGGGGAGGTCAGGAGAGGAGGAGGTCATGGGGAGGCAGCTCTGCCAAGAGAGAGCTGTGGACTTTGGCACACAGCCTGCCACAAGGACTGGCATTTCCTGAAAGGGCTGAGCCGGCAAGCCCAGGGGATTGGCCTGCGGGGACCAGGGTGCCAGGCACCTGCCTGTTTGCTGCGTGCACAGCGCAGTGACTGACAAACAAAGGTGCGATGGGCAGGGATGGGGAAGGGGCAGGATAATAATAATAATAATAATAATAATAATAATTTATTATTTGTACCCCGCCCATCTGGCTGGGTTTCCCCAGCCACTCTGGGCGGCTTCCACAGAGACCAAAAATACACTAAAATGTCACACATTAAAAACTTCCCTGAACAGTGCTGGCTTAAGATGTCTTCTGAATGTCAGGTAGTTGTTTATCGCTTTGACATCTGATGGGAGGATGTGCCATGCCAACCCCCTGCACCCCACACTCAGCACAGAGGCAGCCAGGAGCTCAGCCCCTCACACAACAAGATCAAGTCTAAGATGGGCAAGAAGTGGAGGTTCAGCTGACCGACCCTAAAAGGAAAGGAATCCGCTGGGGGGGGTCTGGTTCTCACAGGGGCGCCCCCAAGGCAGAGGAAGCAGTGGGCGCTGAGTCAAGGCGCACACGCGAGAGAATGCGGACAAGCCGGCTGGCCGCCGGGCGGGAGGGAGGGAGGGAGCCGGCCTGACCGGTCCAGCCACCCGACGCTCATCCGGCGAGGAGAGAGACCCCCTCCGCCGCTTTTCCACGCGCGCAAGTGATGCTCAGCCAACGTCCCGCCCCGCCGCCCGCGCCAGTCGCCGGAAAGGCAAAGGCTGCCCGGCGGCTAACTGGGAAGCGGGCGTTGCGCCATCGGCCTCCCCGGGCGAAGCGAGGACTCCGTGACCCCGGCGCCGCCCCAGCCTGGCAGCGGCGCTTTTCCATCGCGGCACCGCCCGCCCCAAGCCTGAACCGGGCGAACCTTCCCGGGCGAAGCGAGGACTCCGTGACCCGGGCGCCGCCCCCGCCCCAAGCCAGAACCGGGCGAACCTTCCCTTTCCCCAAGTGGGAGACGAAAACAGGGCGCCCCCCCCCCCGGCAAACCGAGGAACGGGGGCTGGACGGGAGGGGGCCCTTTCGGCAAATGACTGCTGGGGACCCCCCAAGCGCCGGGGCTCAAGGCAACCGCGGGAAGACTGGAGACGGGGCGGCCCGAGGTCACTCAAGGCCACCTGCGCCCGGGGTCCCGCCTCCTTGCGCCCCTCCTGGGCTCCAACTCGAGCGCACATCCAAAGCTGGGGGGGGGCGGCCCCCGTAGAAAGCGGGAAGCCCTCTCTCTCTCCGGTGCTGTCGGGTCACATCCCCGATCCGCCGGCCTCTGGGCGTGCGCAGAGTGCCACTCCGTCCCGCTCCTCCGCAGTGCGGCTCCGCGAAGCGGCTCTGCCTCCGTCCGTTACTTACCGTCGGGACCTCCGCCTCCGCCGTTGCTGCTGCGCGCCTCCTCGGCGGGCGGCGAGGGGTCGGCGGGGGCCAGGAGCACCAGCAGCGCCAGCGCCAGCGGGCCGGGCGCCATGGCAGCCCCCGGGGCCAGGGAAAGCCGGCAGCGGCAGGAGCAGGCGCGTCTCAGCCTGGAGCGCCCTCCTCCTCGCCCTCCCGCGTCGCCGAGGCCCCGGGCCGGCCCTGGCGGGACGCCGACGTCACGGGGACACCCGAGGGGGAGGGAGGGAGGCGGGGGCGGGCGCGCGCCTCGGCCGCTGCTGCTGCTGGCTGCGCCCCGCCCTCCTCCCGGGCGCGGGCACGAGCCACCGGCCGCCGCGCCGCCGCTTCCCTCCTGGGGCCTGCCGGGAGCGAGGGATGCGCCCCGGGGCCTCTTGCGCGCGGCTCCGGCGTCGACCTTGGGGGGTCCGCCCCCCGCCCCAGTGGGTCCGAAGGGGCCGGAGCCCCGGGGGTCTTTGCGCCCCCCACCCCCCCATGGCCAGCGGCAGCGTCTCCCCGGCGCGCCTCGCGAGGCGCCCCCCAACCGCCCCCCGCGGCCGTTGCCGGGCGAAGGTTCGGGGGTGGGCGAGCGAGGCCGGGGCCGGCAGAGGCATGGCTTCCCCCGGGCGCTCCGGATCCAGGGCGCCCCCCGAGTGAGTGAGTGGGGTGGGGGCCGGGCCCGGGAAGGGGGGAGCCGAGCAGGTGGAGGCGCCACTGAGACGCCTGCCTGGCGCTGCGGAGAGCGCTTCTCCGGGGATTGGACTCATCGCCTTTTAAGCCAAGGGAGCCCGGGCAGATAGATGGCACCAAGGGCACATTGTGTAAAGAAGTAATAATAATAATAATAATAATAATAATAATAATAATGTAGTATTTTTACACCGCCCATCTAGCTGGGTTTCCCCAGCCACCCTGGGCAGCTTCCAGCAAAAGATTAAAAATACATCAAAACATCAGTCATTAAAAACTTCCCTAAACAGGGAAGAACTTCCCTAAAGAAGAACTTGCCTCTCTGCTGAATTTGCTGCTAATCAGTTTTATTGAGTAGCCCCAAGTTCTTATTTATTACAGAAGAGAGGGGGGAACATGTCCGTGTCACTCGCCTTCTAAACAGACTCTAAAGTTGCCAACTGGGTGCCATTTTCTACCCAAACAATACATAACAATAACAGAAGTACAGCAATGGAATGGAAACGGAAAATTGACCGTAACATAATTGTAATCTATGAAAGCACCATTATCAAACCAGAAACTAAAAAATAAGCTAAACATCATAAATGCAGCATAGGTCATGTGATTAACAGATCACCAAGTAGACATTTATAATTTATGAAGCAATATTAACAAGTTAGCAACTAAAAAATAAGCTAAACCCTACGAATGTACTATTTTTTAAATCCATGGCATCTCCCACCCACCCTGTGACTCATAACCTTTTGTGCTCTTCATTAAAATCCACATGGGTAACAAGCATCATACAAGAGGACCCTGATCTAACAGAAATACCTGCAGCAGGTATACTTTATTAGTAAGTCAAGCCCATGACGAGTGATGTTCAAGGCAGTTGTCAACAATAGCACAAACGCAGCAAGCTACTTTTCCCTCTCAAGCCGTTGGGCCCGGTCTCACTCAGATAATTTGCCCCCACCTCACTGAACAACCCTTTACCTGAAGGTTTTTTTCTCTCAAAATTCCAACCCAGATTATCCTGTGGGGGACCGTTGTGAGGGGATAACTAGTAAGTTGGAGTCTCAGGCGGGTTTTCTTTAAATAAACAATAAAGATTTACCGTATTTTTTGCTCTATAAGACTCACTTTTTCCCTCCTAAAAAGTAAGGGGAAATGTGTGTGCACCTTATGGAGCGAATGCAGGCTGCGCAGCTATCCCAGAAGCTTCTGAGATTCAGAATATTTTTTTCTTGTTTTCCTCCTCCAAAAACTATGTGCATCTTGTGGTCTTGTGGTCTTGTGGTGCGTCTTATAGAGCGAAAAATACAGTATTTTAGGCAAGATCGTATATAACACAAGTGCAAAAAACTTAGGTTACTTCAGGAATACAATGCTATTTTACTTTAACTGGTCCTCAGTTGTTTTTGGTTGCATTATAAGTTGGTTCCTTTATAAGAGGCATGGCCAAACTCGGCCCTCCAGCTGTTTTGGGACTACAACTCCCATCCTCCCTAGCTAACAGGACCAGTGGTCAGGGGTGATGGGGATTGTAGTCCCAAATCATCTGGAGGGCCAAGTCTGGCCATGCCTGCTTTATAAGGTGATACTTCCTTTCAGTTACCCACCCCCTTTAACAATCCAGTTCCTGAAGTACTGAAGTAATAGACCCAAGGGCTCTCTCCTTTCACTGGGTCTGGGAGTTCCTTCTTCTCCTTAGAAGATTCTCTCCCCTCCGGACTGGGTTGAGTCCCAAGGAGGCTGTTCCTTTCCAGCTCCTACTTCTCCTGGCTCAACCTCTGCCTCCCAGGAAAATCCTGGTCTATTCCTCCTACAGGACACCACACTCTATCCTTCGCAATACGCTCAGAGCGGAAGTTCTTTTTTTCTTTTTCTTTCTCCCTTTCCCTCTTTTTACCTCCACCTGTCTCCTCACCTGTCTCCCAACCTCTCCACCCTCAATTCCAAGCACACCTCCCTGTCTCTCTTCAGATCCTCTCCTTTTAAACTCTCCCTCCTGGAACCACGGCCAGTCAGAGGCTGCTGTATGTGAACCATTTGCTGGCAAGGAAAGAGAGAAAAAAGAAACGCTTGTTGAACCAACCTGTCCAGCAAAACCAAATTTTTCGTCACACCCGCTCCCCACCCCTGGCCTCTGTGACTGTAGCAGTGGTTCCTGTTGAGCTGTCTCAGCCTGATGGCAATCAAATTGTTCCCTTTCCTTTTGGGGAACTTGCTCCTCCAGCCACTGCCCTCTCCTGTGCTTTTTCCAGCTCTTAAAATTTATTTTAGGTAACCAGAACTGTATGCACTACATCATGGGTAGACAAACTAAGGCCCGGGGGGCCGGATCCGGCCCAGTCGCCTTCTAAATCTGGCCTCGGACAGTCCGGGAATCAGCGTGTTTCTACACGCGTAGAATGTGTGCTTTTATTTAAAATGCCTCTCTGGGTTATTTGTGGGGCGTAGGAATCTGTTCATTAAAAAATAATAATAATACAGTCCGGCCCCCCACAAGGTCTGAGGGACAGTGGACTGGCCTCCTGCTGAAAAAGTTTGCTGACCCCTGCACTACATCCTGGAAAGTGGAATAAAAAGAACTTGGTCTTGGCCATGCCATAGATGAGTACAATACAGCTCATAACACAATTATAAGTTTTCACAATGCCCTCTTAAGTGCCATGAAGCACAAATATAAGGCCATCATAGTCCAGCCTCCGGTTCTCACAGTGGCCGACCAGATGTCTCAGAAGGGAAGTCCGGCAGCAGGACCCGAGTGCAAAACTGCTCTCGCCAACCATGAATTCAGAGACAAATGAGCTCCAGTTGTGGAAGTAGAACATAATCAATGGCCACTAGCTGCAATGGCGATCTTCCATTAATTTCCCCATCCCTCTTTTAAAGCTGCCCAAGCTTCTGGCCATTAATACATCTTGTGGGAGCAAATTCTACAGAGCAACCGTGCAGATTGTGTGTGTGTAAGTTCTTTTTAAAAGTCCCCACTTTTTAACTAATTTGTTTTGAATTATTTCAACATATAAAGACGTCATACAGATAAATCATTAAATATCTCAGCCCAACCCTGAAGCTGGGGTTTAGACAGCACATGCAGAATAACAACCAAAAAGCATAGTAAGTTCTTATCAAAAAAAACTTCTGTTTGTATAGCAGGCAAAAAAACTGTTTAAGGTAACCAAAAAGTTTTGTAATGTGAAGCGAGTTTATATTTAGCCAGGTGCATAATAAAGCTGAGCCAATCAGCTGCAAGAGAATCCTTGTGCCTCGAGCCTTGTGGCAATTTTATTTTATTGCTTTATACGCCCACAAGTTCAGTTCGCCATACTTAGTTGAACCAATTTGTCAGAGAAACCTCCTTGAAGTTCTTCCCGTATCTTGTTCTTAATAGCCTGACTGCTCGAAAAAGATTTACTAAAGGGTTAAGCTGTAACTTAATATTCCCTCCTGTAAAAAGATTGCAGAGAGCCAGCTCCAGACATTTAGAGGCATTTGTCTGGTAGTTGCTTTTACAGTGGTACCTTGGGCTAAGTACTTAATTTGTTCCGGACGTCTGTTCTTAACCTGAAACTGTTCTTAACCTGAAGCACCACTTTAGCTAATGGGGCCTCCTGCTGCCGCCTTGCCACCGGAGAACGATTTCTGTTCTCATCCTGAAGCAAAGTTCTTAACCCGAGGTACTATTTCTGGGTTAGCGGAGTCTGTAACCTGAAGCGTATGTAACCCGAGGTACCACTGTATTTGGACAAATGCTTCCTCCCAGAACTGAGCCACTTTCCCGCACATCCACCACATGGTTTGGTTAGAACCTGAGATACTCCAGCAGTTTGGCCATAGAATTAGAATTGAAAGGTACAGCTCTTACTGTCAGGTCTTCCTGATGTTGAGTCAGAATCTCCTTCCTTGTAACTCGAAGCCATGGTTTCAAGTCCTGCCCTCCAGAGCAGGAGAAAACAAGTTTGCTTCCTCTTCCATGTGACAGGCCTTCAGATACTTGAAGATGTCTGTAATATCTCCTCTCGGTCTCCTCCAGGCGAGTAGGAGGAGCGAGTAAGGGCCAGCTGTATAGGTGTGCAAGGCCATTTTCTTGTTGAGGCCAAGGCTGATTTAAAAGGAAATTCCCTCCTGCACATTGAGGTCCACACCTCTTTGTTGATAGTCATCTGCCAATCAGCTTCCCACATCTGCCTTAAGCCATCTTCTGTACCCATATCCACTAGGATTAGCATACTTTAGAGTCTGGACTCCCGACCCTGTTCTGCCTTCGTAACCAATCCCAACAATAATTCAAAAGGAGTCGGAGCTCTCAGTGACCGTGCCTTGATGTAGGTTTGGCGTATCAGTAATATTTCTACTGCTCTGCACAAACTCTGGATGAAAGTAGGATGAAAAAAGCGGGAGAATCTTAGGCACACAATCCCGCTGTCCTCCTTGTCGTAAAGGTCCTCCATCAGCACCACCAAGGCCCACCTGGAATTGCAGAAGGAACCAGGGCCTCTCTCTCCCTCCGGGTCCCAGGGGCTGCTGCTGGCTGGCCTCCAAGCCTAGGCTCTCAGGCAGAAAGGTCCATTTCGGTCTGTGGGTGAATCCAAGGTCCTGAGGCCCAGCTCACCTGCCTCCTCCTTGTCCCCTCCCCAGGCTGCCCATTCCGGAGCCCATGGTGCCTCTGACAGAGCTACAGCAGCTGCACATTCAAACTTGCTGGCTAAAGGCTTTTGACGACGCGGAAGCAAATGGCAGACTCATAATCATCAGGTCTGGTGCTGTAGTCTGTTGGCCTGGGGCGATATCTCCCAGCCTGGCCTTTCTCTTTTTCATATGTATATAGATATATCCTTTATTAAATTTGCTTATTAGTACAGTTATTTCCATTCATTACTCAAAAAACATTAACATACATCAGGCATCCCCAAACTCAGCCCTCCAGATGTTTTGGGACTACAATTCCCATCATCCCTGGCCACTGGTCCTGTTAGCTAGGGATGATGGGAGTTGTAGTCCCAAAACAGCTGGAGGGCCGAGTTTGGGATGCCTGACATACATAAAGAAAAATAATAATCAACATCAAGTAACACTTCTACATTCATACTTCAAAAATGACTTCCCTCCACCTCCCGGCGGGCCCTTAATTCTTTTCAGCTCATTGCTGTTACATGACTTACATTATCTGTCTGTTATCTAATTTGCAAAAGTTAACCAAGGCATGTTAAGGATTTTGTTTGGGAACAATGTTTTTTTTCCTAAATATACTCTGAAACACTCCCATTCAGTTTTGAACTTTTGGTTTGATTGGTTGCCGATTGCCTCTGTCATCTTTTCTAGTTCTAAGTGTTCACATAATTTGATTTGCCGTTCTTCCTTCATTGGAATTTTATCTCCCTTCCAGTTTTTGGCATTCAATATTCTTGCTGCTGTCGTTGCGTGTAAGAAAACCCTCCTCTTGTCAACTGGAATATCAGTTGTCAGAATGCCTGGAGGAATGGCTTCCGTTTTTTTCACAAATGTTTGTTTAAAGATTTTTTTTAGTTCCTCATATACAATATCCCAAAAGTTCTTAGTTTTTTCACAGCCCCACCACGTCGTTCCCTCCCCCTGTTTGCACCTCCAGCCTACATATATTTGAATTTGTTCTGTATACCAGCCTGGTCTTTTTCATACCTCTTTCACAGTCCATGCAGAAGGCAATGGGCTTCAACCCGCTGTGGCCCTTTGCTTCACTCCCTCACCAGTTTAGGAGACCTGAGCACCTCCTGGAGCCAGATCAGAATGGCTTTTAGAAAGAGTTAGGAGATGGAGGGCACCATCCTCTCCTCTTCCACTCGCCCAGGGTCCTTTGGGTGTTACTTGGGTGTACATCAGAGACAAAAAGAGACAGAAGGCAGGGGAAGTCACGGGTACCGTTGTCTCCCAGGAGCAGAGAAAGTGACAGGAGGCAGTTTCTCCACCTCTGTTCAGGGAGGGGCCCATACTAGCAGCTGTGGGGAGGGCTGAGAGGCCTCTTTGATGCTGGGCTCCTCTTCAGAAACCTGGAATATGCAGGCTGGCTGGGGAAGGGCGGCTTCCAGGTGAGCAGCTCTTGGAGGGAAGCAGGAGACCATTGTTGGGGGAGCCAGGGGAGGTCTGGGGGTCCCGCGGGGACAGAATTTCTGCTGTAGAAGATATGCTTCAGCTCCCCAGGCCTCTTCTGCTTTCTGGAGGTCCCAGATGGGTGTGTGGTTGAAAGCCATCAACAAATTCCTTTCCGGAATTAAGTGGCGGAGGAACAGGGGCAAGGCAAGCAAGATCAGACTTCTGTGAATGCTATTTTGTCAAGGTTTGGAAGCAGAGATTTCTGTGGTCGAGGGGCCTCTTGACCAGTGAAATAAACAGGCCACTGGGCATCACTGCCACCCACCAGACAGAGTTGAGTGAGTGCACCATCTGTGCAAACCAAATCCACAGGGGATCAAGTGGGGCGGTCAGGGAGGGAGCAGCCGGCAGCAGACCCTTCCAAGAACAGAGCTCCTGAGCAAAGCAGACTCTGCAGACCTGGAGGCCATGTTGTCCTCCTCAGCCAGCCCAGAGAAGGGGGGGGTTAAGAAGGGGGTCCAATGCTGCTCCCCACACAGCCTTTTCCAGCGATACTCAAAAGGGTGAGTACAAAATCCGAGCTCTGCACTCAAAGCGAGCCTTCGCTGTTCCGCACGCAGGTTCTTCACAGACTACCCTGACAGCAAGCAGTACTTCAAGAACATCCCAACGGAAGGCGACCTGCTGAGGGACCCTGAGGTGGGCTCCCACGGCCGGAAGGTCATGGTCGCTCTGAACCAGCTGGTTGAAAACCTGGACAACCGGAAGCAGGGCTGCCGGCTGCTGGAGCGCCTGGTGGATAACCACAAGAACGTCCACCAAGTGCCGCCAGGGATGTTCCAGGTATGGGGGGGGAGGGGCGAGCAAGCAAGCAGGGAGGACACAGGAGCTGCTGGGCTGGCAGCTTGCCCTCGGAGCAGCTGGGATCCTTCCAACGGGGGGGGGGGGGGAGGGAGTGTGGGAATGTTGAGGAAAGTAGGAGAGGATATATTGATTAAACATTATCCCTCCTCGCTCACTAGTGAGCAAGCACATTCCCTTGCGCATTGCCAAGTTGATGGATTCGTTAGAATCATTTAAGTTATGCAAGCCAGTCGGGATTGTTGCTGGTAAGTTTCCCCTTTTATTTCCCACTTAAAATAATAATAACAACACAACAGTCTTGTTTAAAAGTAAGGGTAAAGTTTACTTACATTCAGTTCACCGTAGAATTCTGAAGGCAGGCTCTATCTTTTGGCTACAGTTACCTTTGTAGAGAAAAGAAGTCTGAGCTGGGCCTCAGACTTTCCACCTTGTGGCTTCGTTCCTCTGTAAGGATGAGCCATGTGCTGCTGGCTAAGAGCCAGCAGAGAGCCAAAGAGGAAGATGCCTGCATGGCTAGCCCTTTTGTAGGGTCTGCTAAGGTCACGCCCATCTACCTGGTCACACGCAGGGGGAGGAGGCTCCAGAGCAGGTATGACAGGAAGTCCCCCCGGTCTGGAGCCACATTCCCCTGTGTGTCCACCATTCTAGGCAACAGGAAATGTTGCACTTGACTGCATCATTGATGAGACATCCCACGGGGGGAACCTGGGTCTGATCCTGGCATCCCCAGCAGGCCACCTCCTGCCACTCTCCTGGCATTGCCTTGAGGTCAGGGGGCCACGTCAGTGAGGCTCACTGCAGAGCCTGTCTGGCTCAGGGGAGCTCTGAAGCCAAGCCAAGCAGGTCTCACTGAAGGCACCAGGGGGCTCCAGACAGGACCTTCCAGGCGAGGAACTCCCTGCGCAGCCACCCCAGCTGACTGGAGCTGCCAGCCAGCTTCCCCTGCAAGGAGGCCCCATGAAAGCGTGCAAGCATCCCTTTGCCACCGTGTTCTTCCCTGGCCACACCTGCCGGCACAGGTGGCATCAGGTGTGGGGCAGGTGGGCACGGCATGGGGGGGAAATGGCTCAGGGACCAGACAGGGAGCCCAGCTGGGCTTCCTCAGCACTGCCCTTTGCCACAAGAGCAGCCACAGGCTTCCTCCGCTGCCCTTTCCCGCCTTCAGGCTTAATGCCTCTCCTGGGGCTGTCTCCTGCAGGCTGAGCCAGGCAGAGAATCTATGGGGCGCTCAAGCAGGGGCTTTTGGAAAGGGAGCCTAGTGGTTAGAGCCTTGGGGGTCACTGGGAATGCATCCCAAGCTACCCGCTGAATGGTGCCCTCCTTGCCCAGCTTCTGTTTCAGACCATTCTCTGCGTCTTCCAAGAAGTCCTGGCAGATGAGTTCACCAACGACATGAAGCTCTCTTGGGAAAAGTTCTTTGACGCCGTCTTTGCAGAAGTAGAAGCCGCCTACAGTCGCCCCCTTCTGCCCTAGAGAAAGGAGGGGCATCCCCCGGGTACCCTGCTCCCCGCTCTCTTCCCCTTCTTACATTTGTATTGATGGAATAAAGAGGGCAGCATTTACTTTCTGGACCTCTGTCCTGGGTGCCTGGTCAATTCTGTGGTGCCACGGGTTCCTTGCAGGATCGGGGCCACTTCTCCGTAGGTGCAGAAGCGTGCCTAAGGCCATAGCAAGGTCAAGCAAGGGAGCAGGGATGTAGCTCAGGGGTTGAGCACCTGCCTTGCGTGCAGAAGGAATCGCCAGGCGCTGCTGGCAGAGAGACCCCCTGCCTGGAAACCTGGAGATCCATTGGTCCGTCAAGGCAGTAAAGAGCCAGTCTGGCCTGTCCCCTGGCAGGCTCCCATCTTCCTTTGAGACTCCATGGGCCAAGGCAAAAGTCAGAAGAAGCTGGCAGGGTGGGAAGAGTCCAGGAAGATGCCCTGCAGAAGCAGGCGAGAGAAGGCAAGATGGTGGGAGATGACTGGCTGGTGGCGTCGCAGGGCAGCTTTGGCATGAGAGGGTGAGGCGGCCCCGGCCTGAGCTCCGCCGTGGGCACTTGGGTGGCTGCCCACATGCCTGCCGGTCAGCAGCCACAGCTCTGCAACAGAGAAGCTGCTTGGCATGCAGAAGTTCCCAGCTTCCTTCCCCACGTAGGCCTTTCTCCACACCAGGCAGCTTCCCAGCTGCAGTCTTTCCCTTGGACTGGTCTGGGGCAGGAGAGCAGGCAAGAGCCATTCCTTCCCATTGCCCTTGTGCAGCTCAGAGCAGGCTTCTCTGAAGAATTTCCGGAGCCCCACAACTCACACAGGCGAATGGCCACACGATACACCCCCCCCCGTCCTGCCCTGGAGTTCTGCTGGCTCAGGCAGCAGTACCCCCCAGCCTTGCTGCCAGCCCTTTAATCCCCCCACAGCACCCCATGCAGCCACCACCTGCCCTCCACGCTGGCAGGAAGCCTCTGGGAACCCCCAAAGCCCTCCTTTGCCCAAAGGCTTTGGCCCAGCAGTCCAGGGGAGGAGACAGGATGCCTAGGCAGCAGTAAAGGGGCCTTTCCACTTCATTGCGGTATTTTTAGGTAATGGCCCGGCTAGCCTGAGGACTCTGCAGCCCCTCTGTGGGGCGCATGAGCTGATGGGGGGCACCAGACCAAGGCCTCACTTCCCAAAGAGCTGCCCTTCCTGCCATTCCCGCCCTGGAGCAGCAGGGGGCGCCTGCGCGCAGGGAATCCAGCGGCTGCCCCGAGGCCCCACATGGGGTTAACCCCTTGGGGCCCAGAGCCAACTCGGTTCTGCCGCAAAGGTGCGTAAAGTTTGCCTTCCTGACTAGCCAGCCCGGGAGCCGCCTCCTGGCCGAGCGGGACGTGGGGCGCTGAGGAAGGAGCTTGCCTGGGCAGCCCCTGTGATGACAGGATCCGGAGCTAGATGGGCATTTGGCCTGATCCAGCGGGCTCCGCTTAGCTTCTTAGAGCATCATCTCAGAGAGCAGCAGCGGGGAAGGGGAGGGGAGCGGGAAGCTGCCCCCTCTCTCTGCCGGGGCTGTGGGTATTTCTTAGAGGGTCTCTGGTTCCCCAGAGACTGGTAGACAAGTCTGCATCCAAAGCAACGAGCAGAGGAGGAACAACCTCCGCGGGGAGCAGAGAGAAGAAATGCCTTGGGGCGTCTGCAGCAGCGCAGCCGGACATCTTCCTCTGCCCCGGCCCCCAACTGCAGCAAAACACGACCAGTCTCTCCCATATCGGCCTCTGCAGCCACAGCAGGCGCTGCAACCTTCCAACGGTTTGACTTCACCCCCAAAAGTGCACTCCCCCGTTGTAAGGGAGGGCGCCCGCCCTTGCCATTGCTCTGGTGGGTCCTCGTGATCTCAGGAAATGGCGGTGGTTTCAGAGCCCGAGTCGCCCCCTCCCAGGCAGGGTTCCTGCTTGCGGGCCTCTTCCCGCGCCCTCTCAGTGCGGGTGTGGAGGGGACCCCTGGCACTGCCCCCCCCGGCCTTGGCTGTGGGGAGGGGGCTGCCTCTGCCCTTGAGCGCAGGATCCTAGGAAGCTGCCTTCTATTGCATCCAACCCGGGCCGTATTGCCTACACGGGCTGGCAGCTGTGGCTCGCGGGGCTTTCGGGCTGGACGGAGCCGGGCGGAGCCCTTCTGCGAGCACAACCCCACGCCGAGACCGGCCCTTCCGAATAGCTCGTCTGCTTCATCCCAGTCAGTCCAGCCAGGGGCGCAAAGGCCTGGGGAGCCCCACCCCCCAAGTCCCCCGAAGGGAACTGGAAGGAAGACCCCCAAGGAGACGGAGCCCTTCTGGGGCTGACTCTGCGTCCCCGTCGGGCAAAGGCCACGCGTGCCTGCGGCTCTTTCAGGGCCCCCACCTAGCAGGCGACTCGGTCCAAGTGCCCCGGGTTCAAGGAGCGCCAAGGTAGGGACTATCCCGCGGGACGGGGTCTCCCTCGCCAGAGCCGTCCAGGCCCCCGGAGTCCCCCTCTCCCTTCTTCCCGCCCGCCCCCAGGTCAGCCCAAGAAGACGCGAGAGATCAGGGAGAGTCAAGAGCAGGTTTATTGTGGGGTTTGGGCGTCGCGGGGCGGCGTCGAGGCGGCGTCGAGGCGGCTCCTCTGCGGCGGGCCTGGGCTTCGTGGGGCCTAGCGGTACTTGCTGGTCAGCACGGCGCAGACGCGGCCCAGGAACTTGTCCATGGAGAGGAGGGTGCTGGCCTGGAGGACCTCCTGGTGGTGGGCGGCGATGGACACCAGGAAGCAGTGGCTCAGCAGCTGCGGGAGAGGCGGAGGGGGAGCGTTAGACGGGGCCCCGGACGGAGCGAAGCAGGGATCCCGCCCGCCCCGGAGCCCCGACCGGGAGCGAGAGAGACTCACCGGGAAGTTGACGGGGTCCACGCGAATCTTCTGGGCGTGCAGGGTGCTGATCTTGTCGAGGGCGCCGGCGATGTTGTCGATGTGCGCCACGGCCTCGCCGATGGCCGCCGCGACCTTCTTGCCGTGCGCCTTGATATCGGCGGAGCCGGGGGTCAAGTCGAAGTGCGGGAAGTAGGTCTTAGTGGTGGGGTGCGCCGCGAACATCCTGCGGGAAGAGGAGGCGGAGAGGAGCAGGAAGACGAGGGTCCGGCTCCCGCCCGGCCCGCGGGCTCGTCCCCGGGAGAGGGTCCCTGCCCGACGGGGCGGACTTACCTGGTGAGGGCATCGGCGCCAATGTCCCCGGCGTGGGGCAGGACCACGCTCCAAACGTGCTTCACGTGGCTCTTGTCGTCGTCGGTCAACACCATCTTGGCAGCTCAAAGTCTCGGGTGCCGTCGGAGCGCGCGCGGCCTTTTTATGGGGGGCGCCCCGCCCCGCCTGGGGCTCTCCGCCCATCCGCGCCGCCTCTGGGCACCTCCTGGAGGGGAGGGATAGGGGCCACGCCCGCAGTCTGTTACAGGGAGGGGGCGCCAACTACCCCCATCAGCTGGCTGGGCTCCAGGCAAGTCCGGGAGCGCCGCTCCTGTCCCGCCGCATCCCCGGCGTGCGGAGGCTGGCGAGGCTAGCGCGGCTGCTGCGTCTTTGCGACATGGAGGAGTCGCTTCAAAGCAGCCGGGCTCAGTCGCGAAGCTCCCCAGCGGCCTGGGGTCGGCCCCGAACTCCTCTATCCTAAGGTCTCTCCGTGGCTAAACTGAGCGTCTACGGTGAGGGGCAGTGGACCTCTGCAAACGAAATAAAAAAATTAAAAAAGCTTTCGTGTGCATGCACACTTCTTCAGATACTAAGAAGTGTGCATGCACACGAAAGCTTATACCTAGAACAAACTTAGTTGGTCTCTAAGGTGCTACTGGATTATTTTTTAAAAAAAATTATTTCGTTTGTAGAGGTACAGCGTCAGACCAACACGGCTACCTCCCTGACTCTGCAAACGAATAACAGGCGCGCCCCCGGTGGCCCTGAGGGCCCCGCTCTCAAAGCGTCCGCTGGCTTTCAAGAGCCTTTCGACAAAGTACCTCACCAACTACTCCCGTGTAAGCTTAGCAGTGAGGGAATAAGAGGAGCTGCTTTCGCTGCGGTTCCCGCGTCGCAGGGGGTTGAATCAATTCCATGATTCTAAGAGCAAGAGAGGGCCTCTTCCGGATCAGGAGTTGGCTAAGTTTCTGGAAGCAGGGAGAAATGGATCCGGCCGCCAATGGAGAGATGTAGAAAGTGGAGTCCCTCAAGGATCGGGACCTGTGCTTTCTAAACGACCCTAGAGTTATAGATGAGCGGCGAAGTGGCCACGTTTGCTGGAGGCACTAAACTGTTCAGGGTTCGTTGTAACCAAAGGGGGATTATGAATCTCTACAGAAAGACCTCTCCAAACGGAGCGAATGGGCGGCAAAATGACAAAGGCAATTCATTGTAGACAAGTGTCTACAATACACGGGGGCGAAAAGTCTTTTTTTTAATAATAATTTTTATTAAATTTCCATTTAACAATCCAATCATGTCTCAATCATTAATCCAAATTATGCCAACACATATCATAAAGTCCAAATATTTTGCCGAATTTTTTAAATTTTTGTTGAGGGTACTCATGCTTCGAGCTCAGAAGGGTCCAATTCTCTCATATTTCTGCTGCTTTGATGTTCACAAGTCCCGTCTTCCAATCTTCTGGATTGGAAAAGTCTTAATGTCACATATGTTTATGGAGTCTGAACTGGCAGAGACTGGCCAGGATCGCGACGTTGCGGTCCTAGTGGAGATACGGTTAAAGATGCGCCTTCTGCGCGCGGCAGCTGTGGAAAAGGCAACCTCCGCGCTAAGAATCATTATTGACAATAAAGCTGCCCATATCATAATGCTATTATTCAACTCTATGGGGCGACCGCAGGATATTGTTTGTAGAGCTGGTAAATGTTCAGGAAAGGGCCACAAAATGATCAAGGCGCTGGAGCGACGGCCCTATGGGGGAAAGTTGCGTGTTTGAGACTGTTTGGTTTAGAGAAAAGGCAAATAAAATGAGACATGGGGAAAGTTTATAATATTACGCACAGCCTGGAGAAAGTTTTTTCCTGCCTCTCTCACGAAACTCGAACGGGAGCCGAATGTTGGAAGATTCGGGACAGAAAGAAAGTCCTTCTTCACGCTGCGCAAGAGTTGAACTATGGAACTCGCTGCCACAGGAGGCAGGCGAGGGGCACCAGCTTGGACGGCTTGGCAAAAAGATCGTATCAATTCATGGAGGAGGAGGAGCGGGCCTATCGAGGGCCACCAGCCACGAAGGCTCATCTCTGCCCTCGCTCCTGGGCTCGGATCCTGCTTGCTGGTTTCCTAAGGGTATCTGGTTGGCCACTGTTGGCTTTTCTGATGTTCTTACATTCGTCTTTCCTCGCCGACGCCCCCAAGGACAGCTGCCTTCTCTCTCCGTTCCTCTACGCGCCTCACTCCATCCTCGGGGGTTCGGCGGAGCAGGCTCTCACCCTCCCCAGTCGCTCAACTCTGCGGGTCCCTGGCAAGGGGGCTCCAGGGGGCTGCCTGGGCGTGGCCCGTGGCCGCCCAGCGGCGCCCATCCCCGTCACCGTTGCTGGGATGCCGGCGGCGCCCCCCGCGCAAGACCAGGGGAGGCTTACAGCTGCCCCCCACATTCCTCTCGGCCCCCAAACAGGCACTCCAGAGTCTGTGAACTGTGCTCTGCCTGGGAGGGCCCATGCCTGCTCCGGATAGTCCTCACAACCCGCTTGCGGAGTAGCCCAGTGTCCCCTAAATATATACTGTATTATTTTCACAATAATTCCTTTTGGTACAGCCGCTTTTTTACGGATCTTCTCAATAGGCTCACTGAAAATTACATTACAAAAACTTCATTCATTCATTCTGATTTTGGGAGGATATTATTGGGTTGTTTTTATTTTGATTATATATATTGTGGTTTGTATGTTGATCTTTTCTGTGAACCGCCCTGAGACCTCTGGGTATAGGGCGGTATATAAAATCAATAAATAATCATTATCATCATCATCATTATTTTGCGTCCCCTCGGCTCGGTACCGTGTGCTGCTCTCCTTCGGTGTTTTGCGCCTGAGCTCCAGAGGAGGGTGTCTAACTTGACGCTGCATAACGCCATTAAAGATGACACGTGTGTGAGGGTCCCTGGGACGTGAGAACTTGGCCCCGTCAAAGCACAAAAGCCGGAGACAGGCGCACCCCGCACCCTGCAACTCCCCGCCCCACAAGCGTCAGCCCCAAAGGCTTTCCAGGGGAGGGGAGGGCCGTTCGTGCGGGCGGGCCCATGCGGAGCCAAGGCGGGAGTGCCTCTGAGCAGGGGCAGAGTGCCGTCCCCTCGGAGAGGGAGAGTTTTTCTAGACGGCGGTGGGGCGGGTGCACGTGAGCACGTGCAGAGTGGTCTGGAGCAGCTCTGGCGGGAAGGACGGGCGGCCCTCTTGCCCGCCGAAGGAGTCATGCTGCTCCACGTCAAGGGCCCGGCGCGGGCGGGGGGGGGGTACGGGTGTTGTAGGGCGGCTGGCCGTTCCCTCCCCCACTTGGGGGGCGGAGTCCTGGCCCCACGGCTGGGAGGGCGGGCGCCTCCGCCCCGGGACAGGTGTGGGCTTCGGGGCCCCACTTGAGCAGGCGGCGGTCGCCCCGACGACCTTTCTTAGTTCTTTCCTTATTTTATTCGTATTTTTAAAAACAACTTTTAACAGGCAGCGGCCAGGCGCTTCCCCGCGCGATAACTTCCTTGTGTTCACTCTGAAAGCATCCGATAATCCTTCCCCCCCCCCCCCATAAAAGGATGCTTATTCCCAGGTGCCTCAGGGCAGCAAAAAGCAGAAAATGTGCATAGATGTCTTCGCTCTTTTAAACAGGGCCAAGGCTTGGCAAGCCTCACCCTCTGTAGTCTACAATATCAGAACCGTAGAAGCCGCAGAGCAATGAGCCAGGGGTCTCCTTCATGCCAGCCCCATCCCCGCCTTCCTCTTCTCCTGCCCTCCCCAGATGTTGCTCCTCGACGGGATCCCCGGGAGAGCTCTCTCCCCGCCGGGTCAGGCTGCCTCTGAGGGTGAAGGGACCGCAGCCCTCTCCGTCGAGTTTCTGCCCGGGCTCCGCTGCGTTGGTTTAGTGAAGAACGCGGAGGACTTGGTGGGGTGGCGGTGGGGAGAAAGGGGTCTCAGCGGGCACTGGACTCCGTCTTCCCTCCCCTCCCCCCCCCCTCGGAGGTGCCTGCGGGACGGACGGGGCTACGGGGGAGTTGAGGAGGCGGTTGTGGCGTGCGCTCCCTCGGAAGTGGAAGGGAGAACTGCCGAGGCGGCGGCGGCTGTCTCTTCTCGGTCTCCCCCACCCTCTTCCCTGCGATGCTCACTTGAGGCTTTGTCGCCCCCTTGGCGTATCTGCTCCCCCTGAGACCCTTCCCCGCGTCTCCCACGCATGGGACCCCCTCCCCACGCCAGAAAAGTGAAGGACGCCGGAGCGAGGTTCACGCATTTTATTGCTCAGTGGCACAGCGGAGGCGGAGTGCCCGAGACGGGGGGCAAACGGCAGCTCCGAGGCGAGGGGGCGGGCAGCGGGGGGCTCATCTGTACTTCTCGGTCAGCACATCGCTCACCTCGCAGAGGAGCTTGTCAAAGGCCAGGTAGGCCACGGCGGTGTACTCTACGCGGAGGCTGGAAGCCATTGTCACGTGGAGGCACCTGGTCAGAAACTGCAAAGGAGAGAAAGAGAGAGACGGGGGTCAGGTGGGGGGTCGGCCAGGTGGGGGAGGGTCGAGGGAAGACCCAAGGTGCGCCCCTCCCGGCCCTCGTCCGCCCCGTCGGCGCGCTTGCCTTGAAGTTGACGGGGTCCACGCGGAGGTTGTAGGCGTGCAGGTCGCTGAGTTCGGACAGGGCGCCGCGGATGTTCTCAAGGTTATTGATGACGCGGTCGAGGGCCTTGAAGATCTTCTGGCCGTGGTGGTGAATGTCGTTGGAGCCGGGGCACAGGTCGAAGTGCGAGAAGTAGATCTTGGACTGCGTGTAGACCTGGAAAAGCCTGCGGGGAGGGAAGGGGGCCGTCAGGAAAAGGGACGGGGCGGGAGGAACCAGACTGGGCTTCTCTCCCTTGGCCGCCCCGTCCAGCCTACCTGGTCATCGCTTCGCCGCCTATATCCTCGCGCTCGGGGGCCAGTTTGGACCAGCAGCTCTTGATCAGCTTGCATTCCTCAGCAGTCAGCTTCATCTTGGCAGCAGGCAGGAGGTCGAGTTGCTCTGTAAGTCCCAGGAGGTGGCGGAGCTGGGAGTCCTGCAGGGGCCGCCGCTTTTATAGCGGCCCGCGCTGCCCTCCTCGGCCCGCCCCCGCTTATCTTATCGCCCCGGGACTGCCGGAGAGGTCGGCTGCGCGGCGGAGCAGCCAAACCCACTAATGGCGCAAGGAGGGGCCTCGGCGACGGCGGACAGAGCTCAGCTCCCGCCTTGGCGGCCGAAAGAGCCGGTACTACGGGGGAAGAGCCGTCTATGCTGAAGAAACGGCTGGATCCGTGCAGCCTCCTGTTTTCACGGTGGACACCCAGGTGCCTCTTGCAGGAAACGCGCAAGCGGCATCCGAGCACAAGAGCGCTTCCCGCTCCGAACAGCGGCTGCCCTTCAGAAGCTTTTATGCCTCCACCGTTAGCCCTCTCTTCCTCCCTGAATTTCTCGGCTCCTTGTTTAAAGCCATCCCACTTGGACCGAGGGAGCCTTCTGCTGGGGCACGTGGCAAGTGGGGAGAGGACACGGGACTTCAGGCGCTGCCAAAGTTCAGACGACCAAAGAACCCGGGAGGATGCCCCGAGTCTTTTCGCGACGCGGGAGAGGCCGGCGGCATATAAATCCGACCGCCCCCCATCCCAAAATAAAACACGCAGGGGATTTACGGTATCCGTCTAAAAAAACTCTCGAGACGCCCCAGTCGGTGGCATGAGGGCCACGCAGGAGAGCAATTGGGGTCAGGCTGATGCGTAAAGCGCATATTGCTAAGTTCAGCCGGGCAGGAAAAGGTGTTTTTCCGCTTTAGATCAAGCTGGAGAGAACTGCAGTACAGTGGTACCTCAGGTTACATACACTTCAGGTTACACACTCCGCTAACCCAGAAATAGTGCTTCAGGTTAAGAACTTTGCTTCAGGATGAGAACAGAAATCGTGCTCCGGCGGCGCAGCGGCAGCAGCAGGAGGCCCTATTAGCTAAAGTGGTGTTTCAGGATAAGAACAGTTTCAAGTTAAGTACGGACCTCCGGAACGAATTAAGTACTTAACCTGAGGTACCACTGTACGTGGCTTTTCCCTCCTACCCAGAAAAAGGGGTCGAGAAATCCTTGAAAGGCAACCAGGAGACACATGCCGAGGCCGAGGGTGTGTTTTCAGTCCCCGAAACGAGCTCCTCTTTCTCACACGCAGAGAGCTATTCCTGGTTCTCCCCTCCGCACCAAAAACAGCCTTCATTTGTTCCTATAGCCTTAATTTGAAAGCTCTTGTTAAACAATTCGGGACCACAAAAAGCGCTGGTTTTGTTTTCTGCAACCAAGCGGTATATCATTGTTATGAAAGAAACAAAGACCTATCGGAGATCTACCGCGAATCACTCAGTAGATCCTGATCGCCCCCTGCTCCCCCCAACACACCACTTCCCCCCTCCCATCCCCCGACGTGGTGCTAGGAGGTTCTCAGCCTAGCCGTCCTCACAGGGTTGTGGTGGGGATTAAATGGTGGAGGGGAGGAGGACCGCGTAGAGCACCTAGAGATCCTTGGAAGATATTCATGAAATAAATAAATACAATATAGCAAAAAGGAAAAAGAGCATAAAAATCTCTTTGGAATTAAACATTCTGAGGACCTAACTGCACAGTACATTAAGTGAGTGGTTCTGGGGTTGTTGTTTTTTAAAGCTGATATGGGGAGGCAGTTTTGCAACAGGACTATAGTGCTTGAGGAAAGGAAGTTTCATCTTTTGTACCACAGTCCTGGAAGGACACAGAGAGCCCAGCAACAGGTGACCTGGGAACGTCAGGCAGCCCTAGCCAGAACCAAATGGACCTCTGGCACCTCCTGCCCTGCCATGCTGTGTCTTGAGCCCTTGTCCAGCTCCGAGGGCCTTCTGGCGGTTCCCTCCCTGCGAGAAGCCAAGTTACAGGGAACCAGGCAGAGGGCCTTCTCGGTAGTGGCGCCCGCCCTGTGGAACACCCTCCCACCAGATGTCAAAGAGAAAAACAACTACCAGACTTTTAGAAGACATCTGAAGGCAGCCCTGAAGCTTTTAATGTTTGATGTATTACGGTATTTTAATATTTTGTTGGAAGCCACCCAGAGTGGCTGGAGAAGCCCAGCCAGATGGGAGGGGTATAAATAAATTATTGTTATCATCATCATCATCATCATCATCATCATGTGGGCTCTCTAGTAGTAGTAGTAGTAGTAGTAGTAGTAGTAATAATAATAATAATAATTTATACCCCACCCATCTGACTGGGTTTCCCCAGCCACTGGGCAGCTCCCAACAGAATATTTAAAACACAATAAAATATCAAACATTAAAAACTTCCTTAAACAGGGCTGCCTTCAGATGTCTTCTAAAAGTCAGATAGTTGTTTATTTCCTTGACATCTGATGGGAGGGCGTTCCACAGAGCGGGTGTCACCACCGAGAAGGCCCTCTGCCTGGTTCCCTGTAGCTTTGCTTCTCGCAGGGAGGGAACCGCCAGAAGGCCCTCGGAGCTGGACCTCAGTGTCTGGGCTGGACGATGGGGGTGGAGATGCTCCTTCAGGTCTACTGGGCTGAGGCCATTTAGGGCTTTCAAGGTCAGCACCAACACTTTGAATTGTGCTCGGAAACGTACTGGGAGCCAATGCAGGTCTTTCAGGACCAATGTATATGGTCTCGGTGGCCGCTCCTAGTCACCAGAAGTGGCAGACACATACCATGGACACATGTCAGGCCTGGCAACAGAGCTGCAATGGGGGCAGCAAGAGTGGAGGGAGCTGCTGGGGACCAGGTGAGCGTGTTTACACAAGCACATTCCCTTTCTGTCTCTGCCTTAGGGGGAGGGAGAGTGGGAGGGAGGCCCAGGCAGCAGTAGTGTTTTGGGTTCTTTCACACAGGGGCAGTACCAATGGCAATACTCATCAACTGGGGGTGGGTGGCCCCTCAAAATATTTTTAGGGTGTCCAAGAGCCCTCAAACCCTAGGAGCTGGTGCCCATGCACTGTGTGAAGAAGAGTTTCTCTGTCCTGAATCTCAGGTGAACAGGGAGCCGGGCACTGGCCAGCTCCAGACACTCTTGGCTGAAACTTATTTTCTCCATCCATTCAAGTCTGGGTTCAGGTCTGATTCTGGAACAGTCACCGTCAGGGACAGCCCACCCCATTTCGCCACCTGAGGCAAAAAGGGGAAGGTGTTGCAGGCTTGGTTGTGCAGTGACTTTTGGCGAGATCTCCCTGGAAGCAGCCGCCACAGCCGCAGGACCCTGGCAGTGTGGCAGCAGGCCCCATGGGATTCTTCTGCCCGAGGCAGGCTGCTTCTTCACTTCTTCACTTTGCCCTGGTCGCTGCCTGACTGTCCTGCTGCCTCAGGTCTTTGCTGAGAGAAGGGCAGGGTGAGGGCGAACTCCCTTTGACGCCTCTCCACAGCCTTCCATGCCATTTTCCCTGACATCCTCTTCCTGGAGAGTCCTCATGAGTCGCTGTGTCGGAGGTCCTGTGCGGCTCCTCCTGGCTTGGCCAATGCCGGAAGGGAACTTAATATTTCATGGATTTATTGCCAGATGTTGTTCAGAAAAGCAGGCCTCCTGGGGAAGGGGGAGCTGCAATTCTGAGCAGAGAAGCAGGAGGGGGGTCTTAACCCTTTCTCCACCATATTCTGCTCCAGAAAGGCCCTCTCCAAAGCTGCCTTTCCAGCTGCAAGGGTCTACATGTCTGTGCCCACTCTCAAACAACTGGGCTCATTAAGGGCACCTGGGGGCCTGCTTCCCTGCTGCCAATTGCCAAAGAGGCCTGTGAGTGATCGCCTTTGTGTGCATCCTCAGAACTCTCCATGCCAAAATGGCAAAATTAAATGGAAAGCTCAGAAATCAAGAATACAATAACTTTTGAAAAGAACGGGAAAAGTTTATAATTTATATACGAGACCACTGCAAGCAGGTTAAAACACTGGAAGGATTTTAATTACACTTGTAAAGTAACACAAACTGTGGATAATTCAGAAGGAAAGTATATGGATAAATATTGATATGCAGATGTATTTATTTTTACTAGGACCCATGGAAGGGATGGAGGGAAGTCAAGAGATTCAGAGTAATCTCAATATTTGGATGAATTGATATTCAACAATATTTGTTGAATTGATGTTTGTTGTGTGTTTATATATTTTTTTAAATCAAATATAAATATTTTTTTTAAAGATATATGTATTTATTTATTCATTCATTCAGAGTCCTAAATCACAAACAACCACCACAACTCCCCTTGGTTTGCTGGTCGCGAAGCACACATAGGGACGGGTGCTGCAAGAGCTCCTTGTTTATTTTTGAGCGGCTGAGAGAAAATCTCGCAAGCCTGAGCTTGAAGAGTAGGTTGGAAAGTCCCCCCCCCCAAACAGCACAGAAATGTCTGGATGTTTTTTGTCCTCCAAACCCCCCTGATCCCCCTCTGCACGACCCCTTTAGACAGCAGGCCTGGGGGCAAGGAAGGGCCCTTCCTTTTCCCCTTCTAGGGCAGCCCCTTTAGGAGTCCCCATCCATTCTGCTGCTGATTTCCTTCCCAGTGAAGAATAGGACTCTTTGGCCGGCAGAAAGAGCCAGAGTCGCTGGAGGCCTGAAGGAGGGAGCTGCCCCAAAAGTCCCCTCCCCTCAGCTATCTCCTCAGAGACACAGCCTGCCTTATCCTCCAGCTTGCAGGGGGTGGCCAGGCTGATAAGAGGAGAAGGAGCCTGGGCTCTCAGCTCACCCCTATCTCTGCGCAGAAAGCCACCCTGGCCTCATCCTGAGGGATGCTCCTGCCTTCTCACCCAACTGGCAGGTACGGACTCTGCGCTCCCTGCTGCTTCGGGTGCAGAGAGATGTCTTTTCGTGGAGGCGGCGGAGCTCTGCTTCAGGGCAGAACCCAGGAGGGCAGGATCCGTTCCTCAATCTGTCCAGTGCTGCTCTGACTGCCTCTTAAGCAGACAGGAGAATACATCGCAGTGAATGAATTAATTAAAAATCCACCCAAGTCCATTTTTGCTGACTGCATTGCGGTTCCTTGTTTTTCTGACCACACAGGCATTGTCCTCCCAGACTTCCCTGAGGATCTCAGATGGGAACTTCTCTTCTGGGGGACTCTGCAGTTGGGGATTCCACCTCCCCATACATCTCCTGTAATTATTCTAGTTTCTTTAGCCTGCCAATTGAGGGATAAAGGGTGGGGCTGGTGAGCCTCCCCACACCCTCCCTGGGGCCCTCTTGAGCTGCTACTCTTAAGTACCTGGTCCTCATTTGACAGGAGCATCAAACTGAACAAAAACAGGATCTGCTTAGGGGTGTCAAGCCCAATGACCGCAGTGACTCATCTCCAGTAGGTCTGGCCCCTCATGGATCACTTGCTGATACTAAAGGCCTCCACCTCCCCACATCTGACTATGTCTCCCTCCTCTCCAGGGTTCCCCCCCCCAAGCAATCTGAGACTATGCCTATGTGAAGCTAACTTCTCCACCGCCCTCTTCATGCCTCTCCTGATTCTGGGAGACCAGAAGGGAGGAGAAATTGTTGCAGCAGGAGGGGGAGACCCCGTGCCTCTTCACCAGGTGGACTCATCTCTGCCTCTTGGCTTCCCTCCTCTCCTTGTTTCAGCTTCTGCCTCTGATTCTGGACTTCTCCTCTCTGCCACAGACTTTCCCAGCTTGCTAAACCCTGTTACCTCTTCCGCTTCCGACACCTCCTCTTCCAAGTCTCCTCCCTCTTACCAGCCATGTTGGCCCACCACCAGTCCCTGGGCTCTGAGCCGTCTTCCCTTGATGGTTCCCCAGCTGGTTCCTCCCATCATTCCTCTGCATCCAACCAGTTCATGGCATCATTCATCAGGCAGAAGATCACATTTGGGGTTTGGAGGAAACAGGTGGAGCCCAGCGGGTCAGGCAAGTCTCCTGCCAGGGCCAGGCAGGGTGGGCACAGGAGGATGAGTTGTGTCCCCTTCCTCTATTAGGGGGTGGGGGCAAATGCAGCAGGCGGCAAGAATGTCGAGAGAAGGGGGGGGCGTGCTTGTCTGCTGCCGAGAAAGCACCCAAGTCTTGTGGCGCCTCAGGTTCCCACAGATTTAATGTGACAGAACCTTTCGTGGAGTTCCCCGGAAGCATCAGCTGCATTTCCAGCTGGCAGGGAATTTAATCATTTTACATTGTTTTGTATGATTTGTGGTATTTTATGTACTGTATTGTGATTTGCTCCTATTTTTATCGATTATAGATGAATAATTCTTTATTGTAATTGATAAGTGTAAACTATTTATTACTTGCGGACGTTCAATTTCAGTGTTTACTATTGGATTCTAATGCATTATTGCATACGGCTTTATTTGGTATAAGTTGTTTATTTTAAAGTTATTGTGACTTTTAATATAGGATCCGATTGTTACTATTAATGTTTGTTATTATTATTAGTGTTGGAAGCTGCCCAACCCAGCCAGATGGGCAGGGTATGTATGTATGTATGTATGTATAAATAAAGAAATAAATGTGGGTGCAAAACCTCCTCTGCCATGGGGGCCACAAAATGCCAAAGAGCAGCTCTGGGTGATGATGTCCCTAGCTTTGGGATGCTTTTTTTCTTTTTTTAAAAAAGATCTAATTTGTTGCTTTTTCACATCCAATAAACGTAAGATAAAATGCAATCAACTAACCTGTCATTTCTTTACCTGCCTTCAGGTGCCAGGCAAAAACTCTTCTCCCGGGCCTTTGGCCTCTTAAACTGTGCGTGTCTAGGGAGGGGCTGGTCTTGTGTGTTCTTGCTTTGCGTGATGGTGCTTTGCATTTGTGTTTCCATACTGCATACCAACCTGCAATCCTCGCCTGAAGGGCTGCATCTAAAATATTATTATTATTATTTAGAAGACATCTGAAGGGAATTTTTTTAATGACTGATGTTTTAATATATTTTTAATCTTTTGTTGGAAGCCGCCCAGAGTGGCTGGGGAAACCCAGCCAGATAGGCAGGGTAGAAAATAATAATAATAATAATAATAATAATAATAATAATAATAATTTGTGTTGGCAGCTGCCCAGAGTGGCTGGGGCAACCCAGCCAGATGGGCGGGGTAGAAATCATAAATTACTCTTATTCTTATTGACTAACCATGGGGAGTTCTTGGGAAATCCGCTTCAAGCTCGCTCAGCCCCCTCCCCACTCTCTGGACTACCACTCCCGGCGTGCCTTGCCCCCAGCCGCGCTGGCCGACGGGAGTCGTAGTCCAGAGGGCGGGGACCGCGCATGCTCCTCCGGCGAGCCACGTGACCCCTGGCGCCTGCGCGGTGGCTGGGTGGCTCGGCGGGCGAGGATGGGCGAGAGCTCGAGCCCCATCAGCGTCATCCTGGTCAGCTCCGGCAGCCGCGGGAACAAGCTGCTCTTCCGCTTCCCCTTCCAGAGGGGGCCCGGCAGCCCCGCCGCCCACACCGGTGAGGAGGAGCCGCTGCCCGGGACCCCGCGCGCCCGCGTTCACACGTGCACCACAAGCACACGCGACACCCTGACACGCGAGTGGGAAAACGGGGGGGGGGCTGGGGGCGACGCGGGAGGGGAGCCTCCTCCCTGAGAAGAGGTCTGGGGGGGGCACACAGCATCTGCCAGGGAGGATTTGGCTGGGGTCAGACTAGATGACCCTAGGGTCCCCTCCGACTCTACAGTTCTGGGATTCCGTGGAAAGGAGGGACCTTCCCACCCAGGGCAGAATGGTCACTCTGCTCCCACAAGGAGCGGCCACGGCCACCGGCTTGGGGGCGCTGCAACTGTGATTCAGAATGGGGCGCGAGAGGTGGGGGCATTGTATGGGGCACGGCTGAAATTCCAGACCGCCCAGGTCTCCTTTCTGCCCCACCTGCCTGCCTCCCCCCCCCCAAAGAGTGCCAACACGCTGCTAAGCTCCAGCAGCTCTGCCCTTGAACGCAGCAGGGCAGAAGGGGGCAAACTGAGAAGGAGCTGGCTGTGCCCCCCCCACAGCCTCCTTCCTGCCCCTCTGCCACTCCCAAAGGGCACCAGCCGCCCCTGGTCCTGCCCCCGCTGCCTGAGGCAGCCTCCTTCCCAATCCGGCTGCTGCGCCCAGGTCCTGCTCGCTGGAAGACGCAGGAAGGGAGAGGGCTGTGGGGCCCAAGTCCTGCCCTGGGGGCTCTGCCTTGAGGCATCTGCCCCCCAGCAATACACACATGGCCGCTCCGTGTCCGGCAGCTGGCCAGTTGGCCATTATACTCTCTTCTCTTCCCCCTTGGGAAAAGGATCTTGGGAGGGCAGTTCCCCAGCTGAGGAGCACCCAGGGACAAGAAGAGTGTAATAAAAGCCTGGGTTGCTGGATCAGGCCCAAAGGGGCCCCTCAGAGCCTGGAATCCTCCCCGCAGCCAACCAGATGTCCCCTTTGGGCCCTCGCCTGCCTCCTGACATGCCCTTTCCCTTCCAGCTGAGCTCTGATAGGCATCTCAGTTGATTCTTGAGATCAACCGTACGTTGGGCTCAAGCCATGAGGTCCAAAGCGGCAACTTGAATTGTGCCACAGGCTCCCATTTCATATATAGCTCAGTCTGGATAGTTGGCCTAGGTGAAGATTTGACGTTTATATCGCAAAAAGGTTTTTGATTTGCGTTTCTACTGAAACGAGGCTGCATTTTAATGTTGTATTTTAATCTTGTTTTTAAGTTGTATTTTAATCAATTATTTTTATACCTGGTGTTAGCCGCCGGAGCCCGGTCTTGGCTGGGGAGGGCAGAGTATAAATAAAATTTATTATTATTGTTATCATTATGATGATTATTATTTGCTAAGAATTAGGTGGAAGAGGTTTCTGCTCTAACCCAAACCTCTCCGGCCTTCTGGCCTTCCCCCCTTTTCCTTTCCTAGGGAAACCGAGAAGCAGGTATGCCGTGAACAGTCTGGGCGACGGCGTCGAAGACCCAGATGGAGACTCCAGGTACGTAGGGCTCCTGTTCCCTTGAGCGCCAGCCCTCCTGCTGGTTGTCATGGGTTTGTGTAGAGAGCGTAAAAGACACCTTTGCACCTGGAACCTCACCAGGTGGGATGTGCTGGAGTCCCAGAGCTCTGGCATGTAGGGCAAAAGGGGCGTTGGCTGGCTGGCTTGGGGCTGCTTGGATCCTGATCAAAGCGGACCCTGACCATCGCGGCTGGGGTGGGGGTCACCTGTGGCTCCGCAGGTGTGGCAGGGAGGTGTGGCTTTTAATGCCGGGGTGTCTACCTTGACTTATGAAAGAGGTCTCTAGCCAACCCAGGCATAAGACTCTTGCATGGGAAGTTCCTGCACAAGCCTTGCTTTATTATTTATTCATTTATCCATTCGTATATCGCCCTTCATCCGAGGATCACAGAGTGGTTTACATTATAAAAACACTAAAATGCATAGCGCAGTAACCAACAAAAACAATTACCCCCTCTCTCCGGTTTCAAAGGCCATAGATTGTTCAATTGGCCCTGGGAAAAGAGGAATGTTTTTGCCCAGCACCTAAAGATGCGTTGGTTGTTTGGTCCAAAAGAGAGCTGAGTTTCCTCTTTCCAGAAAACCAGAAAGTCATTGCAGTGGGCAGGCCAGAAATGTTCCCCTGAACCCTGATGCTTCCAGATAAAATAACATGAAAAGGCAATAAGGGTCTTCCTCTCTCACTTCCCCTTGAATTGGCAGCCAGGGAGTTTCCAGGTGAGCAGCAGGATGAGCCTCCCGTCTCCGCCTGGGCTGAATCAGGCCTCTGGGGCTTGTACTTGGTCACGTTTGTGATCGCAGTTCCCCAGTCATGCCGGGGCTGTGCTCACCTTCAGCGTGGGGCGGGGGGCATATCTGAAGGGGGCATCTTGGGGAGAAGAGGAGCATTGGTGGCAGGAAAGGGGCAGGACGGGGTTGGGGGGCTCCTGGAGCCCCTGATGCAGCAGCTCCCCTGGCTCCACTGATGGGGGATAGGGATAGGCTTGTGGGGGTTGCTGAATCCTGCTGCAGAGGCTGCCTCTTGCACAGGACATTATTATTATTATTATTATTATTATTTATACCCCACCCTCCCCAGCCAGAGCCGGGCTCAGGGCAGCTAACACCAATAAAATTACAGTAAAAATATAATAAAGGTAAAGGTACCCCTGCCCGTATGGGCCAGTCTTGACAGACTCTAGGCTTGTGCGCTCATCTCACTCTAGAGGCCGGGAGCCAGCGCTGTCCGCAGACACTTCCGGGTCACGTGGCCAGCGTGACGAAGCTGCTCTGGCGAACCAGCACCAGAGCAGCACACGGAAACACCGTTTTCCTTCCCGCTAGTAAGCAAAAACCAATTTAAAACCAATTTAAGATACAGGTTAAAATGCAATTTAAAATGCAGCCTCATTTTAAGAGTAGCCCATAAATCAAAACCAAAACCATAAGGGAAGGGAAACATAAGGGTCAGACTGAGTCCAAACCAAAGGCCAGGCGGATCAGCTCCATCTTGCAGGTCCTGCGGAAAGATAGGCATGAAGGTTGCTGCCACTGTTCTGGGATAGCACAGCCTGTCAGTGTGGGGAGACAGTGCCCCCTTGGGGGCCTTCATCTGCTGGGCAGTGATGCCCACCCATGGCATGGGCGGGGTTGCCTCCTGTGGCCCGAGGGTAAGGGGTGCCTAATAATAATAATAATAATAATAATTTATTATTTATTCCCCAGCCACTCTGGGCGCCTTCCAGCAGAATATTAAAATACAATGATTCATCAAACATTAAAAGCTTCCCTAAACAGGGTTGCTTTCAGATGTCTTTTAAAGATAAGGTAGCTGCTTATTTCCTTGACATCTGGTGGGAGGGCGTTCCACAGGGCGGGCGCCACCACTGAGAAGGCCCTCTGCCTGATTCCCTGTAACCTCACTTCTCACAGGGAGGGAATCCCCAGAAGGCCCTCGGAGCTGGACCTCACGGCTTTAAAGGGCTTTAAAGGTCAGCAGCAGCACTTTGAATTGTGCCCAGAAACATCTTTCAGGACGGGTGTTGTGGTCTCAGCAGCCACTCCCAGTCCCCATTCTAACCCCAGCCAGGCTTTCAGGGTGTGTTTCTCCCTTGAGGCGCTAGGCAAGGGCTCGTTCTCCAAGGAGCCTTTATTTATTTCAATATGTGGACAGTCCCCTAACCTCCAGCTGCCCAGTTTTGCAGCGTTGACGTTTTTGTGCCTTGCGTGACTTTGCCTGGTTGATTCTTGTGTTCTGTTTCCGCGTGGTGCTCATAGCCCCTGTTCCTGTTTTCAGAGAGCCCTGTCCGCTCACTGATGAGCAGGTGGTGTCGGGGTAAGACCAAACCTTCTCCGCCAGCAGCGCCTCTCTCTCTCTCTCGAATGGCTTCCCTGTCTCCACCATCTTCTCCTTCTCCTCGCACTTTGTTGCTCACTTCTCTTTCCCACCAAGCTGCAAATGTCACGGAACCACACGCTGGTACGCAGGGAGGCCGGCAAAGGGCCTGAGAAACAGGCAGGTCAGCCAGGAAGGAAATTGTTGCTCAGGGTCCCAGACCCCAAGGGCAGGGCTGGGGGGGAGAGACCCCCTGTGCCTGACACCCCTGGACTACACGGCCCATCAGTCTGACCCAGGAGAAGGCTGTTGCCTGCGTTTCTGAAGGCCTTTCTGCCCCATAGCTGGAAGAAACAGCTACGCTGTGCTTTGCAGTGAGTGGGGAACTGATTTTTCCACGGAGACAAAAAGGTCATGTTTTCCCTCTGAAGGCATTTGGGGGACACACTTGTCTGAAGACTGGCTGCTCTGCTCCAGTATGCAGGATGCAAGCTGACCGGCCTGCAATGCAGACAGTGTGAGGCTCCTGTCGCCCTCCTTTTGCCTCTTCGTGACAAATGGTCCTGGCTCCCCCCCCCCCCCGGGGGTCCTCAGTTCCAGCAGACTTGCACAGGCCCCAGCCCCTGTGAGGGAAGCCCCTACCGAGGGGGAAGCTCAGAGGGACACAGTGCAGGTTTGGCCCAGCCTCCCGTTTCAGAGACTCAGTGAGGGTTGCAGCTGTGGACCTCCGTCAGGGTAGGGTGGCTGGGAGTTGACTGAGCGGCGCTCCTGCGTGTGCCACGCGGCTTTTGACCTGGGCCCCCCGAAGCGGCCCCCGGCCCCGTCTGCATTCCCTCTGCCGCTGGGGGAGGCTGCCTCCCAGTGCTCAGAGCAATGGGGCATCCTTCAGGGCTGTGGGGCTGGAGCAGCCCAGGAGGTTTTTGCTCCCTAGCCCCCCTGGCCGCCCTGTTCTGAACAGCTTCTCAATAAGCTGATGGCTTGATGGCTGCTGTCTCAGAGCACTGCCTGCCCTGAAGATGCTTGTTTAAAATAAAATACTTTGTGTGCCTTTAAAGCAGGTTTGCCTTTCTGTAGCTGCTCAAAGAGGCCGTCAAGTGGATTAAAACAAAGTCTCCAGCTCTGAATAAGCAGATGAGCTCTTAACAATAGTGGGAGGTGGGGAAGGGAGCAATATTCTCCTCTGCAACCCAAGAAACCTTTTTTTTTTTTTTAGTTCAGTCACTTTGGTTCTCTGCTTTCAGAGAAAGGTTGGGGGTAGGCGCCCCCAATGCACAATTGCTACTCCTCTGAAAAGCCGCTCATTTACTCATTTACAAAGTTTTTGGGCTTCCCGTTGCCAGAACAGAGGAGTGGAAGTGATCTGTGCGCCCCAGATTTCAAGTTTGGCTTCAAGTATTTTCTCAATTTCCAGAGGGGTCTCAGCAGCCGTGTGATTACGGTTGCAGCAAAAGCGGCAGGGAGTCTTTTCTGGGTGGTAGCATAGGAAAGGCACTGTGGTTCTCCAGCGGTTTGACTTTTCACCTCCAGAGGCACACTCCATTGTCCCTCGAGACAGATGGAGGCCATCAAGTGTTTGGAAACGGAGGCCAAAGCAGAATTTGCCCGTTTTCCAGATGTAACAAGACTTTGTTGAGCTTCTTGCTGTAGCCACTTCTCCACTCGCTCCCGGGTCATATTTCCATGCAGTCTTGTTCCCCCCACAGCAGGCCTGCTGTCTTCTCTGATGCCTCTGGTTTTGTGCATGGACTCCCTCGGCTGCGTTGTGCAGCCTACTTGATCACTTCTGCCGGGGCCGATAAGCTGGCAATCTCTCCCGGCCACGGCCCCTGCAGCTGCTGCCTGCACCCAGGGCAGGGTAATCTTTCTGGGTGAAGCTGAAGGGCAAAGAGGGCCATAGGGCACAGCTTGTTCCAGGCCTCACTGTCTCCCTGGCGCCCGGAAGTTGGCCTCCTGGCAGCTGTGAGATGGGAGAGCAGCAGGCAAGACCCCCGTTGACCAGGCAGGTTTGCTGCTTCTGCCCGCAGAGCTAGTTTCTTTTTGAGTCATCCAGGCAGATGCTGACGTGCCACCTTTACAGTTTCATGCCTTTTCCCCAAAGCTGAGCAAGCAGCAGCTTTGCAGAATATCCCCTTTGGTGGAGAGATGTTGGAAGGTTCATAGAGTCGTAGAGTGGGAAGGGACCCCCAAGGGGCCATTTAGTCCACCCCCTGCAATGCAGGACTCAAACATCCCTGACAGATGGCCATCTGGGACAGACAAAAGGAAGTCCTTCCCCGCCCCCCCCTCCAAAAAACCTGCCCTTCTTCAGAGAGGATCCTTCCTTCTGGGGAACTTCAGGACTTTGCAGGCCACACATTTCCCTCCCTTTCCTGATGAACTTTGCCCATGCATAAATGCATCTTTTCCTCGACAGAAGGAAATCTGGGACACCGGCAGGGGGAGGAGGGCTTCTGAGTTTGGCCCTGGCCTGTGGCTCCCAGCTGCAGACGGGCCCTTCTGGCCCCCCCAAGACCTAAAGCTCTGGCGTCTCTGGGAGGGGGCCCTGGGGCTCAGCTGCTCCCCCCGCAAACACGCCTGAGGCAGGGAGCAGAGCTGGGCACACCTGCCCCTTTGGCCCAGGGAGCCCTTTTTCACAGGGATGGGCAGTCGGTGGCCCCCCCAGGTGGTGCTGGCACCCCTGACCATCGGAAGGCGCACAGCTGCCTCCTGGTCCCCTGCTCTGGAGCAAAGCCCCATTGCGCTGCCTGTCCTCAAGCGACCTGTCCGCCACACCTTGCTGCTTAGGGGAACCTCACCTGTCCGGCGCCTGCAAACTCTGCCTAATCTTTCCTCCTGAGAGCTTGTCATTAACAAAAGTTGCATGAGCCTCTGACGCTTTCCCTCTCGATATAATTCTGATGATTTGAAAGACGGTGATCTTTGCGGCATCTTAATTTCCCCCACCTGATGGACTCCAAGGTGCCCCAATGTCTCGTGGGTGTGTGTGTGTGTGTGTGTGTGTGTGTAGACTTAATGGTGACACAATGCATACCAATTCATCCCGCCTCCGGGACGGTGTGGGGCCTGCGCAAGTGCGTTTCTGATGCCCGTTTCTGCTCCCGAAGGTTCTCAGACGTCATCCTGGCAACGATCCTGGCTACCAAATCGGACATGTGCGGCAAGAAGTTTGAGCTGAAGATCGACAACGTCCGTTTCGTGGGACACCCCACCCTGGTTCAGCACGCCTTTGGGCAGGTAGGCCCCGCGGGCGCCAGGGCAGCCTGGGCACAGCCTGTGAGTTGGGTCCCTCTGCTGCCCCGGCCCCTTTCCTGATGGCTCAGCTGGCCAGTGGTGGGCTGGGAGGGGGAGCTCGGAGCAGCCCTGGAGCAGGCCTGGGGGGCCAGCTGCAGTCGCCCAGTGCCGTCCAGCCAGATTGCCCCCCAGGTGCCCCCTCTCACGCTCTGCTTTTGGGCCTGCTGGCCGGCCCCCAGGTGGCCCTTTCTCCCTCCATAGCATCATTCAGTCCTTGCCCTGACATCACCTCCTCTCCTCTCTGGGGAGCTGAACCCTTTCCGGCTCTCCTTCCAGGGGGGAGTTGTGTTTCCACGCTTGCACTGCACTACCCTGACCCGTGTGGGTGCTTTCCTGGGACCTGTGTCTGCCTCGACTTCTGAACTGGCCTGCCAAATTTGGAGGGGTGCTGAGTTCGATCACGAGGAGTCGGACTGGTACCCCACAGTTTGTAATGCGGCTGCTGGGGGTCTCGGAAGCTGAGCCAGAGCACAGGGACAGAGGAAGCTGCCTTGTTCAGACCCTTGGTCCATCTAACCCTATAATGCCCGCACTGACTGGCAGCAGCAGCAGCAGCTCCCTGGGGTTTCAGGCAGGAGTCTCTCCCAGTCCTCCCTGGAGGTCATGCCAGTGGGGGTTGAACCTGGGACTTCTGCATGCCCAGCAGCTGCTCTGCCACTGACCCTTGGAGCGCTCTAGGAAAGGCCCGGCCAGGTGGTTTCCATATTTCCCCCCTTAAAAACAACAGCTCTGCTCTTAGTGGGGGGGGGGGACTGCACAGTTCAGAGTTGGAGAGCCTCCTGGGCAGGGGTCTCCTTGGTCCTTGTCCTGCAGCCGCCCTTGGGGTGGAGACATGGGTGCCAAAGGGGGGGTCTCAGTCTTCCGGCTCTCCTGCGCCTCCTTGTGGTGACATGCAGACCCTGCAAAGTCCTTTGGCAGCTGCTGCAAACTTTGCTGGGCTTCTCGCATCTCCCTTCTGTTTGTGAAGCCCAGAGAGTCCTTCAAAATGAGGTGGGAGGGCTGGTGGCGGCTAGGGCTCTGCATATGCTCAGAGGCACTTGCCCGCCCCTGTCCCTGAGCACTGGGAAGAGGTGCCGAGCCTCTGATTGGATCAGGCCTCTAGTAGGCTAATGTTCGTGGGCACAAACCCCATGCAGGCCAGGGGAGGGAGCAGCAGTAATAATAATAATAATAATAATAATAATAATAATAATAATAATTTATACCCCACTCTGGGCAGCTTCCAACAGAATATTAAAAACACAATAAAACATCAAACATTAAAAAGCTTCCCTAAATAGGGCTGCCTTCAGATGTCTTCTAAAAGTCAGGTTGTTGTTTATTTCCTTGACATCTGATGGGAGGGCGTTCCACAGGGCGGGCGCCACCACCGAGAAGGCCCTCTGCCTGGTTCCCTGTAACTTTGCTTCTCGCAGTGAGGGAACCGCCAGAAGGCCCTCGGAGCTGGACCTCAGTGTCTGGGTGGAGCGATGGGGGTGGAGATGGGAGGGGGGGTCTCCCTTCTCCCTGGCAACCCCTGTTCCTTTTCTTTGGTTTCTTCCTTGCCTCCAGGCTGCCTCCTCCACACAAGCCCAGGGAGGGGCCACAGCCAGTGGGAAGGAAGACCAGGCTAGCAAGCTTTGTGGCTTTATTTGAATGATGGATTGACTCCATCTCTGCCTCGCCTTTTCCTCCAAGGAGGGGGCCTGTGTGGTTCTCTCCCCACCTGCTCATTTAATCCCCACAACGACCCTGTGGGGTAGGGGGGGCTGAGAAGCAGGGACTGGTGGGAGGGAGAGCCTACCTGAAGCCCTGCCACCTGGACCAGCCGCCTGATTCCCTAGTGTACAGCAGCTTACGCCCCGTGAGGGTGAGGTAGTCCTGCAGCCCCCCCAGCCCCCCCAAGACCCTCCTTGCCAGAGGCTGCCCCCTCCCCTCTCTTGGCTGCCCCCTTAAAAGTCCGGCTTGCTTTGCAGATCTCCAAGACAGACCCCTCCCCAAAGCGGGAGATGCCCACCATGATCCTCTTCAATGTCGTCTTCGCCTTGAGGGTAAGGACCTCCCTGCCTCCGGGTTCTGAGCAGCCAGGTCAGGGGGCACCTGCCGTTTCCTGGGGGTCAGAGCCCAGGCGTGGGGGTCACCCCACATGTGCTGCAAAGTCCAGTGAGAATGTGGGGCTGGCTTGGGGGGGGGTGCAGCAGGCCCCTTGGCTCTTCTGCAGGGATGTGTGCCATCGAGGGTCTCCAGGCTGCTTGGGGGAGCCTGATGGGGGGGGCCCACCCCAGGAAAGGCTTTGGAGCCTTCCTTGCTTCTGCCACCCCCCAAGGGCCTGCCTGGGGTTTGGGTGGGGCAGGCGGGTGGGGCAGGCAGAGGCCCCGGCCTGGTAATCAGCGGAGGAGCAGCTCTGTGACTCAGCAAGAGCTCTGAAAGCTGAGTCACGGTTTGCGGACCAGGGTGGCAAGCATTATCGGCAGCCCGGCCCTCCTTAACTGGGGCTTGGCAGCCGCCTTCCAGCCCCCTCCGGCTTGCCTCTCCAGCCCCACCTTGCCAGCTGCGTGGGGCTGATAGCAGCCTCCACCTGTGGGTTAGGGGGAGGCCTGAGCAAGCACCTTCGTGGTCTCAGGGATGGGAGCTCTCAGGGTGGACAGCAATGGGGAGGCCCTTTGGCCGGTAGCCCAGGCAGTGGCCTGTGGGTCAGGGACCCAGCTCCCACCTCCCCGAGGCTGAGGGCAGGCAGGGGGGTTGCACAGCTGGTCTGCTCTGGTCTGCCCTCCCTCAGGACTGGGTCGCCTTGGGGGGGCCCAGAGAAATGGCTGGCCCACAGCAGGTGGGGCTAAGGGGCAGCCGCCATGATGTAGCAAAACAGGAGCATCACTGGGAGCTTCAGGGCAGATCAAAGAAAGTCATCTTTAAGGCAGGACAGAGTCAACTATGGAACTCACTGCCACAAGCTTTCAAAGAGGATTGGACAAATTCCTGGAGGAGGAGAGGGCTTCTCATGGCCCCTAGCTCTGCCATGTTCCTGAATCCTGAAGAAGAGGGCTCTTGGGCCCTGATCCTGCTTGCTGGTTCCCCACAAGCGCCTGGTGCCACTGTGAGGGTAAAATCCTGGACTAGATGGGCCGTGGGCCTGATCCTGCAGTTTTAGTGTTTTTTGGCTTTTTTGCCAAATACAATTAAGCAAGTAAACATGCTTAATTAGATCATGTTGTGGGGCATCTGAAAGCTTTTTTTTTATTTTGACTATCTGCAAATTTATTTGTTATTTCAAATTAAAATTTTACAGGTATATATATCAAACATAAATCATACAAACAAGATCCCAAGGAATCTCCTTGACTTCCATCCTCCCCTTTGTGGGTCCTAATTTAATCATTTCCTCCATCTTTTTTGATGATCCGAATCTTTTACTTCTCCATTGTGTCCAAAATTTGCCCTTAAACTACAAGTGATATTCCAGTCCTACTAATGATTTTAACTCTTTACAATGGTCTCTCCCCATTCCTCATTAAATATGTTGTCTTCCTGATTTCTGATTCTTCTGGTCATTTTGGCCATTGCAGCATAGTCCATCAACTTCACCTGCCATTCTTCTCTCGCCTTCTTCCCATCTCTTGTCTTCTTGAAGAGAACCAGGCAGATGGGTTAATTTGCAGCTAAAAGGACCCAAAGGTTCTGACAGGCTTTTGCGCACATAAATGTGAAAACCCCAAAACAGAGCCAGTCCTGGGCTCCAGGCCATGGCTTCCCCCAAGTCCTCTGGCTGAGCTGGTTGGGCCCCTTCTGTCCTGCGGCCAGACTGCCCTGCCTGCCCCCTTCCCAGCCACCTCTCTCCCCCCGTCTCCCCCTTAGGCCACCGCGGACCCCTCAGTCATCAGCTGCCTGCACAATCTCTCTCGCCGCATCGCCATTGTCCTCCAGCATGAGGAGCGCCGCTGCCAGTACCTCACGCGAGAGGCCAAGCTCATCCTGGCCATTCAGGACGAAGCCTCTGCCATCTCGGAAAGTGAGTCCGGCCGGATCCGGGGGCCGCAGGGAGCCCTTCTCCTGCTTGCCCCCCACCCTCAGGCCAGGCATCTGTCTGGCCCTCGTGGGCTCAGCTGGGGGGGTGGGGGCTTTATTATTATTGAGTTATTAGATTTGTATCCCGCCCTTCACCCAAAGATCACAGGGTGGTTCACAACACAAAAACGCCCTGCCTGCTGTTCGTGGCACTTCCAGCGGCCATGGGGGGGGTTGGCATGTCCATTTGGAGCTGGGGGGGGTGAGGAGGTTTCCTGGGGAAGCCCTTTGAAGGCCCCGGAAGCCACACCTGGCTGTTGTTCCCCTCCTCCAGCGCCTGAAGGGCCCCAGTCGCCTTTCCTCCACATCCTCCCCAAGTGCAAGCTGGCCAGAGACCTGAAGGAGGCTTACGACAGGTAAGCAGAGGCGGGTGGCCGTCTGTCAGTTATGTAAGGAGTCTCACCGTGGCATTCTGCCCCCGCTGGAGTTTCTGGGTCAGTCTCAAGGGCTGCCTGCCTGGGCCTTTTTGCAGCTTTCCCAGCTCTGCAATACCCTTTTTGCGGTGAGGCAGCTAGAACTGCGCTCAGTGTCCTAAGCACAGGTCACTCCCTCCCTCTCTGCAGTGACGGCTGCTGCTGTGGGTCTCCCCTGACAATGCCAGGTTCCAGATCCTTCTGATCTTGGACGAATCCTGCTGCTTGCTTGGGTCAGGCTCACAGCTGCCCAGCGCCACCTGGCGGCCATCGACGGGGCTGCAGAGGGAGCTGCGGCTGGTGGCTCCTGTTCTGTATTATAAAAATTCAGCCAAACCTCGGTTGTCGAATGTAATCCATTCCGGAAGACGGTTCGACTTCTGAAACGTTCGACAACCGAGGCGCAGCTTCTGATCAGTTGCAAGAGCTTCTTGCACTCAAGCAGGAGCTGCGTCGGACGTTTGGGTTCCAAAAAACGTTCAAAAGCCCGGAGCATTTATTTCTGGGTTTCCTGCATTTGGGAGCCAAAACGTTCGAAAATTGAGCCGTTCAAGAGCTGAGGTTTGGCTGTAACAGTTTTATTATTTGTACCCCTCCCACCTGACAGAGTTGCCCCAGCTGCCTTTGGCCCAGCCAGCGTGAGAGAGGGGGGCTGTTCCTTTGAGTCGAGGGTCAAGCCCTTTGTCGAGGGGGCCTGCGGCTCAGTCCCTGCCAGGGCTGGGGGCTCTGGGCCACGCGGCCTCTTCCACCTGCTCTCTGTCCCCCGCAGCCTCTGCACGACAGGCGTGGTCCAGCTGCACATCAACAACTGGCTGGAAGTGAGCTTCTGCCTGCCCCACAAAATCCACTACGCTGCCTCTCGCTTCATCCCTCCGGAAGCCATTGAGAGGAGCCTCAAGGCCATTCGGTAAAGACCGGGTTGTAATAAAATGGGGGGGGGGTGTTGTGCTGCTTCCTGGTCCCGGAGCGCGTCTGGATCTGTGCTTTGGGGGGCAGTGGGGTGTCTCTGCGATGCAGGAGGGTTTGCCTAGATGACCCTGGGGAGCCCCTTGCAGCCCTGCAATGCCGCGAGTGTCTGTGTGCCCCCGTCTCCCCCCCCGCTCAGGCCGTACCACGCCTTGCTGCTGCTGAAGGACGAGAAGGCGCTTCTGAGCGAGCTGCCGCTGGACTGCTCCCCCGCCCTGGTGCGCGTGGTCAGGACCACCTCGGCCGTCAAGAACCTCCAGCAGCTGGCCCAGGACGCCGACCTGGCGCTGCTGCAGGTGAGGGGGAAGGGGGGGATGTCCTAAGACTCTGGGGGCTGCCGGCAGAAGCGCCACCCGCTCCTCCATTCTGGGCTGGGTCCAGCAAGGCCTCCAGCCTGCTCCCTGGCCAAAGGGACTCTCCGCTTTGACTGCCGTTATCCCTGCATTGCAGAGGGGGTCCTTTCCAACGCTGTGGTTCTGTGAACGCCCCCCTCCCTGGATGCCCCAGTGGTAATCCCAGGGGCCTCGGAGGCCACTGAGGCAGCAGCTGCTCTTCCCCACCTTCTGCTCTGTGTCTCCCTCAGGACTAGTAGCTCAGATGCCACTGTTGCCCGGAGAGGTTGGCACCTCGACTGAGAGGCTTCCCCCCCCCCAAGCCCAGAGCAGTATCTCCTCCTCTGACCCCGGTCGGCACCCACTGCTGCCCCTCCCTCGCTGCTGCTGTTTCTTCTGTGGGGCTGGGGGAGGCTCTGTTCTTGGCCTGGAGCAACGCCTCTTACCTGGCTATCTGGAAAATGGGGAGGGACGTTGCTCAGCCCCCTCCTCACTCAGGGGGCCTTGGGCCAACTCTCCTCAAAAGTGGAGCCGGTGTCCCCAAGTCGACAAGTGAGAAAAGCAGGTGGGACCCAGGAGATTCCCATGGGGGGGGCTCTTTTGTGGCTGGAGGAGAGGCCAGGCAGTTTCTGAGAAAAAGGGAGACTCCCTAGATGTGACCCCGATCCAGGCCTTTTCTCCCTGGCGAAGCAGCTTCCTCCTGCCGCTTGGGCCCAGGAACCTGGGGAGGTTCTGCTGGTGCCGAGTGCGAGTCTTCCCCTTCCCTCCCTGTGGCAGGTGTTCCAGCTGGCAGCACACCTGGTCTACTGGGGGAAGGCCATCATCGTCTACCCGCTGTGCGAGAACAACGTCTACATGCTGTCTCCCAGTGCCAGCGTCTGCCTGTAAGTCTCTGGGCATCCAGCTCTGCCGAGTGCGAAGCAACTCACACCTGTCCCCTCCCCTCCCCTGATGCTGGCCTCTGGGGAGGCTGGGGGGCTCATGCAGAGAGACCCCCCTGACCTCCTGCCTGCTCTGCCTCTCCCCCCACAGCTACTCCCCTCTGGCGGACGACTTTGCCTGCCAGTTCCCCGGCCACGACCTGCCTTCCGTCCTCTCCAAGTTCTCCTTGCCGGTGTCCCTGTCGGAGTTCAAGGACCCCCTGGCTCCCCCCGTGCAGGAGGTAAGCTGCCCCTGGCACCCCTCACCCAGCTGGTCCCTGGGCAGCCCCCGGGGGGTGGCGTGTGGCACCCCACTGAGCCCCTCTTTGCCTCCCCCCCCCGCCAGACCCAGCTCATCCAAATGGTCGTCTGGATGCTCCAACACCGACTGCTCATCCAGCTGCACACCTACGCCTGCCTGATGGTGCCCCCCAAGGAAGAGGACGTCCGGCCCCGGGCGGAGGAGATGCCCCTGGCGGCCAGAGTCGGGGGGCGCAGCCTCAGCACCCCCAACGCCCTCAGCTTTGGCTCCCCAAGTAGGTGGTGTGTGTGTGTCTTTTGGAGCCCTGCTGCGAAGGGGTCTGGGTCACTGAGTCTGTCTCCATCTTACCTTTTGCCAGATGCTCCAGATGTTTTTCCCATCATACTTCTGGGCATAATAGGCTTTACTGTTTTTATTTAGTTACCTTTATACGCAATATGGAAAAAAATGGAAAATGAGAACACAAAATGCATAACCTAATAACAAATACCCCGAAAAGCTGCAAAGTCCCCCTCCACAAACATAAGCCGTAGATTTTTTTCATCAGTCTAAGGCCTGGTTGAAGAGGGGTGGCAGTGGCAGCTGGGGGGGGGGGGAGCCCTGAGCATTGCTCTCTCCACAAGAGGCACATGCATGCATGCTCTGCCCAGGCTGCTCTTTGCGTCTCTCCCCCTTTGCTTTGGGGGCCTGGGGGCCCTCTCGTGACGGGCCCCAAGTGACAGGACAAGCGCCTGCCTCTGCTGGGTGTGTGTGAGAGAGGGTGCGCATGAGCCCCGTGGGCAAGGGGGCAGCCGAGGGGGGCGGCCCGCTCCACGCTCCCTTGCGTCTTTGTCCCCCCCTAGCCAGCAGCGACGACATGACGCTCACCAGCCCCAGCATGGACAACTCCAGCGCAGAGCTGCTGCCCGGAGGGGACTCCCCTGTGAACAAGCGCATGACCGAGAACCTGCTGACCAGCCTCCCGGAGCACGAGCGAGAGGCCATCCTCAGCGTCCCAGCCGCCCACAACCCCGAGGACCTGCGCACATTTGCCAGGTAGGCAGGGAGGGGGGCAGCTGCCTTCAAAGAAGGAAAGGGCCGGGTGGGGCGATGGCTGATTCTGCGAAGAAGGCAGAAGCCGAACTGCAGGAGTCCGTAGGGCGGCCCCAGCCAGGATTTTAGTTAGGGGGGCAGAACCAGTGTGATTTGTCAGTTAGTTAAGTATTTCTGTTGTTTTACTTGATCTGCCCCCCCTCTCCTGGCTACACCCATGGCTTCTGTAATTTGAAGACCATTTCTGAAGGAGACCCTAAAGCTCACAATGAGCAGCTGAGATGAGCAGCCCCTGCCCTGTTGGCGCAGGTCGGTTCCAGCCCCTTCAGACCCCCCCTGCCTTTCTGCCCCCTGCACAGGGTGGGGGAGCTGCCCTTCTCCTCCTGACTTCTGGCACCTGCAGCCGTTTCTTCCTTTGGGGGGGGGGAGTTGCTCTGGGAGAGCGGAGAGATCAAGGGGGAGGTTTGGGGGTTGCCCTGCCCGGCCCTTGCAGCTCTCCCGGCTGGGCTGGGGGGTCCTGGGACCAGCGACCGCCCTGTCTCGGGTTTCCCGCTGGGGGCTCCTTGCCCAGGCTGCAGCTGCTGCCCCCTACCTCTGCCCTCCTTCCCCCCCCCCCAGGCTTCTGCACTACTTCCGGGGGCGCCACCACCTGGAGGAGATCATGTACAACGAGAACATGCGCCGCTCACACCTCCTGATGCTCTTTGACAAGTTCCGGGGCGTGCTGGTGGTGACCAACCACGAAGACCCCGTCATCTCCGTCTTCCAGTCCTTCCAGAAGTGAGGAGAGGCAGCCGCTGCCCAGGACTTTGAAGGAGGATTGCTGGCCCTCGGGATGGGGAAAGAAGGCACCCCCTTCTTGCAGCCACATGGGGGGCAAGGAGGGGACTTGGGGGCCTTGTGCACAGACGCCTGATTCGGTCACGCTCCTGGCACTGCCAGGCCTCAGGTGCTCCTTCTGGGCCTCTGCTGACGGCTGCAGACACAGCGATCCATCTGCTGGACACTTCTCTGGGGTGGGGGGGTGTGGAGAGCTGGGGGGGGGGGAACCTGTGTCTTGATAGTTGCAGGCAAGCCTCAGACTGTTCACCTGCCATTGCACAATTACAACCACATGCTGGAAAATGTGAAATCTTTCTCCTCTTAAGTCAGGGAACAAGTCTGTTGTGAAAGTACCGTCTCTCTTCCTCCCTGCCTTGACCCACAGACGTACCTTCCACACTTCTGAAGGGCAGCTGACCACTGGCCTGGCCTCCTCTCTCAGGCCACCTGAACTGGCCGCATCCTGCTTGCTCAGTCAGGTGGCTCCTCTCTCTTCCACAAGGGGCAGGAGCAGGTTTAACAAAGGGAATGGGGGGAGAATTTGTTGGGGTGATTCTGGTACCTCTTCCTAGCAGCGGAGGAACTCTTATCTCCCCACATCGTGGGGGGGGGGGTCTTCCTCCTTCCAATTCTGCATTTTGCAGGCAGCTCCTTCCTTCAATACGCTGCAGGCAGGAAGGCTTTTCCGCAGCCACAACACCAGCCTCAAAGCAAAACAATTATTTTATTATGGAAAGAAATAAATTCACAAGGCTGAAAGAGTCCCGGCCTTCCCTGTTCTTCTCCCCATCCTGGGAAGCCTCCTGACCCCCCAGTTCCTGGGCATCAGCAGCAGGGAGAGGCCTCCGCTGGCAGCCGGCTGCCTCTGGCCCCCTCGGCCGCCTTGTCCGTCACGCTCACGCACGGGTTGCCCCAGACGTAGAAGCGCAGGGGCTGCTGTGCCCACTCGCCGCTGATGCCAATGCGGGGAGCGGAGATGACGTCTTCCTCCCTGGGCACGTCCAGGCCGGGCTCCAGCCACACGGCCGGATGGCAGGCCAGGTCCCGCTGGTCGAAGGTCTTGTCCACAGCCAGGGCCTGGCAGAGCTTGGAAGGCCCGTTGCACAGGTGCCGGTCCTTGAGGGTGCGGGGGGCCCCTTTCCGCTGAGCCAGGCGCAGCTCCCTCATCGCCTCCAGGCCCTGCAGGGGCTCCAAGGAGCGCAGCAGGACAGCCGCCCCATCCCCTGGCGAGAGAGAGAAGGGAGGGGGCAAAGGTCAGGGCAGGCCAATCCCGGCTCAAGGGATCTTTCGGAAGGGGGTCGCAAGAAAACCTCCCGTATTCTAATGCCCTTCTACCAATCTATGGGGAGACCATGCGCCGTTGCTGTCATCTCACCTTGAAAGGTGAAGAAGGGTCAGAAAGGGGCAACCAAGAGGATCTGGATGTTGCCTGGACCAGTTCCCTGAGGAGGAAGCGCTGGAGCATTTAGGAAACAAGTGAGTACGGAGGGGGATTAGAGAGGGGTACAAAATTAGGCATAGCGGGCTGAAAATGAAGAGAGAGGCGTTTTCCTCCCTCTCCTGCCATGTACTAGTATGAGAGGGAGGAAAATTATTCTTATTGATCTTCTGGAAGTGTCAGAACAGACAAAACCTCACATAAACCATTGAATTTGATGGCCTCCAACTTGGAGGGCTTTCAAAGGGCATCAAATGCCTCTGAATATGAGATACCGCGAATCCCAAGTGGGGCCAGTTGCTCCTGCCCTTGGCTCCCGCTTGTGGGCTTCCCTTGGGGGGCCCTGGCTGGCTGCTGCGAGGGCCGGAGGCAGGACTGGGATACGGCCCCTGGGGCATGCACAGTCAGCCCCCTTCCCCTTCCCGGAAGGGATGCCCTTGTCCACTGCCACAGGCCAGGACATGGCAGCCGCACCCGACCAGGGACACTTGTCTGGGGGAGAGGGGCAGAAATGGAGGCCACACCATATTCCCCTGGTTCAAAGAAGCCAGGATCTGGGGGGGGGGGGCTTTCAAGCAACAACCACGGCTGGACCCCCCACCTTGAAGAAAGGACTAGGCTGCCTGGGGAGCAGAAAGTCAGCCCAAGCGCTTTGATCTAAGCCTCACTCCTGTATATCTGAAGGAGCGTCTCCACCCCCATCATTCTGCCCGGACACTGAGGTCCAGCTCCAAGGGCCTTCTGGCGGTTTCCTCCCTGCGAGAAGCGAGGTTACAGGGGACCAGGCAGAGGGCCTTCTCCATAGTGGCACCTGCCCTGGGGAATGCCCTCTTGTCAGATGTCAAGGCAATAAACAACTATTTTACTTTTAAAAGACATGTGAAGGCAGCCCTATTTAGGGAAGTTTTTAATGTTTAATTGTATTTTAATATTCTGTTGAAAGCCGCCCAGAGTGGCTGGGGAAACCCAGCCAGATGGGCGGGGTATAAATAATAAATTATTACTATTATTATTCCCTTGAGTTTCTGGATGGGCACAGAGAATGTTGGCTTTGATGGACCCTTTGGCCAGATCCATCAATTTGGCTCTCTTCTGATGCTCAGAACAAAGCACAGCCCCCTTGCCCTCCCCACAGGGCCTGTGTGCCTGCCAGATGAGGGTTGGGGGCAGGAGAGGCCCCCCAAACTCCCCCGGAGGGCTCAGAGCTTTCCTGCAGGACGGCCACCTGCTTACCTTGGCTGGAGATGTTCATGCAGAAGTAGATCCCGTAGATCTGGTACACGTACAGAGTGCCCGGCGCCATGAACATGGCCGTGTTCCTGGCAGTCTGCCGCCCGCCCCTGGAGTGGGACGCGGTGTCCTCTCCTCCCAGGTAGGCCTCCGTTTCCACAATGCGCCCCTGGAGCGCTCTCCCATCTGGAAGCCTCCGGACCAGGATCTGGGAAGCAGAGGGAAGGCTGAGCGCCACAAGCCCCCAGACCAGAGCCGCCTGGGGGGCTGCAGGAGAGAGGGCATGCCAGCACCTCTTCCACATTTCAGAAAGCCAACTCTTGCAGCCACTGCCACTTGTGGGCAGCGCACAGAGACTCCCCATGTGGTTGCAAAGATGAAGGTACAGCTCTGGGGGCAAGCGATGGGTTCGAAAGAGGGGGCAGTGGCTGAGCCCTGGCAGCAGAAGTCCCACCACCAGGGAGGCTCCCACCCTGACCTCCGAGATCTGACAGAGTCCTGGCCGCACAACAAGAAGACGCTCCGTAGAGGAAGCCGGAAGGTGTGCAAAAAAAAGCAGGAGGAGTCCAACCCTGGCATCGCCCCAACAGCTGCAGGGCCTCTGGCACCCTAGATGGGCGGAGGAGCACCTGCCTGGCATGCAGAAGGTCTCAGGTGCCGCCCCCCATTGGAAGCAGCATCACCAGGTGGGAGGAGTGGGCAGGAGCAAAGAGCCACAAGGGGGCTGCATGGCTAAATATTAAATAATAATAATATTTTATTAATATCCCGCCCTCCCCAGACGAAGCCAGGCTCAGAGCGGCTAACAACAATAAAAGTAACACAGCATTCCAAAATCAACTCATTCTAAAATCAATTCAATATCAAATTAATGGCAACCATTGGGTTAGAGTTCTATGAGGATTACAGAAGGAAAAAGAGGGTCAGACTGTGCCTTGGCCAAAGGCCTGGCGGAACAGCTCTGTCTTGCAGGCCCTGCGGAAAGATGTCAAGTCTCACAGGGCCCTGGTCTCTTGGGACAGAGCGTTCCACCAGATCGGGGCCACGGCCGAAGAAGCCCTGGCTCTGGCCGAGGCCAGCCTAACCTCCCTGTGGCCCAGGATCTCCAAGATGTTTTTATTTGAAGACCGTCAGGTCCTCTGTGGGACATACCAGGAGAGGCGGTCCTGTGTGTACGAGGGTCCTAGGTCGCATAGGGCTTTAAAGGTCAAAACCAGCACCTTAAACCTGATCCTGTACTCCACCGGGAGCCAGTACAGTTGATATAAAACCGGGTGAATGTGATTGCGCGGCGAGGACCCTGTATTAATTATTATTATTATTATTATCATTATCATTATCATTATCATAATCATTAAATTTATATACAGAACTGCCTTTTCTCCACACGGGGAGCCAAGGCGTCTTACAGATGAAACAGAAGCAGCTAAAATCATCGGGGTGGGGGGGACACAACAGCGAAACAATGAAACATGAGCAGACTTCAGGCGTGCGCTTCTCTGCGTGCGTAATTGCGCTTTCGCTCCTGCCCTGGCCAGGCCCCGCTCGGGGCCGGAGGGTCTCCGCTCTGCCCCGCCGTCGGGGGCGCCTCCCCGGCGAAGGAAGCCGTGCCCACCCGGCCCGTGCGCCTCCTCCCCGGAGGGTCCCCGTCCCTCACCTGTCCGAGCAGCGCCCTGGCCAGGCGGACGCACGGCTGGTCGAAGAAGGCGGCGCCCAGGCGGGGCGGGGAGGGCGCCTTGGCCAGGGTCCCCTCCGCCGCCGCCGCCGCCTCCTGCTCGCGAGGAAGCCGCTTCCGCGGCCCCGGCATGGCTGCGCCAGAGGGAGGGGGTTCTGGCCGTCCCGCCCCCCCGAGGTCTCCGCCCCCCCAGTACGTCGGGGCGCCCCCTGCCGGGGGGAGCCGGGGGAACCCGGAAGACTGCGCGGAATCCCGGCGTCTCTCGGCATCCGCGCATCCAGGCACAGACCTCGGCTTTACTGACCCTGGTTTTGTTTCGTGTCTGTATTTGCTCAACAGTGAACCGTAATTGTATCATCAGATCCTGTTTGAGAAAATGAATCCTTTCTGAAAATTAATAAAAGGTATTAAACATAAACGCCCAATAACTGCTCCGTCAAATAAGAAATTTTATCCCTTTGCCCTGACTTGAGCACACAAGTACCCAGTGACTGAAACGCCGCCTTTACTGCCTCAGTTCCTCCTTCGGATGCTTCCTGGATTTCATTCTTCATCTTTAGATCACCTTGAGCAGTCTGATCAGGGCGACAATGGCACAACCCAAGACCATACTACTACTACTACTACTAAGCCATTCAAAGATCTCAGGTCAGTTCACAACATAAAAGATAGGAGAGGCAGTCCCTGAGGTAGTGGCATCAGCTAGGGTTGCCATATTTCAAAAAGCAAAAAGTTGATGAGCTTTTTCGGCAAAATTGCATTAACATTTTGGGGATTTCTGGATATGCAGCAGTAGTCTGGATATGTCCGGGAAATTTCGGATGTATGATGAACTCTAGCATCAACATCATTTCTGGGAAGGGCTCCTCCATTTGGGGTTCCTAGCTTGCTGGATTTGATGCCGCCTTTGACATTCAGAGCAGCCCCACCTCCGTTACATCCTTCCCTGTCCTCCTTATGGGCTTTGTGTCCAGAGATAAGACTGCCCACTGGTTCTCTTTCTTCCGCCAGGTTTCTGTTCTGCCCACAATTATCAGTGCTGTTAACTAAAACTAGATTGCCCATCTTGACTCGGAGGCTCCCAGCATTAGTGCACGAACACTTATAGTCAGATGTTCCGTCTCTGTCTTCATGTGTCTTTGGCACGGCCTCTGGCCTCTCGACTGCTTTCCTGTGTCCTGGCACCCACCATGCCCAGTTTAATAATTAATAATAATAATAATAATAATAATAATATAAATAAATAATACCCCACCCATCTGGCTGGGTTTTCCCAGCCACTCTGGGCGGCTTCCAATTGAATATTAAAAACAGCTCCCCTGTTTGAATTCCCACCAGTTTTACCATCCTCATCCCAGGAAGGAAATAATTCATTCTTAGATTACTGCCATGCGCTCTGCGTGGGGCTACCTTTGAAGGTGACCAGGAAACTACAGTTAATCCACAATGTGGCAGCTAGACTGGTGACAGGGAGCGGCCGCCAAGACCACATAACACCAGTCCTGAAAGACCTATATTGTCTCCCAGTACCTTTCCGAGCACAATTCAAAGTGTTGACCTTGAAAGCTCTAAACGGCCTCAGTCGAGTATACCTGAAGGAGCGTCTCCACCTCCATCATTCTGCCCGGACACTGAGGTCCAGATCCGAGGGCCTTCTGGCGGTTTCTTCCCTGCGAGAAGCAAAGCTACAGGGAACCAGGCAGAGGGCCTTCTCGGTGGTGGCACCCGCTCTGTGGAATGCCCTCCCACCAGATGTCAAAGAGAAGAACAACTAGAACAACTACCAGACATTTAGAAGACATCTGAAGGCAGCCCTGTTTAGGGAAGCTTTTAATGTTTAACAGACCACTGTATTTTAATAATTGGTTGGAAGCCGCGGCATCACTTCTTCTTCTTCTTCTTCTTCTTCTTCTTCTTCCTATTCTTATTCTTCTTCGAACCCTCCTCAGCGCCTGTCAGTTTCCCTGGCCCTATCAAGAATGCTTTACCGAAGAAATGCATCCATTTGGTAGAAGCAGTGACCTGCCCTGAGCCCAGGAGACTGCAGATACAAAGCCCACTGCCCAGCCCCCCCTTCCCCAGCAGACCCCCCTTATTTCCGGAGGAGGACAAAAGCGATGGAGTCCTCTGGGCTGCTTCTGTCTCTTGGCCGGCAGGCAAGGCCTTCCAGAGAGGAAGACGAGCTCCTCTGCAAGGAGGCTGGGCAAGTGCCCCTTCTCCATAGGGCAAGCCCTTCCATGGGGCAGGGGCTGCTGGGGTTTGCTGAAGCAGGGCCTGGGGGCTGAGGGGCTCCGCTGAGTCTCGGCACGCAGCCCAGCCGGCCAAGCCCACCACCATGGCGGATACTGTTGCCTGACAAATGCCCAGAGATAAAAATGTCCCCCTAGCCAGCTGCGGATGCAGAGTCTCCCACTGCAGTTAATAGCACGGGATGCCAGCCAGCCAGCCCCTCCCTCCTCCCGGGCAGCCAGAGAATTCGGGCAGAGCAGGAGGATGGACTTTGCAGCCTGCCTTGGGTGACTGGCAGGCAGCTTGCTGGCACTCCCTCACCCTGCAGAAGCTGGCACTGCCCAGAGGAATCCCTGAGTACTGGAATTTTGGTGTAACCACTGTTTCACCCTTGTTTTTCTATCTTCTCGGAGCTGGGGTGGGAAAGGCTGTTCTCTGCCAGAGGAGACCCCGGAGAGCTGTTGCCAGTCAGAGTAGGCCACACTGGAGGGGTTGAGGGGCATAACCCACAACCCGTCTCTGGAGGGAAGCAGTGGCTTCCTGTTCCTCCGGGCATTCTGTGGCTCACATTGTTCTGGAAAGGATAAAAAATATTTGCCACGTAGCAATTGGGAGGCACATAAGAAGGAAAGGCACATTGTGGGGCAGCAATTCATCTGTTTTTGTTGCAGAGCCAACCAGCCAAGTCTCAGGGGGGTCCTGGCCTGGAGGCAGAGTCCATGTACAAGGTCCAGTCTAGTCCTAAGGTCAAGACCATCTCAGTTCACGTAGTCAGACGGTCCAGGGGTCAAGAAAGCCGAGGGTCCAAGGCATGGGTAGGCAAACTAAGGCCCGGGGGCCGGATCTGGCCCAATCGCCTTCTCAATCAGGCCTGCAGACGGTATGGGAATCAGCATGTTTTTACATGAGTAGATTGTGTCCTTTTATTTAAAATGTATCTCTGAGTTATTTGTAGGGCATAGGAATCCGTTCATTTCCCCCCAAAAAATATAGTCCGGCCCCCCACAAGGTCTGAGGGACAGTGGACCGGCCCCCTGCTGAAAAAGTTTGTTGACCCCTGGTCCAAGGTCACAAGAAGCAAGAAGCAGCAAGGTTTGGCCAGGAACGACGAATGTTGTTTCCAGCAACTGACTGAGGCTGCAAACCCTGCTGAAGAAGCTGGAGCCAGCAGATTCACATCAGGAGCAAGAGGGCTGATCAGTAGCAGGCAGAGTCACCTTGCCTTCTGCTCCTTCAGGCTGCTGCTCAGCAGGTGAAGCTGACTCCTGGCCCATGACAGTTTCTGGGGTTACTTGGACCGCCAGGACCCGATCTGCAGGCCAGCTCGGGGGAGGTCCCCTGGACGTTCCAAGCCAGCTAATCTGACCTTGCTCTGGGCTGCTCTTCTGGGACCCCCACCCAAGGGAAGCTGGAGCACCAGTAAACAACTGGGGCGGGGGGAAACCCTGGTGAATTAATTGATCTCCCAGTGATCATTCTTTGCACTCATTTATTGATGACCGAATAGATTTGACAACAGTATAATGCCCCATGTGGTTGCTTTTGGTCTTTGGCTTGGAAGTTCAGTATCTCAAACGGTCTCAATGCTACCGTGGGATCAACTGGCTTTTGAGGGTTCATCAAGTAGATAGTAAAACAATTGCAGAATACCTGGGAGGCTGAAATCCCAGGTTGAACCAGCTGCGGCCATTGCTCCCTGGCACCGTTTGCCCACCTCCTGTCAACTGGGGGCATCTGAGAGTGACAGGCACAGACTTCCTCTCTGCTGCCTCCTTCAATTCTGAGCTGGCCTGGCTTAGAGCTGCCTTGCTGCATCTGTCACCAGCAGAAAGGCCCCATCCTGCTTGTCCCCTTGTTTCTCCTCCTCCTGTTGCTCCATTTCTGTGCTCCATCAATGCTTTTGTGCTCAACAGACACACTAGACTTCTCCTGGTCTGCCCCGCAGAGGACCTTAAGGTCCATGAATAACCCTAGTTTAGAGGTCCCAGGCCCTAAGGAAGTCAGACTATCCTCCACCAGGGCCAGGGCCTTCTCAGTGGTGGCTCCCACTTGGTGGAATGCTGTGTCCCAGGAGACCAGGGCCCTGCAGGATTTAACCTCCTTCCGTCAGGCCTGTAAGACAGAGCTATCCCGCCTGGCCTTTAATTTGAATTCAGCCTGATCTTTTATTTTCCTTCTCTTCCCTCCCACTCCCCTTTTATGAAGATCACCCACTCTGAGACCCCACAGCTAATTCTCCCCAGACCTCCTCGCTGGCCCAAGTAGGACCAATTCAGCCAGCTAGCCCTGGGGATTATCTAATGCTTATTTCCCCTAAATTGATTTTTGAATTTTATTGTTATTCATGTTTTTATACTGTATTTTATGCTGCTTTTATAATTAAGTGTTTTAAATTTGTTGTTAGCCACCCTGAGCCCGGTTTTTGAACTGGGAAGGGTGGGGTATAAATAAAAATTTATTATTATTATTAGCCCCAAAAAAGCAGGGGAGCCCCAGCTGGATTTGGGGGATCCTAGGACAGAGGAGGGGTGGGCGCAAGACTTGAGGGCTTGCAGTACATCCGTAAGAAGCATCTAATGAAAGCTCAAATAACATGACAGTCTCCCCCCTCCCTCCCCTGTTGCCCACCCCCCTCAATTTCACTGCTGAAAGGGATAAAGCCCAGAGCGATTTTTTGTGTTCTGGAAGGCCTGTGATTCCTGCTCCTCGCAATGCGTGATTGGGCTCCAGATCCTTCCGGCTCCTGTGGGTGGATCTTGGGACTCAGAAACAGATCCCAAGCCAGCGCTGCCATTGGGCTGGGTCAGGGAGAGCTATTTGCAGAGAGATGGAAATCTCAGGCTTAGTCTCATCCTCTGGAAAGCCCCAGAAATGAGCAGGCAGGGAAAGAGGGAAGGACGGGCTCCGACTGCTACAGCTGTGAGCTGTTTCGGGGGCGGCAGAAGAGGAGGCCAACATTCCTCTGCGCTGCCCCACCCTCCTCCCCGGAGCCTCGCTCGGCTGGACCGAAAGAGAGACTGAGGCACAGCAGAGGATGAAGGAAGCGCAACAGCACATTTCAAATTCAAAATGCTGGCTGATCTCCAGGGGCTTCAATTTCCCAGCAAGCAACCTCCAGTCCCATCTGACAGTTTGCAGAGGGGAAGCGAAGCACTGGGACATCCCCCACCCCACCCCCCAGCCCCTGGAGATGGCTGCAGGGACTGTCCTCTTCTTAGCTTGGCTCCTCTGTGAGGGGGCGATGTTCCCTGTAGACATGGGGAAATCTGCTGGGAAGTTGCACAAACCCAGCAAATGCACACCTGCTCCCCATTTTAAAATAACCCCTCATGAATGAGTGTCTGGACCATAGCTGTCAACTTACGGATTTGAAAATAAGGGACCAGCAGCCTCGAAAATAAGGGATCAGCAGCCAAAATAAGGGATTTTCCGGGCACAGGTATGTTCAACTTCTGAGCCCCTCCGAGCCAAAGGCAGAAAGCCCAGCCAGCAGCCAAACGAAGCCTCAAGCGGTGGTTCCCACAGCGCAGCAACCTGGCAAAGGGGATGCAGCAAGGGAAACCACCGTCACCTCTCTGCTGGGAAGCGCTGAGCAAAGGCGAGTCCCCAGGCAACGCGGCCGATTTGATTGGCACAAGGCATGCAAGCTCCACCCCCCAGTCGTTCTCAGACTCCTTATTGGGTGAGCAACGCAACCAAGCAACACAGTTGGAGCCTCCCTCCTCCCTGGCCAGCAGGGAGGGAGGGAGAGGAGCTGCTTTCTTTGAAACCCGGGAAATTTAAGGGACATCATCCATAAGGGACAGTAGCGGGACACGGCGCTGGGATAAGGGACTTTCCCGCCAAATAAGGGACGGTTGACAGTTATGGTCTGGAGGCGGTTGGAGGATGGATGGTGGCTAACAGATTGAGGTTGAATCCTGACAACACAGAAGTACTGTTCTTGGTGGACAGCGGGTGGGCAGGTGTGGAGGACTCCTTGGTCCTGAATGGGGTAACCATGCCCCTGAGGGACCAGGTGTGCAGCCTGGGGGTCATTCTGGACTCACAGCTGTCCATGGAGGCGCAGGTCAGTTCTGTGTCCAGGGCAGCTGTTTACCAGCTCCATCTGGTACGCAGGATGAGACCCTCCCTGCCCGCAGACTGTCTCGCCAGAGTGGTGCATGCTCTGGTTATCTCCCGCTTGGACTACTGCCATGCACTCTATGTGGGCTACCTTTGAAGGTGACCCGGAAACTACAACTAATCCAGAATGCAGCAGCTAGACTGGTGACTGAGAGCAGCCGCCAAGACCATAGAACACCAGTCTTGAGAGACCTGCATTAGCTCCCAGTATGTTTCCGAGCACAATTCAAAGTGTTGTTGCTGACCTTTAAAGCCCTAAATGGCCTCTGCCCAGTACACCTGAAGGAGCGTCTCCACCCCCATCATCCAGCCCGGACACTGAGATCCAGCTCCAAGGGCCTTCTGGTGGTTCCCTCCCTGCGAGAACCAGGCAGAGGGCCTTCTCGGTGGTGGCACTCACCCTGTGGAACACCCTCTTGTCAGATGTTGAGGAAATAAAACAACTATCTGACTTAGAAGACATCTGAAGGCAGCCCTGTTTAGGGAAGCTTTTAATACCTGAAGTTTTATTCTGTTTTTAGTCCTCTGTTGGGAGCTGCCCAGAGTGGCTGGGGAAACCCAACCAGATGGGCGGGGTATAAATAATAAATAAGGATTTATGATGATGAACGTGGTTCTGCCCCGATGGGAAGTGCCTTACCCACCGGGCGACCCTCCTCTTGCCAACTGCCCTGGTCGACCCAGGAAGGAGGGGGCAAAGTCTGCCTTGAACCACCTAGGTCATTCCCCCGGAGGCAGAGGTGGGAGCTGCTCCACTGAATGCTCCAGGGGTCTTTTGTTGACCCCCGACTGTTGCAAAGGGCCTGGCAAGGAGGAGCGGCCCTGATCCGGATGCTCAGAGACCAGGTGCCTCTGCTGGGAGACCCCTGAGCCACTCTCCAGATGGCGCTCCCTTATCACCCAGGTGGGCTACAACTCAAAACGGGGAAAGCAAATTGCAGCCACACGTTGGGTCCTGAGAACACACCTCTCAGGTGCCAAAGGCCAAGGTAAGGAGGGGGGTCTTCAGCCTGCCTTGGGGGCCCGGTTCAGCTCTGTGGGGAAAGAATGCTGCATTTAGGGGGCTGACCCAGAGAAGGCCACCTGAGAGGGTCTGTAGCATGGGTAAGCAAAGTAAGGCCCAGGGGCTGGATCCGGCCCAATCGCCGCCTTCTTCTTTTTCTTCGTCTTCATCATACTTTATTTACAACATAGTCCACAACAACTCATACATACAAACAAACCTACCACCATTGACAATTTAATTATCAAAATTAAACTCCTATCCCCTTACACAAAGAAAACATAACATAAAAATAAAAGACTTCTTTTATCCTGTAAATGGCCTCCTTATTTACTTCTTGTATACTGTTTCTTTTATATGTGATTATTACAATTTTTTCTCATTATTACTGCAAAGTTTTTAAAGTCATAATCCAGCCCAATCGCCTTCTAAATCTGGCCTGCGAACAGTCCAGGAATCAGCATGTTTTTACATGAGGAGAATGTGTCCTTTTATTTCAAAATTTCAAACGCATCTCTGGGTTATTTGTGGGACATAGGAATTTGTTCATTTTTTTTTCCAAAATATAGTCCGGCCCCCCACAAAGTCTGAGGGACAGTAGACCACCGCCCTGATGAAAAATTTGCTGACCCCTGGTAGGCACCCAAGCAGTCTAAGTTGCCTAGGGCTTTAAACACTAATAATAATAATAATAATAATAATAATAATAATAATATATTTATACCCCGCCCATCTGGCTGAGTTTCCCCCAGCCACTCTGGGCGGCTCCCAATCAAGTATTAAAAACAATACAGCGTTAAATATTAAAAGCTTCCCTAAACAGGGCTGCCTTCAGATGTCTTTTAAAGATAGCATAGCTGCTTATTTCCTTCACATCTGAAGGGAGGGCGTTCCACAGGGTGGGTGCCACTACCGAGAAGGCCCTCTGCCTGGTTCCCTGTAGCTTTGCTTCTCGCAGGGAGGGAACCGCCAGAAGGCCCTCGGCGCTGGACCTCAGTGTCCGGGCAGAACGATGGGGGTGGAGACGCTCCTTCAGGTATACTGGACCGAGGCCGTTTAGGGCTTTCACTTATGTGGGCACTTGTCTTGACGGTGGGATCTGACCCTGATTGCTGTGGGGAATTCTGCGGCCTACTGACTACAGCTTTGGTTTCCCTCCTTGTTCCGTCTCCATGATGATCCACTTGGACTCCAACTGCACTTCTGGCCTCTTGACCCCAGGAGATTCCCGGGGAGCAACGGAATTGCCTGCCCTTGCTCTGGCATGGCACTGCAGCCCAGAAGCTGCTCACGTGCCGCGTGCCACCTTTGCCCAGGACAGAACCGCTGCCCTGATCCCAATGCCCCTTGCTGGGCACCAAGGCAGCCTGGCTCTCCTGTGAAGCAGGTGCAGCTGCAGCCCTGGTGCCTTAGGAAGGAGGGAGGGAGGGAAGGAGGGAGGGCGGGCCTCACCCTGCTGCCTCGCTGGGAAAGTCCTTTGCTGAAAGGACAGCTGACGCCACTCTCAATGGGGACATTCTTGTGTTTCCCGCGGGGCCTCTGCCAGGGCCAGCCTTGGTCACAAAGGGACATTCACTCTCCTTTCCTTCCTCGCCATTCATGGTCAGAGGAGACCAACCTCGGGCAAAGGCCCACCCTCTCCGGCCCCCTCCCCGGTGGCTTCGGCAGCAGCCGCTTCCAGCTTCCTGTGGACAAAGTGGCCCAAGAGCCTTGGCCTGTCCCTGGGGAGAGGTGGGGGGTCAGGTTGCTGCCGCCCTCTTGACCTGCTCAGGAACAGGGAGAGCAAGCTGTGCGGGAGGCAGGAGGCTGCGGAGACCACCGTGGCTGGAGCAGGGGGGCAGCCCAGGGAGGCTGACGTGGAGGGAGAAAACAGCCGGGGGGGGGGGGGCTACTAATCATCAAGAGGAACTTGTCTAATCCTCTTCGAAAGCCAGCCGAGTTTGTGGTTATCAGGAGCAAGTTCCATATTTTGACTATGCTAGGGTTGCCAGACTTCTGGAATTTCCCGGAAACAGCCAGGAAATGCTTGTCGGAAGTAGCTTCAATGTCCAGAAAAATCTGGACGTCTGGCAACCCATGTCGGAACTGTGGATTTTGGCGAATTTCCTTAAAAATACCCTCAAAAACTTCACTTTTTTCTGGGATTTTGCAAAGAGAAGCTCAACAACTATGGGCAAAGCAACAACTTTTTGTGTTTGGGTTTCAACTTTCTGAAATATGGCGAACCTGGAGTCTGCGTGGTGTGAAGCATCAGCTTCCTTTTCTCCGCCCTGAATCTTCCAGTGCTCAGCTTCACTGATGCCCCCAAGTTCTAGCCGTGAGCAAGAGATCAGAGCTTTCCCCATCCGCCCTTCCCAGGCCAGGCCAAGTCTCACACAGCTCCTCCGCCACATTTCCTCTTCCTTGCCTTTTCTCTCCACTGAAAATCCCCCCCGTGCTGGAACCTTTCTTGGTTGCTCCTTCCCTGGACCACTTTGGCAGCCCTTTTCTGACCGCTTTTCAGCTCTGCAATAATATATCCTGTTGGAGGTGAGGCAGCCAGAGCAGAACATGGCCAAGGGGGGGCTGAATGCCTTTTCCATTCCGTTCCTCATGATCTGCTGCAGACGAGGTTGATGTTTTCTCCAGGCTCTCTGCCAGGACCCCGAGGTCTCACTCCCGGTCCTTCTCCTCCAGCTCCTCCATGAGCGTGGACGTGAAATTAAGTTTTCCAGCTCCAACATGCATCACTTTAGAGTTGCCTACATGAGCTGCAATACCTCAAGGACTGCCTCTTTCCATATGGACCTACCCGGACCCTGAGATCATCTGTTTGCCCTCCCTGTTTGCCACCACCTCGAGAAGTCCAGAGGGTGGCAACACGAGAACGGGGCCTTCTCTGCAGTGGCTCCCCATCTGTGGAATGCTCTCTTCAGGGAAGTTTGCCTGGCGCCTTCATTATACACTTTTAGGCGCCAGGCAAAAACGTTCCTTTTTAACCAGGCAGGTCTTTGGTTGATCTGATTTACATCCTATGCCCTTAAAAATATATATATTTGTGGGTGGGGGCTATTGGGTTGTTGTTTTAATTTTTATTAGGTATTTTGTGGTTTTATATATTGATTTTATTCTGTGAACTGCCCTGAGACCCCCAGGTATAGGGCGGTATATAGATTCAAATAATAATAATAATAAAAATTTTGCTGCCCATTCACCCAGTTTGAAGAGGACCTTTTGGAGCTCTTTGCAATCTCTTTTTGTTTTAACAACCCTGAACGATTTAGCATCGTCAGCAAACTTGGCCCCCTCCCTGCTCATGTCTAACTCTGGGTCATTTGTGAACAAGTTAAAAGCAGAGACTTTATACTGATCCCTGGGAGACTCCTCTTCCGATTTTCCTCCACTGGGAGGACAGTCCACTTCTTCCTCCTTTCTGTTTCCTGTTTCTTAACCGGATCTCTCCTCTTACTCCGTGACTGCAAAGCTTAGTCAGGAATCTTTGGTGACATACATTGCAGAAAGCTTTTTAAAGGTGCCCCATGCCAGCCAGATCACATGGACATGCTTGTTGAAGCTCTCAAGGAACTCTGATGGGGGGCAGCCAGTGGGTCTGAATTGGCCTCCAAGGCAGTTCCTCCCAAGCCATGCTCACCAGCCCCACGGTTTCATCACAGTGCGATCCCATGATGCCACGGCTGTCAGGTGGGCATCCCAGCCACCTGTGAGCTTGCCCACAGCTCTGGTGGAGATGGGGCTCTTGGCCTGCTGGGCCCCACACGTCCGTCCCCCCCATCAGTGAGGCAGGATTATTTTGTCAATAAGGCCTAGAATGTTGTCTCTGGCCACCAGTTGCCTCCGTTCCTCAGACTCCATTCCTGCAGAACTTATTTTGGGCCCAGGGGTCCGTCTTCCATCTTCTGCTGCAAATGCAGATGTGAAGAATTAATCCGGTTTTTCCGCAATCTCCTTCTCGTTTTGCACACCTTTGACCCCTTTGCCATCCAAGGACCCAACTGCCCCTGGACACTCTCCTGATACTCATGCAGTTAAGATTTTTTGTTTTTCGTGGGTCTTTGTTTTCGGCATCCTTCTCTCCCCCCCCCCCCATTTTTTGCACCCCTCAATGTGCTTGCATTTCTTTCCCCAAAGTGTACATGCCCTTTTTTCATTTTCCACACTTGCATTGTTTGAAGGAAGGCTTCTTGGCCTCTCCCGGCGTCTTTGACTCCGCTGGTTAACCACGCTGGCATCCTCGGGGCCCTCCCGGTTCCTCTCTGGACGCGTCTCTGCATTTTATCTGCGCTTCTCACGGGGTGGTTTTGAGCGCCTCCCAAGCATTGCGAAGAGACTGGATCCCCTCGACTGCCTCTCGGATCCCTTTCTGAACCCAAACCCTCGTGGGGATTCAGCTTCCTCTTCTGAAGTCCGACGTGACTGCGCTGGGGGCTCTTCCCCATCTCCACGTGTATGGAAGGCTCCCTGTTCCCACGGCTTCAGCGACAGTCCGGGCTTCCCGTTCCGATCCAACCCTGCCCGTTCGACGGCCAACCGTCCCGGGGCCCCGTCGGTTAGGGCCGATCATGGTCAGGTTCCCTCCGGGGGGCGACTGGAGCGCAGCGGCTCCCGGGCGGCCAGGTGAGCGCACGTGCAGCCTCCCCGGGTCCCTCGAGGCGCAGGCGCCGCTTCCGCGGCGGGGATCCCCGTCCCGCCCCGGCGCCGGAGCAGCCCGTCGGGGGACCGCCGCCCCGGCGCGTCCTGGCGGCTCCGGCTCCCCGTCCCTGCCGGCCTGCGTGCCTTCCAAGGCGCGGAGGCTCCCCTGTCGGCGGAGGCGGCCTCCTGGCTCGGCGCGGCCGTCCCGGCGAGGGCTCCGTCCTCCGCCTCCGCGGCGCTGGCCGGCCAGGGCGCATTCCTGAGGCCTGAGTCACGCCCGGCCCGCCTCCGTCGCCCGGCGGGCGGGCCGCCCTTCGCGCTCCAGGCCGGGCCGCGCCGACGCCGGCCCCCTCGCTGCATGGCCGCCCGGCCAGCGCCACTCGCTCCCGGAGCCACGGTGAGCGGGCGCCGCGGGGATCGGGAGGGCGGGGGCTCGCCGCGGGATCGCCCTGCGCGGGTGGGCGGGGGGCAGGCGGCTCCGGCTTGGCCCGGGGGTCCCTCGGCCCGGAGCCCCCGAAGGAGGCGGCGTCGAGAGGGAGGCCTCCCGGGGGCTCCCGAGGCGGCGGGAAGCGGGCCAAGCCGGCTGGCGCGCCCCCCGAGGCCGAGGCCCCCCCTGGACGCCGAGCCGGCTGCCCGCGGGCCAGAGCCCCTCTTGGGCCCGATCCCAAGCGGGCCAGGGTCTCCTTTAGCAAGGGGGGGCAAGCCAGCGGGTCAGGAACACCCCCCTCCGTCTAGCCAGGGGGACCTTGGATATCCCGTTTGTTTGGGCACGTCCTGAACCCCCGAGCTGAAAGCGGGGGGCCGGGCGGGGTCTTCCCTCCCCAGCCTGCAGCTTCTGCATCCGCCGGGAGAGTTGGGAGACTTTTCCTGTAATGCGCCCTCCCCCCCGCTCCATGGCTGGTCCGCATCCTGAGCGTTTTTGCGCGGAGTTTCTCTCCTTCGCCCGCGTGTTGTGTTTGCAGCTGTGCAGCGCCGGCGTGACTCTCGCCTGTTCCCTGCGGAGTGAGTCCATCTGGGTTTGGCTGGGCTTTTCGCTCCCCAGTTTTGGGGTGGGTGGGGTGGGGGCTCTTGCTGAACCCTTTCCGCCCCTGCTGCGGCTTCCAAGCCCGGTCCCACCTCCTTGCGCGCTCGCTCCTAACATTTCCCATTTGGGTGTCTGCGGGGATGTGATTTCCCCCAGTGAAGGTCTGCGCTTTGGCAGGTTGGCCTTAAAAATATGATTTTGTCCTCAGCAGGATTTGCAGCCCTTCCTGCTTGGGGGGGGGGGTCCCCTTCAGATTCCGCTGTCCTCCAGGGCCTCATCCATGCCACCCGGCTTCCTGGACTGGAGGATCACTTGGGGAATTCCTCCTCCCAGCCTGACCCGGAGCCCTTCCTCAGCCTTTCGGAGGTGTGGTTTTTCCAGGCTGTCATGGGACCTGGCATCAAATGCCACATGCAAATCATGAGCTGCCCTATCTGAAACCTCAGAAGAGGCTCTTTCCTCCTCTGAACTCCGGGGCAGGGGCAGCTGGGTGGGCATTCCTGGGCAGCTTGGTCCTTGGAGTCAGGGGCGTTCCTCCCTCCACGCTTTCCTGCCTCCTTCTCCTCTGGGCCTTTGGCAAATGCAGGCCGTCTTCCCACAGGCGCTAGGGGTGCAGGGCACCCAGGCACCGGGCTCTCAGGGGCGCCAGGCCGAGAGTCCGGGACTGGAGAGTTGAGTCCAGGGAAGAGCTCGCCCGTTGATCAGAGCGCTGTGGCGGACTCTTCTGCTGCGGGTGGCTCTGCGGGGGCGACCAAGCCAGCAAAAAGCTGAGGTGGCCAGCCGACTCTGCCCTCCTGCGTGCCTGGGACTGGGCAACTGGGGGGGTGCCACCGGGCACATCTTTGCACCCCGGTGCCGCATATGCTTAAGACAGCCCTAGGCGAAGGAAAGAGTCCCCTGGTGCCTCTCCTCCCATGTTCCGGGTCTCGAGGTGCGGAAGGGACTCCCTTGCCAGGGACTCTGAGTGGCCTGGATTGGCACCGTGTGGCAAAGCCTGCTCTGGAGCAACCTGGCTGCCAGTTTGTGGCAGGATGCGTCCTCAGCAGGGCGAAAGCAAGGCAAGCGAGTCAGGCCTCTTCTGCGCCGCTCTGACCAAGTGCAGGATTTGGGCCAAGGCAGCCCAGCAGGTGGGGCAGAATTCTGCAAGGGACGACCAGTGTAAAGAGAATAGAAAGAGGCTTTTTTGCAGGATGGGAAGAAGGAATTCTAAAGATGTGGCAGTTATTTTAAAAATATAATCTTTTTTATTAATTTTCAAAAATATAAACCTACAGCATAAAAGAGTACAAAATCCAAATATTGAGATTACTCTGAATCTCTTGACTCCCCCCCCATCCCTTCCATGGGTCCTTTTAATTCTATTTTCAACTGCATATCAGTACTTCTTCCAATTTTTCATCTTCATCTTTCATCAAGTTATCTCTATGTTCTGCTACTTTACAGGTGTATTTAAAATCCTGCTAATGTTCTGACCTGTTTGCAATGATTTTGTATATACATTGTAACCATTTCCCATTATTTTTTAAATTCATTGTCTTCTTGATTCCTGAGCTTCCCAGTTAATTTTGCTATTTTGGCATAGTGCATCAACTTGATTTGCCATTCAAGATGTGGCAGTTCTCTCCCTGTCCCTGTTCAGACACAGTCTGCATCTGCATGCCAGCGGAAGGGGCCATTGCGCTCATGCCCCTCCTTCCCATGGGGCACCCGGTTGGGCACCGTGGGAAGCAGGATACTGGGGGAGGTGGACCCCCCCCTGCTCCCAGACAGAAATCAGGCTCCCCTTCTGCCTTGCTCTCCCTTCCAGACCCAACTTTTGCCTCCTTTCCTATGTGCCGCAAAAGAAAACTGGCCGTGGCGGTTCAGAATCTGGAATTGCGTGGCAGTTTCAGGTTCTGTCGACGCACCTTTTGACGGTTTCTGCCCCCAGTGGAGCCTGGCCCCCAAGTGGATCTCTTCCAGGCCCTTGGGTGCTCGAGAGGCGGGAGAGAGTCTGGGCGCTTGGGAGTGAGGAAGGGGCCGGGACGCTTTTGCTCACATCCGCCACTTCCCCCCTTCTGGAATGGCTTCCGTGGGGCTGCCAGCTTTGGTGCTGTGATGACTGGGCCAGGCCTGGAGATGGGTGGCCCAGGTGGGCTGCATGCGCGGGCAGACCTGGGTGGGGGTCCTCTTTGCTTCGCCCTTTGTGGCTGCGGCAGAACCAGTGGGGGATGCCTCCCTCCCGAGTCGGATGGCGTGGCCAGCAGGAAGCCTGCTCCTTCCTTCCTTCCTGTTGTGTCCTTGTATTTGCTTCCTCTGGCAGGAAAGCGTCCAGATTCTCCAGCAGGGATGCAAAATGTCCCAGGCCAGCAATCGGAGGCTGAAACACGGCGGGTGTTTTTCTTGGGTGGGTTGCGCTTGAGGTTGCTGCGTGGGGTGAGTCCTACCCTATCTCTTGGCGTGGTGGGCGAGCTGTGGCCTGGTGGCCCTGGTGGCCTGGTACCCCCCCTGCTGCGACCTGGGCTGCGTGGGGAGGACGACCTTCCACTGTCCCTGCAACTGCGACCTCAGCGGACTCTGCCGCAGTTCCCTTTCTGCATCGGTGCTGGCATGGGGGGGGCTCTGTGGGCCTGGGGCCTGCTGGGGTCACCTGCTTCCCAAGGGGTCTTACAGCACCTTCTGAGGGGAGGCAGTGGGATGGGGGCAAGGATGAGGCCCGGTTTGACCCCCCCCCACTGGCACCTGCTGGAAATGTTGCTTTGTGTGTGTATTCTTGGTGGTGGAGGAAGGTTTGGGGCCTGGGGGGCGTGGTGGTCTCAGCTGTGCTTTGCCTTCCCTCTGCATCTGCACCAGAGGCCCTGCTGGGCTGGGGGGGGGGCAGGCTGGTTGTGCCATCTCCCTGCGTGGGAGGTGGGGGCAGCTGCCTCCCTCTTCCCTGCTCTTGAGAATGGCGCCTTTGTGAGCAGAGAGATGCCCACTGGAAAATCTGCGTCGCCCTTTGTGTCAGGGCTTTGTGGTCATGGCGGAGCTGCCGCCTAGGGAGTAGGGGAGGGGGGGCAGGCGGTGAAGGGTGCTTGGCTGCCCCTTGCAGGCTCAGGTGTGCACAGGTGAGTCCCTGGCCACCTGCATCTCTGTGTGTTGATCAACTGGAGGGGGGGAGACAGGTAGAATGTGCAGCCTCTCAGGCCAGGAAGGGGGAAAGATTTGGGGTCTGGTGAATGTCTGGTGCGGTTCTTGTGACGCTCTGGCCATCCTGGGGTGTCCCCAGAGAAGAGCTCAGAAAGGCCTGTGGGAAAGATCTGAGCCCTAAACTGGCTTTTCTGGTTCCTGGAGGGAGGCGAGAGCTGAGCTGCCGGTTCTTAGGAATGTCCTCCCCCCCCCTCTCTCTCTGGCTCTTCCCGCCCAGGGCTTGTGGGCATCTGCTCTGAGAGGAAGACGGAGGTGACTTCCCTTAAAGGTCATGGAATCATAGAGGTGGAAGGGACCCAAAGGCCATCCAGTCCAGCCCCCGGCAATTCAGGACTCGCAGCTAAAGCCAAACTACAAGAAAGAAGATTCCACCTAAACATTAGGAAGAACTTCCTGACAGTAAGAGCTGTTCGACAGTGGAATTTGCTGCCAAGGAGTGTGGTGGAGTCTCCTTCTTTGGAGGTCTTTAAGCAGAGGCTTGACAACCATATGTCAGGAGTGCTCTGATGGTGTTTCCTGCTTGGCAGGGAGTTGGACTCGATGGCCCTTGCGGTCTCTTCCAACTCTAGGATTCTAGGATTCTATGATTCTATGAAAGCATCCCTGGCAGATGCCCCCCCCCCCCGACCTCTCCCTAAAAGCCCCTCCCCCTGTCTGACTGCTCTCACCACCAGAAAGGCCTTCCTAATGTTTTGTGGGAAATCTCCTTTCTTGTTTCCTTATATTTTATTGAGAGTATTACAGTGAGTTAAATTGGCGGTGGAGGGGGGGGGGAATAAATAGAAGCAGAGGAAAACAGCAATAACAAAATAGCAGTGGAATATAATTAAGGCTACAGAGCTATATATGCAAATGGATCTACTTATTCTTTCCCTTGAAGATACATTGATTCGTTTGTTACTGTGGCTTCGATCAATACTTTCCAAAGATCTTTACATTTGTCCACGCATGATCTTCGTCTGAAAGCGATCCGCTCATGGGTTGCAGGAGTTGTCCTAGGAGGTTACCTATATTTTTGTCCTTCCAACTGTTATGGAAATTACGGGGGGGGGGGCACATATTTAAAGTTATTAAATGTTACAAAGATTATGCCTGAATGTACCCTTTCAACTTGACAGCTCAGGGAAGTTACCTAGCTTTAAAAATAATATAAAATCCTGTAAGACAACGTATCAGCCTTAATCCTTTTGCAGATGTTAAGGGGGGGGCCAGAGCCTGCAGCCACCATCCGTTTCCGGTGGGGAGGGGGCAGAGGAAAGACAGGAAGCTTTTCCCTGCAGAGTTAGGCCCCTTGGCTGCCATTCCTGTGTTGCAGGGGTTGGGCTGCCTGGCCCTCAGGACCCTTTGAACTCCTGGGCGTTTTGCTGGTGGGGGGCTGCGTGGGGGCCTGGGCGATGTCAGAAGAGGAAGCTTGCAGGCCCCGTTGCCTGTTGGGGGCAGCGGGAAGAGGCGGAGGGCAGGATGTGCAGCCCCTGCCTGGCTTTCCTGTGGGACCAAGGAAGCGGCTTGGAGGGGAACTTGGCCGCTGGCCTTGTTGCGGAGGCGGCAGTGTGGGAACGCCAGTCCCAAGGGCAGCCTCCCTCTGGGGTCTGGGTGCTGCTGCCTGTCTCCTGCCATGGACTTGGCGGGGGGAGGCCTGCGCTATTGGGCTGCCAGAGGCTAATGGGGGGCTGCCTCTCCCAGCCAAAGCTGACCCACAAAATTGCAACCCAGTGTGTGTGTTTGTGTGGGGAACCTTGCAAGTCGAAAGGTAGGGGCTCAGCACCAGCTTGCGCAGGATAAGCCCCGAAGGGGCTCCTGGGCTCCTTCTGTTGTATGAAAATTGGAGGTTGTCCTTTACAGCTCAGCTCCCCAAGGGGCTCAAAGCCTCCCAAGTCCATTATCAGTCGGAGACGAATGAGTGGACGCTGGAAGAAAGGGGGAATCTTTATTTTTCTGTTGAAACAGAGCCCTCCTTCCCACTGCCATTTGCAAGGAGGCCAGGACCCCAGACAAAGGTGTTGTAGCAGCTTTGAAAGACTTTTCCGACTCAACATCAGGAAGAGCTTTCTGACAATAAGAGCTGTTCAGACAGTGGAACGGTCTCCCTTGGGAGACTGTGGTCTCTCCTTCCTGGGAGAGGCTGGGGGGCCATCGGTCAGGGATGCTTGAGCTGAGATTCCTGCATTGCAGGGGGTTGGACTAGATGACCATAGGGTCCCTTCCGTCTCTATGATTCTATGATTAGACGCAGGCCACCTGAAAGCATAATACAAGCATCTCAGGAAGAGGCACCTACAACAGAAATCCGAGAGTGTGGCTTCTCTCCTGTCTGTCAAGGGACCTGAAGATGCTGATTGCCTTACCTGGCCAGTTCCTTAGGACTGGTGGATACAGTCATATAGTCATACCTCGGGTTACAGATGCTTCAGGTTAAGCATTTTCAGGTTACGGATGCACCGAAACCCGGAAGTACCAGAATGGGTTACTTCCAGGTTTTGGCACTTGTGCATGCGCAGAAGCGCTAAATCGCGACCTGTGTGTGCGCAGACGCAGCAATGCGGGTTGTGAACACTGCGGGTTGTGAATGTCCCTCCCGCATGGATCACGTTCACAACCCGAGCGTCCACTGTACCTTGGTTCTCGAACAGAATGCATTCTGGGAGTCCATTTGACTCCTGGAGCCATTCGAAAACCAGAGTGCGGCTTCTGATTGGCTTCAGGAGCCCCCTGCAGCCAATCGGAAGCTGCACCGGATGTTCGCCCTCCGAAAATCATTTGAAAACCAGAACACTCACTTCCGGGTTTCGATTGAAGCTGATTTGTTTGGGAGCCAAGGTGCTCGGCTTCGCAGGTACAACTGAACCTGAGACCTTGACTCCGTTTCCCAGACTTACCTACACCTATTCATGCTCTTCTGACAGGCCTGCTTTGCTTTTGACAAATACTTGCCAGGCTAGTTTTGCAGAGGGGTCGCCTGTTCCTGCCAGGAAGTTCATCTGTTCACAGGGTTTGGAGGATTTGCAAGTGAAAAGAACTATTGGGAAAGGTTTTCCCAGATGAGCCAGGATGGCTTTGGGACGGTTGCGTGGCCTCAAATGAAGTGTATTATCCTCAGGGAATATTTCCTAATTTCTGAAGGGTGATGGATCGGTTTTTCTGTGTGACTGCTATCTGTGTGCACCTTAAAAAAATTTTTTTTACACTTATTTCTGCCTGGAAGGGCTTGGATGGTGGGCACTGCCAAAGGTGCTGCCAGGATGTGGCCAGTGTGTGCGGGGGTCTTCCTTGCCTTGTTGGGCTCCAGGGCTGTTTTTAGAAGATGCGGCACTGGGGTGCAAATATCCGCCCGGCGCCCCCAAATTACCACGGATAGTGTTGGGGTGGCCATAGCTGCGCACTGCCAGCCATCCGGGGAGGCGCAACTCTCCCCCATGCTGCTGCGGGACAGCGATCCCCACAGAGGCTTGGGAGTGAAGTTGTGCCCCTCCCAAACCTCCTCGGGAGTAGAGCGATCCCTGCAGAGGCTTGGGAGGGAAGCTGTGCGTCTGCCAGTCTTATGGTTGGTGGGGCGCAGCTGGCGGGCATGCAGGGAAAGGGGAGGCCGCCGGCAAAGCCGCACAGCTCCCCCCACTTGCTGGGGTGCCCCTGAGAGGCTGGCGCCCTGGCGCGATTCACCACTAAGCCCTATGGGAAAGACGGCTCTGCTGGGCTCCTCTGTGGAAGGGCAGCCTCGTAAGGTGGGGTTGCTCCAGATTACAGGCCGGCCTTCACCATCCTGCTTCCCTCCAGGCGCAGCCAGCAGGACCAATGGCTAGGGCTGAGGTGGACCCAGCAAACGCTTGAGGACGCCTCTCCACCTGGGGTGAGAGGCTGTTAGAGATCCATGCCTGTTGCCCTCGCTGCCTCTTTAGCGTCGGACGGTCCCTTAGCTTCAATTCCTGAATTGCAGGGGGTTGGAATGGATGATACTAGGAGGCAAGGACAATAGAGACTTAATTTTTTTAAAATTCATTTTTATTAAATTTTCCACTTTAAAAATCCAATCAAAAGGACAATAGAGACTTTTAAAAAGACTGGGAACCGCTTATGTTGCATTTACCGAAACATTGTAAAGAAGTGGACTCACTAGCAGAGTTTGAGTAAACACTTACAATCTACAAAACAAACACAGAAATGAAGATAACTGGAAAGAAACAAGTGTAAGATACAATTTGAAGAGAATTATGGTACAACAATGACAAGTGTAACAATATTTAATTTAAAGATTACAATATTCAGGTAGAACAAATAAGCAGGAGAGGCAAATACTTAAAGAACCAGAAGAGGAAGTCGAGGGAAGTCATGGGGGGAGATTGGGAATTATTATTTTTTCTTTTTATGTGATAATGGTGATTGTGTTGAATATAAAACTGTCAAATTTAATAAAAACCTTTTTTAATAAGACCCTAGGGCTCCCTTCCAAGGCTGCAATGCTGGGATTCTAGATCATGTTGGGGGGGCCCCTTGGCCGGCCCTCTGGCTGCTGCCAGCCAGGCCTTTGGAGACCCCCTGCTGACCCCTCCTCTGCCCTCCCCCAGGCTTGACAGGACGATGTCGGAGGTGCGCAGGGCCAGCACCAGCAGTCTTCAGCGCAAGAAGCCCCCAGGGCTGATGCTGGACATTCCCGCCCCAACGGTGTTGGCTGAGGAACCAGTCATGGCACAGGTAGTCATTTTTATCATCTCTTACAATTTTTAAATTTTTATTTATATTTTTCAGAGATATACATTTCACCGATTTTACAATCACTTTGACATTTTAAAACTTGACTTCCTTCCCCCTCTCTCTGCGGTTCCTTAAATTTATTTTCAATATCTTCTGCACAGCTAAATTAACTTAACACACTCATTTGCAGTATCTTATTTGAATATATACTCTCATGTAACTGCAGGTTATTACAGTAATCCTGCCAGTGTTGTTATCTGCTTACAATTTATCTGTAAATATTCAATAAACCGTTTCCATTCTTTTATAAAAAGTTTGTTATCTTGATTTCTTATTATTCCGGTAAGTTTTGCCAATTCTGCACATTCCGTAAGTTTTTGTATCCATTCTTCCTTTGCTGGGACTTCTGCTTCTTTACCTTTAGGGCCAAGAAACATTCTTGCTGCTGTAGTCGCACACATGAATAAGTTTCTATACAATTTATGTAGTTTTGTCCCTATAATTCTCAAGAGAAAAGCTTCTGGCCTTTTTTTAGAAAACATGATTTTAAACATCCTTTTCATTTCGTTGTATATCATTTCCAAGTCAGCCTTAACCTTACCACAAGACCACCACATATGATAAAAAGAACCTATTTTATTGCATTTTGACCTGTATTTTAAATTGGGTTTCCCCCCCTATTATGTTTTTTACTATGATTTTATTGGTGTTAGCCGCCCTGAGCCCGGCTCTGGCTGGGGAGGGTGGGGTATAAATAAAATTTATTATTATTATTATTATTAGTTACATTTGCATACTACTATTTCCTCCTGGGAATTCAGGGTGTGGCCCCTGCCCCCCCCCCATTTTATCCTCACAGCAACCCTGAGAGGTAGGTTAGGCTGAGAGACAGTCTCACCCTGTGAGCTTTGTGGCCGAGTGGGGGACCCCTGAGCCCAGTCTCTCTGCTCTAACCACTAGACCACGCTCCCCAGTGAGGCGGGGAAGGAGAGGGCCATAGGACTGGGCGCCCCACCAGTGAGGGGTTGGGGGATTCCCATGCCTGAGACCTCCGGCAGCCAGCAGTCTCACAGCCAGTGCCTCGTGTCCCCCGCCCCCCGTTTTGCTCCAACCCCTTTTGTTTTCCCTCGGCAGCCCCCCAAGCCCCGGGCCTTCCTCCGCAGCGTCAGCATGCCCACCGAACACACCCGCTTCCCCTCCCCCTTCGGCGACCTGCGGCGCCCTGTCCTCCAGCGACACACCTCCATCACCCAGACCATCCGGAGGTAAGATCGCAGAATCAGAGCCTGATGGGGGGAGGGGGAGGGACCCTGAGGGTCATCCAGACCAACCCCCTGCAATGCAGGAACCTAAACAATGGCATCCGTGGCAGATGGAAGCCCGACCTCTGCTCAAAACCCTCCAAGGAAGGAGAGAGGGAAGAAGTCTCTTCCACTGTCGGCAGAAATTTCTTCCTGATGTTGAGTCGGAATCTCCTTTCTTGTGACTTGAAGCCATGGGTTCGAATCCTGTCCCTCCGGAGCAGGAGAAAACAATCCCGCTCCATCTTCCGTGCGACGGCCCTTCAGAGACCCAAAGATGCTCTCAGGCCTCCTCTCCTCCAGGCTAAACTCTTCTGGGTTACATCCTCCTCACCAGCTCCTTTCTCCTCCACATCTGGGTCTTTTGCCTTTGCCAACTTGGTGCTCTGCAGATGTTTGGGATGTCAACTCCCATCAGCCCCCTGGGCCAGCGCAGGTGTGGGGCACTGGGCTAATGGGGTCAGAGCTCTCCCCCAAACCCCAGGAGGGCAGCAGGTTGGCAAAGGCTCTTGGAGGGAGTCAGGGTCCTTCTCTCCTGCCCTCCCCTCCAGCCTTGGAAGGGTCTTGGGTAGGAAGCCCCTGCCAGGGTCCCTGGGCACCACCAGGTTGCCTCCTTTGCCCCCCCCCCCCACCGCCAGCGCCCCCTCAGCTGTCTCTCCTTTGCAACAGGCAGGTCCGCTTTGAGATGACTCAGACTTTGCCCGTTCAGGGGCGCCAGGTGGGCAGGAGGCCCCCCAGGAGACACCAGTCTCTGCCCAAAACAGTCTTCAGGTACCTGCAGTGCTGGTGTGACCCCCCCGCCGCCCCAGTGCATGTGTGTGACGTGCATGTGGGTCCCCAGGAGCAAAGCCTGCTCCTCCTGCCCCATCTCTCTCCCCATCTCGCAGCCAACAGGTGGCCAATTGCTATCCCCCCCCCACATGCACGCACCTGCCCACCCCAAACCTGGCATGGCCCCACTGCTTGCCTGCAGGAGAACAGCCTGTCACCCACTTGCCTTGGCGCAACTGGGCCAGTCTGGTTTCCAACCGGGTCTTGGATTGTCCGGCTTGGACCGAGTGTGAGTCCACAAACAGTCTTGGCTCTCCGTCCTGCAGAGTAGTCTCTGGCCCTGTGGTGGGACCCTCGTGGCTCTCCCTTTCTCTCTGTGCCCCCCGACCCTGCAAGGATGGGCACCGGGAGAGGGAAGGCTGCCCGGGCGCAGCTCCCACAGCGCCGCATTGAGCTCAGAAGTGCAGCGCTGGGGAGCTGCCTGCAGCCAAAATTCTGTCCCTGCCTGCCTGTTGTGAATAACCTCTACTAATGTGGGGTCCCCCCCCCCCAGGCCACCCTGTGACAGACGCACTAATAGCAGCAGCAAAATGGCTAACCTCGTCGGCCAGCTTGCCAGCGGTTCCCCCCAGGTTGCGACTCCGCTGCTGGTCCGGCCTGAGGGAGCGCGAGGGTTCGGTCCGATCTTGCTGCAGTTGTGGGGGGACTGGCGAAAGCGCCGCAGGGGACCGGGTGGGGCCCGTCTGTTTGGGCCCCCTGAGTTTGGCTGCTTCCTCCTCTGCTGCTTCCCCTCTCAGGGGCACGGCCGACTGGTTTGGCGTCAGCAAGGAGAGCGACGCCACGCAGAAGTGGCAGCGGAAGAGCCTTCGCCACTGCAGCCTGCGCTACGGGAAGCTGAAGCCCCAGGTCATTCGAGAGATGGACCTCCCCAGCCAGGACAACGTCTCCCTGGCCAGCGCCGAGACGCCGCCTCCGCTCTATGTGCCACCCTGCCAGCTGGGCATGCAGAGGGTGAGCCGGTCCGGGGCCCTGTTGTGGGACGAGGGGGCTGCTGGGCGTGGGGCAGGAGATGCCCTGCACCCACGGGACCCCTGGGCACTGGGAAAAGGGTGTATTGGGCCGGGGGCAGACCCTTCCCACCATCCCAGGGCACCCCTGGTCTTGCGCCCGGGGGGGGGGGCAAACGAGTGGGGGGGCTTGCACAACCCACTTTCAGGAAACTGGGAGGCCACACCTGCACACACCTGGCCCATTGTCCCAGGCCAGGTGAGCAAGAGGTCTCCTTTCTACTGACATCATTTCACCCCTGATGTTGCCATAAATAATGCTGTGACCTCATTTCTCTGGGGGCCACTAGCAATGCTAGTGTATTTTAATTAATTGATGTCTGTTTTTATGCATATTGTGTTGTTTTTATGATGTTAGCCGCCCTGAGCTGGGGAGGGCGGGATACGAATAAAATATTATTATTATTATTATTATTATTATTATTATTACCCGGGATGGACCCCCTCCTTTGGGTGCCCTCTGGCATAGCAGCCGCCCACGGTCTCCGTGGCTGCAGGGCGGCCTGCGGCGAGGGCCCTCCCTGGCTAACGGGCCCCTCCCTCCTTGGCGCCGCCAGATCATCGACCCCCTGGCGCGGGGACGGGCCTTCCGGATGGCCGAGGACAGCGAGGGCTGCAGCGTGCCCCACACGCCGGCCACACCAGGGGCCATGTCGCTCTGCTCCTTCACCAGCTCCCGGTCAGGCTTCAACCGGTGGCCGCGGCGGAGGAAAAGGGAGTCGGTGGCCAAGATGAGCTTCCGAGCCGCAGCAGCTCTGGTGAAGGTAAGGCGGGGGGTTGGCAGGAGGGGCATTCAGTGGGCGAGGAAATCCCGCTTGCCTTGGTTGGTTGGGGGCCTGGTGGAAGATCCAGTGGGGGCATCAAGCGCCAGGCAGAGGGAGGGAGGAAGAGGGCCATTTGAAGTACTGTGAGCAGTCATTTCTTTAAAAATAATAATATTTTTTAAAATCATTTTTAATTTTACAAATATAATTTTTTAACAGTCCAAATACACATCCCTATCTATCTATCTATCTATCTATCTATCTATCTATCTATCTATCTGAATCTTCAAACTCCCCCCCCCCATCCCCTTCATGGGTCCTATTGTTAACATTTAAAACTGCATATTATTCTGTAATCTATATTTTATATCAATCCATATTATCCATAGCATTTGTTACATTACAAGTGAGATTAAAATCCTGCTAATGTTTTCATCTGTTTGCAGTGGTCTCCTAAATAAATTATATGTTTTCCCATTCTTTTTAAAAGTTTTAGTCCTCTTGGTTCCTGAGCTCAGGAACCTGGAAAAAACATTTTTTGTTAACTTTCAAAAAAAGATCATAAGAGATTTTGCAGAATACAGCGTTGTCAGACAGAGTCTGGTGACAATATGCCTAGTCGCTAGTTGCAGGCATGGCCAAACTCGGCCCTCCAGCTGTTTTGGGACTACAATTCCCATCATCCCTGACCACTGGTCCTGTTAGCTAGGGATGATGGGAGTTGTAGTCCCAGAACATCTGGAGGGCCGAGTTTGGCCATGCCTGCAACCCCACCAGAGGTCGAACTAGGATCCCATTTCTGAACATCCCTTCCAGCACTTTGTTGATGTCGATGAATTTATGTACAAGAGTCTTCTAGGAGTCCTGGACCACTTAGGAATCAACTTTATTGACCGTTCTTTATATTTAGCAGATATATTATGAAAAGGAATTTCTGCCCCACATTGCTATCCAAGTGTCTTCAGTTCTGTCAGGTTCTAAATCTGTTCCAGGATATCCTTGAACCTGTTTGGAGTCCGGGTTCATGTTTGAGTGAAATTTTTATAGATATTAGAAATCATGCCTTTTGAATAGCGTGGAGAAATAAGAAATAAGAATTACATTTTCAAAATTGGAAAGCTCACATCTGGCAGAGGTTTGAACAATTCCGTTGTGTAGGAAAGCACTAACTTGCCACCATGTCAACCGAGGGAAGTGGACGTTTCCCAATTTCTCTTTCGATTCCATTTCTCTGATCGATTTCCCCTTTATATAGAAATCTCCTGCTTTGTGACTTGACCTAATCCTCTTTTAAAGCCATCCAAGGTGGTGGCCATCCCTGTGGCAGGGAGTTCCACAGTTTACTTCTGCGCTGCGTGAAAGAGGGCTTTATTTTATCTGTCCCCAATCTTCCAACGCTCAGCTCTGTTGAATGCCCACGAGTATGGATGCTGAGATGGAGAAAAGCTTTTCGCTGTCCACTTTCTCCATGCCAGGCATAATTTTATAAACTTCTGCCACGTCTGCTCTTTCTCCCCTTTTCTCTAAACTAAAAAGTACCAAACGCTGCCAGCTTTCCTCCTGGGGGACCCTCTCCACCCCCTTGATCATTCCGTTCACCCTTTTCCAACTCTGCAATGTCCGTTCTGTGGGATGTAATCCACTGGGAGCAGTCAAGTACAACATCCCTTGTTTTCCTAGAGTGGACATGCAAGGGGATGTTGGTCCAGCCAATCGAAACTTCCTGTTTCCTCCCGGGCTGGAGCATCCTTCCTTGCATGTGACTAGAGGTGGGCGTGACCTTACCTGTCCAGGTAACAAAAGGACGAGTCACGCAGCACCCTTTCCTTCTTCGTTCGACCAGCTTTTTAGCTAGGAATGCTCTGCTAGCTCTCAACTAGCAGAAGCACTGGGATTATTCCCCCATATGGGGTAGATCCACATATTTGTAACTAAGTCTGCCTTCAGGAATCCAACTGTGAACTGATGTGAGTAAACTTCTTTTATTGACTTAAAATAAGATTGTTGTGTCTTCATTCTTTTAAGAGGGATTCAAGGGAACTTACCAGGAGTGTACAGTTCAATCTTAGACAGACTCAATTGTGTAATAGTGAGAGGCTCACATGAGCCTGCAACCAGCTATCTGCTGTGCATGTAAAAAGGGGGAATGTAAACTCTGCTACATAAAGGAACTTGCTAGCGCAAGTTAGGAAGAATATGAATAAACAATATATCCTCTCCTGCCACCCTGAACATTCCCACACTTTCTGAGCTGAGGCGACCAGAATTGGGCACGGTATATATTCGTCATGCTGTTTCAGCCTGGATTTGCACAACGGCTTCTGCCATCTCTCCTCCCTGGCAGGGCCGGTCCGTGCGGGACGGCAACTTGCATCAGGCTCAGCAGCGCAGCTTCACCCCGGCCAGCTTCCTGGAGGAAGACACAGGGGATTTCCCAGAGGAGCTGGACACCTCCTTCTTTGCTCGGGTAAGGAAGGGCCGGCACTGGCACTGGGGGTGGCAGAGGAGGCAGAGCCCGGCCGGCATTGGCCTGGCTTCTGCGGCTGAGCGCCCCCTCTCCTCCCCAGGAAGGGGTCCTGCATGAAGAGCTCTCCACGTACCCCGACGATGTCTTTGAGTCGCCCTCGGAAAGCGCCATCAAGGACACCGAAGTGAAGCTGCCGCAGCCGCAGCTGCAGCCGGAACCTGGCCTCACTGGGGGGGCGCTGGACAGAACTGAGCTGGAGAGGAGTCACCTGATGCTGTGAGTCCTCTGGGGGGCTGGGGCTGCTCCCTGGGGGGCCGGAGAGGGAATGGGGATGGGGGTGTTCTGCTTGCTGGCCGGACGCCCCAGCCGCACGCTACCCAATGCTTTGTCTGTTCTCTCCGGCTGGCAAAGCTGCCAAGCCTCTCTGGGCCAGCGGGCGCCACAAGGCGAGGCTCCTGGCGCCTGCAGATTTGCCTGCCTTTTGCAAGACCCTGTGTGGGGCTGCCCCACAGCGAGCTTCCCTGCCTGCTGCCTCCCCTTGCTTGCACTTGAAGGGGGCTCCCTGGGACAGCCACTGGCTGCTACGGGACAGCTGCAGGGGACAAGCTCAGCCTCTTCCCCTCTCAAGGCAGCGGGTCGGCTTGCGAATCGGCCCCGGCAGAGGCATTGGTGCCGCTGGGCCAGGGACACGGTCTGCTGGGCTTCCAGTTGCAAAAAGGGGCTCCTCCGCTCGTTCGATCAGCCACAAAATCCCTTAAGGGTTTAATCTCTAGAATTACGTAAGAGAACAAGAGGAAGACAGGTTTAGAGAAGATTGGAAAACATTTATTGAATATATGGGGGGAAATGGTGTACACCTGAAAACGCTGGCAGCATTAAGATAAATTCAGCAGTGTAAATAAGTTTAGATGGATGTAATACAGTCATACCTCATGTCACGTCTGCTTCATGTTACGTTTTTTCAGGTTATGTCCCGCGGCGACCCGGAAGTACCAGAAAGGGTTACTTCCGGGTTTTGCTGCTCGTGCATGCGCAGAAGCGCAAAATGATGTCACGTGCATGCACAGAAGCGGTGAATCGCAACCTGTGCGTGTGCAGACACATCGCTGCGGGTTGCACTCTTTTCATGTTGTGAACGGGCCTCTGTAACGGATCCCATTCGCAACCAGAGGTACCACTGTAATGGAATACTGAATGATTTAGTTTTTGTAAAATATGCTGGGGTTTATGATATGTCAAATGAAACACAGAAAGAGAAGAAGGGAAGTCATTGCCATCTTAAGGATGTTAAAATGAGTATTTTAAATTGCTAATCAGAAAATTTAATAAAAACTTTATAAAATCATCATCATCATCTCTAGAATTATGCCCCTTGGATGATTGCAAAGGTCACCCCCAAAGCCAAGGCCATCTTTTCAAAAGAGTGTCGAGAATCACCGGCTGAGCAGGAAGCGAGCTCTGCGGCAGCTTCAGTTGCCCTGCAGGGGCTGGGGGGGTTTGGGCCCTGCAAGCAGAAGACCCCTCCCTGCCCCACGGGCGATGGCTCCTTCCCTGCCCTGCCCAGCTGGGGGGCGCATTCCGTGGCCGTTCCTGAGTGCCCCTCTCTCTCTCCTCCCATCCTGCAGCCCCCTGGAGCGCGGCTGGCGGAAGCAGAAGGAGGGGGCGCAGGTGGGGCAGCCCAAGGTCCGCCTGCGGCAGGAGGTGGTGAGCCTGGGCCTCCAGCGGCGGGGGCAGCGCATCCGGGTCCCTGTCCGGAAGCTCTTTGCCAAGGAGAAGCGCCCCTACGGGCTGGGCATGGTGGGCCGGCTGACCAACCGGACGTATCGCAGGCGGATCGACAGCTTCGTTAAGCAGCAGATCGAGGACATGGATGACCACCGGTGGGTGACAAAGCGGGTGGGGGCTTGGTTCTGCGGGTGGGGCTGCAGCGGCTGAAGGGGCCAGAGCTCCTAGGGGCTGCCCTGCTCCTCATAGAATTGTAGAGTGGGCAGGGACCCCCAGAGGCCATCTAGTCCAACCCCGAGCAACGCAATGTCCTACCTCCAGGGAGATTCCTTCCCACAGAGGGAGCTTGTTCTGCCGTCGAGCAGCTCTTACTCTCGGGAAGTTCTTCCTGATCTCGAGTCGGGCCTCCCCCTGCCAAGCCTGATCCCTCTCCCCACTGCAGGCCGTTCTTCACCTACTGGCTCACCTTTGTCCACTCGCTCATCACCATCCTGGCCGTCTCCATCTACGGAATCGCCCCCGTGGGGTTTTCACAGCACGAGACAGTGGATTCGGTGAGTGGCAGAAAACACGGCCATTGCGGAGCCGGTGGCAGCTTCAGCCAACCCCCCATTGCCTCTGTGGCCCCTTCCCCTTCCTTGACCACAGACCCAGGAATATCTCCCCCCCCCCTTGCAAAGAGGCACCTGCCTCCCAGGCTTCTGCTCCTTTGCCTGGTGGGGTGAGGGGGGGGTTGTGCATCTGCAGGGCCCCTTTGCCCCCCCCCAACTCTCCCTTGCAAGGAGCCATGGCTTCCTTTTCGGCAGGTCTTGAGAAACCGCGGGGTCTACGAGAACGTGAAGTATGTGCAGCAGGAGAACTTCTGGATCGGCCCCAGTTCGGTGAGTGGCCCAGGCTGGTGTGGCTCTGTGGCAGCAACAAGGGGTTGGCTGCCGTGGCTCTGAGGCCGGTGGCCTTCTCAGTGGGGGCTCCCTGGCTTGTGGGGTGCTCTCCCCAGGGGGGCTCACTGGGTGCCTTCCTTGCACACCATCAGGTGCCAGGCAAAAACGTTCCACCTCTCCTAGGCCTTTGCCTGTTGTTTTTAATAATTTTTTAAAAATTTTATTTTACAAATATCATTTAAAAAGAAAACCAATTGCATATCCATTATAATATTTTCTGCTCCTTTGGAATCTTAGTGCCTATAATTCCTAATAGAAAAGCTTCTGTATTTTTTAACAAAGGTTATTTTAAACTTTTTTTCATTTTGTTAGATATCCTCTCCCTGGCAATCCATCACGGCCTTTTAAAGCAGCTTGTGTGTTATTGTCTTTCCCCCTCTTTTACTCTTACTTATAGAATTTCATGGAATTGTAGAGTCGGACGGGACCCCCCAGGGTCTTCTAGTCCACCCCTCTGCAAGGCAGGGACCTTTTGCTCAGCCTGGGGCTCAAACCCACAACGCTGAGATTGTAAGAGCCTCACTTTCTCCCAACCAAGTTCTATGCTGTCAGCTGCCCTGGAGTCTCTTGATGAAGGGCGGCCTGTCAGCTTGATAAGCAACGATCCGTAGTAACGATGCCGCTGCCCCCCCCCCCCAGGAAGCCCTCATCCACCTGGGCGCAAAGTTTGCCCCTTGCATGCGGCAGGACCAGCAGGTGCACAGCTTCATCCGCGCTGCCCGCCAGAAGGAGAAGCACTCCGCCTGCTGCGTGCGCAACGACAAGTCCGGCTGCGTGCAGACGCCTGCGGAGGAGTGCTCGGTGAGACACCGCTGGCCTGGGCACCCACACTGGGTGGGGGAGCGCCCACTCTCTGACCCACCACCCACAGCCTGGCACCTGCTCCTGGGTGCCAGGGCTCCTCCACTCCCTGCAAAGGGAGACCCTCCTCCTCCTCTCACCCCCTCGCTCTCCCTTGCAGTCCACCCTGGCCGTGTGGGTGAAATGGCCGCGGCACCCCAGCGCCCCCCTGCTGGCAGGAGACAAGCGGCAGTTTGGCTCGGTCTGTCACCAAGACCCCAGGTAGGTCGGTTGATGGGTGCCGGAGGCCTAGTCTGTGGCCCAGTCACTCTCCCGCTGCGCTGATGGCCTGAACCTCCCCAGGAACAGCAGAGAGGAGGTGAGGGAATTGGGGTTCACCCCCTGCTCACCCCCCAGCACTGCTGATCTCTTTCCTGCGCAGGGTCTGTGAACAGCCAGCCTCCATGGATCCCCACGAGTGGCCGGATGACATCACCAAGTGGCCGGTAAGGCTGCTGACGATTTGGGGGCTACTGTGGGGGGGAGGAGGGAGGGCACTGCACCTGCGACAGAGTGGGAGAGGCCAAAGGAGCAACTGCAGCAGAACAGCCCTCTGGAGCTGATCGTGGGTCTTGATCTCTGTAAGATTGCTGCCCCCCCTTACTTCTGCAGCCCCAGAAGAGAACAATTTCTTTTTTAAAGTTCCTCAGCCAGGGCCCCAGCCAGCACTCCTCAGCTCCAGCTACAGCCTTGGGGTTTCCTTGGAGTGCAGAGGCAGCCCATTATAACAACAACAACAACAGTAATAATAATAATAATTTATTTGTACCCCGTCCATCTGACTGGGGTTCCCCAGCCACTTTGGGTGGCTTTCAACAGAACATTCAAAATGGAATAAAACATCAAACATTCAAAACTTCCCTAAACAGGGCTACCTTCAGATGTCTTCTAAATGTCAGGTAGTTGTTTATTTCCTTGACATCTGAAGGGAGAGTGTTCCACAGGGTGGGAGCCACCACCGAGAAGGCCCTCTGCCTGGCTCCCTGTAACCTCGCTTCTCGCAGGGAGGGAACCGCTAGAAGGCCCTCGGAGCTGGACCTCAGTGTCTGGGCTGGATGATTGGGGTGGAGACGCTCCTTTAGGTATACGCTGTCTCTGAGTCTATCCTGGACGTTGGAAAAGTGCGCTGGTCCCCAGCAACTTTGATCCTAAACTCCCAGCAGCCTGAAGGCCAAGCCTCTGGGGATCCTAAAGCCCTGGGGTTGGAAACCGCAAACATGACAGCCGCCAAACGAAGGAATTTCATTAGGAAGAAAAGGCAGGGGGAAATCAGGCAGGTGGTCAGAGCAGAATGCAAAGGAAACGCCAGCCCCGGGGCTCCACAGCGGAATGAAACCTAGCCAGGTTTGCTCACAAGGAATCTGGAAGGCTGCTCAGCTTCATTCAAGATCCCGTCTTGGATCCCTGGTGCTGGAAAGGGGATCCCCTGGTGATGGGAGAGGAACAAGCTGCAGGAAGCAGGCTCTTGTTGTCTCCCTTTAAAAACTTTTTCATGGGGACCTCCTGGCCCTTTCTGCCCTGTTCCTCAGCTGGGCATTTCAAGCGCTCATTCCAAGGACTGGCAGGAAATATCTGTGGGTTGCCTTAGGCAGGTTAAAGCAACCAAATTTTTAAAATAGTAATAATACGATGACTGGGGAATGGTGGACAGGTCTGGCCTTTCTTGGCTCTTGCTGGAAGCTCCTTAGGCGAGGGACAGAATTTCTTGCCCCTCCAACTGCCCAGCAGCTGCATTTTTTCTGTGGACTCTGGCAGAGAAGTGTGTGTGTTTGGGGTGTGTGTTCCTTTCCCTTCGCCTCTGGGACCTGCAGAGATGGGGGGTGGCAGGAGGCCCCTCCAGCCGGGACATGCTCCGAGGAGGGAGGCCCACACCCACTGCCCCCCCTCCTTCCAGATCTGCACCAAGAACAGCGCTGGCAACTACACGAACCACCCGCACATGGACTGCGTCATCACCGGCCGCCCCTGCTGCATTGGCACCAAGGGAAGGTAGGGGGAGGCCTGGGGGAGGCGGGGCAGCGCTAGGTGGCAGGCTGCCCATTGGCCACTCCGGGGAGGAGGGTGGGGGAGATTGACAGCCACCCCCAAGGGATCAGCTTGGACCGTGTGTGTTCCCCATCCCTGCCCTTCTGCTGCCCCCCTTAACTTCCCAGCTCTCTGCCCTCTTTCTTCCCAGGTGTGAGATCACATCTCGAGAATACTGCACCTTCATGCACGGCTACTTCCACGAAGAGGCCACCCTCTGCTCCCAGGTAAAGCCCTCTCCCCGACTGCCACATCTTGTGTGTTCCTTTCAGAGCAGGTTGAGGCCCTGGCAGTGCTAAGCCCAGGTGTGCTCTCTCCCCCAGGTGCACTGCATGGATGATGTCTGTGGGCTCCTGCCCTTCCTCAACCCAGAGGTCCCAGACCAGGTGTACCGCCTGTGGCTGTCGCTGTTCCTCCACGCAGGGTAAGGCTGGCACTGGGCCCCCACCAGGACACACCAGCAAGGTGTGGGGGGAGGGGAGGGAGGGTTGTTTTCTCCCCCCCCCCCGCCGCCCAGGTCCAACTGGCCTCCCTCTCCCCTGCCCAGCAGGATCCTGCACTGCTTGGTGTCAGTGTGCTTCCAGATGACCATCCTGCGAGACCTGGAGAAGCTGGCTGGCTGGCACCGCATCTCCATCATCTACCTGCTGAGCGGCATCACGGGCAACCTGGCCAGTGCCATCTTCCTGCCCTACAGAGCCGAGGTGGGTCTGGGGCTGCCAGGGGCAACGCAGCCCTTTCCTTTGGGCCCAGGGCTAGGGCACCCCCTGGGCAGGGACATGGCCCCAGGCAAGGCCTCTCCAGGAACAGCTTGGGGGAGCCTTCCTGCCAGAGCAGAGCAACCGCTGCTGCTCGCCTGTGTAAGCAGAGCTGAGCCTGATGGGCCCATGGTCTGACTCTGGCCAAGGCAGCTCCCCAGTCCACCCACAACCCCAGGCCGCTCCTTCCTCTTCTGGCTCCCTTTGCTGGGCTTTTGCTTCCTGCTCCCGGCTGTGAAAGCCCCCTTTTCTGGCCTGGAGGTGGGGCCCCCTCCTTGCTCTACTTGTAGGGAAGCAGCTTCTCAACTGCCTCCCCCCCACGCCCCCCCCAAGGGGGGAAGGTGTTTTGCCAAAGGCAGGCCTAACGGGGACTCTGCCTGCCTGCCTCCCTCCCCTCTCAGGTGGGCCCTGCGGGCTCCCAGTTTGGCATCCTGGCCTGCCTCTTTGTGGAGCTCTTCCAGAGCTGGCAGATCCTGGCGCGTCCCTGGAGGGCCTTCTTCAAGCTGCTGGCCGTGGTCCTCTTCCTCTTCGCCTTCGGCCTCCTGCCCTGGATCGACAACTTCGCCCACGTGGGCGGCTTCGTCAGCGGCCTCTTCCTCTCCTTCGCCTTCCTGCCCTACATCAGCTTCGGCAAGTTTGACCTGTACCGCAAGCGCTGCCAGATCATCGTCTTCCAGCTGGTCTTTGCGGGGCTGCTGTCCGGCCTGGTGGTCCTCTTCTATTTCTACCCCATCCGCTGCGAGTGGTGCGAGTTCCTCACCTGCATCCCTTTCACGGACAAGTTCTGTGAGAAGTACGACCTGGACGCGCAGCTCCACTGAGCGGGGGGGACGACCCCTCCCCAACTCCCCAGCGCACTTAATTTAAACTCTTGCTTCTTCTTGCACCCGAGCTGCCTTAGCCCAGAGGAACGGAGACTCGTTTGCTGCAACCGGAACCTCTCGCCGTGCCTTGTTTTACGGAACTCTTTTCCCCCGCTGCCCTGTTTTTATGACGCTCCCTTTCAAAATGGCCTTTTTAACGGGATTTGTTACTTGTTGCCCAGGTGGTGATTAAAACACACAGGTAGCGTTTTAGCTACATTTCCAAAAAGGCCTTGGGCATTTCGTTTGCGCTCGATGGTGAAAGGTGGGGCCGCGGGGGAGTGCGTCCTTCGTGCAGTGCCAGAAACCCAGATTCTAACACCAGAAAGGCAAGAAGCTACCCCTGGATAGGGAAGGCAAGACCCTCAAAATGAAGAAGCCCCCTGATGCTGAGAGAGCCCCTAGATGCCCTCTGCTGGGATGAATCATCCTGTGTTGGGAGGGAGGATGGGGGTTCAAGTTGGGGGCTTGGGGTCCCTTCAAACCCTACGCTTCTATGATTCCATGCCCCCAAGTCACCTGGGCTGCGCTTTCTGCAAGCTCCTCCTGGCTTTGGGGACGTTACCCCATTCTGCAAGAGCCGCTTCTCCAAATCACAACACAGCCGCCTCCCATTGCTCATGCACTTTATTGAAATCCAGCTAAGGGTGACCCTCCAGCGGGTGAGAGTCTTTGGCTGGGCACTGGGCACCCGCTGCTGAGGTGCTGCTGTGTGGCTGTTGCTCCCAAATCTGCCCAGTTCACAGACAGCCCCCTCTCTCCAAACCTGGACTCACAGCTGCCCTTGCCGGCCTCAGAGGAAACACCTTTGCCCTCCTGGGTCCAAAACGACACCCCCCTTCTGGCAGCAGCGGTCCCTCGGGTGACTCAGTTGCTGACGGAAGCAGCGCAAGTCTGAAGCGCTCCTGGGTCACAGCTGTGGCTTTCAAAGAGTGGCCTCTCCCCATTTCAGAAACGCCAAGCGGCGCTCAGAGAGCCTCCTCAAAGGGCACCTGTAGGGGAAGACAAGGACCAAAGGCTCCTTTAGGAGAAGCAGCTGCTGGGCTCTCCAAATATTTGAGGGCAGCTGAATGTAGCTCAGAGCCTCTGCTTTGAGCACTGCAAAACCTCACTGCATTCAGGTCCAGAGTGAGAAAACCTGCACACCTCCCCCCCCTGGTGAGGTCATGTTGGTTATGGGGACCGAGTACGAGCCTTGTGGCTTCAGCATCTGCTCACATCCAAGGCTGATGGATCTAAGAAAACTGCCCGCCCCCCCGCCTGACAAAGCCACTAGCACCTTTCTCCAGAAGGCAGGCACAGCTGGTGGAGGGGCACTTTCTGCCTGCCAGCTACGGAATAAAACTATTTCCCAAACTGACCCCCAGATGCTCAGCTTAAAAGCACAACAATTTCCCCCCAAGAAAATTCTACTTTTCACCATGTTGTAAACCAGGGGTCAGCAAGCTTTTCCAGCAGGGGGCTGGTCCACTGTCCCTCAGTCCTTCTGGGGGGCCGGACTATTTTTTTGGGGGGGGTGTGTGTAATGAATGAAGACCAGGCAGGCCTCACAAATAACCCAGAGATGCATTTTAAATAAAAGCACACATTCGACTCATGTAAAAACACGCTGATTCCCGGACAGTCCGAGGCCGGATTTAGAAGGCAATTGGGCCAAATCCGGCCCCCAGGGTTTGCCTACCCATGTTGTAAATGGTCACTTCTGAGACTGCATTAAGCACGTTACTGAACCTAGTTCAGTTCAGCAGTGCTGGTTTCCTTCTCAGCAAAGGGAATCTGTTCTTTGCCTGTCCAGGGCATTCAATGGAACCAAAGAAGGAAGACTCCTTCCCCCCTCCAGCTTTCTCCTGCCCACAGCAGAGCTGCTGAGAGGCAGCCAAGCACGAGACGTGGGACAGCAGTGGGGAACAGAAGACCCAGCAAAGAGGTCAGGGGTATTTTGGGACTTGCCTGGCAGCTCATTTCCGGAGCTTTTTCACGAAGCTGACTTCATCTCGGTTTCGGATGCCGTACCTAAAAATAGCGTCGCTCACGTTACACGTCTGCCAAAACACACACATTGCCGTCGTGACAGACCCACCCACCCTTCTCCCCAAGGGCCAAGGAACATCAGGGGGAAAGCTGGATCAGGCCACCGTTCCGACTAGTCCAGCATCCTGTTCCCCACAGGAGCTCAGCACAACACCGCCCTTCCCACTGCTCATCCCAGGGACCACAGCCTTTGTCCACAGGGCCAATAGTCTTTTTGATTATTATTTCAAAACCAAAAAAAATTACAAACATCAAATTCAAAATCCACATTCATTTTCTAACATAAGCCTATTACATAGATTACCTAAATTAAAATATATCTAATTGCTCTAGGCTTCCCTTTGCTATATGTAAATACAACGCAATTAACAAATTATATTATAAATGATATAGGTTCCCATATACCCTCCACTCCCCTTCACCCATGTGTGATCTCAACATTTTACTTCTTCCATCTTGCTGTGTTGTTATAATTTAATAATTATTCAATTGATTCTATTATTATTTTCTTGCTTACCCCTGCACGTTTTACACATTCTCTATTAACATTTCAATTCCGGAACCATATTTTTTCATGTATTGCTTCACTCCATCCCACTCTCCAATTATTCTCTGATTTGAGTGACCTCTAATAATTGCCGTCAATTTCGCCATTTCTACAAACTCACAGAGTTTGTTTTGCCATTCTAACAGTGATGGGATTTTCTCCCCCTTCCACTAGTCTTATCTGCCAAGAACTGGCCTCCTCTCCTCTTGAAGCCACCCACCTGGGTGGGTGGCCAGCCGTGTGATGCTGAATTCAACAGCTGAGTTCTGCGCTGAATACTGCTGCACCCCCAGCCTGCTCCTTTTCTCCACCCTCAGCCTGTCCAGAGTCACAGCTTCTCAAATGCAATATTTTATTTCTGGAAGAGAGAACAGCAGCCACACCCCCTTTTTTGGCTCCCCCAAGTCCCAGGGCAGCTGGTTTCCTGCCCTCGCCTGACTGCTGGGGCTCCTCTCCTTTCCCCGCACAAATCTGTAATGAACTCCAGCTGTGTTCCCTCCCACCTTTCGTGGGACTCGGCCCCAAAATGATGCAAGTTGGGTGAGCCCCACCAAAGCCGGTTGGAGCCTCCCGTGACTCACTCTCTCAGCTTCTTCCTGTCGTCTGTCAGCTTCTCTGCGCCAAACGTTAAGCAGTATGTTCGCCACACGTACTTCCTGCAAGGGGAGGTTTGCTTATTTATAAAAATACTTGCTATGCCGCTTTATCGTAGTAATACAGCACAGCGGCTCACAACAATATAAAACCACGCAGTAAAATTGTTAGGGAAAAATCTAGGTGCGAGGCTGCTCAGTCCCCCAGCTGGTCGGGCAGAGCCCGCGGGTCCCTGCGGAATAAAGGAAGGAGTCCAGCCACCAACCGGAGCAAAGCAAAGTTTATTGCGCAACAGGTTCAAAGAGGAATTTTGAACCCCGAGGATGGGGTGACAAGGACTTTTAAAAGTTTCTATCTTATCCCAACATACAGTTCATTAAGCATCATCACTACATCATCGCTACACCAGAAAAGGGGAGGGTTATATATGATTAACATAGGAGGAATGTGTTGGGGCAACAGGCGGAAACAGGATATGTGTTGGGAAGTACATTCTAAGCACCTACTAAAGGTAAAGGGACCCCTGACCATTAGGTCCAGTTGTGGCTGACTCTGGGGTTGCGGCGCTCATCTCGCTTTACTGGCCGAGGGAGCCGGCGTACAGCTTCCGGGTCATGTGGCCAGCATGACTAAGCCGCTTCTGGCGAACCAGAGCAGTGCACGGAAACGCCGTTTACCTTCCCACCGGAGCCGTACCCATTTATCTTCTTGCACTTTGACGTGCTTTCGAACTGCTAGGTTGGCAGGAGCAGGGACTGCTAGGTTGGCAGGAGCAGGGACCGAGCAACAGGAGCTTACGCTGTCACGTGGATTCGAACCGCCGACCTTCTGATCGGCAAGTTCTAGGCTCCGTGGTTTGACCCACAGCGCCACCCGCGTCCCTTTTAAGCACCTACTACAAAGGGACAATAGGACTTGGGTTTGCATAGTCTGCCACCTGGGCAAGTCCGGAGGAGTGCCCTTGCCCAGCGATTACCTTCCTGTGAGTACGTGACCTCCCGCTTGAAGGATTATGGCAGGGACCCAGTGGTTTCCAAATCCTTGGCCAATGAAGCAAATTGGCCGTGGAATGAAGGAAACTGGCAAAGGAGTTGATTTTATATGATTTTTAAAGCTAGGCAACTTCCCTGAGCTGTCAATTCGAAAGGATACCTTTATGCATAATATTTGTAACATTTAAGAACTTTAAAGAGGTCCCTCCCCCCCCCGCCCGGTAATTTCCGTAACAGAAATCATTTAACTTTTTAATGATTTTACTGTATGGTTTTATATTGCTGCATACTGTGGTGATTTACTTTTGTGATCCGGCGGTATTAAAATATATTTAACAAGCAAGTTAAAAGGGAAATAATTAAAAAGAGGCGCCAGCAGACCATTGTGGTGGGATGTACTTGTAACCGCCTGCAAAGGCCTGGCGGAACAAAGTTGGCACAGAAGGTGCCTGTTGGCAGTGTGAGGGCGGAGGGCCGGCAGGTGGGAGCAGCCGGTCAGAGGAGACTAAAGGCTGGCCCACCCGCCTGGGAGGGTCACACAGGAGAACCCCCCACCCGTCCTGGGCAGCGGGAAGGGCTCCACTCACCAGCTGATGTGCTGGATGCCCCCTGCCCGCTCCTGCTTCAGCTGCACAAACCGCTGGATGGCTTTCTTCAGGTCCAGGACGCTGGCATTCTGCACCACCACCACGGCTGCGGAGAAGAAAGCGTTGTCATCACCCCCAGGCGGCATCTTGCGCATCCCGCCAGGACCCAGGAGGGGCTCAGGACACTCTTCCAATCCCGCCCCCCCCCACACACTGGGAACACCTTCAGCACAAGCCGAGGGAGGGGCTTTGCAGGGCAAGAAAAGAGGCCTTGGGTGGCAAAGGGGGGGGGGTCTCTCCCGAAGTGGGCTCTGTGCGGGGAAAAGGGCTGGAAGGGCATTCAGGGCCTTGCTTGCTTGCATTACTGCATTTTAATATTTTGCTGGAAGCCGCCCAGAGTGGCTGGGGAAACCCAGACAGATGGGTGGGGTGGTAGTAATAATAATAATAATAATAATAATAATAATAATAATAATTATACCCTGCCCATCTGACTGGGTTTCCCCAGCCACTCTGGGCAGCTTCCAACCAAATATCAAAAACAATACGGCGTCAGACATCCAAAACTTCCCTAAACAGGGCCCTAAACAGGTATAAATATATATATAAATAATAAATTTATTTATAAATAAGACTAATTGCTCCCCGCACCTCCAAGCCACAGGGCGGGGAGGCTGGGGGCGTCGGCGCCTTCTGCGGAGCCCAGAGTGGGAAGGGCCCTCGGGGGTCATCCAGCCCACCCCCCCCCGCGAGGCAGGGATGTGGGCGGGGCCAGGTCCGAGGGGCGGGGCGACGCCGACTCACGCATGGGGGCCTCGGGGGCGTCGGCTCTGCGCACGCGCACCGTCATGGCCTGGCCGTACTCGAGCGCCACCTGCGAGCCGATCTCCTCGGGGGTCACCTGACAGGGGAGAGGAGGGCGGAGTCAGCGCCGGGGGGCGACAGGCCAGGCTGGCCCCGAACCCGGCCCCTGGGGCGGCCTACCTGCGCGGGGAGGTCGCAGAGCAGCGGGTCCCTCACCAGGCGCGCCAGGCCGGCCTGCCACAGCTGCAGCACCTCGGCGTGGGCCGCGTCCGCCGCGCCCTCCTCTTCCTCCGCCTCCGCCTCAGGCGCCGCCATCTTGGGCAGGGGCGGGGCCTGGGCCGGCGGAAGCGGAAGTGCCTGGGCGGGGCTTGGGCGGCGGGGCGCCATGCTGCTCTTCTGCCCGGCCTGCGGGAACGTGCTGGTGGCCGAGGAGGGCGCGCGCTGCCACCGCTTCGCCTGCACCACGTGCCCCTACGTGCGCAACGTCACGCGCAAGGTAGGGCGGGGGAGGGGAGGGGAGGAGGGGGGGAGGGAAGGAAGGGGGGCCCCCGCCCACCCCCCACCCCCCGCTGGACGAGAAGCAAGAGAGCAGCCAGGAGGCTTGGGCTTGACTGAAGACTGTGACGACAGGACTCCCACCTGCCCCCAGGTGGAACAAGATGGGAGCCCCCAACAAAAGAGAACCCAAACTTTCATTAGCTGCTCATCCCCAGGTTGTTGCTGTTTAGTCGTGTCCGACTCTTCTTGACCCCCTGGACCAGAGCACGCCAGGCCCTCCTGTCTTCCACTGCCTCCCGCAGTTTGGTCAAACTCATGCTGGTAGCTTCGACAACACTGTCCCACCATCTCGTCCTCTGTCGTCCCCTTCTCCTTGTGCCCTCCATCTTTCCCCACATCAGGGTCTTTTCCAGGGAGTCTTCCCTTCTCATGAGGTGGCCAAAGTCTTGGAGCCTCAGCTTCAGGATCTGTCCTTCCAGTGAGCACTCAGGGCTGATTTCCTTCAGAATGGAGAGGTTTGATCTTCTTGCAGTCCATGGGACTCTCAAGAGTCTCCTCCAGCATGTTAAAAAGGTAAAGGTACCCCTGCCCGTACGGGCCAGTCTTGACAGACTCTAGGGTTGTGCGCTCATCTCACTCTAGAGGCCGGGAGCCAGCGCTGTCCGCAGACTCTTCCGGGTCACGTGGCCAGCGTGACGAAGCTGCTCCGGCAAACCGGCACCAGAGCAGCACACGGAACACCGTTTTCCTCCCCGCTAGTAAGCGGTACCTATTTATCTACTTGCACCCGGGGGTGCTTTCAAACTGCTAGGTTGGCAGGCGCTGGGACTGAGCGACAGGAGCTCACCCTGCCGTGGGGATTCAAGTCCTAGGCGCTGAGGCTTTTACCCACAGCGCCACCCGGGTCCCAGCATGTTACAGCCCCCCAAACTACATCACTCATACATCACGGTTGCATCATGAAAGGGGAGGTCTGGTGGCATTAATCTGAGCATCCTGGACCCGGCCCCATGGTTCTCCTTGCCCTCCACCAAACACCCATCAAGTGGAACAAAAGAGATATTTACATTTCCCTGTTTCCCAGCCAAGTTAATCACACCCTTTTGTCTTCATCTGGGTTTGTGATTTCCGTAATGGCTACCTGTCTGGCACTCAGGTATCAGGATGCCAGGAATTATCACTCAGGCAGAGGGGCTGCTGAGTAGCTGAGCTCACATGTCTATATGAATTTCTGAAGTTTTCCCACTGGAAGGACAGATCCTGAAGCTGAGACTCCAATACTTTGGCCACCTCAGGAGAAGAGAAGACTCCCTGGAAAAGACCCTGATGTTGGGAAAGATGGAGGGCGCAAGGAGAAGGGGATGACAGAGGATGAGATGGTTGGATAGTGTTCTCGAAGCTACCAGCATGAGTCTGACCCAACTGCGGGAGGCAGTGGAAGACAGGAGTGCCTGGTGTGCTCTGGTCCAGGGGGTCACGAAGAGTCGGACACGGCTAAACGACTCAACAACAACAACAAGCAGAGGCCCTTTGAATAGATAGGAAGAAACTGTGATGAAGTGTTTTTGGGGACAAATCACAAAAGTCACAAAAGTGATTGTGCTGATTTTGGTAGTGGGCTGCATGTGCATGATATCTGCTGGAGGGGCAACCCCCCCCAACCTATACATAAATTCCTGCAACACTTTCAGGTGACGAGCCGGCGCTACCCGAAGCTCAAGGAGGTGGACGATGTGCTCGGAGGGGCCGCCGCCTGGGAGAACGTGGACTCCACTGCAGGTGCCAAGGGGGGGGGGTGGGATAGGGGGCCGGGGCCTCCCAGAGGGGAGTCGGGAGGGACCCCCAGGGGTCATCCAGGCCAACCCCCTTGCAGGCATTGCGGGGATCGATCTCTTATCCCGGGTTTGCCCCGCTGTCCCCCTGCCCCACCTGCAGATGCTGCCGGTCGGGACAGAACCTTGGAGCCCCCTTTGGAAGGTGGAACCCATAATAATAATTTATTATTTCTACCCCACCCATCTGGCTGGGTTTCCCCAGCCACTCTGAGCAGCTCCCAAAAGAATATTAAAAACATGATAAAACATCAAACATTGAAAACTTCCCTGTACAGGGCTGCCTTCAGATGTTTTCTAAAAGTCCGATAGTTGTTTATTTCCTTGACATCTGGTGGGAGGGCGTTCCACAGGGCGGGTGCCACCACCAAGAAGGCCCTCTGCCTGGTTCCCTGTAGCTTTGCTTCTTGCGCTGAGAAGGTTCTGACCCCCGTGACTCTGATTTAAGAGGGAGCTCAGGAAGCTGCCTTCTGCAGAGTCAGATCCACCTGGTTCAGCGTGGTCAGCACTGGCTGGCAGCCACAGATCCGCAGGGTTCCAAGCAGGGGATTTTTCTCCCAGGCCCTTGGGGAGATGCAAAACAAGAGCCCCACTTTTCAGGTTGAGGGTCCTCATCATCTCCAGCCTCCACCAGCCTGGGTGCTTGAGGCTGCAGGAGCCGCCCTCTGGCCCGTAGGGGGAGATGCTCCACCACCCACCGGGTTCTCACACCCTCTTCTCTGTCTCTCTCCCTCCCACAGAGCCGTGCCCCAAGTGTGAGCACCCACGGGCCTACTTCATGCAGCTGCAGACGCGCTCGGCTGACGAGCCCATGACCACCTTCTACAAGTGCTGCAGCGCCCAGTGCGGGCACCGCTGGAGGGACTGAGGAGCTGACTGGGCAACTGGGGTGTGGGTGTCTGCTACTTTGTACATAATAAACAGTATATATGAGAAAGAGCTGCAAACATGTTCTCTCATTCTCTATGTGGAAGAAGGGCAGGGAGGATTGCATCCTACACATTTCAGAGCCAAAATGCACACCAGCTCAAAGGGACAAGAGGAATGGCTGGAGAGCTTGGTGTTTAGGGGAGCATCCTAATTTTTTGCAGTCATTTCTGCTACGTTTTAAAAAGGTTTGACCTGAGGTTCCACAGATGAAAGTAGCTTCCCCCACCTGAGAGGAGCCACTGCCTTGCCCACAGTAGGAGCCGTTCAGGTGTTTCATCTCCTTTCCCTGTGCTGCCACAGCACCAGACTCTGCCACCGTCTTCAGTATCCTCCCAGTTGTATGTTATAGGGTCAAGCAAGAAGATGAGAGTCAGGAGGAGGTACAGAAACGATCTCTTTATTAACAAAACCATGCAACAACATTCACTGTCCTACTGTACAAAAGAGGCCTCATCACAAGGGAGCCAGCTGCACCCACTTGTTCCAGTTCAGTTCATAGGGAAAGACCCTGCCCATTTTCAGGGTGCAGTCAACAGTGGGCTCATAGAAGACGGTGGGCGTGCTGCTCAGTTTGGGGCTGCCGACCAGCTCCTCAAGGGTCGGCTTTGAGAAGAGCGAGGCTGGTCTCTGCTGCTTCAAGTGGAATTTCCTGATGCAGCCAAGAGATTCAAGGCCCTGTAAAGCAAAGGGGAAAATTTAACACACACACACACACAGAGTTACTGAACGCTAACCTTTTCAAAAGTGTTGGGCGTAGGCTGTATTGAAAGCAGTGGTTTCATTGCGGGGGGCAAGTTGGACCTTCCAGATGTTGCTGGAATCCCAATTGGTCATGCTGGCTGAAGCAATTGAGAGATGTACAAGCAGTTCCGTCCACCACTGGCCATTTAGCATTTTCAACATGTAAGAAAATAGCAGCTGCCGATGGGCACATCTTAAGGTGGAGTGTGCCTCCTAAATGCCTTCCCTCTGCAGGAAGAGAACCGTGGCCTTTCCTGAGGTGGCTCCTTCCTTGCCCCATGCCACCACAGCCAGGCTCTGCTCCCTAACAATGGTAGGAGTTTGGGTGGGCAGGTCCTGCTCTGCATCCATCAAGGGTGCAGAACACCAAAGCTATTGTGCAACCCCAGCTCCAAATCTCCTGAATAAGAGTTTCCAGAAAATGCCTAAGTGCTTTACTCTGGCCTTGGAAGTAGGGTGGGAAACAAATGTGGCTAAATATATAAACTTCTATTTTAAGACAGAGGCTGGGACTAGCTGACCTCCTGCCTCTGCCTCTGCCCTGGGCCTGTAAAGATATGGCCATTCCCTTCTTTGCCACCAACGGTCGCTGTTCTTGCACGCTGAGCACTGGGAAGGGACCCATGCAGCAACATGCAGGTAAGCTGGAAACACCTGGACAGAGGGGATCCACTTTGATCCCAGGAGACCAAACATACCTGCAGAATCTCCAGAAGAGCCATTGGCTGCAGGACGCCCAAATAGTGGTGGCAGAGAGCTGCTTCCGTTATGCCGGGCTTGGTCATGATGTGGCACAGCACCCCCTCCATGATGCCCTTGCAGACTGGCTTGTTCAGGCTGCCGTCCACGATGCGCCACGGCCGGCCGACAAAGCTGATGTTCCCACCAGCGCTATTTTGAGAGCAGAGGTGCAGGGAGAGAGAGTGAGAGGAGCAGAACCACTGCTGGTATTGGCAAAGGGGACAGCCTCTCCCCCCATGAAGCAACCTGGATCCTGCGACTATCATCTTATTTGTGTGGGAAATACAAAAGGCAGTAACATGAGAATGGGCCTTCTTTGGGGTGGCTTCCTGCTTGACTGGCACATTCCTGATCTTTAGGCACCAGTCAAAAACTTCCTTCTATAATCAGGCCTTTGATTATCTGTGGCCTTTTAGAAGTTGGTGGGATGTTTCTAATTTGTTTCTCTTCTTGGTTCTAATTATATGGGCTTTTGTTTTGTTATTTGGTTGGCTGGTTGTAAGTTGCTTTGGGCAAGGTAAAATGACTAACGAATTTAACAAATAATAATGCACTTGTACGCACAGGCAAAGGTCAGGCGCCGCTTAAGGCTGCAGCACAGTGAGTGAGCAGATCCCAGCAGCTTTTGGTGGTCTGTCCCAGCCAGGCCTACTCGCGTCTTGCCTTAAGAGCCAGAGGCATCTTTAAGACTGGTGCCAACCTCCTGGAGAACAACCCCCAGGGGCAGGTTGGGTCTCCAAAGCACAATACAGCTGACTAGAGGTCCCAGAAGTACTGGAATCAGCAGGAAGTCCCTCTCTGAAAACCCCTCAAATCCACTGGCGCAAGTGCTGCACTGGCCACAAACGGAGCCTCCTTCCCTTTTGAGATCCTGCCACAGCAGCAGGAACATCTCAAGGGGTTTGGTGGGGAAAACCCGAATATCTGTTGTTTGCTTCTGAACACTAGTTTCCGCTTCTGAATGCCAGTAGCTGGAAACAGCAGGAGGGTGGGGTAGTGCCCTTGTGCTTGAATCCTGCTTGCAGGTTTTCGCAGGATCACAGAGCTGTAGAATTGGGAGGGAATATGCAGCTGTCCCACAGAGGGACTGAGGCTGCAACCTGGGTGGGATCAGCATCAGGCTCTGACCAGCTGTGTTCCATTACAATATCTGGTGAGAACACAACGCTGGAGCAGATGGGCCATTGGTCGGATCCAGCAAGATTTCCTTAAACTAACCAGTGGGGGAGTTGGGAGTCCCTAAAACTTTCTGAGGTGGGTGCATGTCCTGGGAATCAAGTGAATGTGGTCGCTAAGGTCTTAACTGCCTCTGACTACAAAGTGGGTGTGTTGAAGCAACACTGAAGCCGCTCTAATCTAAGTTGTTGTGACTCTTTGGACGCAACTCTGTTCCGGCAAAGGGAATTCTCTCATTTCATCTGCTCTGCACACTCACCTTTCATATTCTGCCTGCCATACCTTCCCCGCAGGACATCCTAGGGAAAAGAGCAGAAAGCACAACTGGCACCAGGAGCACAGCAACAGGGGTCGACCCCACCTCCTCAAATTGCTGGGCTGCGTGACAACTGCATGGATAGTTTGGGTGAGCAGCGCAACCAGGAACAGGAAGGCCCCGTGCAGGTGGAAGGGGCTTGGGGAACAAAAAGCAGCCACCAGGAGTGAGCAATTCTTTAAAAAAAAAATTTTAATGGAACCCCTTATATGGGATTTTGTATATAAATTTTCCCTCGGCTCTTTATGCTGGCCCATGTAGAACCAGCATGGATAGTTGGCCCAGGGGAATATTTGACGTTTTCTTTCCTTAAGGCTTTGATCTATAGGCTACCACTAAAACAAGGCTGTGTTTTAAACTGTATTCTAACCTATATTTTAATCAACTGTTCTTTTTTAAAAACGTTTTTACTGTATTTTATATTTGGTGTTAGCTGCCCTGAGACCGGTCTTGGCTGGGGAGGGCAGGGTATAAATAAATTATTCTTATTCTTATTATCGTAGAGAGAGCAACAGAGAGAGAGAAAATACTGACAAGGTAACAAGAAGACGGCAGGCCCTGTGGACTGGCTGGTGGTCTTGCCCCTCCATGGCTCTGCAGGAGCCCCAGGACATCAGGCACGCCAAAGGCACTGCATGGGTGGGGACAGCCTTGCCTTGAAGGCCTTTCCCCACCTGGTCTGGGAGGGGGAGGCCCTGACTGACATGACTGACAGACTACAAAAGCTGTGGGGGTTTTGGGGGGGCGGGGGAGATGTCTTGTTGGTGTTGGTGCTGTTAAGTCTTTGTACCTTTATTTTGGATCTTATGGATCACGTGGAAATTGTGCAATTTGGTTGTGTACTTTTTAATGTTCAATGTATTTTTATGACTACTTTTCTAATGTTTGCAATTATTCAATCATTTAAATGCTGCAAGCCCTTTCTTCCCTCCCCCTCCCCTTTTTATGAAGATTACCCGATCTGGGATCCCACAGCTAATTCTCCCCTGGTCTCCTCGCTGGCCCAAATAGGATTAATTCAGCCAGCTAGCCCTGGTGATCATCTAATGTTTATTGGATGGATTTCCTCCCTAAATTGATTTTTGAATTCTGAATTTATTGTTATTCACGTTTTATACTGTATTTTATGCTGTTTTTTGTTGCATCAATTAAGTGTTTTAAATTTGTTGTTAGCCGCCCTGAGCCTGGTTTTCTGAACCGGGAAGGGCCGGGTATAAATAAAAAATTATTATTTATTATTATTAGAGCATGGTTAAAACTGTGGAAAGGTGGAACGAGTGATTGATACAAATAAAATGGCTGATGGATTGCCTCTGCACAAAGGGCCTCCCTTTTACTCCAACCCCAGTTGCTGGAGGGATGGGGGGGGTTTGTGCTCAGGTCCTGCTTGGGGGCTTCACCGTGAGCTGCCTGGCTGGCCGCTAGGAGAAGAGGATGGGGGCCTGGATGGGGCCCCCTTTGGCCTGATCCTGCTGCAGGCTCCCACCAACCCATTCCTGAAGTTGCTCCTGCCTGCCAGGTGTGGAGAAGGAGCTCAGTGGGTCTCCTCACACGTACCGCTGGAGTCGCCAGGGGCTGCTTCCGGCTGCGAGACAGGATCCTTGCGTGGCTCCCTGGTGTGATCACCACAGTCTTCGGCTTCCTGGCTGCTCAGGCCAGAGGCCTCTTTCCCACTGCCCTTCCCCACAGCGTCCATCCTGCAGCCTCGTATGGAGCCTGGCTCTGGTGTGGCCGTTCCTTCTTGCATCTCTGGAGTCCTTGCGCCACCAGGGCTGGCATTCAGAGCCGCAGGGCTGTTGGCTCCTTCTTCCGGCATGCTCTGGGTGCCATGGGCAGCAGCTTCTGCATCCAGACTCTCCTCCTCCGTCTTCTGCCTTTTCCTCGCTGGTTCTTCCTCCGACAGAGCAGAAGGAGAAGCCCTGCTGTGCTCCATCTCCCCTGACTCAGCTGGGTCCTTCGGGAGAGCAGAGTCTTTGCCTTGCAGGACTTCGGGGCCATCCTCCTTGAGGCGTACAGAGTGCAGCAGCCAGGGGCCGGCGAATCTCCTTGCCACCAGCCGGGTGGTGTGGCCGCCGACTTCTAACACATGCTCCAGGTCAATGAGGTCCTAAGGGGGAGAAGGAGACCAGGACCACCCTCAAAGAGAATCAGAGCAAAAGCCTACAGAACCAGATCTCTTAAGGTCCATGAATAACCATAGTTTAGAGGTCCCAGGCCCTAACGAAGTCAGACTATCCTCCACCAGGGCCAGGGCCTTCTCAGTGATGGCTCCGACCTGGTGGAATGCTCTGTCCCAGGAGACCAGGGCCCTGCAGGATTTAAACTCCTTCCGTTGGGCCTGTAAGACAGAGCTATTCTGCCTGGCCTTTAATTTGAATTCAGCCTGATCCTTTATTTCCCTTCCCTCCCCCTCCCCTTTTATGAAGATCACCCACTCTGAGACCCCACAGCTAATTCTCCCCTGGCCTCCTCGCTGGCCCAAGTAGGACCAGTTCAGCCAGCTAGCCCTGGGGATTATCTAATGCTTATTAGATGGATTTCCCCTAAATTGATTTCTGAACTTTGAATTTTATTGTTATTCATGTTTTTATACTGTATTTTATGCTGCTTTTAGAAATTAAGTGTTTAAAATTTGCTGTTAGCCGCCCTGAGCTCGGTTTTTGAACCCGGAAGGGCGAGGTATAAAATATAATCATCATTATCATCATCATCTCTCCCCCATCACGTGGGGATCTCTGTAGTCCAAATTACAATTTGTGCTTACCACATATGAAGGGGTTAAGACCCATAAAGTTGCAGAATTCCCAGACAGGACAATTTTTGAGGTCATATCCCCTACGTTCTGTGGTGGGAAAAGGAGTCAAAAGATCTTAATACTGTCTCCTTCCTGCTTGGCTCAGTCTCTTTCTTCTTCTTGCCAAACCTTTGATGGAGCAGGATGTCTGTCCATTCTCCTCTGAGAGAAGATTCCATCTGGATTTTTAGAATGCAACTTAAAAAGTAGATTTGCCTGCCTTGCATTTGTTGCTGTTACTGCTTAAATCAAGGACAAGACTATCTAAAGCACGTAAACATTGTTTTTACGCTTACTATACAGTTTATTGCCATATTCTTTATTGAGAGGGAAGGGAAATTCCAGCCTGCTATCACAGTCTGCACAAAACAAAATTAAACTAATTTAACCTTAGTCTCTAGTTTCTGTTTTAAATGTTGCAAGGGATGGTGACTTTTTAACTCTGCTAACCCAGCGTTTTAAATCCTACGTGCATGCGAGACAAGAAGGAGAACTGCTGTTAATAAGCCTTTCCTACCTGACGAAACCCACCAGACACATCGCACCCACCTGGAGGTACTGGGGCAAGAGCCGCGTGCGCTCCCCGCCGGCCACTTCATAGTGCTGGAACTGCCTGGCAAGGTCCACCGTGGCCACCCCAAAGTGGGAAGCCTCACCAATGGCTCTGCAGACTTCCAGGGCGGCGGCAGCATCTGCAGGGCTGTAAGAGAGGCGCTCCAGGGACTGAAGAAGGTGGCCTGCCTGGCAGTCTTCCTCCTGGACACCGAGGAGTCTGGTGAAGGCGGTGGGGAGGCAGGAGGCTCCGACGGGGAGGTTCTCCAGATCTGGTGGACCTGCAAGCACAAAATGGGGCGGGTCAGGACAGAGGGAGCCCGGCAGGCCACCCTAGCTAGCCGCTCTGCCACTTATGTGGGGGTCAGGTGGGACTGCTATGAGGAATGATGAAAAATGCAACACACCACTGTGTCAGCGATGAAAGCATTGCTTTGACTGGGCTTGCGTCATTTGGCATGATTTCTGATCGAATCCCACAAGCCTCTGCACCTCTGCCATTTTCTTTCTCTACGCCTGACAGGCACATATAAGCATTCCTAAAACAGACTGGTTGCTTCACCAGGCATCCTCAGTACATAAAGATAGAAGGTAGCTTTGATGTAGCTTTTGTTAGTTTTGTTAATCTTCAGATAGATCTTAAGGGCCAGGAACAGAGTTCACAGGGAGATGGTAAATACTCTTTCCTTGCCTGTCCTTCCTTTCCTGCCTGTTTATGACCTCCGGGGTTTGCTAAAAGCATTCCTCCTTGATTCCTGTTTTATTTACTCTGAAACATGTATGCATGCTCAAAGTAGTCTTTGTAGTTAAAAGGATTTCTCTGATCTAACTTTGTCCCACGTGGGGATGTTTTTGAAATGCTCAGAGGAAATCTGATTGGTTCTTACAAACGCTGTGTTAAGAGTGTTTTTGTTAATAGAAGGGATCTGGGCCACGGTGTGGTGGGTTATTATTGGCACTTCCTCCCAGAGCCTTGCTGGCCAAGCCTCGTGTGTATTTTATTAATCAGCGTCCAAATCCTTCCTTGCTTTCAGAACGCAACACACGCACAGGCAGCCCACTTCCTTGGCTGGCAGGCGAAGCCCTCGCCCTGCCAGGGTGAAGGTGAGGAAGAGCTCCTCTGCCTACAGACTGACCTTGGGCCCAGAGGCTGTCCTGGGCAGGGGTCTTCCTCATCTTCACCTTCACTTGGCAGGAATTGACGACGATGTTGTCGGTGGGGCTCAGGTTGCGAGTGCTGACGATGCCGGGGGCGTAGTAGCCTCTCATGAGGAGGTAGTTTGTGTGTGACGCCTGGTGGGCCTTCACTTCAATCTGCCGCTTGCTGGTCGCGTTCTCCTCCAAGTCCTCGTCGTCGTCCTCCTCCTCCTCGTCCTCCTCCAGCCCCTCTTTCCCCAGGCTGCAAGGAGCAGACAGGATCCCCCCCACCCATTTCAAGGTCTGCTACATCAAAGGAGCAGCTGCCGCCACCAGTCCAACCAACCCCCCTCGCCAGCAGCGTTTCCTGCGGGTTGCCCTCCTGTGTGGCCACGGGCCAGACACTCTCTCTCAGCCTAACTTGCCCAGGTGGTTGTGCAACTCAAATGGGAGGAAAGAAGAGCCACATATTCTTCCTGGACTGACCTGTAAGATCTATTAATCCCCACCAATCTAAAACCAAAAGCGGCTCTGGCACATTTGATTCGGGGTGGTATTCCATTTGCCATTTGTGCGTGGCCGATTCTGCTGTGGAATCTACAGCTGCTCTGCCAAGGTCCCCTGGTGCCAGTTCCCCTCTGGCCAGAAAGGATTCTGCAGCAGAGGTCGGTTCTCCACCCGGAGGACACCGCTGCTTTGCAAACATTGTTTAAACAGTCCTGTGAACATATTTCTGTGGAGTGGGTAGGACTTGTCTAAAACGTTCACCCAATGACATAATGGCCTTTTGCATTAACCACCGTTATACATTTTCTGTTTCAGTTGTTTCCATCTGTTCTAGTTTATCTAGTTAATAATAATAATAATAATAATAATAATAATAATAATAATAAATTTGTTTATTTATTTATACCCTGCCCATCTGGCTGGGTTTCACCAGCTACTTTGGGCAGCTCCCAATAGAATATTATTATTATTATTATTATTAAAAAAAGAGATACAACCTCAAACATTAAAAACTTCCCTAAACAGGGATGCCTTGAGATGTCTTCTAAAAGTCAGATAGTTGTTTATTTCCTTGCCATCAGATGGTAGGGTGTTCCAAAAGGCAGGCACCACTACCGAGAAGGCCCTCTGCCTGGTTCCCTGTAACCTCACTTATTGCAGGGAGGGAACCGCCAGAAGGCCTTTGTCACTGGACCTTGGTGTCTGGGCTGAACAATGGGGGTGGAGACGCTCCTTCAGGTGCATGGGGCTGAGGCCATTTAGTTGTTTTTGATCTTTTTGCAAACTGCAACCAACAAAGAGCACAACAACAACACAAGACAAAGGCAGCTCACTGATCTCGCTGCTGCTGCTGCTGCTGCCTGAAGTATGGAAGAGCAGCTATGAGCCTCTCTTTGCTCTTCTCTCTCCACATGTTCCCCACAAGTACCAAACCCCAGTCAATGGCCTCAGCAGGATTGCAAAGCCACCAGAAAAACCTCTGCCCCCTGGCTTAGCAGCTCATGCAGAGGCGTCAAGGAAAGGGGTTGAGGAAGAGCCCCAGGGCTCCTGCTGCTGCTGTGCACCCCAAATGGGTGGGTGGGCTCCCCCCCACTGCCAGCCCCTTCCAAACCAAGTGCCAAGGCAGCCCCACCTTTTAATGACTTCGTTCTCCACCAGGGTGCTGTCCACCACCACAATCTGCTCTGGGATCATCACGTCCACAGACGCCAAGCCCAGGGAGAAGAGGGCCAGGATGGCGGCACAGTAGCCCCCAGGGCCGTCCAGAGGAAAGGTGACCATCTCCTCGGAGGCAAAGGAGTCGTCTTGGTCCTTGAAAGAGAAGCGAGTGGCTTGGTCCTGCGCTCCGGCCTCCTGGAGCTTCGAGAGGAACTGGTACGATTCGCTGCAGAGCATTGTGGGAAACCGCCACGTGAACACCCTGGAGAGAGAACCAGAGAATTGCCGAGTTGGAGGGGGACCCCAGGGGTCCTGCAATGCAGAAATCGCAGATAAATAATCCCCGGCAGAGGTTTCCAGCTGACATCACAAATTATGGCGGTCGATCTCCACTGCCCTCCAGGGAATTTGACAATGTTTTATTACGCCCTCCCTCCTCGACTGAAGTTGAATGGACTTCATTTAAAATTATCTCTGGACTGGACCAGGAGTGGAAGGGAGCAGTTCTGAGTGAGAAGAGGAATAGCTACAAATTAAATCTGTCAAGAGGCTGCATTTGTGAGAAAGGATCTGTTTTTAGCTGTGTGCCGAGGAAGAACCCCAGAGTGGAATTTCAATGGCAGAGAGTGGACACGTTATCTGGGAGTTATTTATAGCCGCAGCCTGTATGCAAGTTGGTGGGCAGCGGAAGGAATGGAATGCACAAAAAAAGATAGCTATTAACTCTCCCAGCGGACGAGGTCTGAGAACAATGTTTATGAAGGACTATACACATGAAACAGATCCTGCATTTATGAGAAACAAGGAAGGTGCTGTATGTAAGGAAACAATAAAGGTCAGCTGTGAGAATGGATTAACAGATGGGGAGGCAAACTAAGGCCCGGGGGCCGGATCTGGCCCAATCGCCTTCTCACTCCGGCCAGCGGACGGTCTGGGAATCAGCATGTTTTTACACGAGTAGAATGTGTCCTTTTATTTAAAATGCATCTCTGGGTTATTTGTGGGGCATAGGAATTCATTCATTTCCCCCAAAAAATATAGTCCAGCCCCCCACAAGGTCTGAGGGACAGTGGACCGGCCCCCTGCTGAAAAGGTTTGCTGACCCCTAGACTAACATCAAGAGAAGAATTAAAGAGGAGATGAAAGAAGGATGAAGCGGCTACATGAGGAAGTAACAGACGTATGTTTGCAATAGGAGGGAGAACCTATTGTATTATATCAAAGTAATTTGCACTAATTTGTAATAATCTGGAAAACCAAGAAAAAGAGGAAGAGGAAGAAGAATCATCATCATCCCTGGCAGATAGCCGCCCAAAGAATTTCCAAGGAAGGAGAGTCCACAACCTCCCAAGGGAGTCCGTTCCTCTGCTGAACAGCTCTTACCATCAGAAAGTTCTTCCTAATGTTTAGCTGGAATGCCCTTTCTTGCCATTGGACTCCCTTGGGTGGGGTCCTGCCCTCTGAAGCAGCAGGAAGCACAAGCTTCCTCCATATGATGGCTCTTTATAGATACCTGAAGACGTCTCTCATAAAGGGCAGTCGCATGGAAGATGGCGCAAGAGCTAAGCTACCTTCTGTTCCCCTGGCTGGACTAAGGGGTGGGCTCCTCTGTGCTCCAGCAAGCCAGGCAAAAGGGGCGAGGGAAGCCCCCAGGAAGGGCCGTCTGGGTGTGTTCCCCCCAACACAGCCTTGGTTCTCCTGGCTGCCCCCCATCCCCCCAGCCTCTGCTTTGCACTGGCAGCCCCAGGGTGCAGGCAGGACACTGACCTGTAGTAGCTCTGAGAGAGCTGGTAAGACATGGGCACAAAGGGCAGTGCCCGGCTCTTCTTGGGGCCCAGGCTGTGGTTGCCCCTCCGGCGGTTCACGAGGCTCCTCTTCTGGCAGTCCAAGAAGGCCTTGACCAGCAGGTCGTCCCCGTACTCCCGGTAGAGGCGGAAGGTCTGCGGACACAACCACATGCAGGCAGCTAAGAGCTGGGAACTTCAGCTCCCCATTATAACATCTCTCAATGTTTGTTTCCTTTTGGGGAGGGAGACATTTCCATGGCATTTTCAAGCATTTTTTCCGGCCACTTTTGCCATTTCCAACATGCCCAAATCATTTCGCCAGCATTTCGAAGGGCCTCCTAGACCTTTTCCTCGCCACGCTTACAACCTACCTTCCTTTCCTGTTCACTGCCTGTTTATGACCTTTGGGGTTTGCTAAAAGCATTCCTCCTTGATTCCTGTTTTATTTACTCTGAAACACGTATGCATGCTCAAAGTAGTCTTTGTAGTTAAACGGATTCCTCTGATCTGACTTTGTCTTGTCCCACGTGGGGATGTTTTTGAAACGCTCAGAGGAAATCTGATTAGTTCTTACAAACGCTGTGCAAGAGTTCTTTTGTTAATAAAAGGGTCCTGGGCCGGGGTGTGGCAGATTATGATGCGCACTTCCTCCCAGATTCTTGCTGGCCAAGCCTTGTGTGTATTTTATTAATCAGGGTCCAGTCCTTCCTTTACCTTCAGAACGCAGCAGACTAGAGGGGCCACTGCCTCATCCAGAAGTCTCTTTATAAGTTCTCAGGTGCATAGGCCAGCTGTCTTCCCACCTACTCCCCCAGGCATCAGTCTCCTCAGCAGATGCTCAAGCCCCAGTATGTTTCCTTGAGCCCCCAAGATAGGTGAGGGGACGCACACACCTCAGCAGACCAAGGTTCTCTCTACCTGAAATGACTGGCAGGACTTCATCTGGTTGTCGGAGAGGGCCAGTGTGCTCTGGATCAAGTTCTGCAGCACCAGAAAGTGGATGTCGGCGATGCTGGAAGGAAACAGCCTGCGTCAATCTGAAATCAACCTTCGCAGCACAGATCCATCTTTCTTAAAGAGAAAGCCCAACTTCAGGGATGAATAAACCGCTCCACATCTTAGCAATGTGATCCCAGCTTGGGAAGCTGGAATGGGGTGGGGTGGGGGTGTCTTGGCACTTGGGGGTACTGGATTTCAGTTTCAAATGGTTTCCAACAGGAGAAGGAAGCATTTTATGCTTCTCCCCAGCCCACTTTGCCTCACCTGCTGAGCACATCCTCTTTCTTGCTTTGGGTCGTTTCATCTCCGATGGCCAGAACTCGGAACCTGGAAAAGGGCAAGGAAGGAGCCACGGAAGATCTCACCAAGGTGGCACACACAGGTGCATCTCCCTTTATCCCGGGGGTAGCGTACACCCACCCCGGCACGCAGGTGGCCCAAAAGGACCCCTGGGCCCCAAACCCCAGAAAGTCCCTGCCAGGCTGAGCTGGCTGAAGGCAGCTTCCTACAGACCCACCAGGGACTGGGGCAGATTCTGATGGGCAAGAGCCAGGTCTGCAATTCCCCCGGGCACAGCAGGCTGGTTTCTTGGCAGACAGGCAGCTCAGCTCCTGCAGGGCCACCCTCTTAAAGATCCAGAGTGGCCCTGGCCACTGACAGCTCCTTACCCATCCCTGCCAACGGGGTTTGGCCAAGGAGATACCTGCGGAAAAGCTCCTCGAGGGTGTCTGGGATGGCAGGTCTGGGATTCCCCAGTGTGGAGCTGAACTTCTCCTTCAGCCTCTCCACAAATTCCTTGAACTCTTCTGAGCAAACCTTCGAGCAGAAGAAGGAGGGAGGTCAGTCAGCTCTGAACAAAGCCTGGTCCTGGGAACCAGGAAGGTGGGGTCACACCCGGTTCCGTCTCTCAGGGTCACCTGCACACTCGTCTCTGTTTCAAGGGCTCCTCTGGCAGGGCAGGGGCGGAAGGAGGGGCTGGGAGGAGGCTGGAGGTCTCCTGCCCGCCTTCCAAAGCCCAAGAGGGGCAGGAGGCGGCAGAAGAAGAACCAGTGGCTCTGGCATCAGCCCACTCCTTCTTTGGGTCCACTGCTGAGAGGCTGGCAAGGGTTGCCCATTTGCTACGGGGCCATGTTCAGGCTGTCATTGTTTGTATATGAAGCCCTTAACTACTTGGGACCAGATTCCCCGCGAGATCGCCTTTCCCCACTCCACCGTGTCCCTCAGTGGAACTGGCCCTGTTACAGGTGACACAGAATTCCCATTCCACACCTGTAATAACTGGATCGTTTAGTGTGGCATCTACACTTTGGAACTCCCTGCCTACTGATATCACTGTACTCATTTTGGCACCTGCTCAAAGCATTCTTGGTTAGGCATGCCTACTCAGAGGCTTAGAAGCTGAGATATTCTTACTCTATTTTAACTTTTGTACGTTTTAAAGCAGGGTTGTGGTTTTTTCTTGAGTTTATTGTTTTATCTTCTTGTAAATCTGGCTCGCCTGCTGCCTTCGTTGCATATTCTTAGGTGCCAGGCAAAAACGTTCCTCTACTCCCAGGCTTTTTAAACTGTGTGTGTGTGTGTGTCTTGTTTTTGTTTGTTATTATGATATGTCTTGTTGTGTTTTTATATTGTAAACTGCCCTGTGATCTTTGGATGAAGGGTGGTATAGAAACTAATGATGATGATGATGATAAACTGCTTTGACGTTTTTTACAATCAAGTGTTATATGCAACTAAAGAAAATAATTCAAGGTTGAAGGGGCACAGGGAAACCATCACTGGAGCTGTGCTCAGCATCTCTGCCCATGCAGGGCAGGGCCACTTCAGGTCCATCCTGGGGTGTGTGCATGGACCCAGAGCCCCACACCTGCCCCTGCTCACCTTGGGGTCCTGGTAGTTGCTCTTCCTGTTCATGAAGTCATCAATCAGAGTCCGGTCTTGGTAGACTTCAGCCAGGCAAACCCTGCGGAAGACACCCCCCACCCCCCCAGTTTAGCCCTGAAGCTCAGCCTCCCTCCGAGAATGCTGGCTTCTGTAGAAAACACTTCAAGAGCCACAGAGGCAGCCCAAAGGGGGCATCCCCCGACACCAGCCTCTTCTCCCCAGGAGGGATGGCCGACTCCGTTCGATGGTGATAGGGAAAATGTTGGCTCTCAGACCATCGCCTCACGGGGAGAGCCCTTGGCCACAGCATTCCTGTGTTTATAGCAAATTCACATTCCCCACTCACAGGGGAAGAGGAACCCCAGGAGGGAGGGAGCCCTGAAGGATGCCCTGAGAGCAGGGGAGGCAGCGAAGGACAAAACACGCCCCCCCCCGACACTGGGACACGGAGAGGGCCTTCTTGGTGGTGGCTGCTCCCAGGCAACTTGGGAACTCCCTGCCCAGAGAAGCCAGACTGGCTCCCTCCTTGCTCTCCATCCGTTGGCAGGTGAATCCCTTTTTGTTCCCACAGACATTCGGAAACTGACCAAAGGGCTGGTGCTGTGATCTTTTCATTGCAAAGATCTGTACATTTTAATAAACCACTACACACACACACACACACACACACACAAACACACCTGTATCTTGTATAGATGTTTTGATGTTTTATTGTTTTATTGTTTTCTTATATCTGTTGGAAGCTGCCCAGAGTGGCTGGGGCAACCAAGTCAGAGGGGAAGGGTACAAATATTAAAATTACTATTATTATTAGGTTATTATTATTATTATTATTATTATCAGTAGTAGTAGTAATAATAATAATAGTAATAGATTTTAAATGATTGCTTCCCCACCCCCTGGTGATTTTAGCTGTTTCTATTTTAGCTGTAAGCTACCTTGAGTCCCTTTGTCAGGAAAAAAGGTGGGATAGATATAGATGGATATAGATATATAATAATAATTTCAAAGCCGCAGCAGCCTCAAAAGCTCAGAAAGAGCACTTATTAAATGCTTAACTCACCACCAGAGGGTGATAAGAGGATTAACACTGAAAGGTGGGTGTGACTCCATCTGGTCTCAGTTTATATCGTTTATTAACAATAAATGGCACAGCCGTCTGCCCTCCGTCTCAGCTGCAGCAGCCACCGTGGAGAAATCACCTTAACGCTTTAGACTGAAGTACACCCCGAGGACAGCTGCTGAATTTGTAATGCAAAAAGGTTTTCCACGTTTGCGGACGACTGCATGCAAGACTTAACATCTGCACGTTATTTGTCTTGGGAGACAACACTCTGCGTTTGGTAACTGCTCTAAAATTTTCCAATAGAGCTTATGAAATGATGAAAGTGCCTCACTTGTAGTTGAGGTAGGTCTGGGGGTTCTTGACGATGTAGCGCGCCCTCCGCCCCACCGAGTGGCACGTCTTGTCCAGCGACTCCTCGAAGTTGCTGTGCATGATGTCTCGCACCACCTGCCAGGGGACAAACGGCCCCTTCACCTGCACCAGAGGAGAAGACAAAGGAGCCCCCGCTCAGTCGAGGCCAGGATCTCTGGACCCTTTGCCCACAAGGGAAGCCCAAAGACGCCCCCCCCCCCCGTTCTCCCCACTTGCTGGCTGCCAAGTCGCCCCCTCTCAGCCTCGCTGCTGAGATCAGCTTCCCCACCCCCACCGCCCCGCCCACCTTGGCATTGAGGACGTTGCTGGCGATCCGGCACAGCATGAGCAGGCTGTCCTCCTGCACGGTCCACGTCACGCGCAGGCGGGTCATCCTCTGCAAGGCGCTCTGGTCCGCTTCGTCGTGGTAGCGCGGCTTTTTTCTCTTCACCCTGGCGCCCCCCTCTTAGAAAGGAAGGAAGCAGCTTGTGGCGAGTGAGCAGCTCGTGGCTCTGCCTCTCCCATGTGTGAGCTTGGGGGGGGGGGCAGGTGGGCATCCAAGGCCCACTGCTGTGGAAGACCAGGGCACAGCCACTCCGGCCCCCCTGTGCCCAGCAGACCCCGAAGGCAGACAGGAGGATTTGCCCCAAGCCATTAGGAGGACATTTAGATCTCAAAGGAAGAGGAAAACCCAGCCTACAACTCCCATGATCCCTAGCTAGCAGGACCAGTGGTCAGGGATGATGGGAATTGTAGGGCCAAGGTTGGGGAAGCCTGATCCAGAACAAAATGGCGCTCAGAGCCCTAAGTGGTTTTCAGCCAGCGAGTGCCATGCACAGCCTGCCCCCCCAGCCCCCCAGTGAGGTAGGCCACCTCTTCTCTTCCTCCTTTTCCTTGTCTTCTTCACCGGCTCCTTCTTAAGCCGCTTCCTCTTCTGGCTCTTTCCGCCCCTCACTCTCTGGCTTCTGTTCAGCGTGGTTTCGCTTTCGACCTCCAGGTCCTCCTTCTGGACCGCAGGATCCGCACCCAGCAGCCCGTCTCCCCAAAGAGAGCTGCTGCCGCCGCCACCTGGGAACCAACAAGGAAATCCTGCACCAGCAAGGAATGCACAGCAAAAACACACACAGGTGCCACCTGTCTGGCCAGCAGCAAATTGGGGAGCAGCAGGGAGGGAGGGAGGGACTTTTATGGGCTCCAAAAGCATGGAAGAGGGAGGCAGCAACTGGAAATGTCAACTGCCGGTCTAAAGAGACTCTCCCAGGCACATGCACGAGAATTGCAACTCTGTCTTGCACACACACATATACAGAACTGTTAAAACGTCTTAGCTTTTGAGCTGTTGAGCTATTTGAGCTACTACTATTTACTTATTTATGTATTACCTGCCCTTCACTCGAAGGTCCCAGGGCAGGTTACAACGTTAAAACAAGTGTTAAAAACACTTTACAACAACTTGCGATCACCAAAGTAAGGTGGGTGCCAAAAATATGCACCTCAGGTGTAAAGAGCCAGGGTAAAGAGATGCATCCTCAATATCCTCCGGAAGCTGCAGAGTGAAGGTGCCAGGCGCACCTCTGTGGGGAGGGAGTTTGCCACCTCCGGGGCCACCACAGAGAAGGCCCTGGGCCACCACCCACTGAGCCTCTGAGGAACTACCGAGAGAGCCCTCTCTGCCAATCTCAGCACCCAGGGAGGTCTGCAGGGAAGGAAGCGGCCTACGGGTATCTGGGGCCTGAGTTGTTTAGGGCTTAATTTGACCTGACTTCTCCTGAGAGGGGCAGTGGCAAACCATAGAAATTGCTGAGTTGTAGTGGTCAGGTGGGATTACTATGAGGAATTATGAAATATGGAGCAAGCCATTGTGTCATGAAAGCATTGCGTTGACTGGGTTTGATTTATTGACAATAATTTCTGATCAAACCCCACAAGCCTCTGCATCTCTGGCCACTTTCTCTACTGTTCCTTTTCTACGCCTGACAGGCCTGTATAAGCATTCTGAAACACAGGCCAGTTGCTTCACCGGGCATCCTCAGTACATAAAGATAGTAGGTTACTTTGATGTAGTTTGTTAATCTTTAGATCGATCTTAAGGGCCAGGAAGAGAGTTCACAAAGAGATGGTAAATACTGCCATCCTGCCTACTCCTGTTTATGACCTCCTGGGTTTCCTAAAAGCATTCCTCCTTGCTTCACAAGCCTCGTGAAGCCATCCTGCCAAAATGTCTCGGTGCAATTTAGGAAGGTCAACCCGCGTCTAGTCTCCACTGCCCAGCTCCGTAAAGCATTTTTCCGCAGGAAGGGCTGCCCAGGACGTCAGTCTCTTTGGACCTGTACCAGCTTCACAGCTCCCACAATGGCCACATGAGAGCTGGGCTGTCCCCCCGATTCCCCTGGAGGAGTAGGAGCAATACACAACCATCTCTGTGCCTCCCATCCCGGACACACACAGGGAACTCCCAGCCCCATTACCTCTTGTGCTCAGCGGCAGGGAGCGTTTGGTCAGGAAGGTCTGCAGTCTGACCGTGTGCCCAGCTTCAGCAGCAGCAGCGTTCTCCTAGTGACAAAGCACACAGGTTACCAGCCATGCAAAGGCCGCAGGTGGTTCAAGATCAGACTAGAGAGAGGATTTTACTTCCTAGCCAAGCTTTGCTGCATCTGGCAGTCACCTGCAAAGCCTGAGCGCCACATCTGCGTCCAGTTGACCAAAAAGGAGCCATTCCTAACAACCGCGAAAGAGCCCTGGGAGCAGGGTTGACAAAAATAAATGATAAAAAAAATATCGGATTTTTTAAATTATAAATTGTATTTTAAAAATAGAATGGTTTTGGAGAAAAAAATCTTTCTAAAGATAGTTTTCTGTTTAAGTTACCTTATAGTCCAAAGGCTATTCATCAGGAAATAAGGATTTGTTTTCAATTTTTCATGTGGGCTAAAACTCAGTCTAAGTTTTTTTAAAACAAACAAACCCGTTTAACCACATCAGTTAACAAACATGGATAGATATGCTATAATGTTTCTGTTTTAGTTAAATAAATTGTTTAAATTGTTATTATGGAAATGATTATTTTTCTCCTTCCAATAAAGTACAGAACAGTTGTCCAAATATAAACAATAATTTCATAATTATCTGTCTACGTATTTCTAATAGCATAACCGCATCAGTAATTTTTGATATAACTGTAAAAACTACTCTCTAAATTTATTATTCCAAAAATGAAACCTTCATCAGGTTGTAAATATTAAGATTATACCAGCAAGAATTAGTCTTTCTGTAAAAAAAAAAAAAGATTTAAATCAAGTCTTACTGACTAGTGACTTGACTTAAATTGTGATTTAAATCGATTTGATTTAAATCAAATCCACCCTGCCTGGGAGTGAGCAGGAGGGACGAATCCAGGTGGCAGCACTAGAGGAAATGTGTGGATTTGGCATTGCATGTGGGCTGCAGAGTAACAGAGGACTTCCTGCACAAAGCAGGTTCTTAGAGAAGCTTTTGCCCACCAAGGACACAACGGTCTCCGTGCTGGGAAAGCGCATGGCTGCTCTTGCCCCTGTGCTCATGCTCCTGCGGAGTCAAGAGACGGGGGCGATGCTGGGCCCACCTGACCAAAACAGGCTGGGGGGTGGAGAATGTCCTTTTGACTTCACAGGGGTGGCAGGTAGTTTAGTCTCTGAAAGCCACACATAACATTCAGAATCCTTTGATTTCAGTGCTTAGCGGACAACGGCACCATTCAGAAATAAATTTCCGTTATAGCCACTGATAATACAGGCAGCTGAAAAGGTGATTTATGGGAGCAGTCTCTCTCCCCCCCTCAAAAATAAAATGCATGTCAAAGCAAAATTTAGCACAGAGTGGCTTGTGCTAAAAAATCCAGTTTATTTCTTCAACCGTCTGCATTGTTTAAAAAGATATCTATTTTGGGGTGGGTGGAAGACAGTTTTTAATAATAATAATAATAATTTTTTTATTTGTACCCCGCCCTCCCCAGCCAAGACCGGGCTCAGGACGGCTAACACCAGGTATATAAACAATTGACTAAAATACAACTTAAAAACAAGATTAAAATGCAGCCTCATTTCAGTAGAAACTCAAATCAAAAACTTTTTGGGGATGAAAACGTCAAATCTTCACCAAGGCCAACTATCCAGACTGGACCTAAGTGGGCCAGAAAAAAGCCAGGGAAGTCCCCAAATAGGAGTTCCATCACAGAAGGAGAAAGAAAAAAGGAAAGAGTGGAAGGGAATCAAGTTGATTCCAAGCCAAAGGCTTTCTTTCTTTCTTTCTTTCTTTCTTTCTTTCTTTCTTTCTTTCTTCTTTTTTTAAAAAGAATTGTTTGGGAAGAAAAACTCACCCTCCTGGTCTTGTTCATAATGTAGCTGGTCCAAATCCAATTGCGCTTCAAATGGCCGTAAAAGCTGGAATCCAAGCCCCCAGCACCGAGCCCGTCGCCAGGAATGGTGCCGTTGTCCTCCACCTCTCGGCGTCCTCTGAAAGGGGGGGAAGGCACGGTGAAGGGAACAGCTTAGCCCAGGAATCCTCAAAGGCCAGCTCTGCTCTGCTTAGGACCAGGGGGTGTGGGCGGAGACTTGGTCCTGCCACGCAACTATTCCAGCGATTTCTGACTAAACCTTACGAAGAACTTTCTCAGAGGGTGGTGGACGACTCCCCTTCCTTGGAGGTTTATAAGCAGAGGTTGGATGGCCATCTGTTATGGCTGCTGTAGCTGAGATTCCTGCATTGTAGGGGTTGAGCTGGATGTCCCTTGGGGGTCCCTTCCAATTCCACAGTTCTATGATTCCAAGTGACTTCCTACTCCTCTCACTTCCTGATGCTGCTAACCCAACTTCAGGAAAGGGAGCCTGATTCTTCCAGACAGCAGTAGCTGTAGTACAGCTTAGTTTTTGTGCTGGGCCTTTTCTGGTATTAACTTTGAAAAGGCAAATAAAGAAATGCCTTTAAAAAGGGACGGGTAGGAAACCCCAATGGGCCTTCCAGATTCTTTTACATTGTTTTTGATCCTATCTGCTGCATTCCTATTACAGTCATACCTCAGGTTACAAACGCTGCGCGTTCTCAGGTTGCGGACCACGCCGAACCCATAAGTACAGTGGTACCTCTGGATGTGAAAACGGGATCCATTCCGGAGCCCTGTCCGAATCCTGAGTAGAATGTAAGACATGACTGTGCATCTGCGCGGGTCGCGTTTTGCCGCTTCCGCGCATGCCCGTGACATCATTTTGAGCGTCTGCACATGTGTGAGTGGCGAAACCCGCGAGTAACACGCTCCGTTACTTCCGGGTCGCCGTGGAGCGTAACTTGAAAACGCTCAACGTGAAGCACATTTAACCCGAGGTATGACTGTACCGGAATCGGTTACTTCTGGGTTTCAGTGCTCGCAGAAGTGCAAAATGATGTCACGTGCATGCGCAGCACTTCAGGCTGCGAACGCTGCGGGTTGCGAACGTGCCTCCCGCACGGATCACGTTAGCAACCCGAGGTATGACTGTACAAGGAGCGTGAATCCGCACAGAAAGGGCTCAACGGCGCATCTCTTCTAGGACACATAGTTGTCCATTTCAGTGCAACCAAGGAGCATTTAAGCCCCTGCATCTCAGATGTGATCATCTAAGACCTGGAGAAAGCCTAGGGGGCTCCTCTTTTCCTCCCTGCCGGAACCCTTTACCAGCCCTGCCTCCACTGGCAGATGGGAGTCACCCTCACCCCTGGGTGCATTCTGCGCTGCCAAAGCAACACCCCAACTCTGCAACACGCCCCATTCCTAGCAAGCAACCACAGAGGAAAGGAGACATACGTGGTGTATTCCAGCATGGCGCACTTGCGCTCAAGGTTGTGCCTGTGGGCTGCCGACTCTTGCTCCAGCGCCACGTCCAGGGTGGTGCCAGCCTCGCTGGCTTGCGCTCCGCCCCTCCTGGCACGGGGGTGGCGGACAATTCCTGAAAGGAGGAAGAGGAGGAGCTGGTCAGCAATAGCAGCAGCAGCAGCAACTCTGCCATGGGCCAGAGAATGAAGGCAGGTGGCCAGAGGCTAGGAGCTGAGAGCTGCAGGATGTGGCAGGAGAGGGTGGAATGAGAGGAGGCAGGAAGGGGATATCAGTGCAGGAAGGCAGCGGCTAGTGAGTCTGGCTCTGTACCTAGTGGTGTATTGAGGCAGACGCACTGCAGATCAAACCAGAAGTTCTCCACGTCTTGCAGAGTGTTCAGAACATACAAGCGCCTGTCAAAGGGGCGGCTGCTCTGAGCCAGGTTGTAGTGGGGCTCGCAGACGGTGGTGTCCACAATCACAGCGTTCTTCTTCAGGTAGACAAAGACCTGCAAGACACCCACAAAAGCTCAGGGGCAAAGCAACCGAGCAAGGACGGACTCGAGGGATTTAGGGAGTTAAGTCAAAACTAGGATACCCCTTCTTTGTGTGTTTGGATAGCAGCCAAGTGCTCTCCTTCCGGAGGCATCCTTTGACACACACACAAAAACACTGCTGAAGAGGCAGGGACATCTTCACAAGCCTCGTGAAGCCATCCTGCGAAAAGTGTTGCTGGGGGGGCCACCCTGGGCCAGGCTGAGTTGTTCGGCCAGCAATATGATGCAGCCGCTCAAGGCCATTCCGGCTGCAACCAAGTGTTTTGGGAAAGAGCAATCCCAGCTCCGGAGACAGATGGGGACAAGACGGCCTGCCCAGCAACTGCCTGGACCCACAGAGGCGCAGCTTGGCTCAAGATGGGTACCACAGCTTTGCAACCACTTCCCTTTTCCGAAAGGGGCAAATCGATTGTCGCAAAGTCTGCACTAGAGGAGCAAACTGGGATATTCACACGCCACGATTACTTTTATAGGCTGTTCTGCCTCCTTGAGGTGTTAACGGCTTAGCAATGTTAGGGCACTTTGGCTGCTGTCAAATGCTGCTGTTGCAAATAGGCACTCTGCTTCTTTGGCAAACCTCTAAGAGGTCACAGACTGCATTCCCTGCAATTCATTCCTATCTGGCCTCAGGGTTTGGCATTTTTCTCCCTCTCCACCCAGGTTGAGAGGGTAACATGTGGCAAAGCAGACTCTAGTCCACAAAACTTTCTGCAACAACAGGTCACTCTTTAGAGTGCTTCCTTCTTTGCTGCTGCAGACTAAAACACTTTTCTTCTGGAAAGGGTTTCTCTTGTTACTCAACAAGAAGGAAAAATGTTTAACAGAAGACTAGATGAGGGAGGCAAGCACAGATCCTGGGAACTGGGCAATGCAGGGAAGGGACGGGGCTGGAGCTTCTTCTACCTGTCCAGATACATCTGGTGACCCTGCAAGTCTGGAGGGAAAGGAGGCAGGCAGAACCCACACCTGGGGGTCTCCTTCCCCACTGGGGACAGGGGAAGTTTCCCTCATTACTCCTGTAGGCATTGTGTGTTTTTTAAAAGTAAGCTGCTTTGACCATCAAGTGGCAGAGGTGCAGATACACAGCAGTAACCTTACCTGATCTTTTTCTTGAAATTTCTCTGTGGGTCCAAACTGAACCAGCCCCATGTAACACAGCCGCTGAAGGCTTTCCACTACTGAGAAGATGTATCTCCTGTAGAAAAGAGATTAAGGACTTTAGACTCATCAACTTCTTTCTGTCAGTTAGCTTCCAGGCACTCCACCAGTCACCTCCCCTCTCCTCCCACAAAAAAAAGAAGAGAAAGACCTGGCAGGTTTTCCAATATGCATAATTCCCTGACATATCCCACATTCAAACAGCTTGAACCGTCCTTTGGAATATTTATAGCCCTCCCTGGGTCCCAGTTCAAGACATTCTGACCTAGGCCCAAGGAGCGGGGTGGGGAGTGTCTACAGGCCATCAATTTTAGTTCAGAGCTGATTCAAACAGACAACCAAGGCAACCTTTGAAAGTCAGAGACATCCCCCTGCCCACAAGATGATGTTCTGGGTCAATAGGGGCTAAAGCAGTGAATCCGTTCCCTCTCCTTTCTCTAAGGAAGGCTTTGGCACACCGGTCGATGACTGTTTAGTGAACAGACTATATTGCAAGCTGAGGTTTTTTATGCTACTGACTTGAACTCTGTGATCACGAAGCCCTATGTAATGGAGTGGGGGGGGGGTGGCAGAAGAGGAGAAGAGAAAGAGGCAGGACCAACATAACCTGCTGAATGTTTTACACGAGACACAAAGTGAGATGTTCTTTCACAATGCCTGATATTTGTGCCTTTGACTCCCTGATCCTTTCTGAACCCTTCATCTTACTGCACCTCTTTCTTAGTAGTTTTCTCTCTGCTCTCAGTTGCATTCATAAATTTTCCCTTATGCAGAGGATGAGAGTGGTGTTGGTTTGACATGGACAGCTCTTATAAAATCACACAGCCGTTCTACCTTTTTAGAGAATGATTTGCACTGCTCTAATATTTCCCAGGTTTGGATTCCGAGCTCGTGGAGCTGGACCTTTGAAAAGTCTGGTATTCTCCGCTACTCTGAAATCGCACCCTTTGCCCAAATCTACGCCTGCTGAAGATGCTTACCTCTTGTAAAGGAGCTTCTGGCGGATCGACCTTGGAAGGTATCGGATCAACGTGTGTTTCTTCAGGGGATCATTTAAATAATCTTCCAGGTTATCTACCTAAAAATTATGAATTAAATTTCAATGTAACTTAAGTCTGGCTAACTTTCTGCTTTTCCTAAGCAAAGCCCAGGGATATTTTGTTAAAAAACAGAACAGCTGCAAAGAAGGCTATGGCAGCATTAGGGAAGCTGAAAAGGCCCCCACAGGAGGCTGCCCAGGACCTCCGCCCGTGGCCTTGGCTAGCGGTGCCCCTGGGTGTGGCAAGCAGCTTTTGCCCCACCACCAAAGGATTTAACTGCCACCCCTCCAAAGGATCGGGCGGCAACTTGTAGCCACAGCAGAACTGGCGGGAAATTGGGAGCAGAAGCCCCGAGGGGCAGCTGCCTTTCGGCCGAGAGAAATCCCTGAAGTGAAGCCCAGCACCTTGTAGCTGACTTGCACTATCTGGGTAAAGATGGAGAGTGGCAGGCAGAGGAGGATGTCGCTGACGAGAGCCCACCCATGGCCAAACTCCCGGTGGAGCGGGAGAGGAGGGACGTGCCGCTTCCACGAGGCGTCGTCCACGTACACTGCAAGGGAAAGAGAGAAAACGGTTCTCACAGCCGCAACAGACCCATCTCCTTTCACGGGGGGCGGGGGATCAAGGGAGATTCACACCAACACAGGCATCTCTGGTGTGGAATACTGTGGGGAGCTCTGGGTGCCTCACCTGCAGGAGGATACTGCAGAGCTGGGGGGAAATTGGAAAGGAGTCACCAAAAGGATGAAAGGGGTGGAGTGACTCCCCCAGGAGGAAAGATGAGGAAGAAGCAACAATAAAGATGTACTGTACTTTTCCGTGTATGAGGTTTCTTTACTCTAAAATAATTTTTAAAAACAGGGCTCGTCTTATACATGGATAGTGCATGGGGGGGGGGGAGGAAACTGGGTGGGTGGGTGAGTGGTTGCTGTGGCAAGGTTTCCTGTTGATTGGCTGCTGCTGCAGCAATTAGGCGTGTGATTGCTGGCGAGCGGGCAGATGCCCGTCAGCTTCTGCAATGTGAGCGTTAGTCATCCGGGTTAGAGATTTTCAGCATCCCCCCCCCCAAAGCTCAACAACCTTGGGCAATCCTCCCCCTAAAAAGCTCAACAACTGTGGGCCATCTCCCCCCATTTTCTAAAATATGTCCCCCAAAATAGTGGGCGTCTTATACATAGGGGCTTGTTATACACGGGAAAATGCGGTATAAAGTTATGCAAAGTGTGAAGAAAGTGGACAGAAAAAAGCTTTCCCCCCTCTAACTTTACAACGTGGCCCCTGTGCAAACAGGATGGGGAAAGAAATGGACCACAGGGTTGTTCTTATGTTCATGAACAACTTGTGTTCGCCACCATTCATGCTGGAATGCATATATTCGGGTCACGTCTCATTTATTTTGCACTGTGTGCTACAGTAACACAGGAATGTCAGAATTTACTCCAGCTCCTAGGTGACACTAGCTGAGGAGGGCCCCTGGTTAGTTAAGGTGTGTGTGGGGGGTGTGGAACCCTCCGACTTGTGGTTGGTGCTAGAGGGAAGAGGCAGAAAAAGAAGACAGCAAGCTCCACGAGGGCTTCCTGAATCCTTCCCCTGCCCCTCAAGATCTCACAGCCCAGGCTGGCTCCACAGCTGGGCAGAGGTCACAGGCGGCTCCCTGCGGCTGATCCCAACCGAGTCACTGGGGCTGTCCAGAGTCCACAGTGCTGCTGCTGCTGCTGCTGCATCACTTGGAGGCCTCCCTTGCTGAACCAAGCCCAGCCGTCAGGAACTCAGAGGATGCTTCCCGGGAGCATGCGCACAACACTCAGCCCCTCATGCGTGCATCTTCCCATGGAAGCACATAGCAGTGACAAACACTGTGAAAGCCCTTTGCTCCCCCTGCAGAGCCCTAGGAGAGCCCTTAGATGCCCTGGGGCTGTTTTCCTGGTGGTCCTGCACCCTCCTGGGCACCGCAGGGCAGTGACCCAAAAACGGGCCCTTCCCGCCATTCCCCGTGCTGTGGAAATGATGCCCATCCCTTTGCCCCACCAGCTGCTTCAGGCATCCCGTAAACAGGAACCTTTTTGCCCAGGCTTCCCCCGACTGATTGCTGAGCTCCTGTTTGTAGCATGCTGTTATTAGTATTTACACCAGAGGTCGTCAAACTAAGGCCCACGGGCCGGATACGGCTCACCGGGCTCGTTAATTCAGCCTGCCAACCTTGAGGTCAGTCCCCGCGCTAAACAGGCGCGGCGCAGAGGCCTTGCCGCGCGGAGACTGACTTCCGCAACGCAGCTCGCCTTCTGATTGGCTGCAGGATCAAAAGCCGCAAATGCCTCCGAGTGCCGCCCCTTCCTTCCCGCTGAGGTGGCTGAGCAGGAGGAAGCGGCGGCAGCGCGAAGGCTGGCTCCACCACCCAGGCCAGCGGCATGGGCTTTGTGCCCTGCTGAGAGAGAGGACGCCGACGCTGCCGAAGACGAGGCAGTGTCAGCGGCTGTGACAGAGGTGGGGGGGCCCTTCGGGAGGAGGGGTGCTTTTGGGAGGTGGTGGGTCCGGCCCCCCACAAGGTCTGAGGGACAGTGGACCGGCCCCCTCCTGAAAAAGTTTGCTGACCCCTGATTTACACTCTCTTTTTATTATACAGTTTCATTGCTTTTATTCCAAATACTTTCAGATATGAGCCGACGGAGAAATGCTTTCAGACCAAGCATCGAGCCGTCCTCTGGACTCCCTGCTTGCTCCCGATTCCTCACCTGCCTGGTCCCCAAGCGCCTCGCAGCCTTCTTGGCTCCCGGCTGCTGCTCTCGGCTCCTTCTCTTCCGTCCCGCCAGGCAGGCTGGAGTCAAGGCCTTGCAGGCTGTCCGCTGCCTCCTGGCTACAGCTCCATCTCCTCTGCTGGGCGCTGAGAGGGTGCCCATAAACCAAGTACCAGAGGAAGAGGTGGGCCACCTTTAAGCGAGGCATTTTGGGGAGGAAGCCCAGGGAGCGCCCAAGGCCTGGCACTGAAGAAAAGCAGAGGGTTTGCGTTGGAGAGACACAGGCAGGAGCTACTGCCCACCACTCCTTACACAGAACCCTCCCCCCAGAAACAAGCAGAAGCAGGAAAAGCCTTTACCTGTGACTGGGTGGTAGCTTAACTTGGCAGCACGCGCCTTTCTGCCAGCCGCCTCCGCTTTGCAAGGAGAGAAGCAGCCCTCCATCTCCCTCAGGGCAGCCCCAAGTCCAGACTCCTGGCTTCCTTCATCCAAACTCTCCTGAGACATTGGCGTCTGTGGGACTTTAATCCTGCAGTTATGAAGGGAAAGTGAAGCTAGGCACCAGTGTTAGGAATCTGCACAGCAGGCTCCAATGCTCAGTCCCCAGAAACACCACAATATTCACTGAACAACTAGCTAGGAACATGGCTCTTCTGCAGCCATCTGCCTCCTGCCATTTCCTCGAGCCACAAGCGGGACAACTGGTGTCTGTAGAGGACTGGAAAGTGTTTCAGAAACCCCACATGTGGGGCTCCCCCCACCAGGAAGTAGGCAGGAGGACAGCACCTCCTCTAGATAAGTGCCATGGGAATGGGTGCCAGAGGGAAGAGAAACCAAGCCTTTCGTGTCATTGGCCCAGTCCTGTGGAACACCCTGCCACTAGATTCAGTGGGCACCTTCTGTTCCACTTTTCTGTTCCGCCAGGCCTAGGCAGGCCATTAAGCGCGCGCGCACACACACACACCAATGATCTACTGCTGTTTGTTTTTAATTCTTTTGATTTCAACTTTTTATGATTTTACCGCATGGTTTTATGATTTTATATTGTTGTGAAACACTGCAATGTACTTCTATGACACAGCAGTACATACATTACATATAAAATAAATAAGAGATCTTGGTCCACCAGTCCAAATCACCAGGGGGTGGAGGAGGGAGGGAGCTGCCCAGTTCTGAACGCCCTCCTGTTGCTTGGAAATCTTGCCAGTCAGAGCCTGCCCAGCTCCTGCTGGCAGCCCCTGCCACCCTCTTTCCCTCCCGCCACCTACCTGTTCACGGTGCTTGAGTTGGAGATTCGGAAGCGAACTTGCTCAATCGCGCTCTTCACCAGCGGGTCGCTGGGATTCACCGAGGGGTCGACTACAAACTCCACCTGCCAAGCAGAGGCAGAGAGAGAGACAGAAGAAGGCTTGGTGAGGAGAGGCCGAGCAAAAGAGGCGCGGTGCTGAGGGCAGCCCTTTCCCCTTCCTGTCTGTGAAGCTCCTTGGGAGACACCTTGCTTTTGCCCAAGGCCCCAGGCAGCCTTCTGGGCAGGGGACGAGCTCCAGCCCAAGGCCACTTAGGAGGAACGGCCACTCTGGGTGGGAGGCGCTGGCGGGTGGCAATGCCAGGACTGAGAGCAGAGAGAGAGAAGCCGTGGGCCGAGTCTTCAGAGAGGAGGCTGTCAGGAATTCAGCCTACACTCGAGCAGGACCCTGGCAGAGACACATGCCTGACTGGCAAGTTCCCTCCCTCCTGGTCGGTTGTATACTTAAGGATCCGCAGAGTTTGTGCATCATGCGTGTGACAGACTTTAGCAACTCAGTGTTTTGGCTAATCTACTTTATTTACATCTAAACACACACAGAGCACTGCAACATAGCTCCCCCCCTCTCTAGCATCAGACAGCAAAGAGAAAAAGAACAAAGGACAATAGTCACACTTCACGGAACACAGGAACACAAACATCCTGTCTCCGTCACTTCCCACTCTGTGGAATGAAAACATACACCGCCATGTGAAAGACAACAATCCCATGACTGTAATCATAGAGCAGGAATTCTAACAGGCGGGTGGCAATGCCAGTACTGAGAGTAGAGAGGGAGAAGCCGTGGGCAGAGTCTTCAGAGAGGAGGCTGAATCAAACCATTGGAGGACAAGATGCCAAGGACTTTCCCCAGGTGAGGATGAGGACACACACATGGCCCACAGTCAAGCCAGAGGTGTAGCTGGGGGGGGGGCACTGAGCACACCGTGGGGGGCGGCACTTACTGTGAGCGACCCACGTGTCTCTCCTGGGAGTAACGCGGTGACTTGGGCACCTGCAGGCTCTGCGCTGCCCAAAAAAGCGACACGGGCCTGCATGACTTCAGAGCAGAACGGGGCTCAGGCACTGGGATTCTGGTGTGCCTTGCGCCACAGGCACCTTGCCCCCCCCCCCGGCACCCAAGCAGCTAGCTAAGCCGCTGAGACAAGCAGAGCAGACTGGCCCCTCAGAGCAGGTAAGATTCCTTGTCCATCTAGGATTGCCTGTTGGGGTCAAGTTACAAGAAAGGGGACTCCGACTAAACATCAGGAAGAACTTTCTGGCCATGGCAGTGTTCAACAGCGGAAGAGGCTCCCACAGAAGGTGGTGGACTCCCATTCACCGGAAGTTTTTAAACAAGAGGTTGGAAGTGCGGGAGATTAGCAGCCAAACCTAGCGTGCATATTCTGGTCAGTTAGCATGAGAAGGGGCTAAATTTCACACAGCTGTATTGCCAATAGACAGATACTCAGACCATAGACGTACAGTTGGTAGAGCAGGCTCTGTGTGATCTCATTTCCCCTCCTCTCCTGGAGAAAAAGGAGCATCTAGTACTTCCTGTTCCTCTTCCTTTGACCAGCGTCAGGTGCTCCAACTTTAGGCAGGTGCCTGGAGCTGGTTATACAGTACATAAAAGTATTTTGCCTGCATTGGTTTTACTGCTGCTATTGTTGTGAACCAATGTAAATGTAAGTAAATATTTTGTTTAAACTTACAAGTTGTTGAACGGACAAGAAAGGGAGAGCCAGCTTACTTTGTAGCTGGACTTGCCCAGAATAAGGTTTTACATCCCAATTTCTATGCTTTTAATTTTTCTGCCAAGAATGGGAGTTTAAAACTCTGCTCAACCCACACGTGTGGGAGCTGGGAGGGAGAAACTGCAATTAAACCCATCCCACAGGGTGGCCATCCATCAGGGATGCTTTAGCTGCGATTCCTGCATTGCAGGGGGTTGAACTAGATGGCCCTCGGGGTCCCTTGTGACTCCCTATTTCATGATTCTATGAGCGGCAGTGGCTCCCCGGCAGAGGACTCAGGCTGCTGTCTCTTTCTTATCACTGGGTACCTTGAGACCCTCTAGGACAGCGGTTCTCAACCTATAGGTCCCCAGATGTTGTTGGACTACAACTCGCATCATCCCTGAGCTCTGGCTTTGCTAAGTAGGGGTGATGGGAGTTGTAGTTCAACAACATCTGGGGACCCACAGGTTGAGAACCATTGCTTTAGGAGGACTGAACTTCAACCATCTCCGTCACCCTTCCCCAAATTCACTAGCTGGAAAAGATTTGCCCCTCCAATATCACCCGGATGGGCAACACTAACATGCCAGGGGGAGCCCTGGCAGGCGGTGTACCTTTCTGCTGATGCCATCCTGGATGACCGTGGTGCGGAAGAGGCGCAGGAGGCCTTCCTGGGAGAGCTTCTGCACTAGGCGGACAATGGACTTCTTGCAGCACCTGGTGGAAACCCCTTCCTGCTTCTCCTGGTCCATTATCATCTTCTGAAGGCTGCAACAAGGCACATACACACTTGTTTATTATTGCATCCAATCCCACATTTTCCTCCAAGGAGCCCAACTCACTCCCTGTGGAATGTGCCCTGGTGGAGCAGGGAGCAGGCTGCCCGGCAGGCAAGGGGGAAAAGCTGGTGCTCGCTTCCGAACCCCCGACTTACGCAAACAAGCTTTCGATCAAGCGGAGGTTGCGCACGGCCTCTATGATGAGGTTGCGGCGCTTCAGCAGGCGGTAGGTCTCGTGGGAGCGCTCCACCCCCGAGGCTCGCCAGCCCTTCTCTTTCTTCTTGACATCACAGCTTTTCTGGCACAGGGGCAGAAAACCACAGTTTATAGAGGCCAGGTGAAATCCTGCCGCCCAGACGCTCCTTACGCCACACTCGGGACAAGGAAACCAAAAGAGAAGCCCCCGGCAGTGAGAGAGAAAGGGGGAGTTGGACAAACTGGCCGCCACCCCACCCTCCTCTGCACACCCACTTCCTTTCCACACACAGCAACCTACACCAAGGTTATTGTCCAGGTACCACCTGCACAAAGCTGCAATCGCGGAAGTAAACCACACGTAAGTTGTGGGTCCCCTGTAGCAGAAACTGGGTGGAACTTGTAGAGGCTGAAGCAAGAGCCGCCAAGTTTGATTGTTACAACTGGGGCTCAGCAGCTGCTTGGCCAATTGGCAGCCCTAAAAGAAGACTTGCTAGTGGGCTACGCCTGTGGCATCAACCCCAAAGGGAATCCACCCTTTGGGACTGGACTGAAGTTTGTGAGTTTGGGAAGAAGTGCACAGGCTCTTGACCATGCACGAGACTTTCAGTGCACCCAGACTGAGGGAGTGTTGGGGCCCTAGGAGTTAGTCCCCCCTGGGTATGAGACAGGTTTCAACGCCCAGGTGAGACATGGTGTGCAAGGCCTGCGATGCACTCCCGGCCCTTTGTGGCTGGAACCTTTGGCGCGTGAAGCAAGTGCCGCGCTGCTGAAGTAGAGGCTCAGGACAGATGGATACACTTCCTGGACCAGCACAGAAGCACTGCCCCCTTCTCTTTCGTCTTTTATTTATTTTGACAAAGTAATAATAATAAAGAAATAAGAATAAAAATGTGCACCTCACCCCCGAGACCATTACACTGTAACTATCCAACCTCCCAAAATTTCAACACATCCTGCAGTGTTTTGACCCCTTTCCATTTCAACAGTACAAATTCTACAAACACCCTTCATAATTCCTCAAATTAATATTTGAGGATATATTCCCCATCTTACCTTAATGGCACATGTTAATTTATCTTTAATAGGTACACCCCACACCTCTTTATACCATTCTTCCATTTTAGAATCTGCTTGCCCCTTCCACTTCCTAGCTATCATAATTCGTGCAGCTGTCAATAAATTTGTGAGCAAGTCCTTCATCGCCTGCGAACCATCCACCCCTGTTGTCTCCTTTCCCCACACCTCTTTTAATTATCTTCTTGATCCTCCATTTCCAGTTTTATAAATTTCACTGGTTTCCCCTTTTATAAATGTATTGCTGTGCCACCTTCTGATGCCCACTGGGTTGTGGAAATGCCAGCTCAAAAGCCCCCAGGAACATCCCTTCTCACTCCCTGAGGCTGAACCGCCTGAAGTTGGCTCCTCCATCAGCCAACCCACAGCAAACGTGGCCCTCCAAGCTGTCCATAGCAGGCAAGGGAGGTGACCCCCCCCTCCAGTGACTCTGGCCCCCCGTCCCAGCTCACACCTTGCGAAAGACTTTCCATCCCAAGTGTGCCAAAACATGCGCACTAGCAACAAATGTTCAGGCTTTAAGGCCTCTTACTTTGGGAGTCTCCAGCTTGACTTCCTCAACCAGAGCCATACCATCAGCATGATCTATAAAATGGGCACAATTTGAGAGGCCACTTTCCTGCTTTAGTGTGTCCAAAGTGGAATCATCATTTGCGGTGTGTTCAGGAAGCTCTTCTGGGTATTCAGAAGGGCGCAACGGAGACAGCTTCCTCCCCAGGGTCCTTGGAGCTAGCAATTTCTGGGCTAGTTTTAAGAAAAGACACAGAGGGAGAGGAAACACAGAGCTGGTCAGCAACACAACCAAGCAACTGTTGCAAGCTTTGCTGTATCACAGGCAATGGGTCAGATGCTGACAGAGATCATGGATTTCTGGCGATCTTGAGCAATCCTAACCCCCCTAATTAAGCACCTGCCCCCTTTATACAGAGCTCAGCACTCAGACCTTATTAAAAACTTTGTTCTAAAGTCATGCAATTTCTGCAACATCACACACCACTTTGCTGTTCTTAAGGCTGCAAGCAGACAGAGAGACAGACAGAAAGAGAGAGAGACAGGCAGACACAGAGCCTAACATGGCCACTGAGGAAGGAAGTGGCCCTCTTGGCCAAAGCTCACCCCTTGTACCTTTCACTGGCGTTGACTGGCACGGGCTGCCTCCTCCTCGGAAACTGAGCCTGAGCAGCGACGCTGAGCTGGCGCTCCTCGGCTTCCCGCCTTCTCTCGCCTCCTCCTCGTTCTCCGATTCAGAGAGCAGAGGCATCTCCTCCTCCTCCTCGGCTGCAGAGAGCTGCTCCTCCCCAGGCATGGAGTCGTCGGGGGCCACCGACACGCTGGCCATGGCCAGCTGCTCACTCCGAGCCTTCTCCCGCTCAAACTGCCGGCTGAGGTCGCTCTCTTCCGCAAACGTGCAGGTGATGTATTTGGTCGTCCGCTGCCTGCCTTCGTCTTCCATGAATCCCTAAGCAAGGATCAAGACCGTTCTCAGCCTTTACCTGGCATTTCCTGCATGTTGAGGAAGGGGCCCGTGCGCAAGGCCAGCAGCGGAGGCCGTGACAAGTGTTACCTTGATCACTTTGTATCTCTCCAAGAGGCGGCAGAGCATCCTGGCTTCCAGCTTCCCCACATTCATGGCGGCTCGGAGTTCAGCTTGAGAAATGCCTTTGGTCCCCCAGCTTTCAACTGCAGAGGGGGAGGAGGGGAAAGCATAACATGAGGTCCGTATAGTTAAAGCTCCGGTTTTCCCAGTAGTGATGTATGGAAGTGAGAGCTGGACCTTAAAGAATGCTGATCGCCGAAGAATGGATGCTTTTGAATTATGGTGCTGGAGGAGACTCTGGAGAGTCCCATGGCCTGCAAGAAGATCAAACCTATCCATTCTGAAGGAAATCAGCCCCGAGTGCTCACTGGAAGGACAGATCCTGAAGCTGAGGCTCCAAGACTTTGGCCACCTCAGGAGAAGAGAAGACTCCCTGGCAAAGACCCTGATGTTGGGAAAGATGGAGGGCGGAAGGAGAAGGGGAAGACAGAGGACCAGATGGCTGGACAGTGTTCTCAAAGCAACCAGCATGAGTTTGACCAAACTGCGGGAGGCAGTGGAAGACAGGAGGGCCTGGCGTGCTCTGGTCCAGGGGGTCACGAAGAGTCGGACACAACTAAACGAGTAAACAACAACAGGTCCCCCCAAAGATGCTGAATGGTAGGAGAGTTCAGATGGGTTGAAGGGTAAGGCGGATCCTAAAAATATACACCTTAAGTGTCAAAGGCCAGGGTAAAGAGTGTGCCTTCAGCATTCGCTGAAAGCTGTCTAATGAAGGTGGCAGGTACACTTCTATGGGGAGTTCCACAGATCAGGGGCCACCACAGGTAAGGCTCTCTCTCGGGCCACTGCCCCCAAACTTCTGAGGGTGAAGGAACTGCCAAGATGCCCCCTCTACTGACGCTTATTTCAACCCAACACCCAGCCCCTGAGAGGTTTGGGGCCTGAGCCATTTACCTACTTAGCTCATACGCTTGAGTCAGCATATCCTTCTCGTAGACAATGTCCACAGGCTGCACGGCTTTGGTGATCATTTCTTCGTCGTCGTCGTCATGGTAATCATCCACCTTCTTCCGAAACTCCTTCACTAGTTTCAGGCAGCGAACCATTACGTCAGTTCCTGGGAGCGAATGAACAAGCATACCCGCCCAGTTTGTCAAAACACAAAAGGAGACTTAGCAAGGCAGAAAACCGGAATCTCAAGAAATTGTGCTTCTGGGGGTGATATGCCTAAAAAAGGACTCATTCCACCCCCAGTTTTAACACGGAGTGTTCAGCCCCCTGCATACGGAGCAGGGACAGGAAACAGCTGTTCTTGGACTACAACTCTCATATCCATTGGCCCTGCTGGCTGGGGCTGATGGGAGATGGAGTCCAGCAATATCTGGAGGGTTGAAAGTTCCCCATCCCTGATCTAGAGAGAAGTACTGTGGTGGCAAGAGCTTCCACAGGGCCCTCTCTCTTCACTTTAAAGCAGGAGAACAACAACAGCAGCAGCAGCAGCAATAATAATAATAATAATAATAATATAAAATTTGTTAATTACTTTATCTTGTCCAAGACACCCTAAAGCGACTTACAAGGCTACTCTTCTGCGCAAGGGTGGCAGTGCCAAGGCAGCCTGACCCCCTTCCAGAAGCTGTGAGGTGCCCTCTTACCCTTCTTGGTCTTGAAGGGACCTCCATCAGGGTGAACGTCTTGTAACGGCACGGTCACAATCTTTCCAAAGCCGGCATTCAGCATATACTGATAGAGACGCTTAAATGTTTTCTCACAGAGACCCTGTCGTTGTGCAATGAGAGAGAAGCAGTTTTAGGGCTGGCCGCAACTGACTTCAGGACGGAATGGCAGGCAAGCCTGTTTCCCCCGTAAGCCTCATGCCAAGGCCCCAACCCTCCTTGGAGGCTCAAGAAGCGAGAGAAACGAGGGCTGCTCCAAAGGCCCACAGAGAGAATAGACACATTTCTGTTTGGCTCCCGCTGGAGGCGAAACACAGCAGGGCAGAGGGGGCCTTCATGGGTCGGCACCCCCAAATGCCCCTGCGGCCCTGGGGAAGAAACACCACCTGAGAAGCTCCTCTCCGTCCGAAAGACTCCAGCAAAACAAGCACCACCCGCTCAGATGCACGCAGACGGGTTTCAAGCGCATGGAAGAACAGCCAGGTGCTCACCAATTCCTCCCTTATGCTCGCCAGCGTCTCCATATGACCAGGTCGCTTGCTCAGCATAGTGGACAGCTTCTCCATGAGGATATCGTATTTGCTCCTCCTAAAACCCAAGAGAGGCAACCGTAAGCAGGCGGCACCAATGCCTCCTCACACCTCTAGCCAGAGGACACCCGCCCCTTGGGTGGGGCGCCAGCTGTGAGTGGCACAAGGAAAGCTCTGACCACCCCTAGGAAGAAGCAGACCAGGGTGGATAAAAGTCAATGGTTTTAAAAAAAATATTGGATTTTCGGATGGGTAAGTGGTGCTCCGGTGGGACGTGGGCAAGACTAGGGGGCAGGCAGGAGGAAGTGCAGGTTGGGGGCAGAAGTCTTGCTTGACATATGCAAGAGCATAGAGCAGGGTGGGGTTTTTTTGATTTAAATCATATTTTTAAAATTAAATGCTTTTGGAGGAAAAATCTTGCTAAAGATAGTTTTCTGTTTAAGTTACATTATAGTCCAAAGGCTATTCAACAGGAAATAAGGATTTGTTTTCAGTTTTTCATTTGTGCTAAAACTCAGTCTAAGTTTTTTTAAAAACAAACAAACAAACCCGTTTAACCAGTTAACAAACATGGATACATATGCTACAATGTTATAGTTTTAGTTAAATTAATTGTTTAAATTATTATTAAGGAAATGATTATTTTTCTCCTTCCAATAAAGTACAGCAAAAAAGTTGTCCAAATATAAACAGTTAACTTATATAACCTCACAATAATTTCATATTTATCTGTCTATGTATTTCTAATAGTATAGCCAAATCAGTAATTTTTGATAGAACTGTAAAAACTACTCTGAAAATTTATTATTCCAAAAATGAAACCTTTATCTGGTTGTAAATATTAAGATTAAGATTATACCAGCAAGAATGAGTCTTTCTGTAAAAAAAAAAAAGAGATTTAAATCAAGTCTTACTGACTAGTGATTTAAATAGAATTGATTTAAATTAAATCCACCCTGAAAAAGACAGAGTCACCATTGCTGCTGCCCTCACAAGATGAAAGAGGCTTCATCCTGTGGGCTCAGCTAGATTGAATACCAAGGCCAGACTCTCTCCTTCCTCTGGCCTACAACAAAACTGCCCCAGTCAGAGAGGAGACAAGCTCCAGTACTCGCTGGAAGATGTTTATTGTCCTTTATGCATTTCAGAGTCAAATCTCTTTGACAGGAACTGTGAACACTTGCAATTTTGGGGAAAATGCAAAATCGCTTCAGATAAAGTATCATGTTTCCCTTCCTGTGCCTCCGCAATAAATAATGTTCTCCAGGTGATACCAAAAACAAGCAAAGTGGCCTATGACTGGGGAGCCTGAGGGTGTCTTGGTGCCACACTAGGGAGTTCCGGATATAGGTTATCACATGCTGTTATTTAAAACTAGATGGGATATTCTGCTGGTATCCTGGCTTGAATGTTATTGGGGTGGATTTTAATTGGTTAACCCGTTTTGCTGTTGGATTTTATGGGTTTCTATTTGCACATGGCTATAAATGGCTTTAAGAGGCCACTCTGTCCCAAAAATAGCCTAAAAACTTTTTAAATAAAGTAATAATTTGATCAGGAGAGCAGCAATGAAGGATGTTCAGTCATTTCCTCCCACGCTATTTCCCCCACCTAAGTCACTCCCCCAAGCTGTGATTAGCCAGGGTGGTGGTGGGGACTCAGGTACTGATTTGTCATTCCTGTGAAGGTGAAGGGGTGCATATAGATCAGGGGAAGAGCGTAGGAGGAGGCAATTAAAATACCCCCCCCCAGCACTGCTTCCTTGACCTCCCTGCAACACACACCTGTCAACATGAAAGTGGGTCAGGAGCAGGAGGATGGAGTGCTGCTGGGCCCCCGTTGGCAGCCTGATCACGTGGGACTGCATGGTGATGAGCCCATTTCTGTCCAGGACTCGTCGGTGGTAATGAAGCTTCCCGGAATCCACCCTAGGATGAGGACAGATTTTATGAAAATTAAGCACGCCACAGAAGGTGAAAGGAGACAAAAGCTAACCCTGTAGACCAGGCATAGGCAAGCTCTGGCCCTCCAGATGTTTGGGACTACGATTCCCATCATCCCTGACCATTGGTTAGCTAGGGATGATGGGAATTGTAGTCCCAAACACCTGGAGGGCCGGAGTTTGCTGTAGAGTGTAGACCAACAATAACAGGGCCAGAACCTGCATCTTCCAGGGAACCATGCAAGTGTCTTACACTATGTTAAGCCTGCTTAAAATTTAAGCTGGGATAAAATGGGCTAAAGAATGCTTCCCCCAAGCAATTAGCTAGCATTTGCCAGGCCTGTGATGTTTTGAAAGGGTAGGCTCTGGATACAGCTCAGGGTTGTGGCGTGTCCACAGTGATTTGGGGGTGAGGCTTGTCTATCATCATAGCAGCTCCACAAGAGACAGGCTCTAGCCTAACTTAAGACATTCCAGAATACCGCTGCAAAACAAACCAAGTCAATCCTATCCTCTTATGCCAGCCCACGGGACAAGGTATCTTCTCCAAACCAGAGGCGGATGTCTGACCACATGCTATCACTTCTGCCAGTGAAGCGCCACAGCTGGAGCCAGAATGAGTTACTGCAACAGGCCGCAACCCGGGCACTTACTTAAAAGCTGCGCTGAGGTCTCTTTGCAGCTCTCCCTGCCACCGGGCACGCCCCAAGCGCTCCAAAATGCAGTAGGAGAAGTCGGGAAGTTTTAAGTCTGGATCCCCTTCCCATCCTATTAGCGTTCTGTGGCGCAGCATCTGAGAGGCAACGATCACCAGCTTCTCTCCCCACCTGCAAAGCAGTAAGACATGAAAAGGAAGGTAATTTCCCCCATTCCCCAATGAATCACCCACTTTCTGTGCCACAGCAGCATTGCCATCAAGCTATGCAGCATTTTCTTCCTTGGGATCATTTTGTGTCTAGTAGTGGCTGCTCAGACTGCGTACGTAGGGCTGGAATACGCAAAGCAACGGGGGCACATTTCAACTCACGACCCCACCCAAACAATAGGCTTTCTTGTCCAGATCCTCCCTATTCCCGAAAAGACACTGCAAAGCTGACCAAAGCTCCCATGAATCTGGAGTGCTGGTGGGCTCAAAGAGGCACTTTAAGCAAGCACCACGTAGCAAACCCAATCACCTCTCAGTAGCAAGAGGCTGAAGGAACGTCCACTTACACCTTCACTAATTACTTCCAAGCAAGTAGGAAAAGCTGACAATTACTAGATTCCCACGTTTCCTTCTTCCCAAGATGAGTATTGCCGTTAGTAACAGAACCACAGAAGTGACAAGCAGGCAAAGGTATTTCTTCTCTTGCAGCTTTTTTTTAACAGGATAAACTTGGAAGGAGCAGGCTTGTTGGTTATTAGCCCAAAGCACAGGCGGCTAACCTGTGCCCCTGCTGTGATGTTGCTGGACTGGAATGATGATTCCTAACCATGACGACTGGGGCTGACTGCTGTTGGAGACCAACAGCATCTGGAAGGCCACAGGTTAACCACCTCATTTGGTGGCCCTTGTTTTAGCACATTCCCACAAAGGCACCCTTCTTCCCATCTCCACTTAGCTAGCCTAAATTTAGGTGCAGACATGTGGCACTGCACCCTTCTTTTGTCCTCCAGGAATAAGCTTTCACACTGATGTGTCAATTGAGAATGACACCTGCCCACCCACATCCACCAAGTCTTAATGATAGTGACATTGTCACACTCCTTCATCTTGTTCCAGGTATGCTTGACACCGGCATTCAAACTTTTACTGGAAAATACACTTTTCTTTCTACCTTATGACAAAGCTATACAATTCTCCTTTTGACTCCGTGGACAGTTCTGCAACAGAATAAATTCAACAGTCCTGCTCCACTTGCCCACTCTGCAGACCTCTGCCCCACCAATAGAGAGCCTGGAGCAAAAGTAACTAGCAAACGCTTACTCACTTCTCATAAGCTTCTGTATATGTGCAAAGGGGCCGTAGGTCTTTTGTTCTGACCAGGTCAGTAATATCCAGCCTCTCTTTAAAATACTGGCACGAACCCTGAATGCCTTCAGGGTGATCCAAAATCATGTGCACAGGATAAATGTCATCTAAAGGAACAGGATCTCTCTTGGTCTCCAGTATTCCTGTTTCAAGATCAATTTCTTCATACCTAAAATGAGAAGAAGAGAATTAGCGCTTCTCAACCCCAGTCTGCCTGCCCAAGATTTGCAGCAAGTGTTTTTTGTTGTTTTTTTAAAGAAGCTCCCCTCATTTCCTCTAAACAAAGATGTTGAAGCCTTTCCTCGTAGGGAAGCCGCTCCATCATGTCCTTGTCTCATTTTCATTGCCCTTTTCTGAAGTTTCTATAATATCCTTTTTGAGGGGAGGCGACCAGAACTGTACAAAGCACATCCCAAGCATGATGGCAGGGCCGGATTTAGGTTTGATGCGGCCCTGAAGGTAATGGGGCCCTTTATATGTCCAGCTGTCCTTTGTCAACAACAAATTGTCGTTTTTTTCTGTTGAAGATATGCTATATGATAATTGATGGACCTAATAGATATCTAAAGCCATTTGCACATGCAGAATGTAGGCACCCTATATTTCGAAAGGAGCAAACCAGTGATATTTTAGGGAGCAGGCCAGCAGGCGGGGCCCAAGACTTACATCATAGGAGCCTGCACAACACAAAACACTGTTGCTGTATGTAGGTTTTATTTTTATTTTTTAATCTTATATTTTGGAAATGTACATCCAGTTTTTTTTCCTGGAGGAACTCAATGGTACACAGTACTGGAAGCTTTTTTCCTTCGAGAACTGGAGCATTGGGGGACTAGGATACCGCCAGTCTTATCTCAAACTCCTTTTCCCATATCTTGGCGGAGCCAGCCACGGGGCCTCCCCAGGACTAGAAACGTGAATGACATCCGAGCCCTTGGGAAGAGCTTCCTGACGGGGGCGGGGGGGGGGAGATATCCGCTCGGCGGAGCAGGCTCTCCTTCGCGGGGGCTTCTTCAGGAGAGGCTCGGGGCGCCGCTGCTCCTGCAGGGGGCTGGACTAGATGCCCCCTGGGAGCCCCTCCCGGCTCACCGGTCGTAGAGGTGCAGCGGCGGCCTGGGCTGAGGGAGCAGGTAGAAGCGGAGCTGCGCGTGCGCGGCAAGGGAGGCCCAGAGGAGCTGCCGGGCCTCGGGCTCCAGCGGCAGCGGGAAGGGCGGCACGCGGCCGGCCAGGCGCTCCCAGAGGGCCCCGGGGGTCGCGCCGTCCAGGCCCTCCAGCGCCACCTCGCCCAGCGCGGCCCACAGCGCCTCCATGGCGCCTCGCCCGCCCTCCTCCGGCGCGCCGGAAATGACGCGCCCCGCCCGCCCAGCGCCGCTTCCGGCGGGGTCTCCATGGCAACGGCCCAACAGCGGCGCCGGGCAGCGGGGCGAGGAAGAGGAAGGAGAGGAGGAAGAAGAGGAGGATGGAGTGAGCCCCGCCGCGCCTGCCAGGGCCGCGGCGCCCCCGGGAGGGTCCGGCGAGTGCGGGGCGACGGGGTAGGGGGCGAGCGGGGAAAGGGGGCGAGCGGGGGGAGGAGGCGGGGGGCGCCCCGGACTCCCGTCCCCACCGCTGACACCGCTGGCCAGGCTGCCTGCAGGGACTGGTCGTAATTCGTCATCATCATCAGAATAATTGATTTATACTCTGGGCGGCTCCCAACAAAATATTAAAAACACGATAAAAAAGATCTGTAAGAGGAAATTACTACCTATTCGGGATGAGTATTGTAATAACTTTAGGTAATGATATATCAAGAATAGGAAAAGGTGAAATGCAGTGATGCAAAATTTAAGTTTGTAAACCATTAGGCGGGAGGGAGGGAAGTCCTTAGGCTCAGTTGAGCCACAGAGATTTAATAAGAGGATATGATGTTACACAATGTGATTATATGTAAAACTAATAAAAATTATTATTTAAAAAACCTACTATAAAATATCAGACATTAAAAACTTCCCTAAACAGGGCTGCCTTCAGATGTCTTCTAAAAGTCTGATACTTGTTTATTTCCTTGACATCTGATGGGATGTCATTCCAGCCGCTTCTCACAGGAAGAGAACCGTCAGAAGGCCCTTGGATCTGGACCTCAGGGTCCAGACTGAACAATGGGGGGTGGAGATGCTCTTTTAGTTATATGATTATCATTATCATTATTATTTTGACTTATTATTAGTTCAACCTCACCCGCAATGGTGCACTCCCCTTTTGCCTCAAGGTGGTATACACATAAATTAACAGCTACAAACGTAGAAGAAGCCCTTCCTCGATGGGCTAGGATGACCTTTGTGGTTCCTTCCAACTCTACAGTTCTATGATTCTTTGAAGAAAAACTCCCTCTCAAAAGCCATCAAGCATTAATAGAATTAAAACCATGCAAATAATTACCATGACAACAGCATGCCGCCAGCCCTTTCCTTGAAAACAGTCTGTTCACAAAAGCCTCTTTGAAAAAGAAGGCCTTTGCCTGTGGGCGGAAGGACAGCAAGGAGGGAGCAGCCTGGCTCCTCTGGGCAGGGAGTTCCAAAGGCTGATGGGAGTTGGAGTCCAACAGCATCTGGAGGGCAGCACCAGGATGGGGAATGATGGCCTGGCCCCCCAGGAGGCAGCGCCACAGCTGCCCCCACTCAGCTTGCGCAAGGGTTCTGTTAGGAGAGGTGCCACTTTGGGCATGAGAAATTCACCAGTAGGCTGAAGAAGCACCACCATGGGCACCCCCAACGCCAGGCATCCCCCCTGCAGCAGACTCCCTGCTCCCCCACCAAACAAGAACGCAACCAGCAGGTGGGCACCAGCTACTTAGGCAGCCGAGGCAGAATGTCAGGCATTGGATTTGCAGGGCAACATGTGCCAGCCAGTGAAGCTGAACGTTGGGTGATTATTCAGGACAGTTGGAAGGAATTGCTTTATCTGGAGCCAAATTAAACTGGAATTTACTCCAAAGGGGATAGGGTGGCGGCCTCCAATGTGGACAGCTTTATAAACACCGCCCACGGCACCTGCAAAATGTTGCTTTGTTTCTGTGTTTCAGGCTTAACCAAAGGACATGGTGACTGACTTTGATGAGAAACATGATCAACATATAGTATTTCTTCAGCATAGAAACAGGTAGGCCGAAGGATGACCGGCAGGCCAGGAGAACAGATTTTGGGGGCCCTGGCTAGGTCTGCAGCCTGCTGCCTCTTCAGATATGGCAGGAGGCTGGGCAAGGGCCAATGAATCCTGGCAGGTCAGAGGCTTTGTGGGTGATGGGCCAGTTGCCTGCTCTGAATGGGCTTGCACTTGAGCCATCTTTGCTGCTAGAGGCTTGGGGCCTCTCTGGCTTTTAGCAGCTTTGATGTGACAGCCGTGGTGATTCCTGGGTGAAGACATCCTAGTCATGCTGTTCTAGGTATTGACTCCAAGAGAATTTGCACTAATGGCCAATATGCTACCAGCCCAAATTTAAGGTGTTACTGCGAGGGTATGAAGCCCTAAACAACACGGGAGCAGCCTGTCTGAAGACCTTCTTTCTCCATATATTCACACCTATTTTTTGAGATCTGCTGGAAAAGCATTGCTTGACTGCCTCTTGTGAATGGGACATTCATTCATTCATTCAATTCGTATATAACCCTTTATCCAAAGATCCCAGGGCAGTGTGCAACATTAAAAGCATACGTAACATGGCATAATGAAAAACAAGAAAACGAAAACCATAGTAATAGTCTCCACACTTTTAAAAGGCTGTAGATTGTTTAATGGCCAAAGGCCTGGGTAAAAAGCAGCACCTTAGGCTGGCAACCTCTGAGCCAGATTCTTTCCTGGCAGGATTTATTTATTCAAACATTCTTGATGTCAGCTTAAGACAAGTAGTATAGAAATGTATGAATGAATGAATCAATCAATCAATCAATCCTGTCAGGAAAGAATCTGGCTCAGACCATGAAGGTCTTCCTGCTTAGATTTTCCTGCAAGAATCCTCTACACAAACAGACTGCAGACAAGGATGTGAACTTGGAGGTGGCATTTGGATAGCATTTTTAAAGGCAGAAAACCAGCTTATTGATTTAAAATATCAATAAACAACAGGTTTGTAGAAAAGCAAGCAGTAGCTTAGTAAACTCAACAGTCCATCTTGGGGATTCCCAGGAACTCCTCCTTCCAGGGCAAGGCTATATTGTCCTTAAATCTAGCAGACCCTGCACTCTGAGCAGAGGCAGGTTTCAGCAGACTACTTCTCTCACTCGGTGCTCCCCCAAATTTGGATAAATTTTGATGGTATTCCTCAGCTATTTGTAGGAGGAGCTCCATCATGGCTTTGTGGAGACTTCTGCATCACCACAGAAGTCGTCACGGTAGCATTTTCTGTAGAGAGAACGTGATCCTTGGAGAACCCTCAAATCAGAAACTTGGTGTGCTGCATATTTTAGGATATTGAAAGAGCTCAGAAGAAAGGACCCTATGCAGATTAAGCTGGAGCAGCTGGAACAAGGGTTTATTCTGTATGTGAACGGAGCGAACTCAGAACTAACCAGCCACCGCAAGAAAGTCAACCCTCAGAACTTTTTCAGAAGTGGCACACGAACAGCAAGGGGAAACTGTGAGTTCCTTCGTGACATAACTGTATTGAAACACCACTGCACCAGGAGTAGGCAGAAAGTAAGCTGGTGGTCATTTTCCAGTGTGCCACCTTGTATCTGCTAGCCTTGAGAATCCTTAAATGAAGAAAACTTTGGGCAAGAGTGAAGGGTCTTTAGCAAGAGTGAAGGCTCAACACAGAAGTCATCCCCCAGCTCTTAAGAGGTTCTCCTGATCACACCACCTCATTTGTGAATTTGACACACATTGGTGGACTTCAGGGAATCTCTAGCTTTTTAGTAAATCACCCAGACAAAAGCGGACTCCATCTGCCTTGCATCGTGCCACTGAAGGGTCGGTTTCTCTGTTTGGGCACACAGGCTTTCTGCCATGTGCAGAGCCTAGAATAGAAACCAGCTCAGGAAAGGCATTTTGTTCTAGTTGACCCCACCCTCCCATTTCATCTACAGTAACTCTCCTCAAGTGACTTTAATGCCTCCAAGATGCTACAGCATCATCTCTGCCCCTTTGAGTCCCCATTCTCAGGTCCTTCTACAGCTAACGAAAGCTGTGACGTGTGTGTGTGGTGAAGCATAGAGTGAGAAAGGGGCATAAGCTGCCAGGCTCACTGCCTGGTGTCCCATACCTGCCATTACCAGCGCTGCTCCCTGGTCAGCCGACACAGAAGGCATTTTGGGAGAGGAAGGAAGCACCCAAAGCACTGCTGCTGCATGCAACATGGGCAGCCCTTGCCTGATGTGCCCCTCCCCCTACAGTTTCTAAATTCTAGGAACCTTCAGTGCAGCTGAGGATACACCTGACCTGCAGCTCAAGAGCTGACAGAGCAGCGAGTCCCAGTAACTCACGGTGTGAGTCTTTCCCACATTTGGAACCGTGTTCCTCTTTTTTAGCGGCAGCTAAAAAAGCCAATGCAATTCTGGGCTGCATCAATAGGAGTATAGCATCTAGATCAAGGGAAGTAATAGTGCCACTGTATTCTGCTCTGGTCAGACCTCGCCTGGAGTACTGTGTCCAGTTCTGGGCACCACAGTTCAAGAAGGACACTGACAAACTGGAACGTGTCCAGAGGAGGGCAACCAAAATGGTCAAAGGCCTGGAAACGATGCCTTATGAGGAACGGCTAAGGGAGCTGGGCATGTTTAGCCTGGAGAAGAGGAGGTTAAGGGGTGATATGATAGCCATGTCCAAATATATAAAAGGATGTCACATAGAGGAGGGAGAAAGGTTGTTTTCTGCTGCTCCAGAGAAGCGGACACGGAGCAATGGATCCAAACTACAAGAAAGAAGATTCCACCTAAACATTAGGAAGAACTTCCTGACAGTAAGAGCTGTTCGACAGTGGAATTTGCTGCCAAGGAGTGTGGTGGAGTCTCCTTCTTTGGAGGTCTTTAAGCAGAGGCTTGACAACCATATGTCAGGAGTGCTCTGATGGTGTTTCCTGCTTGGCAGGGGGTTGGACTCGATGGCCCTTGTGGTCTCTTCCAACTCTATGATTCTATGATTCTGTCCTTAGGGCACACGATAATCTGTAGGAGAGTTTGTGTGTTGAAAGCCTTGCCTCGGGGCAAGGAATGGCACTTGACAGCCTTTGAACCCTCCTTGTTCCAAGACTCAGCTCCAAATTTCCTTTCAGGTTCCAGTTCGAGAGCCCTGTTACAAGACGACGACGACGACAACCTACAAGGGAGGAGCACGCAAAGTGCACCAAGTAAAATCCAGCGCCGAGGGTGGCTCCAGGTAGGGAGGAGAAGGGTGCACACACTTTGCTCCTTGATGGCCCCAGATTCTGGTTGGGAAAAGTGGCAGAGCAGCTTTTAAAGTGATCACTGGGGTGAGGGGAAAAGCCAGCAGGAGCCAAGGAGTGTCCCATTTGGAACAAATGTCCCTGGAGGATGAAGATGAAAAAAGACAGTTTCACTTGGGAAGTGTAGAGCTGGGCACTGAGTTTGTAGCCTAGTCCAAGACTGATGCTCAACCTAACCATTGCAGCACATTAGCCCTACATTGCAGGTTCACATTGAGAGCCAGTGTGGTGTAGTAGTTAAGAGCGGTGGACTCGTAATCTGGTGAACCGGGTTCGCGTCTCCACTCCTCCACCTGCAGCTGCTGGGTGACCTTGGGCTAGTCACACTTCTCTGAAGTCTCTCAGCCCCACTCACCTCACAGAGTGTTTGTTGCGGGGAGGAAGGGAAAGGAGAATATTAGCCGCTTTGAGACTCCTTAGGGTAGTGATAAAGCGGGATATCAAATCCTCCTCCTCCTCTTCTTCTTCTTCTTCTACACATCAAGCCTTCTAGCCTGTTGGTTCGATCCCGCTTAAGGGATTCAGCTTGTTAACGTACGGCCGAAAGCATGCAAGAGAAAGTGTGAAAACAATGGTGGCCATTAGACTGGATTAAGACCATTCCAGAGCCCAGAGGGTGCGAGGGCAGGCACAGAACACCAGCCAAATAATAGCTGGTGGGATTACAATGGATACTTGCCAGCGTGAAGGCAGTAGCAGATTCCTGTTTATTCCTCAAAAGAGTCAAACTTAACACACACAATGGGTTTTCCATTTTCTAGAAAGCAGTGCAGATCAAAACAGAAAGTGGATCCAGACTCCATGTCTCTCCTCCTTCAGAGTACTCTGAGGATTTTGAACCTTATGAAAGCCTAAGCTCGCATTCAAGTGACTGTGAACAGGATGACGCTCGCCAGGTATGGGCCTTCACCATTTTGCGAAAAGCATCTTTTATTATCGAAGGTGAAACTCTAGCAGTAACACCAGGAAACGATTCTCCCTTCCAAGAAGGGTCTTGCATTGATTTTTGTGCCTTGTTTCTTCTTAAGTTCATCACACACACACACACACACATTTGCACATGTGTGTACACATGCACAGACTCAAACTAGCCACCCAGCCAAGGAATTTTAGCTTTTTCAAATATTTCTTTTTTTTTTAATGATATTTATTAAAGTTTCCAATAAAAACAGAACACAGTAAAAGAAAAAAAGTAAAAAGAAAAATACACAATACAAAAATGCACAATACAAAATACAAAAAAGAACAAAAGAAGAAACATTAAAAACAATACCACCTTTTCATCACCACTTTTGAATTTACTTATTTTCTGGACCTCCTCGTACCTCCCTCTTTTGTATTCCAGTTCAATTTGTTTGTCCAGCAATTTCTTTCCCTTTTTTTTAATCCCAATCCTTAATCTTAATATGGTATAACATTAAATTCTTATCTATTAATAACCAATTTTCCATTCTTTTAAACTTTTTATGCCTAATCCTTAATCTTAGTCTATATATAACTTTAACGCCTGTACAGTTAGAAACCACTTAATTTCAATCCATCATCACTCTAACATTCTTTGATTTTGCAATGTTTCTGTAAATAATCTTTAAATTTCTTCCAATCTTCTTCCACCGACTCTTCTCCCTGGTCACGGGGTCTTTCGCAGGAAGGTGATGTCTCCAGCAAAACCTCTGAATCCATTGTGGGTCTTGCATTCATGAGCAGCAACACCAGCAGTTGCATGTGTCATGAGGATCCACTGCTTTACCTTTGTGCTGATTTGTTTTTGATTTGTGCTAAACTGTGGTCTGCAACTTTAAACAATATTTAAGGTAACTGTAAAAAATCCATATTAGGGCAGTAGCTGCATTAGGCTCACCAGAATGTCAAAATAGCGTGCAAGCTTAAAAGTTCTCCTCTTTGTCAGATTTGATGGCAAACAAAGCAGGAGTGGTGGAGGAGGGAAAAAGCTGGATGATCAGTGTCTCTAGGTGGAATGTGGAAAGAAGCAGGAGACATTCCAAGGAGGCCTGTCAGATGCTGTACAGGTTTCAGGTTGCAGCTATGGAAGAAGGAACATGTCGCAGGGAACCTGTATCATTTGCTGGTGCTCTGTGAAGAACACCAAGCTTGCACAAGATGTTGTACCTCTAACTTCCTCCCCTCTCACCAGTTTTTGCAAGTGTGGTGTTTTTTCTCCCTGACAGAAACTGCCTCCAAGATGCTTACCTTGCCCTGCAGAGTGTCGGAAATGAAGTCTGGTGGATGTTGGCAAGCATCCCCAGGGTTTGCTCTTGGCAATTTGCCTCTCCTAAGCAGAGAAGCATCAGGAAGCTTATTTACTGCTTCTTCTCTGTCTGTTTCCAGAGCCTCAAATCTCCAGAAAGCACAGTCCCCAGTGGCTATATCTTCTCCGTTCCAAGGGCAGAACAAAGTATGAGCAATTATGCTGAAAAGGAACAGTTGCTTCTCAGCATGGAGGACATGAAGGTAGCCTTGGGTTGGCCTGGTGGGCAGCATCTCCAGAACCCTGACAAGATGAATCAAAAGCTCTGCTGGACTTGGGCAGGAGCTCTTCATAGGTGCCCCCTCCCTGACAATGACAGCCCCTCCTTGATCCCCTGTTGGAAAAGAGAGAGGGGTCTTTCTCCCTCAATAGCCTTTGGTTTTTCTCTTACTGCACAACCCTAGGTCTGTTTACTGCAAGTGTTCCATCAGGCTTATGGCTTGGCAAACGTGTTTAGGGTTGCAGTCATAGTCTCCCTCATCTGCATGCTGTCCTATTTATTGACAGCCTTTTGACCTGTATCATTCTCTGAAGGATACCCTAAATGGCTGTGGCAGGGAGGGGTCCCAGGTATAGAAACCTTCATCAGGGGGCCCTGCCTGCTGCTTAGGGTCCTCAACCTGCAGGGTGCTTGGATCATCCTCTGAGGACTCTGTGTCGGGTCACAGGCCAGGGCTCGGCAAGACTCATCCCTCTTGTTCAGTCAAAAAGTCTCCCAGAGTGACTTTGCAATGATCACTGGTAAGACAGTCCTCTGAGGCTGAGTCTAAACAACAAAATACACAAGGAAAAAGGGATGAAGAAATAAACAAGCTCTGGTAGAACAAGGGGTGCAGAGAACTGAGGATTTGAGCTTCATTCTGCAAGCTGTGCTTTCTTTTGGCTGGGTGACTCATCTGAGTTCTCCTAGCTGTGATTCTGGGTGTTCCTGGGACCTGCCTAGAGCTAACAGCTCCCAGCAACAGCCGCTGCCTCCTGATGGCCCGACTTGGATTCACCCTGCACCTCTTCATTGTCGCAGCATGTTGGATACGGAAGGGGATTTATAGCAGAATCTTACATACGTCAACCCAGAGCAGAGTCACATTGAGTTTACTGAGGTTTTCTGCAAGGTAAATGGATACCAGGTAGCAGCCTTGATTTGGATCCTTTTTTTATTGTGAGATTTTCAACCTGGCTCTCTGGAATTTTGTGGCAGGAACTCCGGCAGAACTTGGAGTTCAGCGTGAATCAGAAGAGGATGGAGGAAGATTGCTCGGAAGGGGAGACCTCTGACTCTGTGGAGGAGGACGTGCCTGCAGGGGCCTCGGAGGCGGAGGAGCCCCTTGAGTCTTCTGGAGAAGGCACTGGGCTTCTCCTCAGCAACGCAGGAGACTCCCCAGCAGCAGCAGCTGCGCCCACCTCTCTCCTTGTGCTGGAATTCAAGCCCAACTGCCAAAGTAAGTCCAGAGGGGGCTAACTGCCTGCCTTGGACCAGAGAGGAAAGAGAGAGTGTATTTTGTGTTGCTTGTAGAGAATTCTGCCAATCTCCCTTTCCCTTTTTGTGTCTGGTCTGTGGATGTGCTGGTGGAAGGTGATGTGCCGGCATTAGCCTTGTTTTCCACCACTCCCACTCTCTCATGGTACCAAAATAGGCAGCGTCTGAGAAGCAGTGGCCTCCCGTGTACCTTTGGGAGCGCCCGATTGCCTTTGCCTCTTCCACTCCCCATGAGCACGTGCTGCCTTTCCTCAAGGAAGCCAGCCTGGGCATCACTTCTGTTTGTCTTTCCGTAGACATGAAGAAAGAGCGGAGCCTCTCTGCAAAAAGAAAGGGCAGCGCTGAGACCTACGTCCCCACCAAGCCTGGTAGCCAAGTGGCTCGGCCGCTCTCCGCTGGGTGCCTGCACCAGGAGGATCAGGAACAGACCCCCTCCAGTAAGGGAGATGGCGATTGTTTCACTGCAATGCCTGAAGGATCGGGGGGGGGGTGCAGAGACTGCAGGAGGGGCCTGCCGTGAGGATGAAAAGGGACCACAGGCAGGTCCTGTTGCCTCGCAGGGGCCCAGCTGGGTCTGCTGCTTGCTTGCATTCATGCTCTCGTTGTCATGTGTCACCATCTCGCTGGGGAGCCCATTGGGATCTCATTAGTGAGGCACACAAAGCCTTCCTTGCAGAGAGAAGAGAAGAAAGGGAGTGTGACTTGGGCATGCCTCTTGGCAGTCGATTGACGTCTTTCTCTTGTGGCATAGCATTTTCAAGCATTGCGCGGCACGGATGTAGAACCCCCAAGAGCACGCCAGTGTTTGGGAAGACTGGCTTGCAAAGCAGCCACCAGCCCTCAGAAGTCGCCATCTTTCTCAAATCTGACTTCAGATTGTTCTCCACAAACAGCCCTTCACAGGTTTCTTGGCTGCACATGTTTCTCCGGCTCTTTCTGCCTTTCTCTTTCTCAGAGAGCTCAGCTTTCAAATATGCTCCAGCAGCCCTGTCATCAGAGAAATGCCTCTTGACTCTGCCTCTCTCTACAGCTTGCAAACTCCTCAAAAGGCTACTCTGTTTACTTTCTTCCCTCTTTGCTGTGTCCCTCCTTTTCGGCTGAATCCTTACTTCTCGAGCGGCTGCCCTGCCTTCCTCCTCCTCCTCCTCCTCCTCCTCCTCCTCCTCCATGCTGGTTTTTCTTCTTCCCCTGAGCTGCTGTCTGTTCCTTCATGCCTTCTCTGCCTCTTCCTTGGCAGGTTTTCCTCCCCACTTGGCGGAAATGGCACAGGGCCCTGACTGTCCTCTTCTCCCTCTGCTGCTCAGACCTGAGTGGAGCCACCTCAGCTCTTTGCTCTATGTCTGGAGTCACATCCTTGCACCCAGCAGATTGTTAGTTTAGGGGAAATGGCAGGAGCTGGGCGGCAGCTGCTTTGACCTCTCTGACATCCTTGTGGGGCTGGAGGCTTGTGCCCGGGAGAAGGGTCCCTATCCAGCCCTGGGTGGTGCATAGGAGAGCCCTGGGTTTCCTTACTGTGCATCACATACAAGACATGGCCCCTCTTCCTCCTGTGGCACAGGAGCCCTTTCAGCCTTAGCCTGGGCAGGACTCACTTGCGCTTTGAGAAAATGGTCAGAAAGTCTTTTCTGCTTCTTTTGGGCACCAGGGCCAATCAGCCGATCCGAAAGGCCTCTCTCAGCCACCCGGAAGAACGTGTGTGAGAAAAAGGACCCTGTGCTCTCGGCTTCTGTGGTCCTGAAGGCGGTGCAGACAGAAAACGAGACCCTCCAGAAGGAGCTTCTCTGCAGGCAGCTGCAGGCTGGGCCCCTGAGGGCTGAGCTGGAGCCAGCCGCTTCTGCTGAGGTCAGTAGCAGAAGCCGTCTCTCTCCCCACCAAGTGAGTTGGCGCTCCCTGTGTACACCCACCCCACCCTTGCCCTGCCCATTGCAAGCTTTCTCTGCTGACAGATAAACTGCCAGTGCCACGCTGAGGACTGCAAACCCCTTCCCAGCTGCTGAGGGCAGCCCTGGAAGAGTTTGTACGACTGGCGCTTTCGTGGCAATGGAGAGCAAGCTCCTCCCGCTGCCTGATCCCGAATGTAGTCAGCTGGGGGGGGCGCCAATGGTTCCCTCTGTGACTTAGCAAAAGGAAGGGGTTGTTTGGAAAACAAGAGGGGCAGTTCCTTGGGCTGGGGGACAGGAGAGGCAAAATAGTTTATCAAAAGCGAAAGTTTGAACAGTCAAAAGTGGCTTCATCCACTGCATGGGAATAGGAGGATGCAGAGGTAAATTTAGGGCAACGCCGCTGGGCATGAAATGCATTTGCTTCTACCAGCAGATGTGCTAAAGTGGCAGTGATTTGGGGCAGCAGCTGGGGAGAGAAGCCACCTGTTTCCTTGCGCTGTCTCTGCCTGCCTGTTGCCAGCCACTGCCACGGAGTCACACTTGATTTCAAAAGAGGAAACTCTCTCGAAACGAGGAGGCTGCTAAAAAGGCAGAGTCAAGAGGGCCAAGTCACTGGAATTGCTCGGGAGTTGTATAAAAGCTCAACTGGAGAGTGTAGTGCAGATCAGGAAAGGCAGCTCCAGGGCCAAGAGGATGCCAGCATGGTTAGCAGGCAGAGGCAAAGAAGCCCTCAGAGACAGAAGTCTTGTCCAAATGAGAAGAACCAAAAGCAACACAAACTTTGCTCCCCCCCCAAAAGTGCAAGCAGAGAGGGCGGGATCATAGAATTGTAGAATTGTAGAGTAGGAAAAGACCCCAAAGGTCTAACTCCCTGCAGTGCAGGAATCTTAACTAAAGCATCGCTGACAAATGGCCATCCAACCTCTGCTTAAAAACCTCCAAGGAAGGAGAGGCCACCACCTCCCAAGGGAGACTGTTCCACAGTCAAACAGCTCTTACTGTCATAAAGTTTTTCTGATGTTTAGTCAGAATCTCCTTTCTTGCAACTTGAATACATGGGTTCGAGTCCTACCCTCCAGAGCAGCAGAAAACAAGTTTGCTCCATCTTCCATATTACAGCCCTTGAGATATTTGAAGATTGCAATCATATCTCTTCTCAGTCTCCTCTTTTCCAGGCTAAACCTACACAGCTCCCTCAACTGTTCCTCATCAGGCTTGGTTTCCAGACCCTTGGTCATTTTAGTTGCCCTCCTCTGCTTGTCCCTCTGCCCTCCAGCTTGCCAACTTCCTTCTTAAATTATGGTGCCCAAAATTGGACACAGTATTCCAGGTGTGGTCTGACCAAGGCAGAATAGAGTGGGACTATGACTTCCCTTGATCTGGACACCACCTCCTATCGATGCAGCCTAGAACTGCATTAGCTTCTTTTGCTCCTGCATCACACTGTTGACTCATGTTAAGCTTTTGATCCACCAAGACCCCTAGATCCTTTTCACATGTACCGCTAGTAATCCAGGTGTCCCCCATCTTTTATTTGTGCATCTGGTTCTTCCTGCCTAAGTGCAGAACCTTACCTTTGTCCCTATTGAAATTCATGTTGTTGGCTTGCACCCAGTTCTCCAATCTGTTAAGGTCATTTTGAGTTCAGCTTCTGTGGCATTGTCTGTTTGGTGACATCTGCAAATTTGATGAGCATCCCCTCTTGCAAGCCTGAGCTCATTCTTGGCTGCTTGTGTACACTCCTTGTTTGTGATTTCCCCTTTCTTCCATTTCTTATACATTCCCTTCTTACCTCTCAACTCATCTGTAAAACGTGCCTCTCACTTTTCTTTGTTGCTGTGATTGTCTGCCTTTGTGCCTTCAGTATTTCATCTTTAAGAAACTCCCATCCATCTTGGACTCTCTTTTCTTTGAGTATTTCTTTTTCTTTCTTTTTTTTTTAAAAAAAGATTTTATTAAAGTCTTTTCATAATACAATAAGATAAAATAAACTAAATAAAAACAAAAACAGAGAAAGAGAAAAGGAAACAGAAAAAGAAAAAGAAAAAAGAGAACAGAAAAAAGAAGAAAAATAAATGTCCAGGAAAATCTGGACGTATGGCAACCCTAGTGTAGAGACTAGTGTGGAGTTCTCTACAGGGCCAGCCCCACCAGCAGGTGCAGTGAAGCAGTTGCCTGAGGTTGCAGTTGCTGGGTGGCAGAGAGCAGCGTTGCAGGAGGGCGCTTGCCCTTCTATCCTTGAGCTAGTCTCTGCCCTCCAGTGTGGTGGAGAGCTGCTGTCCTGTTGCCATTGTTGAAGAAGGGTTCAGCGCCCATCCAGCTGGCTCCTGTCTGCTATCTTGGGAGGGAGGGCCACATTGCCCTTAACCTCAGGCAGCCCACAAGAGGGAGGAAGCGCCACATTTCAACTGCCAGGCTCCTGGGTGATCCATACATGAAGGGAGTGTCTCCCTGAACCCTCTAAAGATGAACAGCGGTGCACATATGACTGCCAAGTGACTCCCAAGCGCCCTGCAAATGCATGGCCAGGTTGTCGTCCCAGATACTTTGGCCTAAGCTTGTTCTGGAGCTCCCAGAGGGGGTGTTGGCAGCCCCGTGACCTGTTGTGTTTGCGTTTCCCCCCTCGCAGCTGCTGTCGCCTTTGCCACCTGCATCTGCAACAAATGAGCCTCCTCAAAAGCTGCAGGAGGGAAGCGTCGTCTCCACGGCCATGGAGAGGATTGGGCACCTAGGAAACAGGTGGCTGTGTGGGTTTATTTTGAATCCTTTTCCAGGGGCAATTCGGAGCCAAGCGGGGGGAGGGGGTTTGGTATGTGCAAGCAAGCACCCAGGTCCAAATGGATCCCCATGCCTTCCCCTGTCTCTGCTGGGTCTCCTTGTCTTCCTATCCATGTTGAAGAAGCGCCGGCTCACGAGGTGATGGCATTGGTGCCATTGTGAGGGCCTCATCCAGGATGTGTAGACGGGGGGTAGAGGTTGCGGTCCATTGTGGGGCCAATTCTGAGGTTGAGGTGAGGTGCTGGGGCCATTGGCTCTCCTTCCCGAATGCCTGGCAAGAGAGGGGTGTCTGGGGACTGGGCTCAGCACACTGGCAATGGTTGCACATGGAAGTGTCTGGGCCCAGAATGCCTGCAAGTGGGGAACACGGTGTCATACTCGAGGGGGACACATTCCTAACTGCTCCTAAACAAAGATTATCCTGGAACAGACCTGGAGTTTCAGGCCAGTTTGCTAACTCTTGAGAGCATTTCCAATCTTTGGCAAGGTAGCCCAGATCTTGCCCGTCCTCAGCCAAGTCAGCGGAGCTGCACCTCATTCTCCGGTGGTCCAGGTCTTTGCCTGAAGGTTCTGGCTGTGCAGCGATCAGGGCAGGAGCCGAGTTGGGCCTTCAGTTGTCCGTCTCGGGACTTCCTGCCAGAGTCTGGCCTGTGACTGTTCTGCTCCCTATTTCAGGCAACAGAAGAAGCTTCTGAAAGTGCTGCAAGAGATTGAGAGCCAGTCTTCCTGCCGCAGCTCACCAGTGCTGGTAGGGAAGGAGGCTTTTACAGCTGTGCCATTGAGTCATCCTCTTCCCCAGGCCCTATAGAAATCAGTAGTGGAAGTGAAATGACCTCAGGTGGGATGAAGGCCCCAGTAGCTCTAGGCAGATGGGCCACGCCAGGGTTGGGATGGCAGGCTCAATACCGGATCCCTTGGCATGGCTGCGCAATTTGCTCTGTGCGTGGCATAGGGCAGAGGAGCCATGTGGCAAGGCCCTTTCTCCTCGCCTTCCTGCTGCTCCCCTTGGGGCATCAGCGTCTGTGGTGGCGGCTGCTCAGTTTTCACCCTCCTAGGGCCAGCTGGAATTGGAGAGGGAGGTCCGGGATGCCATCTACATCACTGTGGAGATCCTCTCCAACTGGGGCAACGCCAGCAGGGTGGGCCTGACGGAAGTGGAGTTCTTTGATCTGCACCACGCCAAAGTGTTTGTGTCTCCTCACGACGTGGACATCCGGCACGCCGACATGCCAGGAGAGCTGGGCTGCCTGGTCAACAGGAACTCCAAGGTAGGCTCTGCCTGCAGGATCCAGGGCTCACCTGCCTTTCCAGGGCAGTGCGATGCCCCTCCTCCATTTCAGCAAATGCCCTGTGGGGGGTTTCAAACAGCACCTGCCTCCGGGGTTCTCCTGGTTCAACTCCTCAGGACAGAGAGTGTGTCATGCAGCGTATCTCAGCCCCCTCCTCAGAAACACCAGACTTGTTCCGATCTCATTCACAGCTTCCTTGCTTTTTGTCCCTGGGTGGACTGTGATCCACGCGGCGGTCATCTCCTTACGGGTCTTCGCCGCAGAATCACATTCACCCGGTTTTATATCAACTGTACTGGCTCCCGCTGGAGTACAGGGTCAGGTTTAAGATGCTGGTTATAGCCTTTAAAGCCCTATACGGCCTAGGACCCTCGTACATACGGGACCGCCTCTCCTGGTATGTCCCACAGAGGACCTGACGGTCTTCAAATAAAAACATCTTGGAGATCCTGGGCCACAGAGAGGTTAGGCTGGCCTCGGCCAGAGCCAGGGCTTCTTCGGCCGTGGCCCCGATCTGGTAGAACGCTCTGTCACAAGAGACTAGGGCCCTGCGGGACTTGACATCTTTCCGCAGGGCCTGCAAGACAGAGCTGTTCCGCCAGGCCTTTGGCCAAGGCACAGTCTGACCCTCTCTTTCCTTCTGTAATCCTCATAGAACTCTAACCCAATGGTTGCCATTAATTTGATTGTGAATTGATTTTAGAATGTATTTTAATGAATTGACTGTGTGATTTTATGTACACTGTGCTATTTTTACTTGTTGTTAGCCGCTCTGAGCCCAGCTTTGGCCGGGGAGGCCGGGATACAAATAAATTATTATTATTATTATTATTATTATTATTATTATTATTAGCATTAGTTTCCCTCTGCTCAGCTTGTTGCAAGGAGTGGCTAGGATGAGCCTCCATAGGGGAGGCTGCGGCTGCTCTTGGGGGGGGGGTAGCTTTGAGGCCTGGCCGGGGGGGGGGGGAGTTGCACTAGCTTTGCTGCATTCCATGCCAGGGCCCTCTTACCCATGAAGGTCAAAGTGCGCAGGTGGGGGGAGCAGGATCAAAAGGAGCTGGCAGGCAAGGAGAAGGAAGTTGAAGAGGCCTCTGTTTGTTTGAGAAACAGGCAGGCGTCTTTCATCACTTGAAGCATGGATATTTCTTTAAGGCTTTAAAAACATTTAAATGTGTACTGTTCTGTGCCCGACAACTCAGTCTGCATGAGAAAAGTTTGCCGTCCAGAAGGGAGGTGGTCAGAAATGCCTGTCACTCTTGAAGGTCCCGCCTGCTAATCTGCAAGTCGGTGTCCTGTTGGGATCCTGGCAAGCTGCAAAGCTGATTTACTTTGATTAGAACAAGCCCCCCCCCCCGTGGGTTTGACCCAGGCAGCGGCTCTCTGGAGCTGCAGGGAGGCTGCTGCTTGCTCTCCCCGAGGCAAGCCTGGCTTCCCCCAGGAGCAGGTGGGCATGCGGCTCTTGCCCTCCTCTGGCCTCCCCTTCTGCTCTCCAAGCTGCAGCAGCAGCAGCAGCCGGGCTCCTTCCTTCCCAGCCATCTGCTGCGAGGGTTTGCTTCCGTGTCTCCTAGGTCAGCAAAGAGCGCTTCCCCTGGACGTGCCTCTTCCAGCCTCCAGTGCAGCTGTACTTCGTGGTCCGAAATCCCAGCTTGTCTGATGACTTTGGTCTGTCCCAGATCAGGATTTGGAATTACAGCACCCCTGTGCCTAGTGTAAGTGATGACTTTGGTCTTGGGCACCTTGGGGTGTGGCATGTGCTGTTCTCGGCTGTTATTCCATTAGCCTTGGAGAGAGGGGAGGGGTGTTGTTTTTGCCACTGCTTCCATTCTAAGCTGCAGAAATGCTTGGATGACGCCTTCAAAACAAGACTTGCCCTTGAGGCTGCATCGTGAGAATTTCCAAACAACAAAAAGAGCCTGCAGAGTTTTGGACAGTCCTTTTCCATTTTGAATTGGCTTTTGGGCATGATCAGAAAGAAAGAGAGAAGTTACTAGGATATCATGCAGTAGGGGAAAAAATGCCTTGGGAACTGCTGTTGCTGCTGCTACCAAGTGGGGCCTGCAACAGACAGTTGCAGTATGGAGTGCTCCTGATCCGGGTTCTAGCATGCCTGCCCTGCCTCCTCTCAGGACACTCCATTTCTTAGGCACATGGTTTTCCTTTCCCTCCCCCAATAGGCAGACATTGTTCTGTGATCTCTCCACAGGCTGAGTCCTCCATGGGCCGCTTTTTCAGTCTTTTTGCCCCATTCAGTTTCTTCTCGTACTCAATACTTTTTTCCTAAACCTTGACGATCCAGCTGGTCTTTGGTTGTACACTAAGCCTCCGTTTGCAAGGCTGCTGGCAAATGTGGTGCACAGCCAAAGCCACCCCCACAGCAGATGGCAACCGCTTCATGGTTCTGGAAATTCGCTGTGAGAATTGCTCAGAGAGCCTGCTGGGATGATTTGTTCAGAATGGCTCCAGGTACTGAGCGAAAGAGGATTTTCTATTCTGGATTATAGATGAGCTAAGCCTTATCCTCCATGACTCATTCTCATCTGTCCTGTCAGAGAGGCAGTACTCATATGGCAGCACAAATAGAAGGGAAATGGGGAAGCCGAGAGCAAAGAGGGAGGCCTCATACAGCTTTTAAAGCAGATCAGAAGCAACCCCTCTTTCCCCTGGGAGATAGGTAGCAGGAGGGCAGTTTGCTTGCTGGTCTTCTTGGGGGTCAGGTGCTTGCCTGGTGTAATTCCAGGGGCTTGAGAACAGGTCCTTAAGTCCAGGCTCTGACGGGAAGAAAAATTGTCCAAGCCAAAATGGAGCAATTGTGAGGGTTAGCAGGGATGGCTCACCTGTGGTCCTCCAGGTGTTCATGGACCCGACTCCCATCGTTCTTGACCATTGGCTTCACTGGCTGGGAATGATGGGAGCTAAGACTCCAACAACATCTGAGCAGTCACAGGTTGGCCATCCCTGGTTTAAGGAAATGGAGAGAAGCACAGAAGCTTCAGAAAACCAGCCTCAAGGCATGAGTAGGTATTGGTCTTATCCCAGGGTAACACTAAACTGCATGCAGGGGATCTGTGGCCCTCCAGATGTTGTTGACCTGCAACCTCCATCACCCTTGATGGGCCTTTGACCGTATAAATAAATCTGACCTTACCATAGTCCTCCTCTGTCGGCCACGCCAGCTGGGGCTGATGACATTTGGAATGCAGCAACATCAAGAGGGCATCGGGTGCCCCATCATCCCTGCACCGAATTGTGTTTTAGCATCACAAGAACAAGCTGCAGCAACTTTGTGCTCTCATTCTCCCTCTGCACTTCTGACGTGGCACATGGAGGAGTTCAGAGCTTTTGCTTGCCTTTTACATTAACAGCCGTTTAGTGTGTTATCTCAACCCAGACACTGGGGCTGACTTTGATTTATTAAAGCAAACCAACTTCAATCCATAAGCTTTAGCTTAACCACAGTTTATGGCTTGGGCAACACGCTAAACTGCAGCTAATCTAAAGTGGAAGAGGAACTCCCTCTTCCTTCCCCACAGCCCCACCTGGTGGCCGGTGGGAGCACATGACTCTGAGGCTGGCACAGGCTCTCTCTTGTAACACTAAACCGGGGTCAGCAAACCTTTTCAGCAGGGGGCTGCTCCACTGTCCCTCAGACCTTGGGGGGGGGCGGACTATGTTTGGGGGGTGGGGAATGAACGAATTCCTATGCCCCACAAATAACCCAGAGATGCATTTTAAATTAAAGGACACATTCTACTCATGTAAAAACATGCTGATTCCTGGACCGTCTGCGGGCCAGATTTAGAAGGCAATTGGGCTGGATCCGGCCCTGGGCCTTTGTTTGCCTATCCATGCACTAAACCATGGTTTAGTGTTATGCCTGAACACAACCAATTCCTCAACGCCTACAGGTTTAACTGTGAGGAAGATACTGGCACCCCTTCACATGTGTCAGAGCTGAAGTGCTTCGCATATGTTTTTAGCTTGCTGCTGACTGTCTCTCTTCACATCTTATGAATTGGGCTCCTTTGGGAAGGCATGAAATGAAAACCACTGACTTTTGCTTGGCTCCCAGACCGAGGTCCTCCTTTTGTTTTTCTGTGTGTTTTCAGAATCTTGACATTGGAGCAAGAAACATCATTGTCTATGTGGATGGAAACCTTGTATTTGCTGGTGAACTTCAAAAGGGCTGTGGAAACGAGGGTGCCAATGGCAGCAGCTGCACCACCATTGAGCTCCCAGAAAGTTGCTCCATTCCTGGGAAGGGGAGGGAAGGAAGGGGCTGGGGCGCGGCAGACTGGAGCCACGAGCCAGGCAGGGGGCTGTTGAATCTGAAGCCTCCCTTGGGGGAAAATTGCTCCAAGGAAAAGGACAGCTCTCTTGGCCTGGTTAAGTTGAAGCAAGATCTCCAAGAAGCACCTGGCTCACTTTCCAGGGGAAATGTCCGTAGCCCCCTCTCGCCAGAGACCATGGAGCCCGCTCATTCCGACGACGATCTTTCTCTGAGTGAACAAATGGAAAAACTCTCTGGAAGGAAACTGTCTCAGCTGCCTGGTGTAGAACTGCCCTGCATCCTGCCCACTTCCGAGGCCAAAGAAAAGAGCCGGGTCTGCTCACCTAAGCAAAACCCATTCCCCTGGCTTGAATCACAGCGAGCCCAGCTGCCCGCCGAGACCATCGGGAGGGGCTGCCTTGGAACAAGCGACAGGAGCCCCCACCCCTGCCCAGATGATCTAGAGAGATCCCACCTTGAGTCTGCGGAGGGGAAGCTGCTGGCAGGCGCCAGGAAAGAGTCGGCCACCGGCTTGGACTTCCTGAGTCCCCTGCCCAGCAAGTGCAACTATGCGGCCGACCTGCTGCTTCCTGGGCGAAGCCTGGGAGGCCACGGAAGGGAAGAGTTTGGCCATGCCATCTTCACGGAGGAAGCTCCTCTGGACATAGGTAAGAACTGATCCCCAGCCAGCTTCCCTTAGGTGTCCAGTCGGGTCATCTGGTTTTCTGGGGGACCTTCTTGGACAGCGAGCACTTGCCTGCTGGCCACAAAGGGGAAGTGTGGGGTGGTGCCCCCATCCACAACTTTTTCCTTGGGCACAATTCACCCACACAGTCTCCTTGGGATGCCTTGAAGGAGAGGCTGTTTATTATCACACAGCGAGCACTGGAGGTGGAAGTGACTCCCTTGGCAGGTGAAGGAAACCCCCCTCCCCTCGCAGTTTCCCCACCCTTCAGCTGCCCTCGCTAACTGCCGGGCCCAGAGAGCCCGCACCCCGTCTTCCTGGTGGAGCTGGGGACTATTCAGACCCTTTCAGCTTGGCAGCTGCGGTGGATGGAGAAGTTGCCGCAGGAGTGCTGCTTCTCGGAGGGGCTCTGCCAGGCATGGAATGCCGCCATGGATCCTGGGGCTGGGGGTGGATGGGCCTCCCTCCCTCCCTCGCCTGGGTGGTTCGGGGCTCTGGTTGGCCATGCTGTGATGCTCTTGCTCCCCTCCCCTCAGAGCTTGAAGCTCTGTCTACTCTTGCAGTCTGGTTCTCAGTGGGCAGCCCCACCTGGCTGTTCTGGGCTGCCCTTAGGTGGGTCTCATTGGGAGCTGGTGCCTTTGTTGCTAGACTAAATAGCACTTCTTCGGGGGGAGCAAGGGGGCGGTAGAAAGATGCTCAGCCACTAAAGCCGCAGTATATACTGTACACGTTTACTTGGGAGTAAGTTCTACTGAGCATGGAGGGGGGACTTGCCTCTGAGAAAACATATATGCAATTGTTCATTGCTAGAGCTCTGGAGCAGCGCAGAAGAAAAGAGCTCAGGTGCAGGGAGAGCTTCATCTCTTCACTGCCTGTGTTTTTTCAGGGCCAGGTTGGTTTCCCCAGGCCAGGTGCTCAAACTTCCTGCCTTCCTTCTTTTCCTAACTTCAGGAGTTCGTCTCCTGCCATGGGCTGTCCTTTCGTCTTCTAAGAAGCAGCCCTTTCTATATCCTGCTTGGGGCTGTGCTGGGGAGCTTGCAGGATGGGGCTCAGCTCTGAGTCACATGGAGCTGTAGCATTTCTCAGGAGGGAGCAGCAGTCTGCGAAGTATGTAAGAGCAATTTGTAACCGGAGGTCTTAAACCCGCCCCCACTGCTTCATTTTCTCTGCTTAAATCCTAATTGTTTTGTTCAGGGATGTATTTTATCTGAAACAGATCTTTTAATAAGATTCTGTTCTCTTGTAAGGAATTGAGACCCACAGGTCCTGGGCGCATCCCGTCAGCAGATGTGGGGATGTGGCCATACGAGAACAAATTGACGTCTCTGCCTGGCTTGTATCAGTGGCGCGTAAAGCTTACATTATTGGATTTCCTGCCTTTTTGCTACATCTCTTAAAACCTCATTTCACAACAAAGCCGTGTGCCAACTGTGTCATGCGTCAGGGACGCCTTGGCCTGAGCCGAGTCACGCGCGGACTCTTCTTCCCGGGGGTGGTGTGGGTCCAGCCCTCAGAAACGTTGTAAAAAGTGACACCTCTGAACATCCTCTAAACTGGGATGGAGAGCCTGTAGCCCTCCAGGTGTGACTGGAGCCCATCTCCCAGCAGCCAGCATGCACAGTGGTCAGGGAGGGATTGTAGTTGGTGAAAGACCATCATGTGCAGAAACGCTCCAGCAGCACCTTGAGGCCGGAATGGGAGAAAACTCCCCCCTGACATCCTGCAGAGGCCCAGCCAGTCCAAGGGGCCAGTTCTCAGCTGGGTGGGCCTGGCTCAGCGTAAGGCAGGTTCCTGCGTTCCTACAGCGGGAGCTGCCTTCCAGCTCCATCTAGAGGACAATGGGTTCCCCTGATTTAAACTGTACAGCTTACTTGCCATGAAGCTCAGGCTTGAGAAACGTTACTCCACTTTGATATTTGGTGTCCATACGCTTTGGAGAGTCTCAGTTGTAGGAGTCCAGCTCAGTCTGGCTCAGAGCCCCCCTCTCCTTTGGGGTCCCCCTCATCTAAGGGTGCGTGAGCTCCCTTGGTCCACAGAGGCAGATCTTTCCACGGGCCTCTTCTCAGCAGAGCAGCAGGGCCCTCCTGCCCCGGGCTGAGCTGGGCCGGAGCACCCCCTCGCGGCCTCTGCAGGAAGGTCCAGCCCAGCAGGCACCAGAGGCGCTCTCTGTTTCTCCCTCCTTCCAGGTGAGGCTCTGCTGGCGAAGGGCAACGCCACACGGCCTTCCCGGGCAAAGTGGGGCAGTTCCCAGGAGCAAGTTCTGCAGGAGTCCTGGAACTCTCTGCTGAAGTTCAACCACTTGCACCACGGCCGAATCTCCAACATGGACTTCCAAGGGGACATTTTTGACGAGTTTCTCCACCAGCAGAAAATCAGCCGGCAAGGAGACCAGAAGCTGCGGGCAAAGGAGAGCGGGCAGGGACTGGCCAGGCGCCAGGAAGGGGAGGGCTGCTTGGACCTGGAGGACGGGGGCGACTTCCAAATCCCCGTCCTGCCTTTTGGGCAGCGCTTGAGAATCGACATCCGCTCCACCTGGGGGGACAGGCACTACGTGGGCCTTAACGGGCTGGAGCTCTTCAGCTCCAAAGGGGAGCCCATCCAGGTTGCCAAAATCACAGCCAACCCCCCCGATATCAACATCTTGCCCTCCTACGGCCAAGATCCGCGAGTGGCCAGCAATTTGCTGGACGGGGTGAACCGGACTCAGGACGACATGCACCTCTGGCTGGCTCCCTTCACCCCTGGGAAATCCCACTGCATCTCCCTGGACTTTGCCAAGGCGTGCGAGGTGGCCATGATCCGCATCTGGAATTACAACAAGTCTCGCATCCACTCCTTCCGGGGCGCAAAGGACGTCACCATGCTGCTGGACGAGCAGTGCATCTTCAGAGGGGAGATTGCCAAGGCTTCTGGGACCCTGGCTGGAGGTGCGGGGGAGGCTTTTAAGTTTCTGCTTCTAATGATGCCTTGCAGAGAAAGCAAGAGGAGCTGGCTCCCAGTCCTGCTCACGCGCCCAGCCCCTTCCCTCAGCTGTTACTGGTCTTGGACCAGGAAGTGCTTAGTTCTGGGAAGAGATGCGCTGGGAACAGAGAGGGCCAGGGGGAGGGAAGGCCAGGCTGCATGCCCTTCTCCCGAAGGCAGAGCTTGGCCTTAGCTCCAAGACAAAGGAGAGATGAGGGGGGGAAGCCCAGAGTTTCCCCTGCCCCACCCCCCTTCTTGAAACTGATTTATTTTGGTTTGATTTTAACCTTATTTTGTGCTTTTATCCTGAATTTTATGTTGTGAACCACCCTGAGATCTTTGGATGAAGGGGCGGTATATAAATCTAATAAATAATAGTAATAGCTTGAAAGCAGGCTGTTCGTGCCTGTGCTCAGCCCTTCTGCCCTTCTGGAGAGGTGCCCCAGCAAGATCTCACCTCTCATATCCTTTTGTCCCTTTGCTTTTGTTTCTTGCTGATGATTTAAACAGCCCCAAACCCATCACCAGCCTCAGAAGCAGTGCTTCTCCTCAGGGGGTGCCCCAGGGTACGCAGTCCGGGCACAGGACCCAATATGAAGTGCCACTACAGCCTCTCCTGGGCTGCCTTCCTGGTCTGGATGTTGTGGGGCTGGAGGGACGGGGAGCAGTGTCTGTGACCTTCCTATTGGCTTGCAGAAGAGGGAGGAGGAGGGGGCGGTTTTAGCGCTTGGGCTGCTGACTTGAGTTGTGTCGTCACCATAGAGTTGACAATGTTTCAGCTCCAGAGCAGTTTGGAGACACCATCCTGTTCACCACGGACGACGACATCCTGGAGGCCATTTTCTGTTACGACGAGTCCTACGACGAGGAGGCAGAAGGCGCCTGCAGCCTGAGGTACGAGGAAGAGCTGAAGAGGCCGAGAACTGCGGATGGGGAGGGGGACGAGAGACCCTTCACGCAGGCAGGCTCACGGACGGAAGACAGACAGGTAAAGTTGCCTGTCGTGAAAAGGCTGGCTGGGGGAAAGGTGGTGCAGAGGCTCAGTCTAGAAGATAAAATTCAGGCGATAAACTGAATGTGTCAGAAACTGATCTCTAACCCAAGCAGGGAGCTTTGGCTGGGAAGGAGCTTTCTGCTTTGGTTCTTGGCACCCCTCATGGGGAGGGGGGTGGATAACCTGGCCTCCTGTGCTGCAGAGAAAGGGGACATGGGCCAGGAAATGGTGGGTCTGTGCCCTGCAAGTTCCTCCCCAAAGAGCTCCTGCCATAGGGGAACAGGCGGCCTTTGCTTCTGTTGAACACTAGAGAACAATAAACGTTGCTCTAACCTAACCTGTTTCCGTTTTAGGGCTGGATGCAGACGGCTGTGCCAGATTCTGTCCCTGAGATGGTGACCAAGGAACCAGGTGTCTATACTGGGAAGTGTAAGTCTGACTCTGCACACACGGCTCCTGCCACCTTCTCTCAACGGTTCCACCGTGTTTGCTGCCATGCTCCGCAGAATGGTGCCCCTTTGCCTCCAGCCTCGCCTCTGGCTTCTCCCCCTCCTCACTTGGGGGGGGGGCGGAGGCTTTTAGTGCCCTCTGTCCTCAGCTTTCCTTCTTCCAGGAGGCACCTCAAGCCTGCTTCGATGCCTCTGGACCCTTTATCTAGGGTTGTGCATATGTGGCCTTGACAGTTGCTGTAGCTGCAGCAGCTCCAACTCTGGGCCTCTTCCTTATAGACCTTTCTCCTGGTGGCTCACTGCCTGTCTGCCTTTGTTTAGGCCTTCTGCTGAATTTCACCGCTTCTTGGGGAGACGCTCACTACCTTGGACTGACAGGGCTGGAAGTGGTAGGAAAGGAGGGCCAAGCCATCCCCTTTTCTCTGGATCAGCTCTCTGCCTCTCCACAGGACCTGAACGAACTTGCAGAGTACACAGATGACTGCAGGACCTTAGATAAGTGAGTATCTCTGCAGGCTGCCAGGACAGGAGAGAAAACGGGTGTGGGTGTGGGTGTGTGTCGCTGTCTCTTCTTCCGTCAGAGTGCTTCCGGAAGGGGTTCCTGGGGTCCAAGAGAAGTGCCACGGACACATGGCTTGCCCTAAGGAAGGCTCTCTGGCAAGGCTGGAGGCGGGGAGCATGCTGCAGAAGACTGCCCTGTGCCTTGGGCACATTATTTAAAACATTCCTGCCCTGGCCCATCTAATTGTCACACAAATGGTTCAGGCTGAGTAACAGAGCTGGTGGGTCTTGAGATTGGGGCAGGGCCTGCAAACTGTAACCATGGAAGGGACTCCCCAAGTAAACTTGGGGGTGTGAGGGGAGGGTTCTTTGTGCGGTATGGAAGGCCTTTTTGTGGCAGTGGCTGGAAGCTTGTGGTCTTCCTGGAGACAGGAGAGATGCCGTGGGCCTCCTCCGTGGCCCAGGAATAGCAAACACCCTTTTCAAAGGCCGAAAAGCTCAGCCAACTCCTGTGAGTTTGCAAATTGGGGGAAAACAAACCACCACAGGGAGGAGGTGGTGTGGTGTGATTTCTTTTTTCTTTTTAAATAATATTTATTGCTTTTAAAAATTACAAAAAAGTAGAAAAAAGAGAGAAGAGACCAAAAAGAAAAGAGAAAAAAAAACAAGAAAAAAGAAAAAGAAAAACAATACAATATATAAACAATACAAACCCACCCTAAACCCATTAAGCTAAGCACATAAACAAAGCAAAACAAAAACAATTTAAAAACATCTCTCCTTTTCCATACTCTGTCCTTCATTCCCTTGTTTCCTCGACTTCCTCACACCTCCCTTCTTGTATCCCACTTCTAGTACTTGTTTCAGCAAATCCTTTCCATCTTTCTCTATTTTCTGTCATATTATAAATAACATATTCTTTAACCTTTTTCCCCATTAAAGGTAAATTACTTATAGACACCCAACTTCTTATAGCATTTCTTCTAAATCCATAAAATATCATTCCACCATTTTTCTAACAGTCATTACTTTAACAGAATTTCTAAATAAACACTTTAAATTTTCCAGTAATCTTTCACTATCTCCTCTCCCTGGCTTCGGATTCTGCCAGTCCTTTCCGTCAGTTCCATATAATCCATCAACCTGGTGTCCTTATATCCGAGGCTCTTAAATCTCTTCCAAGTCCCTTCTGCAGGTCTTCTTCATATTCTTTGATGCTCAGGAGCAAATCTCGGAAAACTCCAGCCTAGCAATACTTTTGTTCCTTCTGGACAGTTCAGCCAAATTTCCAAAGTTAAAAATAAAGTCCATAGAGTGTTTCAGAACGTATTTCAAGATTCCTCCAATTCTAGCGACCCCCAAAACTTCAAGCTCCTCCAAACCCAAGTCCATGTCCCAAAAGTCAGTCAATCCCTAGATAGAGAGTTCTTTCCAATTTTCCTTCTTCAATCCAAGCCGGGATCCTAGCCTCAAAATTTGACTTTTGCTAGATTCAGTCATGAAAGACCTCAATTTGTAATCCTCAATTTGCTTCTGAGAAATTAAAGATCCCGCTTGTACTACTTTTAGTTTCACATCATCAGCTTTCTCCTTTTTCTCCAACATTTTCACATCATCCTGGATTGTTTCTGTATTGACACTCACTTTTTGACTCAAATTAATCACGTTCTGTTCCAAGTTGTCAATTTTAGAGATCGTATCATCTGTCTTTTTATGGAGCTGTTCCAGCGAGTAGTTTATCTTGTATAATACAGTCACAATAGCTTCTCCTATCAACATTTTGAATAGTCCAAGGTCAGACTCTAGTTTTCAGAATCTTATCTTGCAGCTGGAGATCTCCCTGTTGCACTCCTGTAACAGTTTCACATGCTCCCTCTAGAGGGAAACAGTCTCCGTTTGTATCAATTCTTTCAAGCACGACTCAAACAAATAACAATAGTTTCAATTTTCGGTTACTTTTTCCTCCATTTTTAAACGCAGAAGAGGACAATGGAAACAGTGCCTTTCTTATTTTAGCTAGCTGTCAAATCCGTTCTGTCAATAAACATTCCCGAACGTCATCTGGCAGCCCTTTTCCAGGTTCAGAGCAGTGGCAATTTGATTTTCACTCTCTTCTGCAGGCACACTAGATCCAAAACTTCCCCCCTCTTCTCCTGCTTCCAAGAGGGGTTATATATTTTTTGTCCGGTGGGAATTTAATCCTTTATCAAAAGCTTCCAAAGACTTTAGCTTGTAACGTCTTTGCTTCAATCTATTTACAAGACGGGAGGCGGACTTCCTGTTTAGAGCCTTCCCGCTTCGGCGCCAAATTAAAGTGTTTCAAGATCCAATTTTCCGTTCTACTCACGGGTAGTCGTTTAAAATCCAATTGTCCACAGGAAAAAGTCAGCGCTCTCCGGCAACAGCAATGCGGCTTCACTCTGTGAAAGAAGCAGTCGATTCAAAGCACCGCGCCACTCACCCCACGTCGCTCCGGATCCCCAAAACAGGGTTTCCCCGTGAGTAGGGGAGGCGCAAAGGGTGCCAGCCGAATCCCAGGTTCACAGGCTTCTCCGCCTGTGATTTCTATGGGTCTCCGCCTTCACCGTGGCGGTCAGACCCTGCTTTTCACGGAGCAAGCTCCTCCCGATCGGAGGAGCTCCGCCATTGCTGGAGGCGCCAACCCGGAAGTCGGTGTGGTGTGTTTTCAGTTGTAATTATAGCGTGCTTAGGAGCCAGCAGATGGCAAGTGAAGCTGGCCAAATTGAAATTTGGGCAAAAATCAGACTCGAGAGATTTGCCAAAAATAAGAAGAACCCTCTGGAGCGAGCTTCTCTCTGCCATCTCCATTTTGGGTTCCTCCCCCCCCTTAACATTTTTATGCAGAGCAGTCCTCTGTCTTCCTCGTAAACGAAGTTAAAAAAGTGATGACTTCTTCTTATGTTATTAGTATTAGTATTATTTGTAGCCTGCCCATCTATCTGGGTTGTCCCAGCCACTCTGAGCGACTTATTCAAAATATTGTACCTCTTTCTCTCAACTTTCCCCCCTTCTCCCAGATTAATTGATGGGATCAACATTTCCATGGAAGATGAGCACATGTGGCTCATTCCGTTCAGCCCCGGAGAAGCTCACGTGGTCACCATCCATTTCACGCAGGCGGAGAGCGTTGCTGGGCTTCGCATCTGGAACTATAATAAATCTCCCGAGGACACCTACAGAGGGGTGAGCGGAAGTCCTGGGCAAGCTCCCAGAATGCACCACACTTCCCCTGGATGTGGCCACATGCAGCAAAGGAGGTGCACCCTGGGCACCTTGAGAGCATCCTGGGGCAAAGGGGGGCCTTCCCACCCCCCTCCTCGCACTCTCGGCAGGAGCCAGGAAGGCCAGAGGCCCCGGCTCCTGACTGCTTTCCCTGCATTTTCTTTTGCGCAGGCAAAGGTGGTCCACGTCTCCCTGGACGGCTGCTGCATCTCCCCTCCAGGAGGCTTCCTCATTCGCAAAGGACCCGGCAACTGCCACTTTGACTTTGCTCAAGAAATCCTCTTTGTGGACTACCTGAAGGGTCCCCCAGTCATGCCAGTCTGCGAACGGTGAGAGTGGTGTGCCCTCCGGGGCTCTGCGCCTACTGGCCTGTGCATTTAGGAAGTCTGGTGCCCTCAGGCCCCTGACTTATGTGCTTACCTTTTGGCAGAACGGAAGCGGTGAAGGCAGAACAAGCCAGCATGGACTACGAGGCTCCCCTGATGCCCTGTGGCTGTATCCTTCTCTGTCCGGCCTGCCTGGCCCCCAGGCCCTGCCTGGCCCTCTGCCTCCAGGCCCTGTGAACTGGTTTGACTGGTGTGGGAGGGGGAGGAGGACCCTGGCACGGCATAAACGGCCTTGGGATTTCTTTTGAAATGAAAGCAGGTGTGTTTGCATTCCTTTAATCATCATCACCATCTGTACTGTTTTGTGGTGTCTCGTTTTGTATTTTGCCGTTTGAACTATGTTCTGTGTTTTCTTTGTCCCCTGCTGTGGGAGGCCAAGGCCCAAGAGATGGGATGCAAACATTTACAATATTTCCTCAACGTCCTCCATCAGTCATTTTCCAGTTCCAGCTTCTTACAAGTTGGGGTGATCCGTATTACATCGGTTTGAATGGGCTGGAGCTGTATAATGAACGCGGAGAGAAGATTTTCCTCAGTGAGAACAGTATCCTTTTCAAGGAACAGCTGGAATCTGGCAAAAGCTGCACTGTAGAGGAGCCCCCACAAATGAAACACCTTCTGGGGGGGATGGAGGCGGGCATTCAGCTGGAATTAGAGTCATGAGGAGCTGAGCATGTGCAAATGGGAGTTTTGTGCAAGCAGCTCTTCCCCTAATCCCCTGCCTGATCTGCCCCATTTCTTCAACTCAGGACCAGAACGGGGCCTCCACCAATATTGGCCAGAGGTGCAATATGTCCTAATTTAATTCCAGTTGAGGGGGGGCGGGGGGGGCAAGATTCTCAAATGACCAGTGATGGCCCTCTGGGCAGGATTTGGCTGACCTCCTTCTGGGTGGCAACAGCTGGCAGTCCCCATTTTGGCCACTAGCTTTTGCCACCTTTGCTTCCTTGTGGAAAGAAGCTTTCCTGAGGTTGCAGCCTGGCATTAAATCTCGCATCCAAGGGAGCAAGGTTAAGATCTGGTGGGCAGCCTGTGCCTTTTCCTGGGGAGGCCAGCTTGTAACACGTTTGCGCAGCAGACAGCTTGGACGTTGTGCTTGACAAAGCGCCCTTCAGACATTGCGGCTTTCCCAGACAGCGTCAACATATTGGAAGGCGTCTGCGGAGACGTCCGAACGCCAGACAAGCTCATCGATGGCGTGAACGACACGACCGACGGGAGGCATACGTGGCTTGCGCCCATTCTCCCTGGCTTGGTAGGCCTCCTTTGCAATTCTGCCCGGGCTCCTTTCACATCAGTGCCGTGTGATGCCTCGTGCAGCCAGGCACATACCTCCGCAAGCCCTTTCTAAAGTAATCAGCAGCTGTCTTTGTAGCTTTGGGCATGTCAAAGCCCTGGAGTGGGAGCTCAGCCCCAGGCTGTCCCCTGCATCCTGAGTTTAGGGGCAAAGGATCTCTGTAGCTGCCTGCAAAGCTGATTCGCCAGAAGTCAGAATAAGGGATCAGCCTTCCCACCTGTGCCAAGAAGCAGGCAGGGGTGCCAGGAAAGAGCCTGCAAAGAGTGACCTGCTAAAGGACCCCACCCCCCGAAGAGGAGGAGCTGGCCAGGGAGTTGCTGTTGTGATTAGGACTGGGTGATTTCTGGTTTTCAACACTGTGAAAACCAGCTAAACATTGTGATTATACTGACATGTCACAGAATGTCTGAAAAATAAGGAGGGAGCTATGTAGAGGGCCTTGGCTGTCTTCACAGTTTTTCCTGCATTGTGATTTTTGGCAGCACCCGCTCTTGTGATTCGCTGCCCCCTGAAGGAGGAGGCAAGAGCAAAATTAACAGGGGCTGCAGGACTCAAGAGAAGCCTGGGCTGGCTTCACAGTTTCCCCTACATGGTGATTTTTGCATAGTACACACACACATGCCAAGATTCACGATATATTGCCAGGTCAAAAATTATGAAACCGATATAATGATATGGACTTAAAACCAGTTTTGGATGATCTATTTCCCAGCCCTAGTTGTGATGGAGCCGTGAGCTTTGGGCTTGGCAACCCTTTCTGTCTTTCATAACAGGTTGCTAGGAAGAGGTTATGCAGGCATCTCACAACTCCTTTTATTCTTTTCAAACTATCTGGAATTTGGTTTCCAGGATGAGCAAGAAATATATTGGCTCTGTGTCTTTCTCCATGTTGGCTACATGAATTCTGTCTAATTTGCGCCTCTGTGTTGTTGCTTCCTTTGGCGGCAGGTGAATCGCGTATATGTCATCTTTGACTCGCCTACGACAGTCTCCATGATTAAGCTGTGGAATTATGCAAAAACTCCCCAGAGAGGAGTCAAAGAATTTGGAGTAAGTGATAGCGCCCCAGAGCAGCTCATGAACCCTCTTCTTGTCTCTTTGAGGGCCTTGTGTCCCATTACCACCATGTATTTACAGGACTGCCTCTCCTGGTCTGCCCCGCAGAGGACTTTGAGGTCCACGAATAACCATAGTTTAGGGGTCCCGGGCCCCAAGGAAGTCAGACTATCCGCCACCAGGGCCAGGGCGTTCTCAGTGATGGCTCCGACCTGGTGGAATGCTCTGTCCCATGAGACCAGGGCCCTGCAGGATTTAACCTCCTTCTGTCAGGCCTGTAAGACAGAGCTATTCCGCCTGGCCTTTAATTTGAATTCAGCCTGATCTTTTATTTCCCTTCTCTTTCCTCCCCCTCCCCTTTTATGAAGATTCCCCACTCTGGGACCACACAGCTAATTCTCCCCTGGCCTCCTCGCTGGCCCAAGTAGGACTAATTCACCCAGCTAGTCCTGGGGATTATCTAATGCTTATTGGATGGATTTCCCCCAAACTGATTTTTGAACTTTGAATTTTATTGTTAATCATGTTTTTATACTGTATTTTATGCTGCTTCTATATTGTATTACAATTAAGTGTTTTAAATTTGTTGTTAGCTGCCCTGAGCCCGGTTTTCTGAACCGGGAAGGGCAGGGTGTGAATAAAAATTTATTATTTATTATGTCCCCCAACTGGTTCAAACTGACCCTCTCAGGCCAGCCTTGGCATTGCTGGGCAGAAGGGTCTCCCATGGCAGAACCTCCTTGCAGAATGAACCTTCTAAAGCTGCTTCTGTTTTTAGACTGTTTTCATTTATCTTATGAGATTGTGGCTTGTTGTTTTTTAAGTTGTTGGATGGATGGGACATAATTAATGTGTTTATTTTGGGCAGGGGGGAGCTCTCCTCCTGTGAGCTGGTGGAGCTGCCCTTCTGCAGAGATTCAGACTTTTGGTCTTGCCGCTCACAGACACGGACTGCTGCAGCCCATCCCCAACTTGGTGCCCTCCCACAGTTCATAGACTCATAGATTTGTAGGATTGGGAGGGAGCCTGAGGGTCATCTAGCCCCACCTTCTGCAATGCAGGTATCACACCTAAAGTACTCATGACAGGTGCTTCTTAAAAGCACCCAAGGAAGGAGAGTCTTGGACTGCATCTCCCTTCCCCTCTGCTGGTTGGGATGCTGGGAGTTGAAGCCCCACAGCTTTGGGAGAATTTAGCAAGTGGGAGAAGCCTGGTCTCCTGTGCTTGGCCGCAGCTCTTCAGGACCCTCCTGAAGGCGAGGGTCTCTCTCCTCACCAGAGAGGCTGCCAGGGACTGAACTCCAGGCCTGTCTGCTCAGGGGCTCCTGAGCAAAAAGCTCGGCCTTCTCTGAGACTAGGATTACTTGGAAACTGCCCTGTAAGAGGCAGCGGAGACCATGAGAGTGCAGCGTGGAGCTGGGTTTGAGGCTCAGCCTGTTGCTGGCTGGCTGGCAGGCAGGCCAGGCCTTGGGGCTGGATGCTCTGCTACCTGCTCATCTCCCTGCCCTGGAAGCCCCTCCTTCAGGCCACCTGGTACCTTGACCCTCAGGTGGTGATGTGGGGGAAGATTAGGGACTCTTCAGTCTTTCCCACTTGTCAGACTGGGCTCTTTCCTTCTCCTGCTCCTCCTCTTCCTGCCCAGCTCCTTGTTGATGACCTACTTGTCTATAACGGGATTCTGGACATGGTGAGCCACCTGGTCCACGGCATCCTCCCGACCTGCGACCCCGTCGTCCCCCATCACACCGTTCTCTTCACGGACAACGAGAAGATCTGCCGCCAGGAGAAGAACTCCGTCATCAGGTAAGCCAGCCTGCCTGCGTAGCAGCTGGCATGGAAAGCTCTTGGCCAGCTTTGCGCCCAAGTCGGGCACCTTCACTTGGGCACCTTGAAACAGCTCCCCTTTGGGACTGAGGGCACCTTCCTCAGGGGCGGCAGCAGCCCCTCATCTCATCATGGGTCCCAGACATGGACCCCTGAGAAGGGACCTGTCTCTCCATCTTTGAGCAACAGCTGTCATTGCCTTTGTTTTCAACTAGTTCCACACCCCCAAATGCTTGTTCTTTCCTCCAGCGAAAGGATCCGCAGTCAGTGGCTTCTTGCCTGTAAAAGAGTTGGCGCTTTGTGTCCGGGGAACTGTCCCGTCCCCCCTGCCACCTTGGCCACCCTCTGGTTAATTCACTGTTCTGATCCACTTCCTTCCTGCCTGTGGCCAGCCTAAAAGCTCAGCAGGGCTGCAGTCGAGGGATTTCTCTCTGGGTGGATATAATAAGAAAGCAAAACCCTCTGACATAAAGGCCAGATGAAAGCAAACAACAAGGAATAATCTAATTTGACAAGCATGTTCTGGAGAGGGTTTCTCACTGAGCATCTCTGGGGCCAGATAATCCTCTGATGCAGGAGCGGAAAGGCTGTCGAAAGCCATGGCCAGCGGCAGCGAGAGGGAGGGGAAGGGGCCCCAAAGCCATCTGTCTCTGGAAGCAGCGCCGCTTTCACCAGCCCCAAATCATGTTCCGGTTCCTCGTTCAGAATTACCCAAGGCTGGTGTCTGTGCATGTGCAGAGGCACAAGAGGAGAAGGGGGGGCTGCTGGCAAACAGGGGCAGCTCTGCATGTGATCTCTGGGGTAGGGCAGGGCAGGGGGCACCTGGGGGGCTAAGAGCAAAGCCTGCATATCATCCCTCCCAGAACTGGCTGGGGGGCGGGGGCTGGGAAAGGGAGGTCTTGCCTTCCCTTGCTTGCACCTTCCACTCTTTCCCTTTCTCCACCCCCACCAGCTTTGCGCTTCCTGGCATGATCGGAGTGGGGAGGGGTAGGGAGGGCAGAGGAGGGCCTCTCCTCTTCTCTGGCCAACAGCGGCAAAAGAGAGATCAGGAAGCTCCCCACAAACGTCTTAGGACAGAGGCCAAATGAGGCGTGTGCTCGCTTTTTCTTTACTACATAGCAAGTTGCTGGGATGTCTCTCTCTCTCTCTCTCTCTCTCTCTCTCCCCCCCCCCCCACTCTGGTTCCTTCTGCAGCTGCTCTTTAGTAAAGAAGAAGGCCCGTCCCCTGATCCGCGGCTGAAAGGTGGCCAACGGGCAGATTCACTACACCTGCCCCCCACTCAGCTGCTGGACTTCTAGGGGAGCCCCTTGAACTTCAGAAGAGCCTGCTAGATCAGGCCGGGGGGGCACAGCTAGTCCAGCACCCCATTCTGTCTCCCCGTGGCCAACTAGAAGCCCACAAGCACAAGAGCAACTCTCCCCTCCGGCGGTTTCTGGGAGCTGACCTTCAGAAGCCTTGCTCCTCAGGGCCGTTGCAAGCCCACTCCTCTTTCTCCTCCTTTTTCTCTTGGTCTGACAGCAATTACATAGAAGACCAGGACGTGCGGATGATGAATGAAAACCAGATCATTTCCTATTCGAAGAAGAAGCAGGTGCCTGCAGACCCAGGTGGGTTCCTCTTCTGGGGCTCCTCGGACGAGGGAGGGCAGCCCGCGGGGGTCTTTGCAGGGAGCCAGAGGCCACGCTCTCCAGGCGCTCCCCTGGCCTCGGCTGCCCTCCCTTCGTGGGGGGTGGGAGCTGCTCTGCTGTGGCTGCTCAGCCTTTTTAGGGGAGGGCTGAGATTGCTGCTCCCCTTGACCGGATCCCTGCCCAGGGAGAGGGCCCTCTGCAGGCTCTCAGCCCAGATCTCTGAGGACCGGCAGCTGCTCGCACAGCAACAGCAGCACATGGCCCCCAGCAAAGCAGCCCCCTGAGGGCTGTTTCTGCAGAAAAAAGGTTGCTTGCTGGCTGGCTGGCCCCCTCTGGTCCAGATTGGTCGGCCTTTGGGGCTGAGGCCCTCGAGGTCTCCTTGCCTGCAGAGGCAGCGTCAGCATCTGAAAGGCCCCTCTCTCCCCTTCTCCCTCTCCCAGCACTTCGCCCTAAGACCTGCATCCAGGACAAAGGATTGCTGCGGAGGATGAGGCAGTGACGGGAGGAAGACACGGAGCTGGCTCTCGCATGGCTAGCCTTGGGCTGCTACTCCCCCCACCGCCCCACAGAGAGGGGGCACCGCCTCGCCTCCTCAGGGCCAGGGCCGAAACCCCCAGGACTGCTTTTCTCAGCTGCAGCTGCATTAAATCTATTCCCTGAGGCCCCTGTATGCTTCAGCCAGGAGAGGCTTGGGCAGGGCCACTGCTGCAGAGAGACGCCTGGCCAAGGCTCCCGGTGGCTCCCAGGCAGAGGAGCTGCCACAGCCCCAATTCAGGTGCGGAGGGGGGGGGAGTGAATGGCCAATGTGAAGAGGTGCAGTTAGGAGGAGGGGGCAGCTGGCAGCCAAGGGGACCCCTCTCCCCCCACCCAGATCCTCTGTGCTGCTTCTGACACTTGCAGTCCGTCCTGCCCTGCCCTGAGTGTGCCACAGATAGGACACAAGGGGGCGAAGTGGTCAGAGCAGTGCCTTCTGCCCCCCACTCCCAGGCTTCCCAAGCTCTCTGGAAAAGGAGGCGGGAGCCACAGCCCCCCAAATAGGGCCGGAAGGAGAGAGTGCCAATCCATCGCGGCAAGAAGCTGCTATGCAGCCCCCCTGTTTCTAACGCTGGGCTGGCCAGGAGCTGCAGCCACCCCAGCCAGATGGGAGGGGGGGTGTCCCTGGAGCTGAAGGGGGCTCAGTGGCACAATTCACCATGTCACAGATCAGGTTGCCTCCACCTGTCCCTCTTTCAGGCCATGTATCTGCTCCCCTCCCGTCGCCCCCCTTCCTGCCATGCTGTTTTGTTATTACATGGTTGCCTTATGAGCCTGGCTTTCTGGTGGAGTCTGTGGGGTTGTTTTTAGCAAGCTGGGCAGTGGGCTTGGATGGTCGAAGGGGGCAGAGGTGGGGGGCTGGCTCTGTCCACTCACTCCTGTGCTGTGAGGACAGGTCCTAGGGGGCTATCATGGGGTGGGGAGAGACTGGAAAGCAAAAATAACTGGGCAGCCTCCTGAGGGCACCCAACCCTTCATCTTGGGGCCGTGGCAACTTTTTGCAGCCAGTTCTTCAAGTAGCTCCCTCTGCCTCCTGCAGTGCCAATGGCCCCCTGTGCAGGGCACAGAGCCAGGCCAAGGTGGGAGGGCAGCCTTTCTGGAGGGAGGAGCAGCCTCTAAAGGGCTCAGCTGCCCTGGTAGCTATTTTTGCCCAGGGGGGGGGTCTAGGCTAGATGAAAAGGAGCCTCGTTTCCTAGTAAGTCCTCCTTGTGGGGATCTGCCCCACTTCCCATCCTTCCAGCCCCTTTCCACAAGAGGAAGAAAAGCAGGGCTGCCTTCCCCTCATCTCCCCTGGGGAGGGGGGAGCACAAGATCCCTCTCAGCAGCGGAGGCAAGCATGGAGCAGCGCTGCCCCCCCCGCCTTCCCCCCGCCCCCCGCAGGCAGCATTGGGGGAAATGAATCAGGCTGACATTTCTATTAGCAACCAGCGAGGAGGATGCGTGAAGGAGGAGGCTGGCTCTGGCCAGGATTATTTATCCCAGTTAGGGCTGTCAGGAAAGTGAAATGGTAGTCAGTCAGCCATGGCCAGAGGACGGGCATTGCCCTCCCCCCCAAGCACTGGCTCTCTCTCACACACATCCCCCCCCCCAAGTTGGTGGCCTTTGCAGAAGAAGAAGTCGAGGTTCTCTTGGTGCTTTGAGCCATCCCACCTTCCCCGAGGGCACACAAACGCAGCCAGGTCATGTTTGGCTGCCCCTTAATCCCCCCCAAGTGCCTGTTGTGTAAGACTTGGAGGCCGAGTTTGCGGCGCAGGCAGTGATCTGTAAGTGCCGACAGCCAGCTATGGCAGGGAAGACCAGAGAGAGAGAAGGGGGCCAGATGCATGGCTGGCCAAGGCCGTGGCCCCCTCTTACGGCCCCCCACAGGAGAGCCTTGCCCCAAAGAAGGGGTCAGCATCTGCCAAAGCTTCCCCCACAGCAGGACACACCATCGCCTTGAAGCAGCTGCACAGACTGCAGCGTCCGAGGATGGAATCCCTGAGACTGCAACACAAAAACCTTGACTAAATATCAGCGGCACAGAAAGCAGGAGGCAACTTTTTAAAAAACAAAACCAGCAATATTTAATACATATCTGTCGTCTTCTTTTTTAAAAAAGCTATGAATGAATATGTGCTGTGTTCTGCAGACTCAGGGTTGTCCCAAGCCAGGTCCACCTGCTTCTCCCCAGGCCTCTAGCGGTGGGAAAGGGCCGAGGATGGGGCCAGAGTCACCCCCCGGCCTGCTGGCCCTCTGTCCCCAGGGGCTTGGGCCTTCCTACACGCCCAGCTGCGTCCTCTCCCGCAGGGCCTGGCTGCTCAGCCCAGGGAAGATGCTCTGCAGGATGTCGCAGTAGACCGTGTAGAGCTCCGGGTCCATTTGGGGTCTGGGGAGGGTCCTGGAGTTGCAGGCCTGGTCGGCTGCCGCCAAATGCTGCAGCAGGTAGACGTCGCTGAAGAGCAGCGCCAGGATCTTGTGGGCGGCTTTGCAGGGGTCCTTCTCGGACTGGACCAGGGCCTTCAGCTCCGTCAGGGTGTAGCCATTGTAGCGCTTGCTCTCCTCGGCCAGCGGCTGCACCGTCTCCCCGATGTGCCGGACCTTCCAGCGGAGGCACTTCAGCTCTTCCCGGACCTCCTGCAGCTCTTGCTCCACCGCCAGCAGCTCCTGACGGGTCACCAGGCCTCTGCTGGGAAGAGAGAAAGGGAAGGGTGGGCATCATGCGCTGAGCAGCCCCTCCCTCTGCCAGCACTGCTTGCGCCCCTTTCATGCCACCTGCTCTCCAGTCTAGACACCTGCTGGGAGAGGGATGGGAAGTGCCTTTGTGCCAGTGCGCACGGCAAGAAAACATTCCTTGCACACCACGGGCATTTCATGTGCCACACATCCCAGGGGAGGGGGCACCCCATTCAACTCTCTTTTAGGTCTGCAGGACAACAGTGTCACAGACGCACAACACTTCCCCTTGCCGCATTTTTCTAAAGCGCTGCCTGGGACCATATAGAGAGCCTCTTGCCGTTGCCATGGCTGAACTCTGACACTGCAGCTCAGTAGGAAGAGGCAGGTGTTGGCACCCGCAACACCCGCAAAGCACCCAGCAAGAGCCCCAAGAGGGCACCTTGGCCGCTTCCTGGATGAATGAGGCGGAACAGCTCCCTCCTTGACGCTACCATGGGACTCATTCCTACAGAGCTGAGCAGAGAGGCTCTCGCAATCCCCAGTGCAGAATGAGGCCGCCTTTTGGCAGCAGGCCCCTCGCGCAACCCACAAACCTCTTCAAGTCCTCTTCCTGAGCTGCTCTCACGTCCTCTTCTGCCAGCTTCACATGCCCAAGAGGCTGGGCACGCATCTGCCTTGCCAGCTGGTTTCCTGATGCCGCGGCCAGGAACTCTCGGCTCTCAGGAGGATTGCCATGGCGAGGCAGCAGGGCTCTGCGCATCATGTTCTCTGGCACCAGGTTGGGCCTCGGGGGGGCTGGGTGGGATGCCAGCCTTGAGGGTTGGCGAGGGGCCAGGGGCCCAGGTCCTGCTGCCGACACCCCCGCCTGCGCACTTGGATTCAGGCGGCCGTGCTCAGCAGTCCCTCGAGCGGCGGCTGGGGCCGCATCCAGATGCCTGGCTTCAGGGGAGGCGAGGCGGCTGCTGGGCTCCGACGAAAGCGGGGAAGAATTGGTGGTGCTGGTGGGAGAGCTGGACGGGGCCCGCGAGGCGCTCCTCTGCCCATCGTGGCTCCTGGCGTTTCGCTGCGGCTTCACAGCTGAGTGTTGTGCAGCCCTGCAAGAGACCGAGAGTTTTCACTCTCCTCCTGGCCGGCACATTTCAGGTCCCGTAAGCAAAGGCCGCAGCTGCTCCAAATGCATGCAGCTCTCCCCACTCAAAGACAAATTGGGGGGGGGGGAGTTTGCAATAAGAATTTTGAGGGCAGGTGGAGGCAAAGGGCTTGCATGCCTTTTCTCCTTCTCACCAAAAAAAGGGGTCTGTGGGGGTCTTTTGCACAGCAGTTCCCTCCTGAACCTGCCAGGGGCTGAATCCCCAAAACTGGAAGGGCACCAGAGGGTGCTTGTAGTGGGAGGCAGAAATTCCACCTGGGATCCTGGCCACAGTAAGCAGGCCAACCACGACAGACTGGGTGCCCACAGGCTGGGGGGGAAGGGCTCCTGCTGTCTGCTTCCTCCATGACCATTGGGCAAAGGGCTCAAGCTGGCAGGATGGCACTGCCCATCCCACCTGCTGTGACTCAGCCAAGGGCTGCTGGCTGTCCCACGTGCAAGTTCTGCTTAGGGGCTCCTTCGGGGAGCAGGGAGCCCAGCTGGCCTGGGCAGACTCTGCAGGAAGCCAGCCCCTCTTCCAGTTGCGCCTTCAGCAGAAGACTTTGCTTGGCCCTCTCTTGCCAACAGCAGGGCAGGTGTGCCCTTCTGCCCAAAACACAGCCAGCCTCCCTTGCAGCCAGAGATTCCTTCAAGCCGGACGTGCGCCTCCTCCCATCATATGCCCCCAAGGCGACTCAGAGAAGCACTGCGGCTATCAAAGCGTCCATGCACAAGCAGAGGTAGAAAAGGAGGATCCAGTCTACACTGGGGGGAAAGGATGGCAGGGCTGCAGCAAACGGCCTCAATTGCCCAGAGGAAGCTGCCTGTGCCTGGGCAACCTACTCATTGTGGTCCACACTGACAGTGATCCAGGGTTTCAGGCAGGGCTCTGCCCCAGGCGTAATGAGACTTCCTGGGTGTACAGCAGCTGCTGCCCCCCCTGGGCTACAGCCCTGGCCGAGGCAAAGCCCAGATGCAGCAGGAGAGGGGGGGGACTCCTGGAAAACCAGCAACATTCTGCTCTTCTCCTTGAAATCTCTCCGTTCCAGCTGGTCCTTTACAAAAGCTCTGTTGCCAAGAAGCAGCCGCAGGTTTCCTTTCCCCCTCCTCCCTCCCAATCCCTTTTCCTCTACTGTTGTGTCTTTTAGACTGTGAGCTCAAACGCAGGGAGTGCCTTAACACTGGCCTTTGTAAGCCGCTCTGGGAAAGCGAGATAAAGGTGCTTTAAAGGAACAAGGAACAAGTCCCTGTCACACAGACATGGTAAATGTGGCAGAAAGGACCGCCCTGGCTGGATCCCTTTTGTCCGGGAAGGTTATAGGAAGGCAGCTTGATTCCACGTGAGTCAGGCATGCACAGTCCCCCCCCCCCAACACACAGCTCAGCCACAGAATCAAAGTGCCAAGTCAGAGGGGCAACACAGCCCATCACAGAACCACGGAATTGTCCAGTTGGAAGGGACCTCCAAGGATCATCTAGTCAGCTAGGGAATCCCTGAGCGATGGCCATCCAACATGGTCACTCAGGTGAAGAACTTCGGGTCTCTGGGTGTGGGGTTTTTTGGGGGGGTCAGCTACATACTGATAAATTCAGTTTGGGCAACGGAAGCTGATTGGGAGTTGTTGTGCAAGAACCCCACATCCCCAAAAGATCAGAAAAGGTAAGTGACTGGAAAACTGGAAAGTAACTCTGGAAAGTGTGGTGTAAATAATAAGCAATCAGTAAATAAGAACTGGCAGCCCCCTTCTCTGTCTTTGCCCACAGGGACACCACCTGGTCCTTGGAGATCAGTGAAACAGACAAAGCAGAACTCAAATGGTACAGAGAAGAAGATGCCCACCCCGTCCACGTGGAGGTGCCAGCATTTTGGGTGGAGGGCGTGTGCCTGGTCACACCAGGCCTGGGCTGATCATCTCCCCGTGGCACTGGAGGGCAGCAGAGGAAAGGGCAGGGGCGGCATTGGCTCCCCCAGCGCTGGGCCCTGGCTCAGGCGGCTTCCATGGCCGGGCATAGCTGGCACCTGCCTCTTGGCCCAGCCGTGAGGTTCCGCCAGAAGCAGGAAACCTCTGAGTGCCAGGCGCCCTCGGGGAACGGAAGAGGCACCAGGGAGAGTTCCGGATTTAGACAGCCCTTCGGCCCAAGGGGCTCTTCTGACATCCACAAAACGTTACTCTGAAGCACAACTCGCACTCCTTTACTAAATCACCCTGCAAGACACACGGCGGCGGGCCAAACGGGATTTCCACAGCCCACGAAGTCAACACAGAAGCATCAAGCATTCAGGCACCTCTGCCACTGGTTCAGAAATGAGCCCAGCCCATTTTGCTACTGGTAGGAGTCCAATTGGGGAGGCGAGAGGGGCAGGCCTGGTTGGAAGCCCTCCAGTCATCTCTCTCAGGCCCCTTACAGGATTAATGCAAGGGCAAAGGGGTGCAGGGAGGGGTGTCAATGGCATGAGGAGAGTCACCTGGTCAAAAAACAGGAGTGGCCACCGGTGCAACCCTTTCGGCCATGAGAAGCACCTTCCACCATCCAAAATTGCTCTCCATTCGCAAGGCGAGTTATTGGCGTTCTGAGCCAAAGAAGCTTTGCAAAACCTGAGCCATGAGATCCTTTGCAAATTAAGGCGCACTTTGCTAAACCTCAGCTGCGTGAGAGCGCCATGCTGGGCAAGTCCTTGTTCCCCATGCAAGCTAAGCAGGTGGAGCCCGAACGACAAATGCAGCAGGACAAGACAGATGCAGCTATTGAAACGCAGCCCCCCCCCCACTTTGGCTTTCAGTGACATGAAGACAAGCACAGATGGTTTCCCCACCACACACACAACACTGAGGTTTGGGCCACTTTGCTTGCCCCTTGAAGCAAGGCGAGGCTTCAATGCCCAGAGAGACAGGGTGAAGTCAGGAATTGGGGGTGGGGGCACCCCTCCAAAAGAGCCAAGAGGAAGGGGGTTGTGTGGCCTCGGATACTGAGGCCCTTGGCAGTCTGTGCCACCCCACATCCTGCCCCCCCTGCGCCAGGCCTGCTGCCCCGGAGAGCCGCCATGCAAGACAGACAGCGAGTCAGAGACAGGCGGCACTTACTATTGGAGGAGTAGCCATGGAGGCATGCTAGCCTCACGTCCCCCGTCTCACCTCTTTCCTCCTCCAGCCTGGAAAAGAGAACATACAAGTCGCGCCTTGAGCAGGAGCCGACTCCCCCGCCGGATTGGGGCCCGGGAGGAGCCCAGTCGCCTCCACAGCCAAAGCCGCAGGAAACACAGCGACACAGTCAGGCCCTTGGGTCCATCTGGCCCAGCAGTGCCCACACTGACTGGCAGCAGCGCCTCTCCAGGGTTGCAGAGCTACAGCCACATGCCTCTTCCTCCTTCCTCACACGCAAAGCAAAGGCTGGGGGGGTCAGGAAAAGGGGGCACTGTTTCTACCTCTCTGCCTTCAAAAGAGTGTGGCCCGGGGTGTGCAGCCATTCCAGAACTGAACCCCCACAGCCCTGCCCTGCCCACGGCTGCAGGATCCCAGAAGATCAGATGAGATCACCTTACCCATATCCCACCCCCCAATGCGGAATTGACCCTGCTACAGGGGACACACAACCCTTTGCTCTGCTTTTGTAAGAACTCGGACCACACTCTGCCTAGTGAGGTCCAGCAGGCTGCTTGTAGGACACTGCAGCAAGAGGAAGAGTCCAAGAAGGACTTTTGCAGGGAAACGTCACCAGAATTGGTGGTGCTCCCCTGCAATTCCTTCCCGGCTTCGTTCCCAGGGACAAGCCCCGATCCTCTGCACCCCACCAGCCCAGGCTGGTCAACCAGGAAGAGCCACAGGAAAGGCAAGGAGCAGGAAAGGCCTCTTTCAACACTTGCCATGGTTCCCTTCATCACCTCCGTTTTGTTATAAGAATTCTAAGGTCTCCAATAGAGAATAAATGCTCATAAACGTACAAGGCAAATGCACATACAGAAGTATATACTCCACGTGTCTGAAATAGTACAGGAGAACAATCCTGAAGCCATTTTGACTCTCCCAAATTGACCGCAGATATTTCTCTGCAAGGAGGAAGAAAATGGGGAAAGCTTTCCAATGGTCTTTGGACTGTAGGGGCTGCTTACACCTTCCTGTAAATACAGCCTGGCAAGTATCTGCTAAGCTGAGCAAACTATATGTGCAAGAGATTCAGGAACTAAAGTACTGACCATCTCCAAGGAATGGCCAGGCTACCCAGAACATGCAATCATTATCAGGTATCCTGGCAGACTGGAGAGAAGCAACACTCTTAAATTTCTACTGGAGACAGTCTCCTTCTGTGATGTATGTATGATGTTTGGAGGGTGGTCTTGGGCTACAGGGTGGGCAATTTCAAAAGTCTTTCTAGAGGCTTGAGCACCATTGTTCTGGGTCTCTCTTGCCTCCTTGCAAGGAGGGAGGGAACTCCATTGCAACAGAAGAATAAAGACCTGCCTTGCTTTCACTGCATCCTAACTCCATCCATTCATCTCATCTCAGTCCCTTGGGGAGCTGGGCAGCAAAAGCCAACCACCCCTCATTTCCTATATCTGTTTGCAAGCGCCATCCATCCTCACAAGGCAGGCCAAGCCCTTGAGTTACCAGCAAGAAAGGGAGGGGGAAGCAGGGAAATATCCCATTGTGCAACCAGCTGTCACTGTTGCAAAGCCCCTGCGCTTGGCCATCAACATGCCCAGAACAAGGCGGGAGAAGGAAAGGTTCTCTCTTCCCAACATCAGCATTGCTGTCACTTAAACGGGGGAAAAACAGAACTGCATGGCTTTCGGACAGCAAACATTAAAATACAGGACTCTTCCCTTCCTGTCGTTGCTTCCTGGCTGGGGTGTAGGTCAGTGGGGGAAATATTCTGCTCATATCTTTGCAAGAGAGATTTTGAGAAGCTGGAATCTGCCACGACCCCAAGGCTCTCCCAGCCAGAGGAACCCCAGGCAACGTTTTGCCCACCTTCTTCCAGGCACAGAAGCTGCCTCTTGACTGCTCCCTGCCCCAGCCAAAAGGGGGGGGGAGCCCCAGGGCACCTTCAGGAGGTTCATGATCACTCCGACTTGGTGCATCAGGGATGGTTTTGTTGGCTGCTGCCTCCCCACCCACCTGCTGCCTCCTAAGCCAACACAAGCCGGGCCTGGAAAGATCTCCTTCCCAAGGCGAGCAGCAGAGTCACCACAGTGGCCCCTCTTCTCTCCCCACCTCCCTTTGCGAGCTTCAAATCACAGCGTCACAGAGCTAAGTTTGTTCCCAACAGATCTTGCACCAAACCCATTCCGCTCCAGCCAGTCATTACCTTCAGACGAGCTTCACTTAGCCAAATTCATTCATTCCACCAAATGTCACTTTCAGTAACCCAGATCATCTTCTCCAGCTAGATTACAAACCCAGAAATTATTGGGGGGCCCAGGTAAAGATTTGGACCCCCCCGCCGTGCTGGCCATCCAATGGCAACGTCCTTGTGGGTGAAGGTGAGCAAGAGTCAAGCCTCTTGAGGAGTCAAGAAAGAGACAGAGAGCGCCCTAATCTGCAGGTTGCCATCTGACTGGATTTGATCCTGATCCTGATCTCATTTTAGGATGTATTTTAATTGATTGCCAGATTTTATGTTGATGTGTTATACATTTGATGTTAGCTGCTCTGAGCCCAGTTTTGGACAGGGAGGGTGGGGTATAAATAAATTATTATTATTATTATTATTATTATTATTATTATTATTGGAATTTCCTCTCCCATCAAAAGGAAGCTGCGCCTTGCTCAGAGGAAAGGAGGAGCCCCCTGGTTGGGGCACCACCCACCCAGAGGGATCCTTTTCCTCTGCATGCCCACCCTGCCTCCCCAAGGAGGAGCAGGCGTGATGCTGGCCGGACTCCTTCTCCCTGCCCCACAGCCCCCTGCCCTCCCAGGCCAGCCCCACTGACCTTCCGTGGAAGTAGGTGATGGGCTCGTGGTCCGCGTAGGCAGCCTCTTCGGGGAAGCCCTGCTCAAAGACTTTGCGCTTGTGGCGGAACTCAATGACCGTCTTGGTGTAGGAGTTCAAGGTGGTGACGGAGGCAGCCATGCAACAGGTGAAGGAGCCCCAGGCCAGGCTGCAGAGAGAGAGGGGAGAAGGGAGAAAGGGGGCTGGGGGGCAGACCCAGGACCAGGACCCCCACCCCCAGCAATGCCTCTCTCTGGCACTGGGTCCCAAGGCAGCACCCTGAACATTCACTCATGCCCATCCTGGACATTCACTCATTCATATTTATATATTTATGTCAGGTTCCTACTGGAAGACCGGACAAACACTAGAACATTAGCAGCGGCGAAGTTTTTATCGGTGGCTGCAAGAACCACTGATCTCTGTCTTGTAAGTCTGAACAAAATGCTTGTTTAACCTGGAGGTAGGCTGTCTGAATTGTGCATTGCATTGTAACGATTTGTTGGGTCTCTGGACCGTAATAAAGATTGATTGATTGACTGATATATTTAATTTGCATTTCACCTTTCCACCAAACAGTGCTCAAGGTGGCTCATAGCAATCAAACAAATATAATAAGGGGTCAATCGAGTCAAAGGTATAAAAAGGAAGGGGATTGTTTTGAAATATATCTATTCAAGCAACGGTGTCCAAGGGGGAGGGGTGGAATTAAGAGGTGCTGAAAATAAACTTAACAAAGAGGGAGAAATTAGTCAGGGAAGAACTATTCTTTTTAACAACAATAAATAAAGTGGAAAACAACACAGTATGGAGAAAAGGAAGCATGAAGAAGCCGTAAGGAGGTGCGGGGGGTGTGTGTGTGAAGTCAACCTGGAGAAAAAGAAATTTATGGTGGGAAATGTTTTTTGGGTGACTGGTATAGTATTTTGAAAAGCAAAATGCAATGTATGTAAGAATGAATATAGTATATATAACTAATGGGAATGGAAGAAGATATTTGCATATGTATATAATAATAAATACAGTTAAAACAGCCATAGGACATCAAGGAAAGAATATTAAAACAGGAAAGTAAAATCTTAGTTAAATGACCTTTGGGGGCACAGCCCCCCCCAGCTCAAGGCGAGGGGCAACAAAGCACCTCCCAGGCACATTTCCCCCTCCCGGCAGCGGATGTCCAGGATGAGCTCCTTCCTTAGACCCAGACTCTTGGCTCAGGAGAGGCACCTCACGCCTTGTTCTGTGCCAGAAGCAGCCTCTCTTCTTCACGCTTGCCCTGCCCTTCCACCCTGGGGGATGCAAAAGAGGAAGGGATGCCCACGGACCCCTCCCCTGCAATTCCAGAGGTGCCAGGAGGCCTGTGGGACTCCAGGAGACTAATAGGAGCCCAGACAAGGCAGCCTGATCCTTGGCCATCACTGAATAATGGAGTTGGGATGGGGGGAAGAAAGGTTTCTGCCTGCAGAAGCCTCCTATGCTTTGCTCTCCTGATAACCCATCGCTGGGCCAGCAGAGTCCTCTGTTTCCAAGAGGGCCCTCCATGAGGGTCCCCCCACAAGCCACGCAGAGCCTTCAGCCGCTCAGTCTCACCAGAAGGACCAGCCGTAGTCCCACGAGTGCGGCCTCCAGTCTTCCGGGCCGAGGCTGACCGTCACCTGGAACACCTGGGTGTACATCATGTGAGCCACCATTCCCAAGAGCCCTGCGAGGAGACACATGTGGGATGCGAAACACAAGAGCAGTCAAGTGCAACATTCCTAGAGTGAACATGTTTACACATGGGGAGGAATGTCTGTCCAGCCAGCAGGTCAACTTCCTGTTTCCTTCTGGGCTGGGACAGACTTCCTCTGCATGTGACTAGGGGTGGGCGTGGCCTCACCTGTGCAGGTAACGACAAAAGCACAGGACAGGGCAGCCATCTCTCTCTCTTTTTGACTACATGCATCGAAGAAGCAACTTCTGCTTAGCCAAAGATGCTCTCTTGGCTTCCAACCAAGAGAGGACAAAGCGACTGTCTCCTTATGAGATAGTTTCCAGGTGTATGTTACTTTTCTAAGCTAAGTCTGCCTTCTGGGATCCAATTGTGAACAGAATGTGAGTAAACTCTATACAGTGGTGCCTCGCAAGACGAAATTAATCCATTCCGCGAGTCTCTTCGTCTTGCGGTTTTTTCGTCTTGCGAAGCACGGCTATTAGCGGCTTAGCGGCTTAGCGGCTATTAGCGGCTTAGCGGCTTTAAGAAAAAGGAAACAAACTCGCAAGAACTCGCAAGACGTTTCGTCTTGCGGAACAACTCAAAAAACGGAAAACTCTTTCGTCTAGCGAGTTTTTCGTCTTGCGAGGCATTCGTCTTGCGGGGCACCACTGTACTTTTATAGAAGACTGTGTCGTGTCTTATCTTTTATGTGGAAAATTTAATAAGGGGGAAATACCAGAAAAGTTATTATAGATGCTTTAGCGAGCCTGAGCAAACGCATCCGCTGTGAGTTTGAAAAGGGGAATGTTGCTCTGCTAAATTGTGAACTTGTTAACACAAGTTGGAAAGGCTGTAATCAAACATTATATCCTCTCCTGCATCCCTGAACATTCCCACAACACAGACCCATCGCTGGGACAGGGGAGACCCTGAGGCTGTCTTGGAGCCAGGACACCATCGAGCCCAGCAACTGTGGGGCAAGCTCCCCATCACCGGAGACCCACCTCCCTCTGCAGCTGGAGATGCTGCCAGGGACCAGCCCTGGGACCTTCTGCAGGCCAAGCAGGTGTCCTGTCGCTTGGAGGGGGGGCTGTAGCTCAGCAGTACAGGGAACCAGGCAGAGGGCCTTCTTGGTAGCGGCCTCCACCCTGTGGAATTCCCTCCCATCGGATGTCAAGGAGACAAGCAACTATCTGGTTTTTAGAAGACATCTGAAGGCAGCCCTGTTTAGGGAAGTTTGTAAGGCTTAAGGTTTTATGCTTTTATATATGTTGGGAGCTGCCCAGAGTGGCTGGGGCAACTCAGTCAGATGGGCAGGGTACAAATAATAAATTATTATCATCATTATTATTTGTGAGCGAGAAGTTCTGGGTTCAACGCCCCATGTGGCCAGGCAGTGAAAGTGCCCTCTGCAGTAGACCAAGGTGGGTCCAGCTCAGAGCAAGACAGCCTCATATCTGGGAGAGGAAAGAAATGGTCTTCACTGATGACCCCAGCCTCAAAAACAAACCATTCCAGCTCAACCAAGTAGCTGTTTTCTTTTCTCTTTTTTAATTTAATTTAATTTTTTTGTCCTTGTGTGTCAATTTTATTAGTATTTTCCACATAACAACAACACAAAAGATATCGAAAAATAACAAAACACAAAAACCAACATTCAAAAAACAAAACAAAAATCCATATCTTACAAGTTAATAATATAAACACTAAAAAGAAAAACAAACATTGACTTCCACCAATCCCACAGCACCTCCTTTATCTCTCATTGTGTCTTCCTGTTTTCCTTATCATCTCTATCCTAACATCTAAATATAAATCCCTCTTTCTTATCCTTTCACTTCACAAGGTTATTCCAGACTCGGCCAGATTACTGTCCTCCAGCCTTGACTTTTAAGGTATTGATTTAGGCACTCCCATTCTTTTTTTACTTCACTTATTATGTCTGTCAATTTGGCTAATTCTAAGTATTCTGAGAGCTTGCATAACCACTCTCCCCTAGTGGGTAACTGATTCCCTTTCCAATACTTAGCCACCGGGATTCTTGCTGCAGATGTCGCATATAAGAAAAATTTAGTTTTGTCTTTTGGAATATCATCATTTAAAATTCCTAAAAGGAATGCCTCTGGCCTTTTGCCAAATGATATTCTTAGTATTTTCTTTATTTCTTCCACGACCAAGTAGCTGTTTTCACCTTGCAAGGAGTGCAGCTACTTCCCGGAATATTTCCTGGGCTTGCGCAGGGACCTACCTGAGAGCACCGTGAAGACAGCGGCGAAAGCGTTGAGTTTGAGCCCGTCAATCACGTTGTTGGAGTGGATGAGCTCAAGGCACATGAGGCTGAAGCCGATGACCAGCAAAGCGATGTACAGCACTTCTGACACCACCGACAGCCACAAGACTCCTGCAAGCGCACAAGGGACACCGTCAGCACCGGGAGGGAGCTCTCTCAGATCAGAGAGGCTGGGGCAGGGCAAGCTTGAGCTGCGACTCCCACGCTGCAAGGGGTTGGGCTAGATGACCTTCGGGGGGTCCCTTCCAACTTGACAATTCTATGATCCTAAGCTGAGCAAGGGAGTTTCCAGCTGAGCTGCTGCTGGGTTGATTCCAAGCTCAGTTGGAAAACAGCCCTGCTCCCAGAACCATGGATCTGCCCTTTCGAGGCAAAGAGAAGCAAGCGTTTTCTGGGAAGGGGCCACCAGGATGGGGTGGGGGTTCATTTCATAGCCCACTGGCGGCTAGTAGCAATCATATTCCTTCATTTGGCCCCAGCCCTCCCTCCCTCCCTCCCTCCCTGGCCATGACAAGCCCACTAGTCCTCAGAGTTCACTGCCTGCCTCGGGAAAGGAAGAGAACAGAACGTGCGAAACATTATTTGTTTAGGAAATTTATGTTCTGCCTTCCCCCTGAATGGTCCTCATGCGGACTTACCAAAAAAAGAAAAAAGCAACAAAAGAAATACCCTCTAAAATCAGCATCCAAAAAATAAATACAAAGAAAGCAGCACGATTAAAAACCACAGCACGAGCGGAGAGGGCAGATTTCACCAAGCGCCTAAAACCACCATTTTTATTTAGAGAGCACCATCAGTGTTGGTGATGCTGAAACGAGGACAAGGTCTCAGCCCCGGGAAGCTTACAATCCAAAATTCAGCCCAATGGCAGTGGAAAGGGAAGGAGGGAAGCAACGTGCGGCCGGTGGTCTCCACGACAGGTGCTGAGGCTTGAGCAATGCCAACTGGAAGTCGGCTGTAAGGATGCGCTGCGCACCTTTGCCAGGGGAGAAAACCCCACAAGCGGGGGAGGGGGGTGTTACCACCTGCAGTCACCCATCTAAACCTGGGGGGGGTACAAAGAGGCTGGGGGGGCACAAAGACAGGCTCACAGGAGAAAAGGCAGCAGCAGCCCTTCAGGGACTCAGGCCAGCCCCAAACCTCCTGGTCCCCTCGATGTTTACCCAGTGCCAGCAGCTGCCCTGTGCCACCCCCAATCTCTGGGGAGATCTGGAAAGGCAATGGAGAGGGCCAATCAAGTAGGCTCTTTGCCATGAAGGAGGTGGGCTAGGAAGCCCCCGGCCCCTTTGGCAGCTCTGGAGGAAGGCAAAAGGCACCAAACGTGGGGCCTGGCAGGCGGAGTGGCAGCCAGGTGGCATCCCTGCAGGATCCGAGAGGAAGGAAGGGGGCCCCAAAGCAGAAGGAGCTACCAGGGCAAAGCCCAGGTGGGGCAAGACCCCCCCAGCACGGGACCCTGAGTCGACAGGTCAACCCTTGTGGCTTTTAGAGGTCTGCAAAGCAGGGCTCTTGCGTTGCTCTGACCTTGCCACTTCCAGCACAGGCACAACAGGGGCAAAAGAGTCGCCAGGGAGCAGCCGTTCTGCCCCCCAGTTATGAACAGGCTCCCTCCCAGCGAAGGAAGCAAGGATACGCCTGTTGCTTACAGGGAAACCGAGGCAGGACAACGGCCTTGGCTCTCCTCTGCAAAAGGACAGGATTTCTCGGTTCAGCGGTGCTGATCTCACCATCAAAACACGGGGGGGGGGGGGATAAGAGACAGAGGCAGACAGGCACACTCCCTCCCTCCCTCCCTCCCTCTCCAGGCGCTGCCAATGTCACCTGCGCAAAGGTGACCCCGGCTGATGCGCATCTCTTACCTTTCTCGGAAGCTGGAGCAAGGTCAATGAAACTCCGGCATTTCTCACCTTGAAGAGAAGAGGAAAGGTTGGACAGGCAGACAGAGGCAGGGTGGGCATCGCCACATCCCCAGCAAGGCTCCTCTCTCTCCTGCCCTCTCCCACAGCCCCCCAGATGGCTGCTCCTGGGAGGCCCCCTTCAGGCAGGAAGAGAGGCAGCTGGCCTTGGAAGCAGAGTCAGGCCCCTGGGCTCCCTCTGGCTCTGCCCGGCCTACACTGGTGGGCAGCGGGGGCACCCCAGGCTTCCAGGCAGCCCGACCTGGAGATGCCGTTGGGGACTGAGCCGGGGGGCTTCTGCATGCAGGGCAACTGCTCTGCGCCAGAGCTGCACAGGCCCTTTTTCCAAGCAGAGACCTTTCTCCCAGGAAGGGGCAGCCGGGCCTGTCCTGCCCCCTCTGCCTGCCCACAGGGCCTCTGCCAGTGCTGCCCCACCTGAGAAATGGCTGGCTCCCCTGTTTTGCATGCAGAAGGTCCACAGTCCAGCCGCCACCTCTGCTTACAGGACAAGGGAAGGAGAGGGAGGGGTAGCTGGGAAGGGATTCATCCTGCACACGGGTGGTCTTGAGCTTCAGCTAAGAGGCTGCAGGGGGCTGGGGGGTGGCTTTTCCTGCCTGGGGCTGTGGCAAGTCCCTGGCTGCTCATCTTCAGCAAGATCTGCCTCAGAAGCCCATGAGGGGCAGTTCCGAGGCTCTGTGCCAGCCTTTCTCAAGCTAGGGCTCTCCAGATTTGTTTGTTCATTTATACAGTTGCACACAGTGCCGGATTTACATATAAGCTAAACAAGCTACAGCTTAGGGGCCCCCATTCTCTTAGGGGCCCCGAAAAAATTTAAAGGAAAAAAACTGGATGTGCATTTCCAAAATAAAAAAGATAAAACCCAAATCAAATAAAACCTACATACAGCAACAGTGTTTTGTTTTGTGTAGGCTCTTGTGATGTAAGTCTCGGGCCCCGCCTGCTAGCCTGCTCCCTAAATATCACTGCTTTGCTCCTTTCTATATATAGGGTGCCGACATTCTGCATGGACTGGTTGCAGGGCAACATGCGCAAATGGCTTTAGATACCTATTAGGTCCATAATTTACCGTATAGCATATATTCAACACAAAAAACAGCAACAATTTGTTGTTGACAAAGGACAGCTGGACATAGAAAGGGCCCCATTACCTACATCTGGCCCTGCTTGCACACCCCACAAATAAATAAATAAATAAATAAATAACACGGTCTTAAAATAAGACAAAGCAAGAGAATAATAAGCTCAAGATCAATGGCACAGGGTTGGGCCATATTTCAGGGAAAGCCTGTTTAGGGCCCTGTAGGATGACAGGAAGAGCCGTTCAACAATGGGACAGTCTCCCATGGAAGGTGGCAGACTCTCCTTCCTTGGAGGGTTTTAAGTAGAGTTTGTATGGCCCTCTGTCCTGGATGCTTTAGCTGAGATTCCTGCATTACAGGGGGTTGGACTGAATGACCCCCCGGGGTCCCTTCCAATCCTATGACTGTGATTCTATGATGCTGAGGCTTCTGGGAGTCCAAAACACCTGGAGGAAGCAGGTTGGGCAAAGCTGGCCAATGCCCTCGCCTCCTTCCAAACCCTGGCAGCAGCACCCCTGAGGATTACAAGGATTGTGGCCCGGCAAGGAGGAAGGGACTCCCAAGGGTCATGTAGGCCAACCTCCTACAATGATGGATGTAGTGATCAGATGGGATTACTATGAGGAATTACAAAATATGCATCAAGCCATTGTGTCCGTGATGAAAGCATTGCATTGACTGGGTTTGCTTCATTGACAATAGTTTCTGATCGAATCCCACAAGCCTCTCCACCTCTGCCATTTGCTTTCTCTACACCTGACAGGCATGTATAAGCATTCTGAAACACAGGCCAGTTGCTTCATCAGGCATCCTGGGTCATAGAGATAGTAGGGAGCTTCTTTGATGTAGCTATTGTTAGTTTAGGGCCAGGAAGAGAGTTCACAAAGAGATGGTAAATACTACCCATCCTTCCTTCCTTCCCTGCCTGTTTATGACCTCTGGGTTTGCTGAATGCATTCCTCTAGTCCTGTTTTATTTACTCTCAGATATATATGTATGCATGCTCAGAGTAGTCTTTGTAGTTAACAGGATTTCTTCTGATCTGACGTTGTCCCACATGGTTGTTTTTTAAATGCTCAGAGGAAATCTGATTGGTTCTTAAAAACACTGTGTAAAAAGTTCTTTTGTGAATAAAACGACCTGGACCGAGGGGTGGAGAGGGATGATGATGATGATGATGATGATTATACACACCCCTCCCAGAGTCTTGCTGGTAAAGCCTGTGTGTGTGTATTTTATCAGAGTCCAATCCTTCCTTGTTTTGGGAACGCTACAATGTTGGGAAGCCAGACCCCTCCCCTTCATGCCAGGCTGCCCCACCTGAGCCAGCAAGATCTCCTCCTGGCAGCCCCTCGCCAAGGGGGTCTTTCTGCTCCAGCCCAAAACACCCCCCCCCCAGGAGTCAGCTTCTTAATCACCAACACGGCACACAATGCAAGATTGCATAACCATGAATAATTTTACATTGCTGAGTTATGTAACAATGGTATTTATGCAGCTATTAATAGCTTATACTATTCATAGCGTGCTAATAACAGTAATGTGTAGTGGATCTCTCTCTCTCTCTCTCTCTCTCTCTCCATCCACTTCCCCTAAAAATAAAAATGAAACCCTGGAGGGGGCATCATGTGTGCACATGAAAGGGCAGGAAAGAGCAAACTATCCCCAAGTCTGAATCCTGTTGTGTTTTGCTGCTATAGCCCTATCAGCTGGCAGAGAGGCAGGCAAAAACTGAACTGCTAATGAAGGGTACCTATGCCAGTAATTAAGATCCACCCCCGCCTCGCCTGAGCCACATCGCCCACATCGCCACCCCACACACAACTGCTTCAACCATCTGGCAGAGGAAAGGCCAGGGGCGTTTTGAGAGGCCTCAGCAATACAGTCGTAACTTGGATCCTGAACGCCTTGCGAGTCGAACGTTTTGGCTCCCGAACGCAGGAAACCCGGAAGTGAGTGTTCCAGTTTGTGAACGTTCTTTGGAACCCGAACGTCCGACGGGGCTTATGTGGATTCCAATTGGCTGCAGGAACTTCCTGCAGCCAATCGGAAGCCGCGCCTTGGTTTCTGAACGTTTTGGAAGTTGAACGGACTTCTGGAACAGATTCCGTTCGACTCTGAGGTACTACAAATGGTTAAACAGCAGTCTCATTACAGCCTACAGAATCAGCTTCAGTCGCTGAAGCAGCTGGTGGACACAGCTGGGCACCTGCAGGAGGGGTAGCAGGCCAAGTGCCCTCTCCACCCCTGCCCATCACGGCTGGCACAAACCGTGAGGCAGAGGCCAGCCAGGTGGGTCCAGAGAGTAGTTAATGTGTGTGGGAGTTAAGCCCGCTGCCTTGATCAAAGGGGGAAATGGTGTGGCCTCTCTTGAAGAGCCCCTCTCTGCTTCCAGAGGATTTAGAAAACTGCCACCTGGTCTCGAATGCTCCTTTCTGGAGCAAAGTGACAGAGAGGGTGGTGGCTTGACAGCTCCAAAGGTGCCCAGACCCAGATATGTCTAGGCCCATGGCTTGCTGGCCAGCATGACTAAACCACTTCTTTTGCAACTGGATCCTGTGACGGAAGCCAGAGCGCACGGGAACAGCAGTTACTTTCCTGCCGCAGCGGTACCTATTTATCTACTTGCACTGGTGTGCTTTTGAACTGCTAGGTTAGCAGAAGATGGGACCAAGCAACGGGAGCTCACCCCGTCACGGGGATTCGAACTGCCAACCTTCTGATCGGCAAGCCCAAGAGGCTCAGTGGTTTTTTGGTTTTTTTAAATGATGTTTATTGAGAAATTTAAAGTTACAAAGAAAGAAGAAAGAAAAAACAAGAGAAAGAGAAAAAGAGAGAAAGAAGTAGATAAACATAACAATTAAACAATACAGATCAATAAAAACCAAAGTCAAAAAAATAACAAAACACACAATACATCTAAATCAAAAAACAAGAATAAACAAACAATTAAAAAACAAGTCTAATATTCCCAAATCCTTAACTTTCATTAACTTATTTCCACGACCTCCTCACACCTCCCTTTTTTGTATTCTAGTTGTTGATTATCTCAGCAAATCCTTTCCATCTTTCACAATATTCTGTCATTTTAATTACCTTAATCTATTTTAACCTTATCTTACCTAAAAAGCCCTAAAACTTAAAACTTAAAACTTATATATACCAAATTCTTTTAACCATAACATATTCTTTCATGATTCTTTTTGACATTTCTGCTAGAGCCAAATAATTTCATTCCAACATTTTTCTAATACTCATTAATTTTACAATACTTTTCTAAATAAATTTTAAAACTTTCTTCCAATCTTCATCCATCGTCTCTTCTTCTTGATCTTGGGTTTTGTCAGTCCTTTCTCGTCTATCTAATCCATCAACCTGGTGTTCTTATGTCCGAGGCTCTTAAATCTTTTCCATGTCCCTTCTGCAGGTCTTCTTCTTGTTTATACCTGCCCTTTACGTTATCTTTTGTTGATCTTTTTCTTATTTCCTTTCCTTTCTCATTGGGGGGTAGGTCTCGGGAGGACTCCAATCCAAAAGTATCTCCATCTCTCCTCAGCAGATCAGCCCATTCCCCACAGTCCCATTCCCCACAGTCCCATTCCCCACAGTCCACACTGTAATCCAGAAAGTATTTAAAAGCATGTTTCAAAGTCCTTCCAAAATTAAGAGCCCTCACAACTCCAGACCCCCCCTGGTCCACTCCAGATTCAGACTTCAAGAACAGAGGCTTGTACTCCTGCAAGGCCTCAGGTCTCTCCATTTGTGTTATTTGAGGTTCAACAACCACCTCCTCCATTTTCTTCTGCCCTTGCGCTTGCCCTATCAAAACAGATTCCTGGGCTGGTTCCTGAATGGTTTCTATATGGGTATTCGCCGTTTGTCCAAAGTTTTTTACTGCGACAGTCATCAAATCCATCTTCTCATGCATCTGCTCCAGCAAAGCACGTGTCTTGCAAAGAGCAAGCACCAAGACTTCTTGTAAACACATTTTTCCCCCCAAGGTTAGAGTCTGGTCTCACGATCCTAATCATACAGCTGTGAGGTCCCCAGATCAGCTCCAGCAACAAATTAACAAGCTCCCTCTAGAGGAGACAATTTCTATTTGTATCCATCTTTTAAAAGCAGGACCAACAAGGAAAAATTACTTTCACTTTTCAAATACTTTGTTTCTTTTGATTGCAAGAAGCAACATTGGAATCAATATATTTCTCTCTCTCTTTTTTTTTTTTTTTTTACTATCTGTCAAAAGACGTTCCGTTCACAGTCGATGAACTTTCCCCATAAATTTCTGTCTCTGACACCCCATTCCCAGGTTTGAGACGGTGGAAAAATTTTCTTTCTTTACTCTCTCTCCTGCAGGCTTAAACAGTCAAAAATCCCCCTCTTTTCTCCTGCTTCCAAGAGGGGTTTTGGTGGTAATGAATGAAGGAAATTTAGAACTTTATGTACGTCTTTCCAGACTTTAGCTTACAAAGTTTTTGCTTCCATCTATTTACAAAAAACGGGAGGCGGACTTCCTGTTTAGAACCTTCCCGTTTCGGTGCCAAATTAAAATATTTCTTAGTACTTAATCCAATTTTCCGTTCTACTCACGGGTACTTGTTTAGAGTCCAATTGTCCACAGGAAAAGGTCAGCGCTCTCCGGCAACGGCTGTGCGGCTTCACTCCGTAAAAGTAGCGGTTGATTCAAAACACCGCGCCACTCACCCCACGTCGCTTCGGACCCCCGAAAAAGGGTTTCCCTGCGAGTAGGGGAGGCGCTCCTAGTGTCAGCCGAATCCCACGTTCCCAGGCTTCCTCTGCCTGGGATTTTTAAAGGGTCTCCGCCTTTGCCGCGGCGGCAAGACCCGATTTTCACGGAGCGGGTTCCTCTCTGTCAGAGGAACTCTGCCATTGCCGATGGCGCTGTCCCAGAAGAGGCTCAGTGGTTTAGACCACAGCACCACCTGCGTCCCCAACCAGAAAGTAGCACTAGGGGACTAAGCACAGCCTGCCGGATCAGGCCAAGGGACATTTGGTCCGGCATCCTGTTCTCACAGTGGGCAACCAAATGCCCATTAAGGGAAGCCTGCAAGTTGAACATCAGCACAGGAACATTCTCCCCTCCTACGGTTTCCATGCTCTCCCGACCATAGCTGTCAATTTTCCCCTTTTCTTGCGAGGAATCCTATTCAGAATAAGGGAATTTCCCTTTAAAAAAGGGAAACGTTGACAACTATGCTCCCGACTGAGCTACTCTCACCCACAAGGAACCTGAAAGCAAGCGTCTGGAACTGAACTTGGACTCAGCCCCCAAGTCTCATTGACCCGGCAAGACTCCAGCTCCTTCGTTAAAAGCTGCAGTGCTAATTCCCAGCTCAGTGGCCGCAGCAAAGACTCAGCTCCACACACAAGGGAAACGAATCACCCTGGAATGCCACGGGCCCTGATTTTCCTTGGCACCTTTTAAAGTGCCCCTTTGGCAAAAGGAAGCCCACAGACCGCCATTCGGCTCACAGGAGTCGACCCTAATAGCACAAGAGACACACAGAGAGAGGGGAGTCCAGGGCTAGGAATTAGCAGGGAAGGGATGGAGAGCAAGAACTCCCTGCCTTTTTCTAACAGCAAAAGTGTCAAGTTATTTCTGGACTTTCTTCCCATCTGCTACAGACGCTACAGTCGTGAAGGCCGCTCCCTGCAAGGCCCTTTCCTCCTGGCCTAGGGGGCGAGACCCACACTCACCAGCTCTACTAAAGAGGCTCCAGGGAGACCAGAGGGACATTGCTACGCCTGGCAACAAATCCTAATTATTGGATTATTCTGCCTCATCTTTTTGTGCCTGCCAAACAGCCGTGCCATGCTTGTAATATTTTATTCTCTTGTTAATTATGCTGTTTTAAATGTGCATTTTATATTTGACTTCACTTGGCAATGTTAGCTTTGTTTGTGTTAAATATGTATTCTGTAGCTGACCTCCTTTGTAATGTTTTATTTTGAAATCTTTGAGATGGTATTTTGGTTTCCTGTTAATTGTGTTGCTTTGACTGTGTGCTTTATAGTTGACTTTCTTCAGAAACATTTGATTCTGCATTGTTTCATTGATGTTTAGTAAGCTGTAAACCGCTTTGAGATTTTTCTTAAAAATATAAAGTGGTATAGAAATGAAATAATAATAATTAATAATAAAGATGCAAATGAGAGCATTTTGCAGCAGGCATGATGCATGTTTCAAAGCACTTCTCTCAAAAACCTTCCATTTCCACGGCTCTTTGAATGTGTGTCCCCCCCCTTGTAGCCTTGCCCCATTGTTGTTGCTTTAATCTGAAAGCAGCTGAGCCCCCCACAGCCCCCACACTTTTTAAAAGTGAAGTGTGTCAACAGAAACAGCACACCATGCTGATTTATTTGGGACCTTTGCAGGAGAATTGCCTCCTTTCCCTCCCACTGGGCCGCAATGCCTGCTGGCTCCCTGCTGATTCCGTTTACTGGGTCCCCAGACGATGACCAATTTAAGAGCCTTCTTGGAGCTTCATCAAATGCAGGTTTTCTGAAGGACACTTGAGAAGCAGATCGTCTTCCATCTTTCCCCCGCTGCCGTGACCTCAGGCACATCCTAGCAGGAATCTGTCTTTCAGTGGCCCCTGCACCCCCAACTAGGCTTCCTCACCAAAAACTGCCCCACTGTGACTGATGGGGGGGGTGAGACCTGACCTTTGACTTTAACCAGCAGCCCGGGAAGGTGACTTCCATGCCCCCCCCCTCCACACAACAAAGTGCCATCACTCCCTCTTTGCTGCTGAGGATTTATTCCTGCTATTTTTGAGCATATTGTATAACTGATCTTCTTCTAAGCTTTTTAGATTTAATTTCAGACTTGGCAGGGGAGCTGGGCAGACGCACTGCCTTTTCCCAGTCCCAAATACACCGGAATTTGGAAGGAGTCGGTACTCCCCACCCTGGCAGGACTTCGTGCCCTGCGTCCCCCTCCCCTCCCAACAGCCACCACTGCTCCCCTTGGCCCATGGTTGCAAGAGGGGGGGAGGAGTGAGGTCCAGGGGGGCTGCAGCTCTTCCTCTGCTTACTTCCAGCACCTGCTTCTGGCTATGGCAGTGAAAGCATCTTTGCAAAACAGACACAGATGGAGCGTGCAGGGCTGTTTTGGCACAAACAACAGGCACAGGCAAAACCAAGCCCTTTCCCCACCAGGAGCCCACACACCCAGGGAGAAGCTGCGCAGTCGATGCGCTGAGCTGCAGGCCTCCCTCAAAGGTCTCCTCTGAGTCAAGTTTAGACAGATGCATGGAGGAGAGGGCTATCGAGGGCGACTGAGGCAGGGATGCTTCTGAATGCCTGTTGCTAGAAGCCACGGGAGGGGAGAGTCGCTCCTGTGTTCGAATCCTGCTTGCTGGTTTTCCACAGGCACCTGGTTAGCCACTGTGAGAACAGGATGCCGGACTAGAGGGGCCATGGGCCTGATCCAGCAGGCACTTCTTACAAGTGCATTTATGACCAACACTCCAGACTTCGGCAGGAAAAGCTCGTAGCAACTCTGAGACTGACGGTGGCTTTTAGAGTTTCAGAAATTTAAGTGGCTCAGATAAAGAGACTACCTGAGAGTCGCTGCTCAGAGTAAGCTCAAGCATCTGCAGGAGGCCCTGGGTCCCAATCCTTATGTTATAAGAACTGTAAGGTCCCAAACATAAAATAAACGTTCATAAATGTACAAGGCAAACACATACATAAGTATATAAACCATGTATCTGAAATAGTACAGGAGAGTAATCCTGAAGCCATCTTTCAGTGACCTCAAATGTTCCTCTGCAGTAAGGGAGGCAACTCCCATCTTAAGAGCATATGTGTGTATGGATATGGTGAACCTGTGACCTGGATTCAGGAATTAAAATATTGACCATCACAAAAGAATGGCCAGGCTGCCCAGGTAAAGCAATCAGTGACCATTAACAGATATTCTGGCAAACAGGATTTCTGCTGCAGATGCCCCCTTCTGTGATGTATGAATGATGTTTTGAGGGGTGGTCTTGGGCTACAAGGTGGGCAATTTCAAAAGTCTCTATAAGGGCTTGCGCACCATTGTTCTGGGTTCCTCCTCCCTCCTGCGTGGGGTGAGTGAGGACCCTGTTGCAACAGTTTAATAAAGATCAGGCTTACTGATTGCTTTTCTTCTCCATATTATCCCTACCGATAGTGAACCCTCTTAAGGACTCTATACGGGCTCTTGGATACCCCAGAAGGGAAAAGGAGCAGGTTTTTTCTGTAACACGTAGTACCCTGGGTAGCAGCAACAGGTGCTGGAAGAGGCCCTCCCCCCCCCCCCGCTGGAGACCCCAGAGAGCTGTTGCTCCTCTGAGGAGACAAGGCTGGACCAAGGGTTCTTCTCAGACCCCCCAGCCTTACAAGCTGCCTTGGGAGAGCCGTCTTCTAGCTACGCAAGCCGTCCCCCTGCAGCCCAGTTCCCTGGGGGATGCTGGAGGGAGCTAGGGAGCTTTGCCCTGCTCAGGAAGTGGAGCAATTATTCCCTCCCTGATGGCTGATGAATCAAAGCATTAACGCTGCTTATCTCGACTACAGGACAAGGTTTCCCCAGACACACACAGCTGATTATAAGAGAGCCACAGTTTAACACAGAGCTCAGCGCTCCATGAAGCGAAAGCCGAGATGCCTGAGTCTGCAGGGAGAGGCTTCAACCCCTCAAGCTGAGCAACTTCCAGACCTCAGAGACGCTGCGCAGCTGCCCGCAAGCTCAGCCCCGGTTGCTCCTTTGCTGGAAGGCTTGCACAGCCCAGGGGAAGGATCCTGGCAGCTCAGTGGCAGAGCAAGTGCCTTGCAGTCAGAAGGTCCCAGGTCCATCTCCAGGTGGGGCTGGGAGGGACTCCTGCCAGAATCCCTAGAGAGCAGCTGCCGGTCAGTGCAGACAGTGCAGAGCTATGTGGGCCAATGGTCTGGCTTCATAAGGCAGCTTCATATGTTCCATATAAAAAGGGGGTGCACGCACCCATGGAATGCCCTGGTGAAGTTGTGGGGTGCTTTGAAGGAGCTGGGGGGAGATCAAATCAAGAGCTTTGCTTGAGATGCAAAGAGCAGCTGGCGGGGGTGTCCATTACTGTCTCAACCATGGCAGGCTTAAACTCTCCCACCTTCCCACTCCCACCCCCCTCCCAAGCTGCCCAGGCTGCTATTTAACTTCTTTTTCAAAAAACTACCATGCTGGTTTATTTCACCCACACAACTAGTTTGGCACTGATGTAACTTGCAGGTTTTGGGGAATGTTTCTCGTGTAGAATCAGAAACAAAGTTGGGACTCCAGGACTTAATTGCCCAGCATGTTTTAAAGGTGGGGGGACCCTCAGAGACACTTCTAAGTGAGCAGGTGAACTGCGCCATGCTTTGTTGGAGACAGGAGGGCATCCGCAGCTGGTTTGCGGGGGAGCCACGAAGCAGGGGTGTCCCAGGGGACCAGGAGAGCCTCCGGCTGCTCCATCCGTGGCTCGCAGCAAAGACGGGGGCACGGCCCCCGGCAGGACTCAACGTGGAGGGGGACAAGCCCATGAGGAGGCAGAGGGCTCATCCATACTGCCATCTCATATGGACAGGAAACTCCCCGGACCTCCGTTGATTCTTTGCTGTCCATATTGCCGTCTTTCGGCTCCTTCAACCTGGGTTTTCTCATACCAGGGATATTCTGAGGCTACCAGAAAATCCGGGCCGCGGCAGAGGAAAGTGTGCGAAGGCAGGGATTTGGAGGAGAGCAGCCTGGGAGCCAGCGGAGAATACATGGAGGCCCGGGATGCCTCTTCCGGGTCGGGATGAGCCCGGAGCCTCGAAGCACACTGCCCTCGACCAAGAGCGCTGGAACGACCCTCCTGCGCGGCGCAAGGATGAGGGAACCAAGGAAGGGGAAGGGGCGGAAGAGAACCCGCCGCCCGCGAGGGGGGCATTGGACTGGGCTCCTCGGGAGCCCCCATCCCTGCGCTGTGCTTGAGGCCGGACCCCCTCCTCCGGGTTGGCCGGAGCGGGCAGAGGCCGCCTTGCCTGCTGCCTGCGACGCTGCCCGTGCCAACGCGCCATCCGCCGTCGCCACAGCAACGCCAGCAGATGCTGCAAGGCCGGGCAGACTTACCTGCGCGTAAGCGCCACTCAGCTACGGTGGGATTACTTCCGAGGAGGCCTCTGCTGCAGCAGCCCAAGCCTCCCTCCGAGTCCCAGGCAGACGGGCAGGGGGACAGGCGCCCTCCCGCCCGGCCAGAAGTCCAACAGAGCCGGGCCCTGGAGCGCCCCACCACCACCGCGAACAGCGTCCCCTGCCGGCGGGGCACGAAGCCTCTCGGGCGGCGGATGAGCCCGGGGCCTTGGGGAGGTTGCTGCGCGCGGTGCCGTTGTCCCGCCGCAGGCTTCTCCGCCCCGCAGGTACTCACCGGGCGTGTTGATGTTCTCCTCGCACGAGTACCAGATGCCGGCGTGGAAGTACCTGAAGAGGAAGCGGTCGTCGCCCGTCTCCCAGCTGTAGTGCACCACGTTGGAGGCGGGCGGCGAGGAGCCGTTGCGCGCCGTCTCGTTGGCGGCGGCTTCGTAGCCGTAGTCGAGGCAGTTGGTGCGCTTGTGGGGCCCGCAGGTGGGCTTGGGCACCCGCTGCGTCCCTTCGCACCAGTGCGTCGTACCGAAGGCCGTGGCCGAGAAAAGCAGCGCCAGCAGGTTGAGCCCCACGGCCAGCAGCGCCCGCGCCCGACGGCCCCCGACGGCCCCGCCGCGCCCCGACGGGGCCCCGCTCCCGCCCGCCGCCGCCGCTGCCTTCATGCTCGCCCGCGCCACGCACCAGGCAGGCGGCGCCGGCGGCGGAGGAGGCCTGCCATGGCTAGGAGGGGCGCGCGCCTCGGGCTCAGCCGGCGCGCCACTGGCCAGCCAACGCCGCCGCCGCCGCCGCCAGGGCCAGGGAGGCCGGCCCGCCCGGCGAGAGGGAGCCGCCCCGGAGGGAGGGCCTGGCGCCGCCTCTCCCGCGCCGGGGGCGGCCCCTCCATCGCCAGCAAGGGAGGGGAGGAGCGGGCTCCGCGGGGAAGAGAGGCCGGAGAGGAGGCGGCGGGAGGGGGCGCACGGGAGGCGGCGGCTAGGAATCGCGGGGCGGCGCGCGGTTCACTTAGGGAACTCACTGCCGCAGGAGTGGCCAGCAATTTGAGCGGCTTTAGAAGAGGATGGCGTGGGACCAAGTCATGGAGGAGGAAAGGGCGATTGATGGCTAATAGCAGTATGGCTGGGCTCTACCTTCATGGCTGGAGACAGCAATGCTTATGAATGCCGGTCACTAGAATCGGCTAGTATCCCCCATCTTTTGTTCGTGCAGCTGGTTCTTCCTGCCTAAGTGCTGGACCTGACATTTGTCCCTACGGACAGTGGCGTAGCGTGGGGGGTGCAGGGGGGGCCGGCCGCACCGGGCGCAACATCTGGGGGTTAGGGTTAGGGGGCGCAAATCCACGGGTTAGGGGGCGCAAATTACTTGCCTTGCCCCGGGTGCTGGCAACCCACGCTACGCCACTGCCTATGGAAACTCATTTGTGTTCGTCGGGGCCCAGTTCTCCAGTCTGTGAAGGTCGGTCTTCCCGCAGCATTAGGTACCCCTCCCAGTTTGGTGTCATCTGCACATTTGCACCCTCTCAATTCCTTCGTCCAAATCATTTATAGAGATGCTGAACAACAAGGGGCCCCGACAGAACCCTACGCCCGCCCCCCCTTCTCACTTTCCCCCAGGATGATTAGGATCCATTCGGGAGCAGTCTTTGGATTCCAGCTACAAATAAATACACCTAACAATTACCTCATCCAGCCCACATTATATTACTTGTTAACAACAAGTGTTTTGTTTTTTTTTAAAGTATGCATTTTTACAGTATTAGGAGATATAATGTATAGCAACTTATAGCATCATAATTTTAAAGCTGGTATCACTGGATCAAGTTAACCAATTTTATTGAATGAATTCAATTGTTTTAATTGGGTCTCAAATGAATGTGCAATTAATTGTTGCTGTTTTGAATTTTATTTCATTGTGTATTATTTCATTGCGTCCTATTTTCCTTATTAGGTCGTACAAACCGCCGTTCTGAGTCATGCTTTTTATAGGGTTTGGTATGGGGCGCTGGGGGGGAGTTTATGGAACCGAGCAGGGGTGGCCTGAAATAAAACCGGGGTCCCGTGGGGCAGGGCCACAGCAAAAGGGAAACTGAGGCATCTCTCTCATAGGCAGCTTGACCTCCTGCCTCTCCCTTCCACAGCCGAGTGACTCCTTTGCAGCAAGACCCCCCCACGCCGATGCTCCGGAGGGAGGCCGAAGGGGGCGCTGCTGCGCAACTGGGAGCCGTTGAGAAAACCCTCAGCAGGGGAGCCACTGGCTCGTGCGTCTCCTTGGGGGTGGCATTTGGGGGCTGCAGGGGCGGGTGCCTGGGAAAGAGAGGAGGGGGCGATGGAGAAGCCCGATTGACGGGCTAAGAGCCTCAGTGGCGCCCTCTGGAGGCTCCGGGCAAAATTCCTGGCTAAGCGCCCTTCGTTTCACCGCTGCAGGCAGAAGCTTCGAGGCGGCCCCTGCCAGCTCAATGGGCCCCTCTTCTCCGTATTGGGCAGTCCTTTGCCACCAGCGCTGGGCAGCCAGGCTCCTGCCCGGGGATGGGGGGTGGGCTTGCAACGGGTTGAGGGCAGGGAAGGGTTGGGAGAAAACCCAGATGGCAAAGTGACCACTTTGGGCAGCAGATCCAGACTCCGTGGGCTTCACCCCCCCCACTGCTGTTGCCATGGTGGCAGCAATTACAGTGGCACAGCTTCGTGGAGGCCGGATCCTGCACCGCCCCTGCATCACACGCCCCGCGTCGCCTCTACAGCTGTCTCTCGAAGAAGAGTGTTGATGGATTTAAGATGCGTAGGAGCGTATATTTTATTCATTAATTATCCTTCTCTTTCCCCCCCTCCCGTTGTGTGAGAAGGCAGATGCCTTTTTCAGCGGAATCATATCGCCACCCGCCTGCAGCTCATCTGGAGACGCTTTTAGGACTAGGTAGAATAACCTTCCAGAACAATAATGATATCCAAAGGTGCTCAGGCAGACTCGGGTCACTTTTCTCCTTTATATGTTTCCCTCTTAACAAATAAATCATGCAAAGGGGTTGAGGTGTTTTAATTAGTGTTCATGTGTGAAGACTGTGTGTCAGACTTTGAGAATTTAACCAAAATCCGTGTGTATTGGAATGTGTGTACCTTCTTTCTGAGCATCAGCAATTAGCATGCGAAGAGTTAATTAAGCCTATGTAAATATCCTACTTGTGTGTATCAGCCTCTAATCTAGTCAACCAACAAGTGTTGATGAAGTCAGGGGAACTCCTTTGTTAGGTGACACCGGGGGGGGGGGGTGCTAATTATTAGTACTCGAAAGAACTAGCCGTGAGGATGCAGCCGAATACAGGAGGCTCACATTTAGGGGATGTGCCTTGGACTCGCCGGCTGCACTGCTGCTGCGAGGAAAAAACCCCGCTTGAGGTGACCGCGCTGCAAGATCTGGACCCCCTCCATGCAGACTGAAAGTGTGAATAAGTGGATAGACCGCTTATCTTAAAGCTGCGACGGTCTCCACCTCGCACCATTTCCCCAAAGGAGCGCAAGCCCTGGACCCCCCTGGACACTTGCCCCCGCTCGGCAGAGAGAAGAAGAGGCCCCCGGCCTTTGCAACAATATTGGCACACAGCTGACGCCAGGAAGGTGACTCATTCCTCTTCTGCGGCCCCCCCGACCGCCCACCTCAACCCAAGCCTTTGCTGCTTGCTTGCACCCTCACGAGGCAATATTTATTGCTTCTTTTTGGTGCTAGAGGAGTTCTGCAAAATAAAGGAACGCGGCAATCACAATTACTACTAAGTTTGGGCCGATTGGAGCAAAATGGATGCTATAGGCGCCCCCGCGCAAAACACCTCCCTCGATGGGTCTCCAGGCCCTGCCAGAGAGAGGAGTCTGGCCGGGGCAGCCTTGGAAGAGGCCCCCGGCTAAAGAAGGGGTCCCGCCTCTGCTCCCACAGCCAGATTCCTCTCCTGGGAAAAAGGATCCGCTTGCAGGACCTGGAAGCCAGAGCGATGCCCTACCCAGGGGGGCTCCGCAGCAACTGCTCTTCAGAGGCGCCCTGCCCCGGACACCTGCATGCCAGGGGGTTGGACTAGATGACCCTTGGGGTCTCTTTATGGTTCTATGACACCCGAGGCTGGACACAGCTGCTGCTGCTGCTAGCGGCTTTGGATAGTCTTCTTAGCCTCCGTGAAGGTGTCTACTCTTTCAACGCCCCTCCCCGTGTCCGCTGCTACCTCTGGTGGAAAATGCGTGGAAAATGCCGCGGCTCCCTTAGGTAGGAGGCCGCACTACATGGAGCGAGGGGGGCGTCACAGCCAAGGTAGAGATAGCAGAGGCCTAACCCCCCCCCCGCCTCCTGGAGTTGGGGTAGATGTTAGCACCCTGTGTGCCTGCTTATCTGCTCTTCTGACCGCCCGACCCGCCCTGGGCGCGGCTCCTTCTCCTGGCTGCTGTGAGCAGATAGGGTGGGGGAAGGAGAGAGGGCGCCCCCCCCCCGCCATGCGCCCTTCCCCAATGCTCTGGTGGTTTCTCGGGATCTCAGGAACTCATGGTGGTTTCAGAGCCCGAGTCGCCCCCTCCCAGGCAGGGTTCCTGCTTGCGGGCCTCTTCCCGCGCCCTCTCAGTGCGGGTGTGGAGGGGACCCCTGGCACTGCCCCCCCGGCCTTGGCTGTGGGGAGGGGGCTGCCCCTGCCCTCGAGCGCAGGATCCTAGGAAGCTGCCTTCTATTGCATCCAACCCGGGCCGTATTGCCTACACGGGCTGGCAGCTGTGGCTCGCGGGGCTTTCGGGCTGGACGGAGCCGGGCGGGGGCCCTTCTGCGAGCAAAACCCCACGCCGAGACCGGCCCTTCCGAACAGTTCGTCTGCTTCATCCCAGTCAGTCCAGCCAGGGGCGCAAAGGCCTGGGGAGCCCCACCCCACAAGTCCCCCGAAGGGAACTGGAAGGAAGACCCCCAAGGAGACGGAGCCCTTCTGGGGCTGACTCTGCGCCCCCGTCGGGCAAAGGCCACGCGTGCCCGCGGCTCTTTCAGGGCCCCCACCTAGCAGGCGACTCGACCAAGTGCCCCGGGTTCAAGGAGCGCCAAGGTAGGGACTATCCCGCGGGACGGGGTCTCCCTCGCCAGAGCCGTCCAGGCCCCCGGAGTCCCCCTCTCCCTTCTTCCCGCCCGCCCCCAGGTCAGCCCAAGAAGACGCGAGAGATCAGGGAGAGTCAAGAGCAGGTTTATTGTGGGGTTTGGGCGTCGCGGGGCGGCGTCGAGGCGGCTCCTCTGCGGCGGGCCTGGGCTTCGTGGGGCCTAGCGGTACTTGCTGGTCAGCACGACGCCGACGTGGCCCAGGAACTTGTCCATGGAGAGGAGGGTGCTGGCCTTGAGGAGCCCCGGGTGGTGGGCGGCGATGGACACCAGGAAGCAGTGGCTCAGCAGCTGCGGGAGAGGCGGAGGGGGAGCGTTAGACGGGGCCCCGGACGGAGCGAAGCAGGGATCCCGCCCGCCCCGGAGCCCCGACCGGGAGCGAGAGAGACTCACCGGGAAGTTGACGGGGTCCACGCGCATCTTCTGGGCGTGCAGGGTGCTGAGCTTGTCGAGGGCGCCGGCGATGTTGTCGATGTGCGCCACGGCCTCGCCGATGGCCGCCGCGACCTTCTTGCCGTGCGCCTTGATATCGGCGGAGCCGGGGTTCAAGCCGAAGTGCGCGAAGTAGGTCTTAGTGGTGCGGTGCGCCGCGAACATCCTGCGGGAAGAGGAGGCGGAGAGGAGCAGGAAGACGAGGGTCCGGCTCCCGCCCGGCCCGCGGGCTCGTCCCCGGGAGAGGGTCCCTGCCCGACGGGGCGGACTTACCTGGTGAGGGCATCGGCGCCAATGTCCCCGGCGTGGGGCTGGACCACGCTCCAAACGTGCTTCACGTGGCTCTTGTCGTCGGCGGTCAACACCATCTTGGCAGCTCAAAGTCTCGGGTGCCGTCGGAGCGCGCGCGGCCTTTTTATTGAGGGCGCCCCGCCCCGCCTGGGGCCTCTCCCTCGGCCTCCGCCCGTTGGCCCTGCGGCTTCTCCCCGCGTTATCGCTTCTTACGGCTAGTGCTAGGATGCGGGGGGGGAGCGCACGAACAGCCTCCCCGCAATTCCCGCTGCCTTCCCCCAGACAGGCCTTGCCGGGTATCTACGTCGGGCTCTCCCTGGCGATGACATGCCTCCTTTGCTAGTCCCGACACCCCCTTTGCGACCATTGTTCTTTCCCTAGAACCGCGCGTGGCGGAGGCGCACGAGGAAAGGGGAGGGACGGTGCCTTCCAGAAAGCCAGGATGAGGTCCTCGTCCGCCCCCGCGGGGCTCCGGCCCGAACCAAACCAAGTCAGCCAACCAGCCGGCGGCGGGGGCGGCAGAGAAGGGTAGCAGTCAGTCCAGCTGAATGCGGACATTTTGTCCTTGGCCTCCCCGCCAGGTAGCTCTCCGAGGACTCCCGAGTAAACATAGGAAAGGCATTGGAAAATAAAACTGTGGCTATATCATCATAATGTCACTCCACAAACCTGTGGGACGACCACACTGGGAATACTGCAGACCAGGGGTTCCCAACTGGTGGTCCACGTCACCCACCCAGACGGTCCCTGACGCATACCTATCAACTGTCTGGGACATCCCTTTGTGTGTGTGTGGGGGGGTCACTCTCACTTTGTTGGAAGTTTGGCAAGATGGGTATTAAACAGATGTCCTTCGTTGTGCAATATTTGGTATCCGGCACAGCAAAGTACTAGGACCAGATTTATTCGGGTGGGTCTCAAGGAACACAAACAGCAGCACAGCAACCAACACGAAGCCTCTAACATATTTGGCTAAATAATCTTTAAATTTCTTCCATTCCTCTTGGTAGTTCTCCTCCTTCTGGTCGCGGACTCTTCCGGTCAGGTCGGCTAGCTCCCAAAAGTCCATCATCTTCATAGAATCATAGAATCATGGAGTTGGAAGAGACCACAAGGGCCATCGAGTCCAACCCCCTGCCAAGCAGGAAACACCATCAGAGCACTCCTGACATATGGTTGTCAAGCCTCTGCTTGAAGACCTCCAAAGAAGGAGACTCCACCACATTCCTTGGCAGCAAATTCCACTGTCGAACAGCTCTTACTGTCTGGAAGTTCTTCCTAATGTTTAGATGGAATCTTCTTTCTTGTAGTTTGGATCCATTGCTCCGTGTCCGCTTCTCTGGAGCAGCAGAAAACAACCTTTCTCCCTCCTCTATGTGACATCCTTTTATATATTTGAACATGGCTATCATATCACCCCTTAACCTCCTCTTCTCCAGGCTAAACATGCCCAGCTCCCTTAGCCGTTCCTCATAAGGCATCGTTTCCAGGCCTTTGACCATTTTGGTTGCCCTCCTCTGGACACGTTCCAGTTTGTCAATGTCCTTCTTGAACTGTGGTGCCCAGAACTGGATACAGTACTCCAGGTGAGGTCTGACCAGAGCATCTGCCATTCCTCCACTGTTGGTACTTCTTGTGATTTCCAATTTTTGGCCAATAAAATTCTGGTTGCAGTTGTGGCATACAAAAACAATCTGACTTATTTCTTGGGCAATTCCAAACCTATTATTCCAAGTAGAAAGGCTTCTGGTTTCTTAATAAATGTATATTTCAATTTAAATAAAATTACTTGCAAATATAAGATAGGCCTAGGATTTAAATATGTGATGTTGTAGAATAATATGTTTAAAGTTTAAATGAAAAGAAAGATAGATGCTAATTTGACTAAGTAAATTTTATGTGAAAATAGTTTTCGAAAACTGCTACAATGATTTATATGGAAACTCAGCCAGAGGGATTTGAGGAAGTCACCTAACAAGGTTAACAAAAGTGGAATTATTACAGTTAAGATAAATGTTTCTTTGTTTGTATGTTTGTGTTTGATGTTCTTTTTCTATTTGTTTGTTATAAATTTGGGAAATTAATAAAAAAATTGGAAAAAACAAAAACAAAACGCGAAGCCTCTAATCATTCCAGTTTTATACTTGAAATAAAAAGCTGGTTTAAGGAAGGGGGGGCGGGGTTTCCCGGAAATAATCTACGGAGCAAGGCGGGCAAGGAAGAGCTCAAATGGAGAGTCACCACGTGCTGAGGAGTGGAGGTCTCAAGACTTTCCTGGAAGTTGAGGCCTTTGCCGCGGACTTAAACCAACGTGCGTCCCCCACGCCCTTCACCAACACAGTAGCGGTTATGACAAGCGTCCAGGTTGGGTTGCATGCACGTACATTCCTATCCACACGCTCACTCCTTCCGTGCATGCTTATGGGCGGCACAGTGGGTGCAAAAACGTCGGTGAGAATGCAGAACGGTGAGTGGCAGCAGAATTCCTGGGTTAAACTAACGCAGCATTTAAAAGAAGGGGGGGCCCTTGCAGGACATTTCTCCCCTTCTCCAAGGAAGGGTTATCCAAGGTGCTTGGCCGTGGGAGCCGGGCTGAAGGCACCTGCGGAAGAGACTCGGGGGGCGGCGGCGGTAACTCGGGGTTGGCGCTGTGCGAAGCTTTACGGTATCAGTGGAGGGAAGCAGCGGGGGGGGGGGGCAGGGACGGGAACGTGCATCGTATTGGGGCGCTGTGCTCTTGCGGGGGACCACGACCCCCCAAAAACGGGACGTCCGGAACAGTTGTTCCACGGACCCTCTAGGTGGGTTACGCTGGGTCTGGGGACCCCCTGTTTACAGGAAATACGAGGGAGCGGTGACATGATAGAAGCCTATAAAATTACGCATGGCATGAAGAAAACGGATAGAGAATCGTCTATCTCTCTCTGTTATCACACTAATCTAGAACTTGTGGACACCAAACGAAGCTGAATGCAGCAAGATTCAGGACACAGAAAAGGAAGTCCTTCTTCACGCAGCACATGGAACTCTCTCCCACAAGAGACAGTGACGACCACCAACTTGGAAGGCTTTCAAAGAGGATTGGGTGGACTGTGACTGGCCCGGGTCACCCGGAGAGTTTCTAGGCTGACGGGGGCGGCGGGGTGTTTGGCAGAGGCATACCCAGGAGCCCCCGCAAGAGGCTACCCTCCGGGGAAGGCGCCCAAAGCCCATTGGAGAGAAACAGGCACCATTTGCCCGGCAGGCGCCCGCGTGCTCCAAGTGGCCTCGACGGTGGTCTGTGGGTCCACTTGGTTTGGCCGTCTGACGCATCTCCCTTTGAGCCTTAGCCGCCTCGAGCGGCAATCTGCTGGAAATGGAGGTATAAAAATGACCCATAAACGAATTCACCGACTTGGGGGTGAAGAGTGGGAGGGTGGGGGCTGAGTTCTACGCGCTCGAAAACAGGGAAAGAAACTGAGCCAGGCGCCAAGGCGCGTCCCCACCGGGCCTCTGCGCGTTGCTGGCCTTCAGCCAGCTATGGGTGCCCAAGCAAGGCCTCTCCTTGCGGCGCCCAGACGCAGCTGTGAAGGGCGGGACCTCTGCGCAGCGCCGATTAAAGGCTGCCTGCCTGCGCGCGTGGCGCCCAGGATACCCCACTGCCAAGATGGGGCTGACCGAGGAAGACAAGCAGCGCGTGCGGGCCATCTGGGTCCCCGTGAGCAGACACGCCGAAGCCGTGGGCGTCGAGGTGCTCAACAGGTAAGTCCTCCCCGCCGGCTCCGGGACCCTCCCCAGGTCTGCCGTCCGTGGGTGGAGGCTGGAACCCCGACGGCGAGGCCGCTGGCATGACCCTGTCCTCGTCCTACCCGCTCCCGCAGGCTGATGGCGGCGCACCCCACCACCAAGACCTACTTCCACCACCTCGACCTCTCGCCGGACTCGGCCCAGCTGAAGGCGCTGGGCAAGAAGGTGGTGGACGCGCTCAGCTGCGCCGTCGAGAACCTGGACGACCTGCCCGGCGCCCTCGGCCATCTCAGCGAGCTGCACGCCTTCGAGCTGCGGGTGTCGCCCAGCAGCTTCGAGGTGAGTCGCGCTCCCCGAGGCTGCCCCGGCCTCCCGCTGCCCTCCCCGTCGGGCGGCCCAGGGTCCTGCTCGCTCTCTCTAACGCTGGCGCTCTCCTCTCTCTCCCACAGTGCCTTAACCACTGCATCCTGGTGACCATCGGGGCCCACAGCCGCGGCTCCCTCGACCCGGCGCTCCTCCTTTCCGTGGACAAATTCCTGGGCAGCGTCGCCCACGTCCTGACCTCCTGCCACCGCTAGGCAGGGCAAGACGGGCTCGCCCGGGCTCCCTCCCCGTCTTCTCCTTACTAATAAAGCTTTGGGCTCTTTCAACTGCAGCGCTGCGCCCTCACCTCTCTCTGGGGGGAGGCGGGGGGGGGGGCTGGACGGACTTCGGAAGAGCTCTCGACGGCGCTCCCCTCGAGGTTGTCCGTAGGGAATGTCACATTGCCCCGGGACCGGATGGTGAAGACTGGGTAATAAACGAGTTTATTCACCATCAAGCCTTTTCGTACCTCGGGGAAGTGGAGGACCGGCAAGCCTGCGGCTTTCCCCTCTACACCCCTGTGCTGAGAAAGAGCAGCATAGAATCGCAGAATTGCAGGGCACTCCAAAGGTCATAAAGCCCAACCCGCTGCAATGCAGGAACTGCCGTGCAGGTGGCATGGGATTTTTGTTGGGTGGTAGGCCTTTTGTTAGGGGGGCAGAACCTACGTTAGCTATGCATTTATGTTGATTTCTATTGATTTAGGGGAGCTGCCCCTCTCTGCCCCCTCTCGGCTACGCCCATGAAAGGGAGGCTGCTCAAACCACCCCCATCCTAGGTGTTCTTTGCTTCCACTCAATGATGGGGAGGACAGCCCCCCAAAAAACATCCGCACGCCGAGAAGGGCGCAGGGAGAGGTCTCCGCGCAGGCAGGGGGGCGCCTCAGGCTCCAGTCCCCCGAGATCACGATGACCAGAGCAATGGGGAAAGGCACGTGGCAAGGGGGGGGGGCTGCCTCCTTCCCTATCTGCACCCAGCAGCAGGCAGGAGAAGGACCCCACCCAGGCAGCAACAGGCACAACCGCTCAGGGAGGGGCGGCAGGCCTGGTGGGGGGACGACACAGATAAGGAGGCCGACCCTGGGTGTCAGCTTCTTCTCCAGTTCCGGGGCCGGGGGGGGGGCTTTGTGCGAGGGTTGCAGGACCCCCCCCCCGCCCCAGGAAGCAGCAGCTCAAGGAGGATGATGGCCAGTTGTGGCCGAATGCTGATGCCGCCGACTTTCCAGTTGCCCCAAGAAGGTGCAGAGGCCAGTTTGGGCTTTGGCGCAAAGAGAGGAGAGGGGGCCCGCTCCTCTTTCCCCACCTCCATGGGGTGGGGGCAGGGGCGAGCACTCAAACCCCACCCCTTAAGGGAAAAGCAAGGGGGGCGGTAAACACGTTTGGTTTTTAAAGCATTTTATTCATTTTCAAGAAAAGAATATAAACACAAATATTATCAAAACAATTGGTTTCTCCCCACCCACCCCCAGAGCAGAAGACTATTATAGTGTCAAATTCTCCCATAAATCCATACACGTAGTTTGTGGGCGCCAGTCGTCCGAGAAGCTCAATTGAATGTTTTATTAAAAAAAAGGTGCCGTATTTCAACAAAACCATCCATATCCGAAGCATCGATTCAGGGCATGTATTCTCTTAGCTTCTCAGATAAAGCAGTTTATACATTCTGCTTCCACTGTGTGATCTATAGGTGAGCTTCCTTTTTTAGTCTCATGCTATAGGCAATCTTGCCACTACCAGAAAAAAGTGACAAGTTCCTTGTGTGATAATTTGAGTACAGTGGTACCTCGGGTTAAGTACTTAATTCGTTCCGGAGGTCTGTACTTAACCTGAAGCTGTTCTTAACCTGAAGCACCACTTTAGCTAATGGGGCCTCCTGCTGCTGCCGTGCCGCCGGAGCACGATTTCTGTTCTTATCCTGAAGCAAAGTTCTTAACCTGAAGCGTATGTAATATTTCTAGGTTAGCGGAGTGTGTAACCTGAAGTGTATGTAACCCGAGGTACCACTGTATATTTAAATATTATTAATAAACCTAGACACGGTTGCAACGTACATCCTGGTTTATAATTTTGCTTATTTCTGCCAATGCAGTTTCCCAAAATGGTTGCACCAATTCACATATTCATAGCTGTCAACTTTCAGGTTTGAAAATAAGGGATCAGCAGCCTCGAAAATAAGGGATCAGCAGCCTCGAAAATAAGGGATCAGCAGCCTCACCTGTCCCGGGGACAGTCTATGGGATATCTAACAATCCGGGATAGCAGCGGGAAGCAGCGGGAAATGGCGCTGGAATAAGGGAATTTCCCACAAAAAAAGAGAAGGTTGACAGCTATGCACATATCTATGACATATGGAACAATTTTCATGCCTAAGTCCTTTCCCCAATTTTGCTTAATAGTCAAGCATTGTTCAATGGCTAGGTCAGTGAGTATTTTGCATAAAACCGATATTATTCTTTGGGTGGGGGTGTTCAGTGATATTCAGAATCAGTTTTTCAAATTGTGTGAAAGGTCTAATTGCTTGAGATTCAGCTGTTGGACTTGAGATAGTACATATCACCGGATAGCCAATTCACATTACAACCCTCAATTCTTTCCATGATTTGCCGTGAGAAAAACATCATTTTTATAAAAGTGAATCAATCTGCACAAGCATTTTTCTTTCCATTTCATATCCATCAGTTTTCTATCAGACGTGTCAAAGGAGGGGTGCAACGCAAAGGAAATCCGTATAGGTGGTGCTGATTTTTATATCCAGGATTGCCAGATCTCTAATACTGCTTTTGCAAATGGGTTTGTTATCATTACAAAAGTTTTGTTGTTATTCAAAAATGGGATGCCTGATATTCTGTGTTGCTCAGGTTCATCTAATTTCAGTTGCATCCAAATCTTCTCTTTTACACTGAGTATCATACTGATGACATTCTCTATATGGGCCACATCATGGTATGGCAGACCCATTTACCCTTCTCTGAGAAAGTTGATATAATACAGTTAGGTGCAGACCAGGTGGTCTCTTGCTGTGATGACTCAAGCTTACAATCATTTTTTTGACCATATCCTTAGAGTATTTGTTGAAACAGATAGGGTTTGAAACAAATATAAATATATATTTGGTAATATTATTTTAACCAACCCAACCTACCCTTTCAAGAGATTCAAGGTCCCTTGTGTGGTTTAAGTTTCTTAATTACTTTAATTACATCTTCCAGCATTACCGGTGCTACCAAAGAGAGCTGGTTCTATTTCTGAGATTTCACTGTTTTAATTTATATGGAATTTAATACACCTGTGCAACAGAGCATCACATTTAAGAGTCCACAGGCATGGCATATGAACAGGGGGCAAGACAGCTCACACTCCCTGCCCCAACTTCAAACAGCTCAATACGTTAAGAATATTGAATTTTCTCTTGCAAAGATAAAAGCAATGCCAGTTTCAGCTTTCCTTCACTCCCCCCTTGCCATATTCTCCACTTAGCATATTATATGAGATATAGTTATAAAAATTAAAAGTCAAACCAGTCAGTTTGCAGAAGAATGATGTTTCTAATTTCTTTAAGAAACTCTTAGGTTTCTTATTTCTCTTTGACCTCCCTTGCCATCCATATTGCCTGTTTCTCTCCTCCACCTCTTCTGTGTATTGGAACTCCAATTGTTCCCAATGCTAGTTTGGCTTCAGCCAGAATGGTGACGATGGCTGGATCTAGAGATGTCAAAGAAGCGATTAAGTTAAATGCATTGTAAACTCATACAGGGAAATCAGGCAGGGAAAGACGGGACTCCACAGCGCCATCTGGTGTCACAGTCTTATATCGCATAGACACTTTTCCTTTAGCTGAGCCCTATCAGTATTGCTATCTGCAAAATAGGTTTAAATGGGAAGCCCTATCAGTATTTCACTCCAGCAGCATGTAGGGTAGTATTTTTTGAGGTTCCTTTTTTGTAGTGGACTTTCTTCCCTTCCATGATAAATTCTGTTCATTCTCTTGCTACTTTCTTAACTGCTTCTTTGAAGGAGGAATGTGCCATTTTCTTCATGTGCCTCCTCCACGTGAGGTCTGGAGGGCAGCAACGTGAGAACAGGGCCTTTTCTGCAGTGGTTCCCCGCTTGTGGAATGCTCTCCCCAGGAAGGTTCTCCTGGCGCTTTCATTATACACCTTTAGGCACCAGACAAAAACATTCCTCTTTAACCAAGCCTTTGCCCTTTTAAAATGTGTTGGGGGGGTGTTATTGGGTTGTTATTGGTTTTATTTTATGTATTTTGTGTTTTTATATTGCAATTTTATCCTGTGAATTGCCCTGAGACCTGCGGGTATAGGGCAATATACAAGTTTAATAAATAATAAAAAATTCTTGCTATTATATCACAGGGTTGCTGACTTGTGGGGGAGGGGGGTACCGAAGCCTCATGCATTCTCTGTATGCTGTTTGCATTCACGCTTAAAAGTTAACAAAAAGGGCTTTCATACCTGTTTTCCAGAGCTCCTTTCAGTCATAAATTATCCATTCTACTCCTATCCTCCCAGGACTCCATATGAAGTTGCAAGTCTGATGCAGTTTTAGTGAGTCTTTTAATGGTGGATTTATGGCATATTGCTAAATCCAAAGCTTCATCAGCTGAAGCAGGCATTCAGTAAATTTCTTAGGCAAGTCTTCCAATTCCATTTTGATTTCATCTCTAAAAACCTTTGAAGGCTGCATTCCTTTTTCCACTGCTAAATCTTTCTGCAATTGTTTTAGAAGGTCATAGAAGGGTTCAAAGTCCTCTTTAGAAAGACGCGCAACTTTCAGAGCCATTTCTGATCTCATTTCTTCCTCACCCATATCTGATCTTCCGCTGCCAAAGTATCTAAAGAAAAATTGCTTGGAAGCTATTTGGGGTGAGGTGGGCATAGCCTTTTAGCATCCTGTTCTTTCCTGGGTACCCTTTAGCTTTCAGAGGTTTGTAACAGCTGTGCAGTGCAGGCGAAGGGTTGAAACGAGAAGATTATTTAGCAATCTTGAATGATGACATCACCACCCTCCCCAGAAAAGAAAAATGGAATAGAACTGTCCAGAACTGCTCCTCTTTGAAATGGTGGGAAAGGCCACATGTTTGTGTTACTGTGAAAAGTGTGCCTGCATTTACACAAGTAGCAGCACTGTGCAATTCTAAGGGGAACACCTTCAGAAGCTGAAATTGGCTACAAGATACATTCACAGTGCCCAAGCAGAGCAGGCAAGGTTAGGGCAACTGACTGAAAAATTATCATTCCAACTTCTCCATCATATATATGACTTGCCCCCAAGCCATTTTGCTACCTTGAGTAGACAGATACATACCATCCTATGAGTCTGTCGCGAGAGCACTGCCAAATGATCACAAGTTCTTGGGAAACACATGCAGGTAAATCCAGCCCACTTATCCCTCGGAAGAACGAGCGTTTCCACAAAGTGGCACAAAGTGAATCGCGAAAATCGCTTCTCCAGATCTACCAAATTTAAGATGGCGCAAAGGAATCTCCAGTACAGGAAAACTGTTTAATATACAATTGATTACAGATCTGCAGTAACAAGTCATAGTGAATGTGTATATTTACCTTCTATATACATATAGTATTTCACACATACTTTTTTTTTTGTGTGTGTGTGTCTTTAGAGCCAGACGTATGCAGGCTATTTACAGTTAAGCTACTGTAGTGAAGGACGGCCTTTGGCACTCCCAGCAAGCAAAACTCTGTGAAGCCACTGCCTCCTCCTCCTCCTCCTCCTCGCCTGGTGTGGGGAGGGGCCTGCTCTTCCTTTCTGCAGGGAGGGCAAGACAATGTCAACCAGAGTAGTGGACGCAGAAAAGGAGGAGAAAGCTGGGTGGTTTTCTGCTCACACCTGCGCTCGCAAGTACAGAATTTGGGGCATTTCCCCATTGACACCAATACTGCATGGAGGCAATATTCCAGGAAAGCCCTTCTTCAAGGCAGACCAGGAGCTGATAGGCACCTGAAGGACAATACTGTGGTGTGTGTTTTTTCACAAAATGAAAGGAGTTTCAAGTTGCTTTCATCTTTTGCCTCTCCCAAGTTTCTCAGCACACCAGGCTAAAATGATGAAAAATAGGGGAGGCTCATTTGTGCATATCAAATACTGAAATAGTGTTGCATAGGCTGCCTAAAGGCCTACCCCCCCAGTAACTAGTAGTTTATTCAACACAAAGCCTCAGGGCCAGTAACAGCATTATCTCAAAACCAAATAAAAATATAAATACACATTAAAATACAACCGTACATGTCTAAAACAACCCTGTAGATACTGCTGGTGAAGAACACCAGGGTGAACCGTCTTGGATGGTTTGCAGAGGATTCTCGTTCTCCACCAGGAGGAGCTTTCTGAGAAGGGAAAGTCAGGCTCCAAAGGACCAGCCCCACAGAAGGCCTCTCTCTCCAGCCTCCCCACCGAGGGCTAAAGAAACAAAAGGGTTGCTTTGCGTCAGCCAGGAAGAGAGCGCCAGAGGTGGCCTTGGACCCCCAAAGCTGCTTCCAGCATTTCCTGCTGAGCCGGCACCTGACCCGGGCCCAGGACTTGCCCTGTCCTACTGACCGATTCTTTCCAGCGGCTCTTCGCAAGCATGCAAAGCCCAGGCCAGTTAAGAGTTTCTGAAGGGTATTGCCATCAAAATAAGGAGTTGGCTTTAAATCATCAGGTCCTGAGAAGTGAAGAGCCAGGCTCCCTCTCCACGGCAGCAACCGGAGGGTGGGAAGAGGGGAGCATGCAGCCTCCGTGGCCCTGGAAGGGGACCAAAGCCTTCAGCCCCTCAAGGAACGGGCACCCTGGACAGAGGCAGAGGGAGTCGTCCCGCGGAGACAAGGCCACAGGCCGGCCTCTCTGCTTGTTCAGGTGGAGTTCCCCTCCCCCATCTCCTTAAGGCTTTGGGCTTTTTATTACTTCTGTTTGTCCTCCTGACGTTGAGGCAACAACCTTAAAGCTGCTGCCCCAAAGGGATGCTTTGGAGCCCTTGGTTTACATTGCTGCTATATTTCCAGGAAGTCATGTTTGGCTATGGCTACTGCAGAAGCAGGACGCTGGCCCGGCCAGGCGGGAGAACGGCTGAAGTCAGAGAGAGGAAGGCAGGAGTGCAGCTGCGGTGCATAAACCAACCAGTATTTACACCCGAGAGACACTAGCCTTAGGCTAATTTCTAAGAGGAGAAGCTAATGCCTCGGAGACCCAGGAAGTGCCTAACAGAAACGCTTTCTGCTTTATGATGCTTCTCCCCAGGTAAGTGGGGGGACGGGGCATATTGCAGGTATAGGCATGAGGAGCGTGGGATGGGGGGAGGAGAGAACGGAGAAGAGGCAGTAAAGAGCTCTGTGGGACACTCTCAGCAGGACACCAAGAGCTCCTCCTTCCACCAACTGGACCTGAGTGGGAGTAAGTGCCCAGAATGCTGACTCTATGTGGGGCAGATGGAGGAGGAAGGGCTGGTGGCCACTGCCTTTCAGCTCACAGGAGGGGCAAGGAGAGGGTGGGGTTCCCAAGAGCGGCCAAAGTCACACCGGCGCATTTTCCTCCACCTTGCACACCCAGCCCTCGGATACCCCTCCAGCTCCTGTGGAAGAAAAAGGGAAGCCACCCATCTCATCATGTGGCTCTGCTAGGAAGCCAAATGGCAACAAGCCTCCAGTGACAAGTTAAAAGAGCCTTTGGAGAAGAAGCCAAGTGCATTGTTTCTATTTATACATAGTCAGCGTATGAGGCAAAGTAAGTTCTAAATAATTAAGTAGCTATTTAGTCCTTAAAAGGTGCTTTGTCTCATTGATTTCTGTAGGACTGAAGCAGGCCTCAATGAGTGCGGTTGAATAAAAAGCCTCATTTACTGCTTTCAGAGACCTTGGAGCACAGCAGGAGAACAGAACTTGCTCTCTTTGGGGCACTTCCTCGTGCATCCCAAAACTTTGTTGCCAAGGAGTTGGCAGCAGAAGACCTAGGCTTCTGCAGACCTCGCCTCCCCCTGCCTTCGCCCTCCGATATTTCCTTCTGCCACCCGACTTCCCAGCCCAACTCTAGCTAAAATATCTGTTTGTGGTGTGAGCCTTTCAGTGCCAAGTCAATTAGCATCATTAGTTCCAGAGCCCTGGAAATAAGGCTTCTGCTGAAAAAACCCAAAATGACATCCCTGGCTCATGTCCAGCCCGATCTTCAAAGGAACAACTGCCTCCTTTGCATGCCACTACTTACTCCCTCACCAGGCGTGTGTATTTACCGCTAGGTAAATCATCTTGCATTATTGCTACCAACGTAGCGCTCCAGTTTTATTGCTATAATTTTAGGCATGGTGTGACGAACCGGTGGCCCTCCAGCTGCTGCTGGGATTCCCATCCGCCCCAGCAACGAGCCTGGCCGATGCGCAGGGGTGATGGGAACTGGAGCCTTGCAACATCTGGAGGGCTCCTTCAGGTTCCTCACCCTGCATCCACCAAGACCTAAAGTACAGGCAACAAGCCTTCAGGGACCGTTCCACAGGCAAGCAGCAGAAGAGCTCCCTACTACCTCTGTGTAAGTATTTTGCCTGGCAAATAAAATGCTTTTGGGGAGGTATGTGAAAAAGCAACGATATGCAAAGTGCTTTGCAGGCAACGTCCCATTGCAGGAAACCCTGTTGTTGAGAGCAGCCCATGAATTCACACAAAGAGCAGCTGAGACGCTGCTATTTCAGCATCCAGGATGAAGCAGACACCAATCAGAGCCTTTAAAATTCAAGCTGAACATACCTTTCATGTGCCCGGCCAGAGAAAGAGCAAGCCAACCCCTGCCCTATGACTAAAGACATCACCTGCCTGGCAGAGAGCAAGATACATTTGCCAAGGGCCTGAAGCACCTACACAAATTTTAAAAAATGAAATAAAAGACTTCAACCATTTGAGCATTTTTTACACTGCAAAGAGCTCGTCTTAGGAACATTCCCCCAAGACGGGGTAATTGCAGTCTTTTTACAAAAGTAAATAGCCAAATTCCTTGTGGCTAGAAATCTGCAAGTTTCCAATAATTCTCACAACTGAGAGAAGCAGGTCACACATTAAGACAGTTGGCCCCAAAGCCTCTCATGCTCACAGGGCCAGATCCACCACAAGCCACCATCCTTGCTGGCTATTATCAGAGTCCTTAAACTTTCCTCTTCTGACTTTTAGCTCTTGTTGAACCCCAGCACTGTTCTGTATGCTGCAGATGGCCTGGAAACACCTTGGGACTAAATCAGCTCAGCCGTGGAGAAAACAGCAGTTCAGTTGAGAAACCAGAAGCTAGAATCCTGGCGATTACCTTCGAAAGTTTCTTTGATTTAACTGAGGCAAGAGAAGTTTACAAAATGATACTAATCTTCTGGAAAGCCAAACTCAGGGAACAGCCTCCTCCTACACATTTTATTCACAATTAAGTCCACTGCATACGCTGGAGTTACTACCTAGTAAATGTGCTTAGGATTGCAGCCACAGTGGAGGCTAGTACTGTACAGTACTTGGGGCTGAAGAAAGTAAGATTGTTTTTAACTACATTTTGAGAACCGTTCAGCATTGTCCTCCTAGAACCACCCTGCACTGGAAATTCACTACCCCTGTCTTGGTTCAGCCCCAAAGGCTTTTATCAAAAGATGCACATATTACAATGCTGCTCAGTGTGGGTGTCGGAATGTGAGACATACAGAAGAGAGAGTGGCCCACAGAAAAGTTATTCTATGTGCTATCAAGCAAAAGCCCGTTTATGATCATAAATTCCAGGGATGCTCTTAACAACTGAGCCAAAAGAAAGAGAGTGTGGCTTTAGTTTTAAAGAAGATTAGCATGTCAACAAAATAACAGAAGTGGCCAGCTGATGAGAATGGTCATAGTTGTCCATTTCACTCCAAAGGTCAGAACACAGGAGATGCTAGCTTTTTACTGGACCAATTTAGGTTGCAGGATAAGAAAGTGCAAGAGGAAGTATTCTATGAAACAACAAACTTTCTAACCCTAAAGTACTTTAACCCTTTTCACGTCTTCTAAACTTGCAAAAACGTAGAACAGCCCCTACTTTATTCTGCATGTGTATCTGCGGGGCAGATTTATGCTTGGCTACATCACCTTTAGGTGAATCACAAAATTTGGCTGCATTAAGAGTCAAACACGTTTGACTCTTCATTCAGTAATACAACAGGAGTGAAAATGCAAAAAAAAGATTGTCAATGGGAGTTCATTCTGACTGAATCCACACAATAAAGCGCCGAAGGCTTATCATCTCCCTACTCTTGTGCTTTTCAGCTCTGAACAGACTTCTCATTCCAACTCCCACAAAGGGCATACACAATAAGGGCAAAATATGTGCCCCAACCCTGCTAAGTCAGCCACGTCTGACAGCTTGAGTGCTGTTGGCACCAACTGTGCCTAAAGAAAGGCTGGACTGAGAACGCAGACACGCTTAATGGGCACCTGCCTTACAACTGGCACCACTGCTTACAATCCCTACTGTCCCCACAAATACAGAATTAAGGGGGAAGGGAGGAATAAAAAGGAAGGGAGAAAATCCCCTATCATTTATTATCTTTCTCTTAGGCCTGACCAGATTTAGAGAAAACAGTTTCATCCAAACGCTCAGAAGTCCCTCCTGGCAGAGGTCAGAAGCGAAACACCTGAGGCTGAGACTGGCACGCTTCTGCCGCTGGAGCACTGTGCAGCCAGCGCCAATCCCCACACGGCAGAGGCCTGTGGGGTGAATGGCAAGAGGCCACACATCCCAGAACACACAAGGGCACTTGAGTCTGATTATGGCAAACAGAGCAGCCCACGGATCACTTCAGGTAAGTGCTGGACTGCCAAGGCAAGCTCCCTGCTCCTCCTCCTCCTCCAGCTGCCCAGAGGGCAACTCTGCCAACTCCTCTCTCGCCTCACATCATCTTCCCTTAGTGGCTGTTTGTGTCAGTCAGCTAAACATGCATTTGTCTGTGTTTACATACAAAAGGCTTAACATAATAGGCAAAACAAAAACAAAATAGTAGTGCCAGTGAGAAACAATAAAAATGATATAACCACGGCTTATCCATCAAACATATGGTCAACTTTGTGCCTCTGTTCCTAGACAAGGAGTCCAGCAGAGTCTATCTGAAGGCACTTGATGTCTCATCTCAGCTGAAAGACTGTTCCAAGGGGACCTGGGGGGTGAGAGAGGCACAAAAGCCCTGGCACACCAGTGACCCCCTCGGATCCCGTTGCCAAAGTCAGATGACAGAGCCGTCCAGCCACTCCCTCTCCTGCCCCCTCCTCCAGGAGTACACAGCCCGCCGAGAGCACCTGCGCTCTTGTAGACAGAGCAGACCACTCCAGCGCATCATACGCTCCGCGAGTTATTCAGCTTAGTCAGCTCACTGGTCTCACCGGGACCTGCTTCTTTGCAGTCGTTTTTCTCAACAGACTTACCAAACCTACGCCCATCCTCTGGCTTCACTGTCTCTTTTGGGAGATTCTTGAAACAGGGGAGCCCACCCTTGAGCTCCAAATTATGGTCCGAGACGTGGGGCGTCTTGTCCAAATTCTGTACAGAAGGCACCAGGTTGGTGATCTCATCCGTCGGAGACCGCCCAATGCTGCCATCCACTTGAACACGGATGTCTGGAGATATAGATAACTGGTGGTGGGGGACAATACCGTTGTCCATGCACTTGGGGTACAGGAAGGTCTTCATCTGCCCTTTGCCCTTCACGTTCACCGTCCCCCTGTAATCAAAGTCATACCCCATTTTGTTCAGGATGCGGTAGCTCTCTTCGCTCACCTGGATGCGACACTCCACCCCCGTCGTGTCCATCCTGCTGGCGATGTTCACAGTGTCACCCCAAATGTCATACAGGAGCTTGGTGGTGCCAATGACCCCAGCAGTCAAGGGGCCGTGGTTGAAGCCAATCCGTAGTTTGAAATTGAACCACAGCATGTTGTTGTTAAAGTCATCAACCACTCGCATCATTTCTTTGGCAAATTCGAAGAGGGTTTGCAAGTGGCCGTGCGGGCTGTTGCTGTCTTGGCACTGGGACGTGTTCAGGCCAGAGGCGGCCATATACGTGGCCCCAATGGTTTTGATCTTCTCGATGTTGCTGTAGTCAGGCTTGCTTAGCAGCTCGTCAAAGTCCCCGATCAGTTCGTTCAGGACTCGGTAGCACTCCTTGCCTCCTTCGTAGTTCTCCTCGTAGAACTCGCTGAAGTTCACGATGCTGGCAAAGATCACGCCACCACTGTCGTGGTTTTTGGAGTAGCTCTGTGAGACTTTCAGCTGCTCCGCCACGTGGTAGGGAATGATATTCCGCAGCAGCCAGTCCGCCTGGTCCCTCATGCTCTGGATCTTGGTGCGGTGAAGGTCGGCTTCCACGTCTCCATGGTAATGCAGACGGTAGCTCACTTCAAACTCACGGTTTAAGAACCAAACCAGGAGGAGGAGAAGGAAGAAGCCCAGAATCACTTCATGGCCAATAAGGTCTGCTGGCCTCCTGAAGTCTTCCAAGGTTGATCGGTAGCATGGATTCCTTATGGAACTGGAGTTAATTTTTTAAAGAAAATATAGACACACACACATTGTGAAAAAGAAAAGAAAAAAGCATTTGTATGTTTTTTCTATTCTTATATTCCTATAGTCTACTCACAAGCACACGACATCACTCTATTTTAAAATGTTATTCTATTTTAAAATATGGTTTTATATTCTCCCATGGCAACAGAGACAATTATGACAACTTCATATGCGCAGGACCAAACTAGACACTGTGTCATTCACACAATGGGACTCACTTTTTTTTGGAGTGGGGGGAGTGGAGATTCAGATCAGGGCTGCTGTGGTGAGCAAAGATCCAGACCACACACACACACACTGCCTAGTTTCTTTGTCAAAAATGTTTTATTGTTTTGTTCATTTCAATGGGTATACTCCAAGCAAAACGTAGTTGAATAAAACCTAAAACTCTTTTGAAGTTTTATCATTCAGATATGAGGCCAATGTATACATACCAAACATTTAACTAAATATATGCAAACAAAACACAAAATGAGCAAACCAAATAAAATTCTGTGCTGCCGTCAAAAGACAAACAATCAAATCCTTATTCTTCAAATATCTTTTTTAGCTGGTACAGTGGTACCTTAGTTTTCCAACGTAATCCATTCTGGAAGACCGTTCGAGTTCCGAAACGGAAAACTCAGTACAGAAGCCTCAAAATGGAAAACTCAATACGGAAGCCGCGTTTCATGTTTGACCTCCAAGGCGAGTTAAAAAACGAAGCATTTACTTCTGGGTTTACGGCGTTCGAAAACTGAAACTTCCATCAACGGAGACGTTCGAAAACTGAGGTACCACTGTATACAGATTTAAGAGGGCCAATTGGGTCCTGATAGTATATCATGTTTCACAATTTTCTGAACCCTCTAAAAATACCAAAATTTATTTGCAGGTTCACCACTTGTGTCATGATGTACCAGTTTTGTTCCAATCCAGATTTTCTCCAATTGCTATTTACTTCCCCTCTCCCGACTACCTTCCCTCCCAGTCTCTCACACACATACACGGATAGTGTCACAATTAGTTACTACTTGGGTAAATCACATCATGTCCAGTTTGGTCCTGAGATGTCAAATAAAGTATTCTGTCAGACTTAGAGACTCATCCCAAGTTTTCATGTGAGAGTCTGTTTAACCTTCATCTGTCACAGTTATCTGCAGATAATATGTCTATGACTGACTAATCTAACTGCACCACTCTCTACATTTCAGAAATATGATCAAGCAAGCAAAAGAAAAACACAAAAAACTGGGAACTAGGTATCAATTCTTACCTGTAGTTCTGTTCTAACTGAAGAGGGGAGATTTCTGTGGAGCTGAAATCCAAATATAGCAAAACATCAACAGAAATGAATAGGAGAGGTAATAATTGCAGGATTTAGTGAGCTTAATCTACATTTAGAATTTCCATTTCTTAGTCCCAGGGATTCCACTGGAGTTTTACCTATACCTTGGTGGTTTCAGACATTCACCATGAAGTGATGAAAATAATGAAGTTTGATGTTGATCAAGCCCTTAAATGAAAAACCATTTGCTTAAGTCTGAAAACAGCTACTTCTGTTCTTGCCATTATTTAGGGTACAGACACATGGTGAGCGTTTCTTCTCCTCACTTTTGCTTCTGTGACACCACATATAAAGGTAAAGGTAAAGGGGACCCCTGACCATTAGGTCCAGTCATGGCCGACTCTGGGGTTGCGGTGCTCATCTCGCTTTACTGGCCGAGGGAGCCGGCATACAGCCAGCATGTGGCCAGCATGACTAAGCTGCTTCTGGCGAACCAGAGCAGCACACGGAAATGCCGTTTACCTTCCTGCCGGAGCGGTACCTATTTATCTACTTGCACTTTGACGTGCTTTCAAACTGCTAGGTTGGCAGGAGCAGGGACCAAGCAACAGGAGCTCACCCTGTCGCGGGGATTCGAACTGCCGACCTTCTGATCGGCAAGTCCTAGGCTCTGTGGTTTAATCCACAGCACCACCCCCGTCCCTACGACACCACATATACCAGGCTTCAAAACTAGCACCGATGTAGGCACACACTGCATTTTTTCTTTTTTTAAAATCCAGGCAACTGTTATATTTCTCTAGTTTATTTGGCATTTTTTTACAGTCAATTTGGTTGTTCCTGAGCTAAATTCTGAAGCAGGCTGCTGATGTCTAACTCTTTGGACATGGAGTTCAGTGTACAATTGACCTTTTTTAGTGTTTCTAATAAATACACAAGCAAGGTTTTATAGCATACAGTGGTACCTTGGTTCTCAAACGCCTTGGTACTCAAATGCCTTGGTTCTCAAACGCTGAAAACCCGGAAGTAAGTGTTCTGGTTTTCGAACATTTTTCAGAAGCTGAACGTCTGATGCGGCTGTCAGCTACTGTTCCCGGGGCACCTGCACCAATCAGAAGCTGTGCCTTGGTTTCTGAACATTTTGGAAGTTAAATGGACTTCCGGAATGGATTAAGTTTGGCGCTTTTGTTTTTGCTATTTATTTTGCGTTTTTGTCTTTGAGGCTTTTTTGGTTAATTTGTTTTTATGACTGTATGGAACCCAGTTCAGCTACGGATTGATTGTGTGACTGTGGAAATGGATAAAAAAACCCCATCCAAACAATGACTCTCATCAGTACAGGGATGCTTTGGTTTTGGAATGGACTTCCAGAACGGATTAAGTTTGAGAACCAAGGTACCACCGTAATAGTTTTAAATAACAGTTCTTTTAAAGCTTTCTTTTTTTAAAAAAAAAAAAAGTTATAGCACTTCATTTAAGCCTTTGAGGAGAAAGCAGAAAGTGCAAGGAAGACTGCTAGATGTTAATGATTACCTGATGTTCTGTGTAGAGTTGAAGATTTCCATGGGGCTGAAACTGAAATGCAAGAAGCACTGGATCAGCAAGAAAATTCACAGGCCACTATTCCCACTGCAGCAACAACTGCTTGACAAAATGTGACTCTGCCCTGATGCATCAGTTATTGCATCAAGTATTTCTTCAGAAATGGGCAATGAGCCTCATGTATGCCTGCTGTCTCCAAGGTTCACGTGTTACAGCTTCTTAGTCCATGTCAGATAACCAGGTCTACAAGATGGTCCTTAATGTGTTTAGTTCAACTCACATGAAAAGGCCGTTTTAACACCTGCATAGTGCATGTTTTATGAGCATGGTGGTCGTGTAGAACCAAACGGGGAAAATGTTCGGGAAGGCCTGTAAACACCACCTTGGTAGCCAAGATAAATTCAGGACGAATTGGCAGCCGCTGCCAGAATCAGCTCACATTATGTTTATGCTACTTGGCTTGCTTTGACGTTATGCTTATCTGGGGGCTTGAGACGTTTAGTTATTGGCCTAGGGAGGGGAGCTATCTGTAAGACTGGGGGGCCTGCCGCCCATGCCTTCATCAAGGGGAGGTTCTGGCCAAACTGACATATGCTGTGCTTTGTGTAAGTGATGCATAAATGTTTTCCAGGGTGCACCCAAGTCATGACGAGTGCTTCCCGTTTCGGAGTCTGTAACGGCATAAAGAAGGCATAGGCAAACTCGGCCCTCCAGATGTTTTTGGGGCTACAACTCCCATCACCTCTAGCTAACAGGACCAGGGGTCAGGGATGATGGGAATTGTAGTCTGAAAAACATCTGGAGGGCCGAGTTTGCCTATGCCTGGCATAAAGGCTCTGCAGGCTGTGTTGCAGGCTAGTGCATTCTAAAAATGCACTAGAATTGGCCGTTCTGGAATTTTTTACATTCTTTTTTGGTATCCCTACATCAAACCACTTGCACAGGCTCTCTTTTGGGCCTGTGGATCAGGACAGTGATAGGGCAAGCTCAGGCTGGAGGCTCCAAGCACCTGCTGACCCGAAATACAAACTGGTCACATTACAAATGATCTAAGTAAAAACTGGAGATGGTTATCCTCCACTTGGCCGTTTCCATTTTCCTTACACCAAACAATAATGGGCAGGACGCAAGTAACCTCAAATCCAAGCTCAAACCAAAAAGGAAAAGGCATAGACATCCACCTGATGGCTATCATGCAGTAAAGCATGATGACTTCAGATACAGAGTACCAGAGCTTCTCAAAACCTTGTGAATATAAGCTGGGGGTGGGGGAGAAGGAGAAAGCAATTGTTCAAGGTCTAAAAATGCTGCTGGTTGATATAAAGACTTAGGGAAAAGGCTGCCAGGCTCAGTAATAGCCAGAAACGAAAGGAAATCCAATGAATGCTTACCTAAAGTTCTTTACCGATTCAATATATGATTCCTCCACAGAGCTGAAACAAAAACGCAAGAGACCGACAACAACAAATCAAAAGCATGGAGGGGAAAAAAAAAGAACAGTTGCAAAAAACACCCCTCAAAAAGAGAAAAACGAAACACCCCTCCTAACTGCCACTGTCCAAATCTCATTCTGGGCTGCTAAATACCCATTCTGACACAGAGTTATACACCAGCCTCAACCCTCCTTCCCCCCAGGGGTTAACCACATTACTTCACAAAACGTCAAAGTATACATCTGGTGGCTAAAGTGGCAGCACTTCTAATCAACGAAGACACCTGGTGAATCTGCTTGCAGGTGGAAGAGGGAGAGAGAACACCTATTTCACTCCAGCTTCCTGATGATGCTCTCCAAGACTCCTCACTGTGGAAAAGATACTGTCCCAACTCACAGGCAACAGGCAGGCAGCACCACTTTTCCCCAAAGGCTCACCTGTCAGGGCACAGAGGCACCCACAGCAAAACTAGCAAGACTCCTCCAACAAGAGTGGCCAGAGATGATCTCATCCAGGAGCTGAGCTGGCAGAAGTTACAGTACTGGACAATAGTGATGAGAATTGCAGAACACATAAACATGGTATACTGCAACAAACAGAAACAGCAGCTATTAGTCATATATGATCTATTGGAATGGGATGTCTAAGTAAATGCACAGGAATCCACTTTTTTTCTTTTTTTAATGGCTGTGGTTGCGAAACCAAAATTTCACTAGTCATTATGCCTCCCCTCAGGGCTGGATTTAGGTTTGATGAGGCCCTAAGCTACGGAAGGTAATGGGGCCCTTTATATGTCCAGCTGTCCTGTCAACAACAAATTGTCGCTGTTTATTGTGTTGAATATATGCTATATTTATGAACCTATACTGTTGCTATATGTAGGTTTTATTTTATTTGCTTTTTATCTTACATTTTGGAAATGTACATCCAGGTTTTTTTCCGTCAAATTTTTTTTGGGGTCCCCAAGAGAGTGGGGCCCTAAGCTACAGCTTGTTTAGCTTACATGTAAATCTGGCACTGCCTCCCCTCCTCAGGCTCACTCCATTTAACGTATGTTGGCTTCACATGTTGGCTTCACATGCAGCCAGCCTCTCCAACGCTGCCTACGCTCTCTCCTTTGAAGAATGAAGCACCCATAGCCAGCTCACTGGGGCCTGCCAGGCACTTCCTTTCCCATCTCCCTCAGCACTGCTTCCAACTCCTCTCGGGAAAAAAGCAACCTGCATACGTTTGGGCACCCAGGGAAGATCTACCCACCAACGTTTCTGGTAACTGAATTTTGAAAAAAAGAAAGAAAGCGAGAGAGCCAGCTTGTGGTTCTCAATCTCGATCCTCTACCTGCTTCCTCCCAGGATATAGCGGGAGCACAGAAAAACCAGTCCAGTTATGGGATTCAGCAATGTATGACTTACATAAATGTTTGTTTCGAATTCCAAGCTGAAGTGTGAGAAGACTGCGACAGCGGGGAGGGAGATCCAAACGGCACCAATGAAGTGTCGCGGCAACCAGCCGGCAATCCCCTCCAACAGCCGCTTTGTGCAAGCCATTACGTCCTCCAGAAAGAACACCATTCTGAAAACAACACACATCCAAGTCAGCCAGTGTAGCCGCTCCTATCTATGACAGAACTGAGCCTAGAAAGGCAAAGAAGCGGAGGGGAATGGTTTTGCAAGTCTCTCTGTATAGCTGCCACTTCACTCAGAGCGGGCCTCTACGCAAGGAAATGGAATCCTTGATTTCCTCTCTTAATCAGACTAGCAGCGGCAGCCCCGCCATTTTGCTGGATCCTGCTCTCTTCCTGTCATGTTCTCACCTTTAGGGTGCCTTACACGTTTAATTATGTCCAAAGTGACTCAAGTGGGTTTTGCCTGGCCTAGGGTGGACCACTAGTACAAATCTGAGTCCTGGCTCACCTCTAAGTGGCGAAAGGAGGAGTCTGTTTTCCATACAACAGAGCTACGAAGGCCCTCACAGAACTCTCTATCCCATTCTTAGCTATTCCCATTTCAAACCCAAGAAGCAGGCCCTGCCTCTGCTGCTATCCTAGGCGCCCGGTGAGAGTGATCCAGACTCTGCCTCATTTACCTAATGGAGACGATAAGGGACAGCGCCTCTAGCAGGATGGCAATGACCACCACAACCACTGCTGCAGGTGGGGGAGGAGTTGCAGCCATCCCATGCTTCAGGAAGCAGGTGACAGAGAGGATGAGGAAGACTGTTGTGGACAGCAAAACATCCAGAAGTGAACTAAAGGTAGCGCTGGCGAAGGTCTTCACGGGGGTGTTCCTCATAACCTGTTTCAGATAAAGGCAAAAAGAACAGAATGAGACGGTGCACCAATATGTGGGTGTCCTCTTTCTTTCTTTCTTGTTTGTCTTTTAAGGAGAATCAAATCCAGTGTGGGCATTTCTGTCAAATACGATGGCACAGACAGAGCTTTTGGGGGTAGGAGACAGAAGGAAGGTGTTACGTTATTTAGTAAAATGTATATACCACCTGTTCAACTGAAGACCTCGAAGCTATTTACAAAGAGCAATATAATATTTTTTTTTAAACACAAATATAAAACAAACAGTACAAATTTTTTTACATATAAATATCTCATCACTGATTCTGTCCATTTGTATGCTTTATTTCCTTGGGTTAAAAAATTCTTTTTTACTCTCCTTTGGCCTTCCTTCAGTATAATAGGGTAAAAAGGATGTTTTTTTAACCCAAGGAAATAAAGCGTACTATTTCTGTTCCTCCCGCTCTGGAGTGAAGCTTCCCAGCAGCTTCCCCCTCTGTCCCTGTCCTCAACCTTCTTGCTTTCCTTCCTTCCTTTCCTCCCATCCTCTTACTGCACCTCCACACTCTAGGCTCTAGGCTCCCCTTTGCCCCAAACTGCCACCCTTACCTGCTTTCTTGTTCTCAGCTTGGGAAATGCAGCCAGCTGCCTTTTATTCTTCAGCTGTGTGCATTCCTCAGCTCTGACTGCATTGCTAGGCGCTCTCCTTCCGGGAGGCCACTCAGTCCAGCTGCCAGCTGCTAAGTTGCCTTCGGACAGTATCTTATATCCCACACTCTCAACGGCAACTTATTGCAGTGCTGAATGCAGGGGGCAGCTGCAGCTTTGGGGTCTTCAAAAGGGACTATTCACCAGAACCGGTGATAGTGTAACAAAACACGAGGGATTTCGGCAACGCAAATTTAGACTGGCTATTAGGAACTACCTTACAATTTAAGAAGAGGCAAAGCTCCCATGAATGTTGAGAAAATCCCCCAGGGTAGCAGTGCATGTTCAGGAGGTTTAAGGATGGAGAACCTTTACAGTGTGATGGACCTTTGTGCTATAAAGGATGTTCAGGGCCTGTCACACAAAAGATGGAGCAGGCTCATTTTCTCCTGCTCCAGGGTAGGACTCGAACCCATGGCTTCAAGTTACAAGAAAGGAGATTCCGACTCAACATCAGGAAGAACTTTCTGACAGCAAAGAGCTGTTCAGCGGTGGAATGGATTCCCTTGGACTCACTGGAGGTTTTTAAGCAGAGGTTGGATGGCCATCTGTCATGGATTCTTTAGTTGAGATTCTTGCATTGCAGGGGGGTGGCCAAAGGACCCTTGGGATCCGCTACAACTCTACAATTCTATGATTCTATGGTTCCTGCAACAGTGCATGGTTCTGTATCCTTAAACCATCCTGGCATCAAGTTCAGTAACTGCCCAAAAAGGAACCGAGTACAAACCATCACATCCTCCAAAACAACTCATAAAAGCCACAGACATGAAGGAGTTAAAGCATCTCTCTCCCCTCCTACAAAGCTCCAAATGTATGTTCAGAAGTATGAATTCAGAACCCTGGGAGAGAAGCAACCGGGCTGGGTGAGATTAAGAGCAGAGGACAATGATAAAGCACCCCTCCCTCCACAAAATGCAACACTCCAGGACTACTTTTCAGTGAAAAATGAAAAATTAGCACTTCATTAGTTTGCTTCTCAGAGACAACCAGAACATACACAATACACAACACACACAAACACACCTCTTCTTGATAGCTGCTCCTATAGTTCATCTCCAATTCCTGATCCAGGAAGTTCAGGCTCAGTCTGTTAATGGGCGGCTTAAAAAAATAGTCTTTCATCAAGCTAGAGGAAGAATAGAAAAGAGTTTACTTCTGCACAGTTATCATTTGAAGAAACAATTCCTAATGTCCCATTTCCAGGTTACTTCTTGGTTGAGCAACCGCTCTTAAGTCTCTCACTATTCGGTATCTGTCTCCACACAAGGAAGGAAGGCAGTGCTCAGAATATTTCCATCAGGTAGACAGAGCCAATTCTAATTTTGTCCCTATCCTCCCCCCTACTGGATTGTGTAACGGCAACACTGAGACAGAGGAAGAGGAGGAGGAGGAGGAGGAGGAGGAGGAAGAAGAAGAAGAAGCTGACAGTGTGTGCTACCTGCTGGACTGTGAAGTAAGAAAGCAGGCAGGCAGGGACTGGCTGAGGGAGATTCTGGCATTGCAGGTGGTTGGACTACCAGCCTCCAGCGGAGCTACAATTACGGTGAGGCATAACAGCAGAATGATCCACCTACATCTTGCAAGTAACTCAACTTCTGAGACACCCCCCTTCTATATGGGAAATGTCGTCCCATGTTGTCCCCAAGGACTGCATCACTTGCACAATTTACAGATTCAAAGTCTCACCACGGATGGCACTAACGTCCTGCAAGTTATGAGGTGGCATGTTACTTCCTTCGTGCATAGACTTATTGTGTTTTAATTTGTTGGAAGCTGCCCAGAGGGCCTGGGGCAACCCAGTCAGATGGGTGGCAGAATAATAATTTCCATTTACACTAAGATGGGGAGCAAGCCTGTGTGGCAAAATGTAAACCCAATTTGCACAAACTGTTGGGGTATGCAGAAATGGCAAAACTTAAAGGTAAAGGTAAAGGGACCCCTGACCATTAGGTCCAGTCGTGGCCGACTCTGGGGTTGCGGCACTCATCTCGCTTTATTGGCCGAGGGAGCCAGCGTACAGATTCCGGGTCATGTGGCCAGCATGACTAAGCCGCTTCTGGCGAACCAGAGCAGCGCACGGAAACGCCGTTTACCTTCCCGTCAGAACGGTACCTATTTATCTACTTGCACTTTGAGGTGCTTTCGAACTGCTAGGTTGGCAGGAGCAGGGACATAGCAATGGGAGCTCATCCCGTCGCGGGGATTCGAACCGCCAACCTTCTGATCGGCAAGTCCTAGGCTCTGTGGTTTAACCCACAGCGCCACCCGCATCCTTACTGGAAGATTAAGATGTTGCATACCATCTTTGCAACACCCATATAAGGTAGCCCAGTGTTATTATCCACACATGAAGATGGAAGACAAAGGCTGAGAGGCGAGTAACCTAGCAAGTTAATGCAGAACATGAATTTAGAACTGGGAACTACTTTGCTCCCAACTCATGCTCACAGCCACTCTATCACACCAGGTCTCAGAGATGCTGCAGTGCTCACTAGGGTGCCCTCGTCAAAGCAGGGGAGAAACACCAAAACCCCTGGAGAGACCAGCTGCTTCGCTGGGGCTTGACTGCTCATGGCCAGCTGCCCACCTAACAAGGTGCTGCTTAGACAAATCTCACAGTCGCCTCCTGAAAATATTTATTTAAAAACTGTGACTAGTTATTTAAGAACATGTGAAGAACCCTGATGGATCAGATCAAGCAGCTATTTAATCCAACATCCCATTTCTCACAGGGGCCAAAAGGAGAACATGAGGGCCCTCTCCCCAATGTTGTTTCACAGCAACTGGTATTCAAAGCCTGTTTCCCCAAAGGTAGTACATTTTCTTGCCTCATCCCATTTTAAAGCCAGCTAAGTGGATGACTGCCACAATATCACGTGGTAGTGAAATCCAGCTTAAGTGTGTGTTGTGTGATGACTCTACTGGGTTTTCGTACGGGAGGTTGGGGAAAACTTAAGTGTACCCAGTTTCTCTACACAATGCACACAGTGGTGCCCCGCAAGACGAATGCCTCGCAAGACGGAAAACTCGCTAGACGAAAGGGTTTTCCGTTTTTTGAGCTGCTTCGCAAGACGATTTTCCCTATGGGCTTGCTTCGCAAGACGAAAACGTCTTGCAAGTTTGTTTCCTTTTTCTTAACACTGTTAATACAGTTGCGACTTGACTTCGAGGAGCAACTCATAGAACGCAGTGTACATAGTAGCCTTTTTTGAGGTTTTAAAGACTTTGGTGATTTTTGAAGCTTTTCCAAAACTTCTTGTGCAGCCATTTGGTAAGTTAAGCTTTTAAAACTTTTTTGGGGGGTTTTGGATTTTGGGTTGGGGTGTTTGGAATTCAAGGACTTGGTGTTGGGGAGGGGTTTGCAAGAATCTGGAAGCTTCTGTGTTTTTTTCTGCATTTTTATGATTTTCTGTGACCATTGGGCCACTCAGCTGTTTTTTAAAAAAAAATTCTGGATTTGAATTTCTGTGTGCTGGGTGGCTGGGGGAACAGTTGGGGAGGGGTTTGCAAGAATCTGGAAGCTTGTGGTTTTTTTCCTGCATTTTTATGATTTTCTGTGACCATTGGGCAACTCTGCTGTTTTTTAAAAAAAATTCTGGGTTTGAATTTTGAAATGCTCTTTACAGTATGTGTGACTTTAAATGGCACTTAATAAACTCTTGTTGTACCAAATTTGGCTTTGTTTGGACTTTTTTTGACCATAGGAACGCATTAATTGATTATCAATGCATTCCTATGGGATTTCGTGCTTCGCTAGACGAAAAATTCGCTAGACGAAAAAATTCACGGAACAAATTAATTTCGTCTTGCGAGGCACCACTGTAATCTTATGTACCTCTGTAATGGTAAACTAAAAAGCACCATATGTTGCAAACTTTCCCTTGATCACTCCGATTGCCCTTTTCTGACCCTTTTCCAGCTCTACAGTCATTGTTTCTGAGGTGAGGTGGCAAGAACGACAAACAGCACTCCCGAGTGTGGTTGCACTGCAGATTTGTATGACAGCAGTAGCATATCAGCAGTTTAATTTTCAGTCCCTTTCCTAACGATCCCCAACATGGATTTTGCTTTTTTCACAGCTACCATGCACTGCACTGGGTCCATATTTCCACTGAGCTATCCACCACGAGATCAATACCCCTTTCCTATTCAGTTGCTGCTAGTTCAGACCCCACTAGTGTGTATGTGAAGCTGGGATTCCCCCCACCCCCCACCACATCCATCCTTCTCACCTGTCTTCTTTTATCACATCAACAAAGTGAGCGTCCGTTTTCTCCCTGATGTTTTTGAAGCGCAGTGGCAGAAGTGGTGACTGGTCCAAGCTCACGCCAACCCATCTTCCTTTCTCCTGCAACATTTCATAAAGGGATGTTTGGCTGTTGCTCAGCTTCTCCTCTTGTGGAGGACTTAGAAGACCATTCTGGGACTTTGGACTGCATCCTCCAGGGCCCTGATTCAGATCAAAGGAGGGGCAAAAGCACAAAGAGACAGAGTGATCATGCCATTCTATTGTTCATCCTCAAGAAATTTTGACAGAAAAACTGCCTCAGCTCAAACAGTTTATAATCTGGAGTGAGAAAGCCTGCAAGCTTTCTTTTTTCAACAATTTTCAGGTTTGTAAACAGAACCAAACAATTAAGACAGAAGAAAATTTCAGGATATTTTTACAGTGCAAATTATTTTTATGCACATTATTTGTTGTTTTGCAAGTCAAAACACCCCTTGTCTGAAACAGAAGGGATGGTATTCAACTAAATTTTATACAGCGTAGAGCTACTGAAATTTATGGACCTAACTTAGCCATGTTCATTAATTTCAATTATCTCTATGTAAAACCTATGTAATACTATCAAAGATTTTCACACCACTGTGAAACCTACACTTTTTGCCCGAAACTAGCTAGTCTTATCCAATTAAGGCACACTGGCTCCACACAAAATCAGTGGCATGATCAAACATTATTTTACAATTTATTATTTACTTAATAAATTCCTATGCCACCTTTTATCTGATACCTGGGCCAGCACTGGTTTTTTTTTTTTTAAATTACTCTTCTACAACATGGATTGGAGAAAGCTAGATAAGGCTAGTCATGGAACTTTGTTGCTGGCTCTAATGTTACATCACTAATAGCTAATAGTTCAAAATGATCAGTCTGAAGCACCCAAGCACAACTTCTGGAAGTATACAGATCAGTTCTGAGAATGGAATTCTGTATGTCAGTGGTTAAGTCAGTTTTCTCTTGAGACTACCCTAAGTGAGTTTCCAAATCTTGGACTTACCAAGAATGGGGCAGAGGAGCTAGAGAAGAATGCAAGCTGATAAATTAGTGTTACCTTTGTGCTGTTTTTATGTTCATCCTGACCCCCATTTTGGATAGCTCCTTCCTCTATACTTGCAGCAGAAGCAGATGCCAATGTAGTATTACATGAAGGGCATGTCTGGAAGCCAAAAGAGAAAAACACTGCAAGATTAATGTGTCTCTTTTAAATAGCACTGACATTGCAAATCTTAGCATGTCCAATCTGTATAAATTTCAGGATTCTTGGCAAAAGGTTTCTCAAATGCAGTCCATGGGATGTTGCCAACAGGTTGCACAGCACACTTAGTTGTCCTTTTTCCTTCCTTGAATATTTGGGAATAGAATTAAAATCACTTGAGCATAAAGGAAAGTAGTATCACATATGAGAAAAGCTATAACCACTTAATGGAAGCCTACCTATAATTAAACAAAAATACAGTGAATGCACTTGTACTTAGATAATCTGTTTGGAATAATGGAAATGCCATCTTAAAAAAGAAAAGAAAAAAGATTCTAGTTCTCACGGCCACAGATACAGAATGTTAAAGCTGAAAACATAGTCCATAAAACATAGAGAAGCGGCTCTAATTCATCATTTATCTTATTTTTATATCCTGCCTTCCAGCTCACTAGAAGTGACCAGGAGGAAGATCTCAGTTGACACACAATATCAAGAGCCCCTTCCTCACAAGGTGTACTTGTTCAGAAAAGCACAACACACACACACAAATGGCTGCAATGGTTTATAGCAGGGGCAGGAAACCAGTGGCCCTCCATATATGGCTGGACTACAACTCCCATCACCCCTAAACATTAGCCTTGTGGGCAGGGACTGAAGGGAGTTGGAGCCCAACAACATCTGATGGGAAGGGGGGTGTCATAGGTTACACCATTGGTGGTTTATAGAAACCATCCCAGTCAGGCAACCATTACAGAAGCCCCAGGCTATTCAAGTGATTTATTGTGTAAGCAAGGTTTGGATATAAAATACTATAGAAGCATAAAACCTCAAAACCAGTAAAGGAATGGACTCTCAAGTGATGAAGTTATTTCGCATTTTATAATATAAAACCTCAATTGCCTGGAGTGTCGAATTGGTTCTGGTGTATCAACAAGTTGATTTGGAAAGGCCCCAAATGTTTGTTGCATGGCATACTGTCATACTTCCTTCAAACCCTTAAAGAGGCAGTTATTATACAGCTTCTTAAAAAAAATTGCTGGACCCAAACATTATGGCCAATTATTGCCCAGTCTCCAATATTTCATTTCTGGGTAAGGCAACTGAGTTTATCACAGAGTTTAAGAAATGCATTTGACACATCTAATGCCTGCCTGCACACTGCTGTACTCTGAAAATGGTAACAATAATTCATTGATTTAACCTTGACTTTGGCCACTTTTATGTTAAATGTTAATTTCTCTGCCAGGGCAAAGTTCCAGAGTCTGCGGAACTATACTTCAAATGCTAGTTCATCTGTCATTTTCCTGCACTTTTGATCTGTGCAGCTATTAACATAAATGAAAGTAAAAATTTGTGCATTACAACTTCATTCCCCACCCCCACAAATATTTAAATGTATCGCCTGTCAGGAGTGCTACATTTTGCTTTGCGCCAACACCAACTTCTTCGAAAACCATGGTCCAATAAGGGACAACCTTCAGACACTCCCAACAGATAGGTATGAATGAGCCTCTTAGTTCTCAACCCCTCCAACAATTCAAACACACCCCTGGTACCTCCTACAGTGGTGATGTATTTCAATGAGGACACCGACTATTGCAGAAGTTGACTTCAGAGGCTGCTTTTCCCTGTATAGATTGCCCTATGCCATTCTTCCTGTTAGTCCTTCAATGAGCCAAATGAAATTTTCATTTAATAATAATAAAAAATAACATTTATTTATACCCTGACATCCCCAGCTGAGACCGGGCTCAGGGCGGCTAACACCAAATATATAATACATTAAAAACACAAAATCAATTAGTTTAAAATACAATTCGAATCACATTTAAAATCAAAATAAAATTAAGTGGGAACCCACGAATCATAACCGTAGGGGTAAGGAATTAAAAGTTCACCAGGCCCGGCCCCCCGTGCTGGTCCCATAGATAGAAAGAGCCAAGGAGGTCACTTACAATAAAGTACACATTTCAGAGACAAAGCCTCGTGTTGAATGCTCATTCTCCAAAATCAGATGCTTCAAATGAGTGAGGTCCCTTATACCTGTTTCTCTAGTAACTTGGTTTGCTATAAAATAATGCAGTTGGTGCAAATGGACCCAGTTAATGTGGAGTGGCAATCCTCTCTACTGATACAGGTTTTCTATTCGTGTTGACAAGTCCTTATTCGTATGATCTTGAACTTCTGTTTCTTCCAGACCATCAATGTTGCCTTTGTGGAAGGGTTATCAACCCACTCCAAATTTCTGATAGGTGACTGTCCTAAAATCAAGTATTAGATTTCTCTTTATCAGTCCCTTCCCCTGCTACCCACAGCCTGTCCTGTGGCTAATGTATACACAGGCTACAGCATTCAAAAGCTGAAAAGCCTCATAATAATGCAACAAGCATGGCTCCCCCACCCCACCCATTTTGCACGCTCGTGGGGTTTTCCTTTACCAAGTCAGGGCTTGGCACTTAAAGTGATGTATTTTGTCGCAACCCTTTGCCGCACAGAAATAATTTGTGTTTGAATTTCAATACATAAGATTTGGAAGTAAAAGCTGATTTCTGAGAGATCAACCATTAAAAACACTTTCCCTGTGTTGATAATTTGACTTCCATTGATTGAAACCTTTTTTTAGCACAATCCAACCACTGGAAATAAGTTTAATGGTAATAATGTATATATTGAGATTCCTGCATTGCAGGGGGTTGGAATAGATGACCTTTGGGATCCCTTCCAACACTACAATTCTATGAATGTTTTAAATTCCTGAGGATTATGACGCCAAGGAAGCAATCCATTAATGTGACATAGATACAGGGTGAAGCTCTATATGGTGTGCAGCTGTCTCTGACACTCCAGGGCTATACTGAAACACCTTATTCAAGATTCATTATAAATTTGAAGGACAGCCACGCTGCCATAATCCTTAATATTTCATCTGCAATTGCAGATGAAAATAACTATATCCTCTTTTTACTGAAAACACACAAAGAACCATAGCCTAAAGGGATGAGGAAAATATTTAACAGGCTTGCTATGAATTACAAACTACAAATGCATCAGTTGATACTGACGGCATGTCCATCCTACCTACATCTCAAACTCAAGGCTGATAACCACCTTACATTTCATTTATTCACCCCTCCCACCACCCTGTGAAGGCTCATACAGGCCAAGTATCTACAGAGCAAAGAATATGGGATTTGTACCTAAGCCTCTCAGGGCTACTGACTGCACTCGAAATGGCTCTGGAACACCCTTAACCAGCAATGTGCACCCCAGATGTTTTTAATACAGCTCCCATCAGCTCCTGCCAACACACAATTGTTTTTAGTTAACAAATAAAAAAACTTATATCCCACCCTTTCTCTCCAAAGGGTGCCAGGGTAGTTAACAGCATAGGGGTGGGGAACCCAATCTCCAGTATACAGTATTTTTAATATTAAAAATGTTAATATACATTGCAAATTATTAATAATATATAGTTTGTTCCTTACACAACGCTTCAGTTCAGTTTGCATGTGCTTTGGCTTAATGAAACAGACATCCCCTCCTCCTCCTCCTCACAAGCTCCTTGAGGCAGAGTCCTCCCTTCTTTTTCAAGCTTTTGATACATTTATTGACTATTTTATGAGGAAGTTTAAGTGGTATGATTAAGGCAGGCATTAGAATCAATGGACTCTTGTTTCTCTACCATCACAGCATTTAAGCTAAAGAATGCTTTTCTGTTAAAACAAAACCAAAAGGTCTCTGCTCTGTCACCTGCTTTACTTTGTAAGCAACACACACACAAAAAATTCAATCAGTTATTTTTCCCATGCAGATACCAGAAAAGCAACCCTGAAAAGTGACTGGTTAGCTGGAACAAATATTGCACTAGGAACAAATGCTTGGCAGAGCACACCAAATTGTGCACAGCTAAGAAGTGTCTCTTCCCACATACATTTGGGGATCTGAAGCCACAAATTGTACTTAAGGATCAGGACCTGAGAACAAGAGTTCCCTGCCACCCCCTTGTTCCATTTGCCACCTGCTCCGAGGAACTCAAAGCAGCATTTCCGCACTAACACTGCTGCGGTGAGGGAGGTTGCACTGAGATATGGAGAACTGTCCACCTGGGGAGCTTCATGGCAGAATGGGAATTTGAACTGGGTCTCTCACAGCCAACCCTCCACTTTAGCTATTATCACCCAGTATGGTTCCTCTCTCATTTTAGGGCTTCATAAGCAATAAAATGAAGAATGAAATCTTTCTGTTTCTCCTTCTTCAAGGATTCAGTGATACATGTTCCTAGTTCTACTCCAACCACCCAAGTGGCTATTTAATGTCCCCAGCGAAAGCTTCTCAAACAAGTTTCTGATTAAAAACCCTTAGAAGTTTGAAGAATACATTTGACAAACCTTGTTTTTTTCCAACTGTCTGAAACCTTTTGCTAAGTTGCCAACATTCTCTGCTGATGAGGTTCCCTGTAACTTGCTTCTGTCTCCTGCTTCTAGACCTGGAAGCAGCATCTGTGAGCAGCTGCAGTGGGGCTCCTTCACTTTCAAACCAGAAATCAGGTATGTTTTCAAACCTACAGGAAAATTACAGTTAACAAAGCTGAAACCATTCTTCCACTACTATCCCTCCTCCCCACTTGTTTGTAGAACCCCTCTCTCAAATGTGCACTCCACTATGACTAGGCAAACCACAGCAGCAAGCTACTACTGCCAGCGAGCCAGCTATTCCCATGGCTCACTTCTCCTCTTGGGAACAGTCAGGCCCATCCTCTGGCAACAAAAAGACATTTCATAAACTGCTCTTAACAGACTTTTGTTTCCCTTTTCCTGCCTTCCTAATCCCTCACAATAAAAAGAAAGGCAAGAATAGGCTTATACAATACAGGGCCGCAGTATTTTACAATTTTTGAATACTGTAGGCATTTCTGTCCCACGCAGTAGCACTTGATTTCACTGGCAAGTGTGAATGTTTGCTTTAAAAAAACACCACACACACGCACACACACACTTTACATGTTATGAAGAGTGGGAATCCTGCACCAAGGACTACTGCACTGCAGCATCCGAATAACTGTAAGGCTTTTCTCGTCTAGCTGAATGCTAGCAGGACTCTGCCCCCCTCCCCACCAGCTTAGCAATGAGGTACAGCCTAATGGCCTGCAGATTATCTTCCTACAGCAAACATGGTGTCAAAAACATTTAGCAGTAAGCAGAATGGCTTGTGTACACACAGAAGTCCTTCAGGACACAAAGCTGACCCACCACCACTCAAGGTAAGACCCCTTCAACATTTCCAAAGCTGCAACCCTATGCACATCTTAAACAGAAGCCCTGTTGAATTCGTTTTCCAGAGGGGAACCTATGATAGTTAACTGCAGCAACCAAGACTCCTGCATCTAGTACATCTAGTATACTAACAGTATTCAAAGCTCATTTCTGCATACTTTAATCCCTCTTTCACTAAACTGAGCTGAATCTAAATAAAAGCCATGAGAGTGACATAACCACATTAATTACCTGCATATGTTTATTATATTTTCAATATAACACTATACAAAGCTTAACCCAATTTAGAACTACCCATAAAATCAGGTTTTTAACTGAATTTATCCAGTATATGCAAGTTAAACATCCATTCAGTGTTAAGTGTGTTGCTGCAGAAAACAAAGGCTTCTCTTTACACAGCACAATGCTCCTCTGCAGGATAGACATAAGAAAATCTTCTCATTATGTCTTGTCTTTGTTAAATGCTTAAGTGTACTGCTAGAACAGCAAGTAGGCGCTTTGTGGTAGTCATTCCCATCAAAGGCTTTCTACCGCATCGGGAAGAGCCAGAAACCCCTTTTCTTTAAAAAGAGAGAGAGAGAGAGCGATTTCACTATTAAATTGTTAATACTGTATTTGCAACTACTGACCTAGGAGTATTCTGTACTGGAAACACAGACTATAAATGTTATAAAGAAATAGATATATAATAAACAAAGTGTGTCCTATCTTGTACACTTCTGGGAGCTACAGAATAAACAGAACAGACCTTCTTCAAAAATCAGGCTGCCCTAACAGCAGCTGACTTGGTCGAGGTCAAATGACAGTTTGAAATTCAAAACAATTTATACAGATAACAATTACTGGTACCCTTCATCTGCTGTCAAGGAAGGAAGGCTGAGTCCATTACTACATTTAAACTTTCTGCCTTTTAAATTTCACCATGCTAAGAAAACTCAAGAGGAGGAAAGATGGAGACATTTTCCAAGCTGTCTTGAGGAAGCTTTAGCTTTGCATATTTTATGTCATTTTATGCTCCACGCCCCATCTGTTACTCACACTTAGCTGACTCCCTTCCAGTGCACTCTGCTCTTGCCTACGGTTTCTAAAACTGACTATTAATTAAAACAGTATCAAATACTTCATTTTGGCTCACGTTCAGCTCTTTCATCTGTTCTTCAGACTCATAAATACAGTACAAAGTACCTGAAACAAAACATTATTTGACTGTTTTCGGAGGAGCATCTAACACATATTCTTTTAAGTTCTGACTTCTATTTGAAATTCGTTAAAATATATGCCTTTTCCCTAAAGTATTTGTCAAACTGCCACAAGTTCTCTAAAGAACAGATTTGTAACTGGGGGCCTCAAATCTATTTGTAGCTTCAACAAAATAGGTTAGTACTTTATAAGTCAAGTTCTAACCATTACAACTCACCAAATAGCAGTATTTTTCTGGAAAAACCACAAAGCAAATCTGCCTTAATACGAGGTGTCTGCAGTCTGCTCCTCAGCATGAAGACAAAGTTTTTTCCTGAACGTCATATTTTTTTCTAGAAGCCTATGAATCACTTAAAACCCAATCACCCAAAGTACAGACTATATGAAAGTATATGAACTATAAAATATCTGGCAGACGATTAAAATACAACATTAAAACTGCCCTTCAGTTCTAAAATCAGAAAGCATTGCAACCGCCAAGCATATGACATCAAATACCTTATCTTTCATTCCTTGAAGAATCATCAAGGACAACCTCAAAACTAAAACTCTGAATCTCAGATGTTGTACTTGATGTGTCCAGACTTGCCCATGTCAGCACAACAAGCATAAGATGTTATGGGAGGAAAGTATTGAAGTATACCAGTTCATTTTAGACACACACACATACGTATACATATACCTTTAAGCTGGTCTACAACCACACTCTGACCAACACGCTCAGTCACCTTTCCATCCTCCATTTCATAGCGGTCATCTAAGTATTTTGCAGTAGCTTCTGAAATATGGACCTTTCCTGCCACGCCCAGTTGCTCCATAAGGTTGGCCAAGTTGACGTCATTGGACCACACATCGAACTTGAACCTTCTCATCCCCAGGATGCCACACAGGACCGTCCCAGTGTGAACACCAACCCTCATGTTCACCATCTCTTTCTTTTCCTGACAAAACTGCTCAATGGCTTTAATCATGCCCAGCCCCATCTCGATGCAACAATAAGCATGGTCCTCTCGGGGCTCGGGGCACCCTGCCACGCAGTAGTAACAGTCCCCCAAAGTGCTTATCTTCTCACATTTTGTGTCCTCGCACAGGCGGTCAAAGCGACCAAAGAGATCGTTCAAGAGTCCCACCAGAGCATGCGCAGATTTGTTGGCACTCATTTTTGTGAAGCCCACAATATCCGCAAACAAAATACTGACTTGTTCTATCTGCTGCATTTTAAAAGGACGGAATATGATGGGGTTTTTCTGTATAGAAGGCTTTTTCTTTTTGTTTTTGGGGCTGGAGGTGGAGTGGCGCTTCACGGAGTTCTCGCTTTCGTCGTCCCCCTGCTTCATCAGGTCGTCGGCAATAATCCTGGGCATGACGGAATGGATCATCCTCTCCTTGAGGGCCTTTTCCACCTCCAGGTCTTTGCCGTGCATGATGGACTGCCCCACTTTCAGGAAGGTGCTTCTGGACCGCACTTCGGACATGATGAAGAGGTGGATGCCGGTGGCGTGGATGCACACGTGCAGCAGGGCTTTGCTGAGCAGGTCCCAGGCCAGGAGGCGCTCCCCGAAGGGCGAGAAGCAGCTCTCCTCGCGGAAGTAGTAGCCGAAGGTCTCGAAGAGGACCGAGTAGGAGAGGCCCAGCAAGAAGCTCAGGTAGAGGGGCAGGTGCATGACGGTGTAGAGCAGCAGCAGCACCTCGATGCACATGGAGAAGCTGCCCACCTGCGACAGGCAGGGCCCCGAGGGCGGACCCCCCCACTCGTCCGGGCTCCCCCCCGCCGGGGGTCCCAGCGCCTGCAGCTGCGGCGCCAGCGTGATGGCGAAGACGAGCAGCACGAGGGCCAGCGAGGTGCGCGCCGGGTGGCGCCCGTAGGCGCGCGTGAAGGTGAAGGCGAAGAAGGCGAGGCAGGCGGCCAGGAAGGCCAGCGCGGGCGCCACGAAGGGGGCCTGCCGCCCTCCGCCGGGGGGGCCCAGCCGCAGCGCGAAGTAGCCGCCCCACAGCAGCCCCGCCGCGCCCAGGTACGAGAGCGCGTAGCGGAAGCGGCGCCGCGTCTGCGGGAAGCAGCGCTCCCGGCAGGCCTCCTCCAGGTTGCTCGAGTCGAACGTGGGGTTCCACCACTGCGCCGAGGCGCGCTCGAACAGCTGCGGGAGCCGCGTCGAGCGCCGCCGGGAGCCCAGGCCCAGCCCCAGGCCCAGGCCCAGACCGAAGGCGCCGCCGCCGCCGCCGCCCTGGTCTCTCTTCTTGCCCCGGCCGCCTCTCCCGCCGCCCGCCTGGGCTCTCCGGGCCGCCGCCGCCGCCGCCGCCGCCGCGTCTCCCGAGCTGCTGCCGCTGGAGGAGGAGATGCTGGCCTTGGCCGCCGCCCCCGGGGGGCTCCGGGCGCAGACCCTCACCGTGACGCTGCCGCCGCCGCCGCTGCCGCTCGAGTCGCAGCTCACCTCGGTGCTCCGCCGGCGCCGCTGAGGCTGAGGCTGCTGCTGGAGGAGCTGCTGGTGCGCCGACGAGCCCGAGGGCGGCGACGCCGACGAGGAGGCCATGGCCGCGGCCCTCCGAGCGCGCCCTTCTCCCTAGGCAGCGGCTCTCAGCGCGGGCCGCCTCCGCCTCCGCCCGCGCCGCCTCCGCTGCCGCCGGGGTTCTGGGTGCCGCTGAAGAGCGCGCTGCTGGGGCTCCCGCCAGGCCGCTCCGGGCCCCGCCGCATGGCGCTGCGCCAGGGCCGCGCCTCCCTCACGGCGGGCCGCTCGGCCGCATCGCCCGCCTCCCCGCAAGCGCCTCACAGGCCGCGGCGCCGGCTCGGCCGCCCTCGGGGGGAAGAAGAAGAAGAAGAAGAAGAAGAAGAAGAGGAGCCCCCACCAGGGCGGAGGCGGCTGTCACTGAGGCGCGCGGCGCAGGCGCGCTCGGGAGGGAGGGGGCGGGGACTCGCGCGGGCGCGCGCACAGGAGAGACCCCAGCGGGGCGCGCGCGCGGCGGCGGCGAAGAAGAAGAAGCCGTGACCAGAAGCCGCGCTGCCCACTGCGCAAGCGCCCGCGACATGGCGCGCAGGCGCACGCTGGTCTTGGGCGGCCAAGTTTCCCGCCTTTCGCCTCCTCCCTCGCCTCAGCGCCCCTCCCCCCTGCGGCTTCTCGTGAGGAAAAATTAGAGGGCGGGAGAAAGGCAAGGGGGGCCACCCTCACCAAGACCCCGTCTCTCCCTGATATATCAGGAGCGCTTTTATTTTTAAAAAGCATTTGTTAGCCTGTCATTTCCACCAAAACGTCTCCAAGCAATTTCTATATAGCTTGATTGATCAAGGATTAGTCAGTGAGTTATTTACACGCAGGGCGACTTTAGCAAAGGGTTCCCACACGGATCTGCACCCGTAATGCTCCCAATTTATCTTTTTGCAAAATGGAGCGTCTCGCTCTTTGATCGCATCCGCAGCGGGAGAAACTCGAGCGAAGCCACGAGTCGGGAAGAGTTGGGCCAAAAACGAAATGGCCGCTGGGCAGAGACCAAGTGCCCCAGGTGATAAAGACACCCAGCGGCTTCTTCCCATCTTGCTTCAGAGTTTCTGAATGGTTAGATGGCTGAATCAATATTCTCCAGTAAAAGGTTTTTAAAGCCAATTCATTGTTTCTTTTTCAACAAACAGCTGATTCCTTCCAACCCAAATATCGGCAACGGGCGCCATTTTGAGGAACTGCTGAGGGAAGACTGAGAAGTGACATGTGAGGGAAGAACTGGTGAAAGCCTCTCAGTGACTTTTGGGGAATGCCGCTCTCCGTTTTAGGGAGCTGGTCACCCCAGAGTAGCTCCCAGCTTCTCTTCTCCACATTCCCACCACATTTATTGTCTCCAGAATTGCAGCCATTGAACTCTGCAGCACCAGGCAGGTTACCAAGACCAGCCCTGCGGCGAAGTAAAGCAACATGGCGGCTGGTTTTTCACGAGGCAGGAAAAGGTGCAAAATGTTAGTTATTCCATCGAAAGGACTCCTGAGGTTCATCTAGTCCAGCCTCCTGCCAATGCCATGCAGGGATCGCAGCGAAATCATCCCTGCCAGGTGCGGACCCAACCTTTGCTGAAAATCCTCCAATAAAGGAGACTCCATCACCTTTAGCTTAATAATGCCTTGTTACTGTGGTTTTATTTCCACTTGCAGGATTTTCTGCCTTGAGTCCCGCAATAATGGGCAGCCTCGCTCTGGAAGGGAGCTCTTTGGTTCTTGCGCCTCAGGCAGCGAAGGTCTCGGCCTCCCACCTGGCTCTGGTTCGCCCCACAGAACTTGGGTTTTTCGCATAGCTGCCAACGTTTCCCTTTTTTAAAGGGAAATTCCCTTATTCTGAATAGGATTCCTCGCAAGAAAAGGGAAAAGTTGACAGCTATGGTTCCTCGTTGCTGAGAAGACGGGAGGATGAGCCCCAAAGCCACCGCCGCAACTCCAAATGCCACCGCACATAAGTGAAGAGATCGGCTTTGCACCGTCGTTTCCCCAAGGGGGCTCCTGGGCCACAGGTCTGTGGTCCTCCATGGCACCCACCGCTTTGGATGCGTTTTGCTTCCCCTGGGGATGGCCTTTTGCAGCCAGGAGCCGCCTGAGGAGCCACAAGTGTGTGCTGCCTGCTCAGCCCAGATCCCCACACCAGGCTGCACAAAATACCTTGCTGCTCTTAATATCTTTTCCCTGGACCTGCTCCTCTCTCATTAGAGCTAATTAATTGCTGCCGTAGAAAGGGTAAATTATTCAGCAGGGAAGAAGCCAGCCGGTGGTTCCATTGTGGCACCGTTATGATGCGCGGCCTGAGTCAGAGAGCAATTAAAGGCTTGGCGCGCAGCAGCCGCAGCTGCGGGGGGGGGGGGTTGCGCCTGATGTCGCTGCCGCCCTCTCTCCCCTTCCGCGCCCTCATTAGCTGCAGCTGACATTGTTGCCTTTGCATGTTTCTGCCCTCCGTTCTGTTATCTCTTCCTGCCTCCCGCTTGCCATCTTTGGCTCCCACACAGAGTCCTCTGATGCTGTCACAGAGTGTTCTTCTCGTTTCTCCTCCTTTCCCTCACATCCTCACATCCCGATCCTATGTAGAGTGGAAAACCAACAGGCAGCACGCCTATCCTTGCCGAGGCCTACATCCTATACAGGGGGGTTTATTCATTAGGACTTTCTTTGAAGCAAACATGCATATGGTGATGGAGAAAGTGTTGGGTTTTGGTCCCGGCAATTAAAAAAAATCAGTCTGCTGCAGCCAGCAAGCTATTTACTATATTTATTTATAAACTGCTTCCCTACCAGGCTTCAGTACATCCTTTCACTGGCGCTATTCTGCAGTCTTACCTCAGTATTGAAACTGCATTTTTATATCAGAAAATGGGGGGAGAAAACAAACCTTGAGAATTTCTAAAATGTGGTCATAAATTTGGGAGCTTCCCTGACAAACTCTACTGATAATTTCATCTTTTTTTACAAAGTGACTCTTCAGGTTGCATTCTTACATGGGGAGAAAAATTACCTTTGAAATTAGAACACTTATTGACACCGTTGCCCTCAATATGCTTCCATATCACTATAAACTCTACACATGCCCAGATACTCATTAATGCATGCATACATAACCAAAGAATGTATTGGATATTCAATATTATTTTTTCATCACCAGTTTCTCAATAAGCACTTTTCAGGGGCAAAATATATACCGTACAGTATGCAATAGATCTAGATTATGTGAGGACTGAAAACAAGTATTCAATCTCCAGTTGTTCTAGAATAAAATGTTGTGTGTGACAATTTGCAAGCAGGCTTTCTTGGTGATAGTACCCATCCTTTGGAATGTTCTCTGTCAGGTATTAGTGTGGTAGAGAGAATAATGACCTTTAAATGCATCTTAAAAGTTTATGCAAGCTTTCATTAACCCTGGCTCTTAACTTTCTATTTTTTTTGTTTTGTATACAGGTGTCTCCCCACTTACGTGCATTCAGCTTGCACGACTGTGTATATGTGTGACGCCGGGAAATAAATCAATTTAAATTGCAAAAAGACACGAAAATGGCCCAAAAAGATACCAGCAACAGCAAGTGAATCTGACACACAGCCAGCCTCTTCGGGGCACCAATCTCCCTCCCTGCCCTTGTTGTTGATTCCACAACACCCTCCAGTGATGAGGAAGACTAAGAGCCACCATTGCCACAATTCATGCCAGTCTGGTAAGTGCTCCTGGTTTTTTAAAGGATTTTGCAAAGGTTTCCAGAGGTTTAGAAGGCTTTTTAGATGGTGTTCCCTACTATATGTGATATCACGTATACGTGCGGTACCCGGAAACGTAACCCTCGCATAAGTGGGGAAACGTCTGTACTGTTCACTTTTATCAGTGTGTAATATACAAATGGTATATTTTCGTAAACTGCAAATTTGCATTTGCATTTTGGTTTTATCTGATTTTTATATAACTGTATTGAATGTTGTATTTTTATTGTTTTTATATAAACTGCTTGGATTTGTATAAGAGGTATAAAATGTAAAAAATGAACATGTTATGCAATTTCTAATTATCTGGAAACATTTTCATGGAGTTCACAGGATACCAGGATCCTGGTAGTTTTGTACATACGCTCATGAGGGGCTGAGCTAGTTTTGTTGGCAGCGAGTCTGATCCTGCAAGGGTTCAGAGAATGGAATTACTTGTGAGGATGAAGCATGATGGAGATGTGAGTAACAATCCAATCTGACACTTCTGCAGATATCCTTCCGTTTCCTAAAGCACACTAAATCCAGGCCTTCAAAATATTAGGAAGCAGAGTGATGGCCACTTTGGGAATCCCGATCATTGACAGCAATGGAGAATCAGCATTTAAGCTGAGCATGTGAGCCATTCAGAGTGAAAGGAAAGAATCTCTGCAGCACCCTATTGTGGTTTAGCCACTTCCTGATTGCAGCTTGAAGTCTCTCCCCTAATGACTTCCTCCTTCCTCACTGTAGAGGGGAAACCCTTTCAGTAACCTCACCAAAACTCAGACCACAATCATAATCTAATGAAACAAAATACAGTTAATAAGAGATTTGTGCTTCTAAGAGATTATTTTACCAATTTATGACAACTATCACCCATTACTGAAATAAATAAGGACAGAACCCTAGTGGAAATAGGTGGGTGCAGCCACTTAATGGAGTTCAAAAGGATTAATTCAGATCCTCTGGTAGACCTGATAGGATAGTACTGAAATGGACAAAAAGCAGGGGAGAGCAGTATAACAGGAAAGCACTTTCCTTGGGTTTTGCAAGTTCAGGCCTGCAAGTTTGATGAGAAGAGTATTTACAATGTCATCATTAAGTAAAGAGTTGCCTCAAAGCCAGGTCTTGGCTCATCTTTTGTAAATAAAGCAACTAACCATGTTTGTGCATCTGAGAGCATCCTTTCACCAATTTGCTGGACCCCAAATTATTTTATCTACCAGCTGAAATATGTCTTCTCTACAACAGAAACAAAGCACCAAGGAATGTGATTGGAAAAGATCAGAATTTATTAGAACAGCTGATGTACATGGTCTCTCCAAATACAGATTATTATTGTGAACCACTAACTGGAAATATATTACAGCTATGTAATTCCTTTAAATGTATCTGTCCAAATTCCTGTTCAAAAGAAGCACACAACAGTGGATTTGATTTGGTTTTGGTAATTTAACCAAATGGAGAAGTCCACTGGCTCCCCCGCCCCCCCCAATCAGTGGCCCACAAAGTTGCATATTCTCAAGACTGAGAAGAGACAGACTGGTAATGCTAGGAACCATCTGTTCTGGCTGATCCTCAGACAGCGCCAGTTTAGGTGGATGCCAAACTATTTCAGCCATGCTGTCAATGGCTAAAATTCCCCCAGAGAAATCACCTACTTAGTTTTCGGTGCTGGAGTTTCCACTGTTCTTGAAATACCACGTGATTGTCAGGTGCCAACAGAACATGTTATTGTGAAGTGGGCACTACTCAAAAGAGACCCTGAGTGTAGATTTGAGGGTGGGGGAAGGGAAGGAGGGCAAGGCGGGACCTGGGCAGCCCTGGGATGTTGCAGTCCCAAGGGACCAGGAGGTTTTATTCAGTGCATTGGGCTGAATCGCCACCTTTCAGCACAGGTCAGCAAGATTGTCGCTCAGCGTTTCTCCCCACCTCCCAGCATCTCATTCCAGCAAGCAGCAGACAGCTGCACACCTTGATTCCCTTTTCTTTCAGCACTACCACTGAATTGCAATTTCTGCTGTGTTAGGTTTTGGTGTCATCCCAGATCCTACTGCCCCTCAGCAGCCCTCAAAGTCATGCCAGCGGACAAGACACCTGTGCCTGTGGGTTACAGACCATGGGGGTGGCCAATGCATCCAATTTGTCACTTCAGACTTGCACCCCACGCTGAACAAGTTGCTAAGCGCATCTTGCAGAAAACAACCTTGTCTCATTGGACATGACCTGTAATATATTGATGCATAAGAAGAAAGGGGGCAAGAAAGATGAATGAAAACAAGAAAGTCAAGTGGCAGAAGAGGAGAAGAGGGGAAACACAACATGTGAGGACAGGAAAAGCAATGGAGGCGGTGGTGCCCATCTGTTGGGGTCACTGCTTCCTCAGAGAACAAGGCAATTTCACTTTGCGGAGCCAGTTGCAGCACACTTCTTTTTTTCTGTTCCACCAGTTGTAGAGTCAGATGCAGGACCATTTACAAGAACAGAGCATCTGATTGGGAAAAAGCACTGCAGGGTGGGAAGCAGTTGGTGATATGAGAAGGATAGGAAGCTAACATACAAGAGAAGAATGGAGGAGGAGGTTGCAGCAGCAGCAACTCCGAGATATTGTGGGGTGGGGGGCTTTGCTCTGCGCTGACTCTTTCCCTAGCTATTATCTGGTGCTGAGCTGCATTTTCACCTGCTGTCCATTTCCTCAAAACTTTCAATTTTCAAATACTTTATTTGGTGGGAAAGCAAGTAAACCAATCCATCATGCTACCTTCATCTGCTTCACCTTTTCTTCTTCACTTCTGTCTTTCTCAGGTTGCTTAATTATACCTTTCTTGAACCTCCCTTGCAAGATTAATAAAGCATGCCAGCATGTTATCTCAATGCTGATAACTGGCTGGATGTCATAATTGCTGCAGGCCCCCTTCACACTCAGAGAATATTATCTTCAGGGTGTAAGGCCTGGACATCTCTGCTTACCACTCACTAACCTCATGTCTCCAGTTTGCACTCAGCACTGCCATCAGCTGTGCTACCTAAAGGACTGCTTCTCCTATTTCACATACAAGAAAGCTGAGCTTTGTTCTAACTTAAGAAATAACCATTTGCAGCTAACCACAAAAATTTGATGTTGAGGTGCAGGGAGGCAAATGAACAACTGGGAAGCTATAAAAGAGAAAAGATAGGCAAAGACTAGCCATTTTTTAACCCACAGTGAAAAACCTGGAAGGGCAAGGGCGGCGGCGGCAGCAGCAGCAGCAGCAGCAGCAGCAAGAGGACATTAAAGGGGCAGGAGATGCCTGGCAATCCTGAGTCTCAGATACCAGCCCCATCACCATGCCAAGTCCTAGCGAGTGAAGTGCTAAGACTCACAATTTTATGCTTGTAGCAGCAGGTTTCTGTGTCCATGTACACACATACAAAGTAGCCTCCACTGCAAACGAGACTCCCCAAAGGCCAGGTTTCAAATGGCCTCTGCAGGAGCCACTTGGATTCTGATGTGTGCTGGAGGATTTCTGTTTCTGAACCAGGTTTCCAAGACAGTAGGGAGCTGCCTTCTTTCGGACCAGGCAGAATCCAGAGGAACAGCAGTCTGTAATCTTTCAGTTATGGGGCAGTAGGGGCACTGAACGCACTACAGGGGGAATGCTCAGATGCAGCTGAAGTGGGGCTTGCTGATGAAGAGTTAGAGATGGTGGCCTGCTGTGAGTCTCAAACAGAATGCTGGTTATACATGCGGCGATGAATTCTGTGGTCCTCAATCCCAAGTGCAGCAGAGGGAGCTGGAAAAACTACCTACAGATTGCGTGCAAGGGAGGGCCATGCCTGTGCTTCTCCTAATGTCAGGAGACCAGCCTCTTTTCGCCCTCAGTACTCTCATCCATCCATCCTTCCTCCTCCCAGCTTGCTCAGTACATGCAAGGGCCTATGACTGCCTCAGAAGAAATGGCCCCTCCATTGGACTTTCAGCTCGATACATGGCCTCCTACTTAGAATAACAGGTTAGATAATAAAAATCAGGAATTCACAGTGTTTTATTCTCTTCTGTAGGCTCACCCAACTTCCCTGCCACTGATGCCAGTGACTCCAAGTCCTCATTGCATATTAGCTCTTGCCGGTGTGGCACTCAAAGGGTTAACAGACCTTGGCTTCTTGGACAGATAAGACATAAGCTCATTCACCAACAGGAACACAGGAGTGGTTACACTGAATAGATTACTAATGTTTCTTGTAACGGTTCTTTGGAGTCTCGCCACAGCCAGTTGTGTCGCAGGAGAGGACGCTGGGTTTCTTCCCCAGGCCAATACTCCCCAAGAGCTCTGGCAGCTCATGGGTTATAGCCCTCTCAATCTTCTCCAGGAAACAGCCTCCCATGTAGGAACACTGCTGAGCAAGAAGCTTAAAGGAGTTGATAGGGTTGATCCCAAAGAAGTCCTTGTAAGCTTCACGATTAGGGAGGTCGAACTTGCTGACATTGGTCTTGGCCAGGATTGTTTTAAAGATGTAAAACTTGTCTGGATCCTCCACAATGTCCTTGAACACGAGCTCTCCATCGCTGAAGAAGGTCATTTTGTCCTTGTAGGTCTGCAAGTAGCGATCAACTAAGAGTGCATGGATGCGGACGCGGATGGCATGTTGGCGGATAAAAGCAATCTTGTTCTCCAGCCTGTTTTCAATCACTTGGTTCAGGTCTTCTAGGAGTGAAATCTCCTCTTTCAAGAAGAGTTCTCTGTGGGTGTCAGGCTCGTAATCCAGGGGCCAGAAGGAGCTGACATAGACTCTGGGGGGCTCAGTGACGTTGATCAGTGGAGCCAGGCTCCAGAACAAGGCTCCGTAGACTCGCATGAGCTCTTGCGTAGCCAGGCTGTCAGCTTTGTTCAGAATTATCCTAATCTGAGATTCCCGTCCCTTTAGCTGGCGGAAAAGCATCTCCAGCTCTAGCCCCACATCCAGCTTTGTGGGGTCAAAAACTACAAAGATGAGGTCAGCTCTGTCAATGAACCACTGGCAGACGTCATTGAAAGGGTAGCCTGTAAGAGGAGGGGAAGAGGAACATCAAATTAGAGCCCAGGAACTTTCTGACATCTGGCACATGACAATGATTGCCCCGAACCCTTAGTGATACATCTTTGGAAACCCATGCTTCATAAGGCAGGGATGTTCCTGGGCTGCAGCTCCCACCAACTGCAGCACTTGGGGTGACCAGTGGTCAGGGATGATGGGAGCTGTAGTCCAGAAACATCTGGAAGACTGCAGGTATAGCTGCCCTGCATGAAGAACCCCATCCTATTTGCTGTTATCCCTTGAGTGGATAGTTAGAGCGCAATGGAGAAAGCAAAGTTCAAAAGGGAAGGGATGCAATTCAAAAGCTTGGCCAAACAGTGAAGTCAAACAATATGTACAGTACATATTGCAGCAAATGCTAAAAATGTGAAAAATATTGATATCTCATTTGACTATTGACAATGCTATATGAATTTTGTGGTTGACCAAAATCTCAAATCGAAACACCTCAAGACCCTCTGAACATTAAGGCATAGTAGGGCTTTACCTCGTTCCTGCTGCTTCCGGTTTTCAATGATCCCCGGTGTATCCACAAAGGTAACCCTTTCCAAGAGCTTATGAGGGACCTCAATCCCTATCAGCTTCTCCAGAAAGTTCTGACCAAATTTCTCAAGAGGTGAGAAAGAGCGTGTGCTGTCCGCAGCCATCACAATGCCTTCAATGGTCTTGAGCTTGGGGCCATGCATGATGACGGTGAACTCTGAGGTGGTGGGTTCAGCTCCTGTTCAAGGAGAAAGCAAAACAAAGGCCACACTCACACATCTGGCAAAAAAACAGTTAAAATCTCAGCTCCCTCAAAGCCCAACAGGTTCACAACAGAGGAAAACAATCCTATTGTCCCTTCCAAAACAGGATCACACTTCAAAACGAGCCTGACACTTCAAAACAGGATCACACTTCAAAACGAGCCTGACACTTCAAAACGACCTTGACAGATTAGAGAACTGGGCCAAAACAAACAAGATGAATTTTAACAGGGAGAAATGTAAAGTATTGCACTTGGGCAAAAAAAATGAGAGGCACAAATACAAGATGGGTGACACCTGGCTTGAGAGCAGTACATGTGAAAAGGATCTAGGAGTCTTGGTTGACCACAAACTTGACATGAGCCAACAGTGTGATGCGGCAGCTAAAAAGCCAATGCAATTCTGGGCTGCATCAATAGGAGTATAGCATCTAGATCAAGGGAAGTAATAGTGCCACTGTATTCTGCTCTGGTCAGACCTCACCTGGAGTACTGTGTCCAGTTCTGGGCACCACAGTTCAAGAAGGACACTGACAAACTGGAACGTGTCCAGAGGAGGGCAACCAAAATGGTCAAAGGCCTGGAAACGATGCCTTATGAGGAACGGCTAAGGGAGCTGGGCATGTTTAGCCTGGAGAAGAGGAGGTTAAGGGGTGATATGATAGCCATGTTCCATTATATAAAAGGATGTCACATAGAGGAGGGAGAAAGGTTGTTTTTTGCTGCTCCAGAGAAGCGGACACGGAGCAATGGATCCAAACTACAAGAAAGAAGATTCCACCTAAACATTAGGAAGAACTTCCTGACAGTAAGAGCTGTTCAACAGTGGAATTTGCTGACTTCCTGTTTCCGGCAGTGGAAAATGGCTGATCCCACACAATCGGACTTCAGCCGTTCCGATAATTCAGGGCTGATATGGGGGTAATTAGCCCTGGCAGCCTCCCCAGGGCAGGGGAGGACTGTCTCAACGACCCGCGGTCTGCCCCAGATTGTTGATGTGGCAGACGGCAGGGGCACTGGGTCACGGAGCTAGGGACGGCTGACACTCCTGCGACGCCACCCCATAGCCGGACGCATCTGTTTGGGAAAATATAAAGATTTGGAAAACAAACAGACACGCTCTGAATTGAAGAAGCTGGAAAAAACCTGCAGTATGTACAGTCTCTGGTGCAAAAGATCGAACTTCAAAGAGATCCTCATCATGACGTTTGGAATGTGGAGGGGCTTGGTATGTAAAAAAAAAACATTCTTTTATCCTTAACATTAACAATCCGTAATGCATGCCAAGTCTCATTAAGAACTTAAATTGCTCTTCAAAAAGTGAGTTCAGATGGACTTTCATATATAATTGGGATCTACTCGCAGCCACTTCTCTTCTAAGACCGGAAATGTCTGTTAAAGACAAAAACAAAGGACAAAGGACAAAATGGCGTCTCCCACCACGTCTTTATTGAATATCTGAAATACCTCCCTGCTTAAGAGAAACAGGAGCTAACGGATGGTTGGTTATAAAGACTGGAAACAATATTACATATACAACTGTTTGCAAAAAGATGTTTTTTTGATTACGAGCGAGAGAGAGGGCAAAATGGATGTCTGGCAGCCCCCCTCTAGGGCCCAGAGGGGGGGACTGGGAAGATTCCAAAGGCCAATTGCTAACTGTCTGATATATGGCTACATTGCAAACAGTCTGTTTAAGATAAATCAACAAGGAGGGTACAGAAGGAAATTTCTCTCTGTTTCTTTGATAACACCTGGATGGGAAAGATTAACGATCTGGGAGCTGCCAAAATAACAACTCTCAAAGAGCTGGACAGAACTTTGAAATTGGATGCAATTAAATGAAGCGGTGTGATGAAAAAACAGTGCGATGAAGGAGTACAATAAATGGACAAATCTGCACTCCATAGGAAAAAAAAAGTATCGGTTTTCTGACATGAATGAGGATCGTAGAACCAGAGTCAAAATGTGGAAGGGAAAAATCGGACATGGAATTATGAATAACATTGAGGATGATGAGAGGCAGGACTATGATGTTGAATGCGCTTCGAAATTCAGACCGTGGGAAGTCAAAACAAAATTATTACAATTTGGAAGACAATTGGACCTTTTTTATTTTAGTTTTTTATTTTTATTAGATCTGATTTGATATGTTAATTGGATGTTTTTATTGGAAAATTAATAAACGCTTTAAAAAAACAACAACAGTGGAATTTGCTGCCAAGGAGTGTGGTGGAGTCTCCTTCTTTGGAGGTCTTTAAGCAGAGGCTTGACAACCATATGTCAGGAGTGCTCTGATGGTGTTTCCTGCTTGGCAGGGGGTTGGACTCGATGGCCCTTGTGGTCTCTTCCAACTCTATGATTCTATGATTCTATGATTCTCTTAGCAGTGCTTACACTAAGCAGACAAATGGTTTCATCCCTTGCTCCTGGCTGATGACTGTAACTTCAGAATACATCCCCGATGGCTTAAAACAAATAGCTTCTTGAAGATGTTAAATGATTATCAAATCAGCATTCATTATCCCAACTTCTACCACACTCAAGGAAGAGGGCAATTCCCTGCTCTGTTTTGCAGAAACCTGGGTAGCTATAACACTACCACTCATTCTGCTGACACAAAGGAAGATAGTACAGCTCAGGCAACCGACTCCACACTGGAGACCACATTTTTGCTGCAGTTTCTAGAGCTATGCTTAGAAGCATTTTGCCACCGGGTCCAAGCTGTTCAGCATCTTATGCAGAAAAGGAACCCCCAAACTGCAGAGCTTGTTTCATCTTGCTTAGAAATTTCATTTAAATAGAAAGCTTTGCTCATTGGGAATCAGAGAGAAAGGAAGCCCCAGAGGGTGGTAGGAGGTGGGGAGGAGAGAACACTGAAAAGGTCACTCCTGCTCAAACTAATTGGCTCCATGCAGGGAAGGCAGAAAATTGCAAGTCCCTTGTGCTTGCCAACTGTGGTTCTTGCAGTCAGGCAACCACCTGAGGAGGGAAGCCAGCCCGATGGGGAGTCTCCTGGCCTAGCCTGACCTGCTAAGCAGGGTGCACTCCAGAGAGGCAATGGGGCTGAGCTGGAAAAGCTGGAGCTTGAAGCACAGCTAGCAGAAACTGTTGCTTCTTCTTCTTCTTCTTCTTCTTCTTCTCTCTCTCTCTCTCTCTCTCTCATACCTGGCTTGGCCAAGACAGAGACTTTTTTCTGCATATGAGGCCTGGCCACACCAGGGAGCTCACTTTGCTGGACCCTGACCACAAAAAGGTCTGTTCTGACACTAACTACAGAGATTTTAACAACCCCTATGCTGTAGGGTGGAGGAGAAATCCAATTCAGTACATATTTAAAGCCAAATCTATCAAATTCACACTTTACGAAACAATATGATAACAAACACAGCTATCCTTTGAAATGTGCACTTATCCAAGTTTTGTGATTCACCTCTCCAACCAAATTATGTCTATAAGAACATGTTATATATGAGAAAGTGCATAACAAAGACAACTTTAGTGAAAATGACATACAAAAATGCATTAGAGCAGGGGAAATTGCTTGTAAAAATGTGAACATTTGTCAAAACTGCATATAAAATGTGTTAATTAGGAGAAATTTGCATTAAAATGCTGATGAATTTTCAAGAAGAAATTCCCATATTGCTGCAAAATGTAGAGAACTGGATTCAAGATTGAGAAAATTAGAAAATGAGAGAACTGAATTGGAACAGCTCCTTCCATCCCTAGCAGAAAGGGGCAGGTTATACAGGTGCCTAAGACTTCAGAGATGTTACCTGTGTAGAGCTGGTAGGGAGTGTTATCCAGCCCCAGGAGGTAGTTTATCATGGTGGATTTGCCAACACTCCATGGTCCCAGGAATAGCACCATCGGCTTGGAAGTGATCTCTCCATCTGCAAGGGGAAAGCAATAATACCACAGGGTAATTTTTTCCCCCTCCTTAAGCAGGAAAAGCTCAGGTGTGTCCTTGAAAATTTTCCAGTCACCTCTTAAATAACTACCTGGACCCATGCCCCCAAGCTCACAGGAACATTGCCCAGCCTAAGCAGCCATTCCTTGGGGCAATCAGTGCAAGCCAGGGATGAAGGCATCACAACCTACACAGAGTGGGTAGGGTGAGGCATCACAGTGCACACACAAGCTGCTCACCTGCCATCACCCCCACAGTCTCCAAAAGCAGGAGCAGTCCAAGCAGAAGGGAACTCTTAGCCATGCGAATCCTCTCCAGGGTTGCCCAGGCCCCTGCTGTGGCCATGGCAGGGCCCTTCAGTTACATTAAGATGTTTTAAATGAACATTTTCAGTTGGTATCTTACTCTGGATAGACTAAATCAAGTCTACATGTGCTGGAGATGTAAAGCTGCACATGCTGCTCTTACACACATATTTTGGCCATGCTGGAGGATAAAATCCTTCTGGGCAGTTGTATTAAGCAGCATTGAGAGCATTACAGGAGACTTCTGGGATATAAAAGAGATCATGTCATAGAGAAATAGTAACATATTTCTGATCTGACAATTAGGTATCATTGGCGAAAAATAAACACACCCACCCCACAGACACTTAATGATTGGATTACAAAAGAATGTTTTAATTGTAAAGTTGATGGACCTTGTAAGAGGGAAGGCAGGCAAGTGGATATATATATAGAGAGAGAGAGAGCCCTTTCATTATGCATTGGTGCAACAAAATACAGGAGGATGCTGAGCCACAAATATCACTAGAAACACTGTGATAACATTGTGTACTCCTTTCCATCTCCCCTTGTATCTCTCTCTCCCTTTTCTGTCTAAACAAAAGTATGTATATTTCATATTAAGTTTGCATTGGTATTTACTTGGTTTGTTTCTGTACGTGCAGATTTAATGATAGTAATAAGTTGTTGTTGCTGCTGCTGTTGTTTGTTATTTAACAATAGCCTGTTTAGCTCAGCCAGGCACGTAGGTGGTCTACTGGTGATGGTGCAGAAGCCAACTTAGGCAACCAAAGAGGCACGAGGGGTACGTTTTCCTTCTGGTCCAGCAAGAGGGGCTGCTAGGCGCAGCAAGGAGGTGGGGGAGATGTCTTGTGACACTTCCTTGCTCAGCAGAGAGAGGCTGCCTGAGGGGAGCCGTGCTCACATGCAAGTGACAGGAAGCCATACCCACCTGTGGCTGAGGAGCCCAAGGTGCGTCCAGGGTAAGCTGTTAGGCGGGAGAGGACAGGGCCAGGGGGAGAGAAAAGGCAACGTGAGCAGGGAAAGGCTCAAGGAAAAGGGACGCTTGGTTAGGCTGGTATCAATCAAGAACTGAAGATGGGCATTGGCATTCTCTGAGGAAGGATGCAGCGCCAACGGATCTTTCCCCCCGCCCTATGAAAGAGGCTGGAATCATGATTCATGATCCACACAGTAACACAAGAAGGAGCTCATGCATCAAAGACCTCTTTTCCACAGGGATTAACATGCAAATCACACCCCAATTTTGTTGGGAGGATCATCAGCTAGGGGCTTCTTTGCATACTCAGCCCCTCTGCAGTCTGATGGATTTCACAGAATCATAGAATTGTAGAGTTGGAGGGTACCCCCAACCTCTAATCCAACCTCTCACAATGCAAGAATCACAACTAAAGTATCCCTGGCAGATGGTCACCCAACCTCTGCTTAAAAGCCTTCAAGGAAGGAGATCCCACCTTCCCAGGGAGTCTGTTCTACTGCCAGAAAGTTCTTCCTAGTGTTTAGCTGAAATATCTGTTCTTGTAACTTGAATCCGCTGGTCCGGGTTACAAGAAAGGAGATTTTGAAAGGGCATCTGCTCTCCTTAGCCTTTTTCACATGGGCTTAAAGTACATTGAGAATGGAAAGACCAGCACAGTCCACAGACCAGGGGTGTATCGGCTGTCCTGGAGAAACCCGAGGCTGGCGGAAGGAGGAAGGAATTTTAGGGGGAACGGACACTAAATGGTGGGGGGAACACCCTACTGAGAAGGTGCTCAGTGGTTACAGAATGCTGTGGAAGGGAGAATAGAATGACGTATCCAGAAAGAGGGCATATCCAGAACAGGAGCATTCCACACTGCAACATTTTGTTGTAGGTCCTGCTAGTAAGTTTCTACTTTTGATTCCAGCAGCACCAGGGCCTTCTAAAATGCTGCAGTGCAAGATGAGACCCCATTGGGCTGAATGTTCTGCCTCTCCACTTCCCTCCTACCTCACAAGATTGGCCATGAAACATGGCAGCCCATCAAAACATAAAAGTGGTGCCCCAAACACAACCCTCACCTGTGATTTCATGCTGCCGTAGTTCATTATACTTGTAAGACTGCTCCAAGGGCTTGATAGAAGTGTGGTAGATCTTCCTCAGCCGCTGCAGTGTGCCTGCAATGAGAGAAGAGGCCAAGAGGAACATATCAAAGCAGAAACCAGACCGGCCTGTCCACCACCACAACCCCTTGCACCCAGTGCCAGGTCAGTGAAGTGGCCAGTGGCAGTCGGAAGCTAAATGTGCAGGCATATGAGGCAGGCGGCTCTCCCAGTTGGCCTTTCCCCTGTTACACACGCATGTTTTACCAACAACATTGCAAAGAAGGTGTGAGAGGATTTTATGTTTTCTTGAAATAGGAAGAGGCTGCTCCTTTTGGTGTGCAGGGCTGTTGGGATGGTTCTTCTGGCAGGAGGAACAAGCGATGCCACTTGGCAACACCTTTGCTCTTCTTCCCCTATCTCCACCTCCTTTGCCCTCCCTCCAGGGGCTTCCCAGATCCTATGGGGCAGTTTCCTCACTCTGCAGAGGAGCATCTGGCATTCATCTTCGGAGAAACAAGAGAACACACCGACGCCTCTGTGGCTCACCAGTTTTGGGTTCCTCTTTGGGAGGCTGGGTACATGGCTCCAAGGAATCTGATCTCTGCAATCCATGCTTGCAAGATGCTCCAGCCTCAGAAAGAAAAGCTGACCCACATCATGCCGTGGGGTTTAAAGGGGAGCCTCCAGCCCAGGGCTCCTTCCCCTGCTCCTCTGATGGGGATGGCACTGCTGATCCAGCCAGGGGGGCTCTGAAAATGGGGTTTCCCTTTCAGAGGAGGACACCCAGTGGTGAGGAGGAGCAAGGGCAGGAGAGCCAGAGAAACCATGAATGGAGGGCCACCAGCTCCCACTCTCCTGCACCTGCCAGAAGGAGGCAAATCAATCAGTTTATTCCGTGTGTGTGTGTGTGTGTGTGTGTTTCTGTGTTTGTGCACTTGGAGAAGGGTTGTTGTGGAAGACTGTGAAGGTTCAGTCCCTGCTATATCCAGGTTAGGAATGGAAGATAAATTTGTTTCAGTTTGCATTTAAAAGCAGGTCTATTAGATAAGCACTTTCCGAAACCATGTGCAAACCGAAACACAGCTGTCCTTCAAAATTTGCACTTACCTGAATTTTTTGATGAGGTTCTCCAATCAAGCAATGTTTACAAAAATGCATTATATATGGGGAAAGTGTGTATGAAGATGTAGATATTAGTGAAAAAGGACACACACAAAAGCATATATTAGGAGAGGCTGCTTGCAAAAAGGTGCATGGTAGTCAAAACTGCATACAAAAATGGGTACATTGGGATAAATTCGTACTAAAAATCTGACAAATTCTAATTCAAACATTTAATTCAAAAATTCCTGCAAAGTGCAGAGAACCAAAATAATGACTGGAAAAATGAAAAATCAAGAGAACCTAAAGTGATCCTTCTGTCCCCTCATCGGAAAAACTTGAGAGCTGCTGCCTGTCCGAGATGACATTATGGAGCCTGATGGACCACAGTGCCTGACTCAGTAGAAGGCAGCCTCCTAAGTGCGTCTGTATCATCATTCCTTGCTATGGCCTGCTAGTCCTTCTTCCAGAGGACACTAGAAGAGGTCTCAGGCCCCTTCAAGAAGCTGGAAGAGGGAATGTTTGAGAGCTGGTAATGCTAAAAGAGCTTCTGAGTAGGGAGCAAGCCCAGGAATAAGGCTCAGGGGAAGCAGACGTCTGATGGTCAGTGATGAGATCCTGGAGGCACAGATATGTGGTCCTATGCAATGTGAGAGGGTGCTGTAGGAAAACAGAATGGACTGGGCCTCAGGGCCCTCTCTGGAGAAAGAGCTTGGGGCCCTGTCAGGCAGTATGGGCTACTTTGCAGATGGGCCACACACAGGGTGTGCGCCCATCTCTCCCAGCACATCTTTGCATCCTCCCCCTCCCCACCACCAACCTGTCCCCTTCCACTGCTACCTGAATAGTCATCTGCAGGCTTCTCTTCCTTCAGCTTCAAGGTGCTTTCAATGTGGGTGCGGTCCCTCCTGGCAGACTCCCCGGCATCCTCCGCCTCTTCTGCAGAAAGAGCAGAGACAGAATCACGGCCTGCAGGGAAGGTATCCAGGAGGAGGAGGGCTCAGTCCCAGCTCCCAAAGGGGAAAGGAAGAGGCTTTCCATGGTGCTCATCCAGGCCTTTGGCACGCAGTGAGGTTTCCCTTGCGCAGGCATTCCTTCCCCACCCCCAACCCTGCCTCCCAAGTGGAGCTAAGGGGCTGGCAGCTGCCGGAGGGCAATCTTCTAAATTTAGATGCTGCTGCATCCTGACTTCACAATGATGGGCAAGGCGAGGGGGTCTCTCATGACAGGAATAACCTCTGACAGTATGCCATGCAACACTTTCGGGGCCTTTCCAAATGAACTTGTTGATACACTGGAACAGAGACGACACTCCTGTCGATTGAGGTTTTATATTATAAAATGCAAAATAACTTCATCACTTGAGAGCCTAACAGGGAATTTCAGAAGACGGCATAGCAGGCCTCCCACCTAACACTTAGCATCTGGGCTGCACTTCTAAGCATGTCCCTTATTTTCTCAATGAAAGTGCTGACTTCAAATTAAAAATAAATTTTCTATGCCACTGTGGGAAAAGAATGTGGCTCAATAAGGAATGCTGTGAAGATGGGAGACTGAAGCCCTTAAGGTAGAGACAGTGAAGATCTTAAGGTGAAGATTGAGCTATTAAGAAGACCAAGAATATTCAGGATCGCAATGCATCAACTCTGTTGACTGTTGGCATCTTACAACAATTACTGGATGAGCAATTAAAAGAGATCAGTGCTGAGATTGTTGAAACGGTGAATGAAAATGGACCAGAGAAGGATGACATGGAAAATGGAATTAAAGAAGACACAGAAGCTTTGGACAATGATTTTGATAAAAGGATTGCCAGAACAGGAGAGGGAAATGGTAAAGTTGGAGGCAGCAGATTATGAAATGGATAAATCCTTCACACAGGTGTCTAGAGGAATGAAACAGCCAAATGGCAAAGTTATGATGTTGGAGGAGTGGAATGAAGCCATGGATGAAGAGATCAAGAAACATCCTGAGCTGGCAGAGACAGAATTGAGAGAGAAATGATGATTCTGTGCACAATTTGGAGTGAATTCAGAGTAAAAAGCTGCCAAGCCTCTGGCTCTTCTCTTGGAAAAAGAATGAAAGAAGTGGAAATGGAAGGTTTTTGTTTTTGTTTTGGGATGGAAAATAACAGCAAATAGAATTAGAAGATACGGAACTGGGTGTAAATTAATGAATATACAATAAGTAAATAACCAAAAAATATTATTTTAACATATGACCACAGTGGAGAGACTCTTGTGTAAACAAAGACAATTAATTAGAGATCTACTTTTAGACTTTTTGTGTGGAAAGGAAAATGAATGAATTTGAGACATTTGGGTCTGAAGTCTGGGAAAACATTGCTTAGCTGCAGAAGGAAGAACAGCTGGATATCCTTTTTAGTACTTTTTTCTTCTTTTTATTATTATGATTCTAGTCTATTATTATTTTCTATTATTATTTTATTTCCCTTCTCTCTCTCTCTCTCTCTCTCTCTGTGTGTGTGTGTGTGTCCTCTACTCTGGGCCACTATTGGGATTACACATACATGAAGGTGATAGCAATCAGAGAAGGGAAGATCTCCCAGGGTGGGAGACTGCAGAAGAAAGGGATGCTCCCAGGTAAGAACTGGGAGGGTCCACCCCTTCCTGTGAAAGATAAGAGTTAAGCCGGGGCTTTTTCCCGGCTGGAACTCACTGGAACTCAATTCTAGCACCTCTCAGGTGGGCACCATTAACATTATAAGAGAACAAAGGAGGAGTTCATGGTGAGTTTTGGCACCTCTTTTTCTAGAAAAATAGCACTGGGTTAAGCTCTACTTTTGGGGAAGGACTTTGTACTTTCTTTTTTTTTATGCTTGTGTTTTCATTTAGATTGGCTTGTTTTTTATTGTAATGTATTATGAAAAAGCTATATACATATGAAGAAAAATACAGCTACATGGCAGGAAGCCCATTCACTTTCTCTGATGCAATTCACACTCCACCTCAAGAGGGGCAGGAGGTCCAGCTGCTCCCCCAGACAGTGAGAGGCTTCTTGAAGGGGTCCTTCCTGTTGCCACCCTGACAAAGTGTGTTTGGCCACATGGTCAGACAACTGGCAGCATCCATAATTTTCAGATGCTGGGTGGAATATAACTTTCATGAAGTATAATAATGCAGCCTGTCACATGTTAATAAACAGCCCACGATGTTTGCCACCCTGTTGTGTGACCGCAGACTAGATTCCCTTTTGTCTCATCCTCCCATCATGCCTCTGTGGTCCAAAATGCCTGCCCCAGGTCCTCCACTGCTCCTGAACCAATTCCTTCCCATGTGACCGGGAGTCACTGGAGCCCTGCCTCATTGCTGGGCCTGACTGAATAGGCCCCGCGGTGCAGGTCTGTGGTGCCAGCTGGGAGCTGAGCCCAGCCTACCCCACAAGGCAGCCGATAGCTGCAGAGAAGACTTTTCTGGTCCCCAAATAGCCGCTGGATACAGCTCTGGTTACACTTTGGCATCAGCTGTGTGTTCAAGAGCAGCATTAACAAAGGGAAGCTCCTTCTCGCTTCCTGCCCCCTCCCTCAATGGCAGGTGATCAGATGAACATTCCTGGCATGGAATTTATTCCAAGGAACACCCCCTCCTGACAGTCATGCCAGCAATTAATTGCCTCTAGAGGGTTTTTCAGAACCTTACTGGTCGAAGCTGTGGGGGGCGGGAAAGGGGGCTTTCTTTGTGCAGTTGGGGGGAAAACATAGTGTGGATTTAAAATCAATGTGGTGAATTTATTTGGCTTATTTGTCAATACACTGGAGAAAACCCCTTTGAGTTCAGGAACCCCCTCCCTCCAAGCGACAGCATCTTGTTTGCATGTTTCATTTTATTATTATTGTTATGTAAAAATTATTATTCATGTTGCTGCTTTGCTGAATTAAAAAACCCCACAGACCATTTGACATAATAGAGATCTTGGATTTTTGCATCATTATAGCAAACTTGAACTAGTTTTGTTGGTTCAGGTTTTGTATTACTGTATTTTTCCAAAATTAAGAAATTAATATTATAAAAATTCCATGTATAAGACGACCCCCAATTTTTAACTTTAAAATTTTGGAGGGAAATATAGTTTTATACACGGAAAAATACGGTATTTTCTGCAGAAATGCTGATCTGGTTGCCTCTAGACCACAACCCATACAGGACCACTTGGTAACCTACCCCACATCTGAGGCTTTAAACTAGCAAAAAAGGCACTGTAGATTTTGCATCCAACAGAAGGGGAGAAAATGTAGAAGCACATAGAAAACAGTGAGAACACCTAGAGGGACAGAGGCCCACCACCCTTGCTTTCTTTAGATCTGCACTTAAAAATGCAAAATGCCTTTCGACCCAAACTCTTCTCTGAAGCTTCTTGGGCAGCTGCTTCTCTCCTCACTCCCACCCCTTCACTGTCCTGGGGTAGGGGGCAAAGGGGGTGGCTTGACAGCCAGGGTAGGTCTGTTGGGAATATTGTGTATGGGAGCTGTTTTATTTAGCCCTACAATATGGCACGAAGGGGGCTGGAGCTTCTCCAGGTGAACTGACCAGCGGTGGAAGTAGCTGGAGGGTTGCTGTGAGGTGCTGGGCTAGCGGCAGGCGGGGCTGGGTGGGCTTGCTCAGAGGATGCCTCCTCGTGACCACCGAGGGTGTCTTCATTGCTGGGAGGAGTGGGCATTGCTTCTGCTTCACTGGGGCCTCCCTCTTGATGCTGGAGGTGGGTGTCAACCTCAGGGTCAGATGTCAGGCTGGGATCTCCTGGCTCCACGTCACCCATGCCTTTCCCTGGGGAAGTCCCCTCTTCCCCCTCCTCTGCTCTCCCCTCTCTCTCTGATGGGGCAGGACCCTCTTCTTCTCCTCCTATTCCATGGGCCATGGCTTCTTCTCCTGCCAAGGCAGTAGCACCCTCTTCTGTGGCTTCCACTGTGCTGTCATCTTCCTGTGACTGAGGGTCTTCTTCCTCAGCCGCATCTTCCTGAGAATTGTCTTCTTCCTCAGCCTCATCTTCCTCAGAATTGTCTTCTTCCTCAGACTCATCTTCCTCAGAATCTTCTCTTTCCTCAGACTCATCTTCATCAGAACCTTCTCCTTCTTGTAGGCTGGTATCCCCCTCCCTGGCCACTGTAGCCCCTTCTTCTCCCTCCTCCTCCTCTGCATCAAGCTGCCCAGGACCATCCGCTGTCTCCTCCTCTGCTTCTTCCTCACGGGGGCTGGTGTCCTCTGCTTCCTCAGACTCTTCTTGCCCCTCTAACATGTGGGGCTCCTGTGGCGCCCTGCCTGGTGCCCCCAAGATGCTCACTGCAGGGGAGCCACCACTAAAGTGTCTTTCCACAGAGGTAGCTCCATCTTCACTGCCCAAGTCAGCAGTGATGTTGTCCTCCTGAGTGGAGGACGGCTCCTCTCTGGTCTTGACAGGGGGCTGAAGGAGGCTCTGGGAGGGGGCCCCACTTCCCCCTGGGGCAGCATCTTTGGCAACTCCCTCTGACTGGGCCTGCTCACTCTCTTCAGCCTCCTCTCCAGCCAAAACATCCTCCTTGTTGACTGTGAGATATTGCTCAGGTGCTTCCCTTTGCCCATCCGTGTCATGCCCTTTGTCGGGGGCATTCTGTGGTTCAGCAACAGGGGCTTCCTTTTCTTTCAGACCCTCAGCTTCCAAGGAGCTGGTGTCCAGTTCAGCAGCTGCCTCAGTGGAGCCATCAGCACGAGGGCTTCCTTCCACACCTGTGCTGGCTTCCTCCTGGCTGTCTAAGGGCCGGAAGGGAATTCCTGTCCCAGGTGGGATGGCAGCGGTGGCAGCAGCAGCAGAGTCTCCATAGAGCAGCTTCTCCTTCTCTGCCAGGCTTGGGTCTCCGGGCAACAAGCCTCCTTCGGCAAAGGTGGCAGAGTCTTCTATGCCATCCGGGGCAGAGACTTGCAGTTCTAAATAGTCAGAACATGGTCAGTCAGTTTGATCTGTGCTCAGCCTGCCTCCCTCCTCAAAACGGCCTGCGTGGTTCACTCGGGGCACACGATTTGCACACGTGGCTCTGCATAAAGGCGCAGGCAGAGCCAGGCTGTTCCCTTTCCTATTAAAGGGATGTTGAAACTGATGCGCATTTTGAGGAGGCTTTTATAAATACATTCTTAACCCTGTCCCAACTACCAGGCTTGGAATCCAGCTTGCTTTTCTTGCTCCTATCAATAAACTGGGTGCAAACTGATGCTGGTTGGAGGGAATATAGCTTGGATTACACACAGGCAAACCCTGAGCAAGCCTAAGCCCCGGCCGGCTGGCCCTCTCTCTCTGCTGGGCTTCCTGCCTTCCTAGGCTACAAGTACAGAAGGAGAAAAGCCAAGGAAGGAGAGGAACAGCTTGGGAGGGAGAAAGCAGCTGCCTTTAAATACTTTTTGAAGGTTTTAGCATATCCCAAAGTAAGGCTAGGAATCACCAAACACTTTGTGTTTCCTCTCAAAGTTCATCTTCTGTGCTCCAGAGGTTTCCTGCTCTCCTTTTCCTTCTGTTGGGGGCTAAGGAAAGCTGGACAGAAAAGGAGACAGAGGCCATGGGGGTCAGTTGCCTCCTTTGCCAGCCTCACGTTTGCATTGATGTGATGGCACGGATCCTTCCAAAGTAGCTAGTTTACAGTTAAGGAGTCCAAACCCACCTGCCTCTCTCTGTGTGAACCCAGATCAGTCTCTATTGTTTGAACATGCTGGCAGGGGTACATCAGAGAGAGGCAGGGCTCTCTCCAAACAGCGCAGGCAGAGCTGAAAACGGGAACTGACTCACAAAATCTCCCGAGCCTTGTGGGATGTTTCACATGTCTGGATGCAAATGCTGGCAATGAAAGTTCTTCTTTACTGGTATTGCATCTTCCTTCTCACTCCCACTCCACAGAGCACACCCCAAATACAGAAGAGCCCTGTTGTTGTTGTTGTGTTATTATTATTCCTTTTCCCCAAATCCGGGACTCAAGGCAGCTTACACCAATTAAAACAGCACCAACAAAATACAAAAAGCTAAAAACATGTAAAGATAATTGTTAAAAGTAATTAAACTCAAATAGAATTAAAATAATATAGAAATGAAATCTATTAAAATGCAGATAGTAAAAACAGCACAGCACTATTAAAAGCCCTTTCCTTTAAAAACCTTAGTCAGCTCCCAAAAACCTGTTGCTTCACCTGCCAACAGAAGGACATCAATGAGGGAGCCAGTCTGGCTTCTCCAGGGAGGGAGTTCAAAAGTTAACTGGGAGCAGCTACCACCGAGAAGGCCCTCTCCCGCTTCCCCACCAAGTCTGCCTGGGAGGTTAGCAGGATAAGAGAAGAGTACCCTCCTGAAGATCTCAGAGCCTGGGCAGGGTCATTTTAAAAATAAAATAAAATATTTTATTAAGGATTTTCTTGTTTTACAGAAGTAAGTGTAATGCCTCGTATTTTTTTTCCATGTAACATTTTTACAAATCCATTTCATTTGTTGAGGCATTAGGGGGAGAAGAAAAGAAAAAAGAAAGAAAGAAAGGAAAAAGAAAGGGGGGGGGAGGGAGGGAAGATGGATGGGGGTGGGGTCGGGTGGCGATGTTTCTATTATGCTTAATGTCTGTAGAGTTTGGTGTCAGCGTTACTTGTGTTCCTTTGGTGGGGTTGGCCTAGGGTGTGATTGGCTGTGGTGATCTTTGTTTTCATGTGTGAGTGAGGTGGGCGGGTGTTTTGGATCAGGTTAGCCATATTGATTTGTATGCTGTTGGTGGATTATTGTCATTGTCTTGTTGGGCTGTGTATGTGATAAAGGGGAGCCATACTGGGGTGAAGGCGTCTTCTTCTGTTTGTCCCCGTGTCAGTTTCAGTTTATTAGTTAATTTTTCTAGTAGGGCTGTTTCCCATACTATTTGGTACCATTGGTCCATGCTTACTCCTGACAGGTCTCTCCAGTGTCTGGTTATGGTGTTTCTGGCTGCTGAAAGTAGGTGGGTTATGAGTTCTTTGTGGTGTAAATGGGCATTGTTGTCTTGGAAGATGTTTAGTAGGGCCAATTCTGGGGTGATATCTAATACTTGAAGTAACCTGGACTTAAGCCACATAACCACCCTTGTTAGCTTGTGCCAGGAAAGAGACCGGGAGCCAGTGGAGCTAGTGCAACAAGGGAGTCACCTGCTCCGGTTTCTATCCCCGGCATCTCTAGCTGGGCTGGTGGACATCCTGGTGAGCCACAGCCAGGGAATCAGTGTGGACCAAAGTGGGTCAGTACAGGGCAGTTTCCTATGCTCCTAATGGCAGTTGCCCCCAGACACTGGGGCGGCCTCCCTAGTAAGCAGTGTGAACCAGTAGTTCAGGTTAGCCAATCATTTCCTTGTGTCTCGGTTGCCATTGCAGGAAAACATGAGCCGAATTCGGAACACAGCCCTTATGCCATCCATAACAGGCCTCAACTGTCCAGCTGCTTTGACTGGGTCTACTTCCCTCTTCTCCAAGTCAGGGTCCCTGCGCCAGGGAAAGTGGTGAGTGAATCTGGCCAGTATCCCAGGAGTTGTGTGGGGGAGAGAGAAGGGGTCACTTGTGCTCTCCATGAGCCTCCCACCCACCACCATTTCTTATTGACCTGAAATCGACGCTTGAAATTCAGCAGACCTCCATTGAAAACAGCAGCAAGTTAGAGAGATAATTCTCCCTCCACACCTGATGGCAGGGGGCAGGTCTCATTTGCCCATGCAAAGCTTTTCCTTTGTTCAGGGTATGTAGCTGAAGGCCACCCACCCCTGTCCCCTGGGGGAAGGCCCCAGGCCCCAAGCATTGGCCAGCCTCTTTGAAAGGCTTTGGAATCATCAAATCATCAAATGGAAAAGTTGGAAGGAACCCCAAGTCCACCCCCCTGCAATGCAGGAATCTCCACTAAAGTATCCATGGCAGGTGGCCATCCAACCTCTGCTCAGAAACCTCCAAGGCAGAAGGCTGCCTCCCTGCCTGCCTTGGAGAGGCCTGGCTCTCTTATATTAGAATATAAAAGGCACAACACCACGGTGTAAACATCTTGGCTGTGCTTTGCTTTTGCTTATTAGAGAGACCTTGGCTGCTTCAGTGTGCGCCCAAATGCGAAAGGGATGCCCTCTGACCATCATAGGTCCATGGTTCTTCCCAGGAAGTGTTGCTTGGCCTGGGGTTCCTCCTCCTTCTCCTCCTCACCCTCCCCGCCCACCAAAGCTTTGCCCAGGAAGAGGTTGTGGGGATGATTGCAGGGGGAGCCATGGGGCTCAGACCTGTACATGGAAAGACTTGGGGCATTTGCCCAGAGGCAGGTGGGCTGGGGTGCTTTGGAACTAAACAAAGGGCAGAACCTCAGTGGTTGGTTCCCTGTGGAGACCTCAATGGTAAAAGACCTGAGGAGCTCCCTTGGGGGGCTGGACTCAGGTGGGAGCTCCTGGCCCCTCACTTCCTGTGACCTTCATGGCCTTATATAAAGAGCCCTCCTTGCCCTCGCTGGCCCCAAACTGGAGGCCTCCAACTATATCGAGCGCTGAATTCTGCTGACCTGCAGATAGTTAAGGGGTGTTTGCTCTGCAGCAAAACGGGCTGAAGGTTATGGGCTTAACACCCAAGCAGCCTCCCTCATCAGCTAAAAATACCACCGGCAACTGGGTGGGGGGTGCTGCCGCTGCTGCTACAAACCACAGAAACTCCCTTCATGGCTCCTGCCCCTGCCTCTCCGTCGCCCCCACAACACAAACGCACACACAGAGAAAGGTCCATGGAGAGGAGCCCAGCAGGACTTTGGATGTAGGAGAGAGGCCTCATTCCTTTCCCTGTGGGTGAGGGGCAGAGGCGGTGGCAGGCTGGGTGGGTGAGTGGCAGGTGGGGGCAGGAGCCCCTCCAACGCATCGCACAAGCCTGTTGTAAGCTGACACCCTGGGATGCCTCTTGGACACGCCAGACAGTACTGTATGCGTGCCGCACTAAGGGAGCCGAGGACGCCGAGAGCACGTCAAGAGCATGTCAAGAATGCCGAGTCTGCTGTGGCAGGGCAGATTCCAGCCCAGGACCCTGCAGGAGGAAGTGGTGACGGAGCCTTCTGGGTGGCGAAGTCGCGAGCAACAAAATGTCTCTGTGGCCTAGGAAGCAAAGGATGTCCAGGGTCAAGCCTCAGACACACGTACCAATCCCACCAAACGGCAGCAGGCAGAGCAGCAGCCAGGTGAACCAGAGAGTGACGTCCTGTCAGCCGGCAGGCAGCTACCTAGACACCTCATGCAAAGATTTTGGCTGCAGGCACATGACTCCAGGGTTTGCCCAAACAGAACCCCCCAAGAGCAAGCCACAGCCCTCCACGGGCTCTCTCTGACACGATGCCATTATCCTGGCCCTCTTTATCAGCATACACCTAAAAACTAATGAAACAGTGGCTCAGCCTAGAGAGCAAACTTTTTCCAGGCGTTGTAACCGACTATCCCCAACAGAGCTGTGACGGGAGAGGAAGCGGGGTGCCCACCTAATGCCCACACAAGGCAGGGCTACGATGAACGAAGAGGGCAGAGAAGAGGACGCCAGCCCTCCACAGCAAGCTAGAAATAATGTGTGACGTTTGCCCCATAATAGAGCAGGATGGCCATAGCTCTTGTCCCACCTGCAACTGCCCCTCCAGAAGGTCCTCTGCTCCCCCAACCACCAGCTGCCCTCTGTGGTGCTTCTGGATAACTCTGCTCTGGCCACTGCTCCCCTCCTGTCAGGACCAGCAGCCAACCTGGCCCCTGGGAGGGTCCTTGGGGGTCCTTCATCTGAGCGCAGTGCTCCCTCTGCAGTCAGCCCATCACCCTCACAAGGTCAAAGGCCCACCTGTGATGGGGAAGCAAAAGGGAGTTTCCCACCTGTCCTTGTTGCTGTTTTGACAGCCCCACAAAGTGGTGTCTGCTCTTCCCTGTGTGATTCCTGCCTGCTGGGCCTGGCTGTTACCCTTCCTCCTCGTCCTCCATTTTCTCAGAGAACCCGCACTCCCTCCATGCCTGCGGAGGTGGAAATCCCTTGCCTTCTGGGCACTCGCAGCACCTGACAGGCTCTGAGCCAAACCTCTGGCCCTCTTCCCACCCTGCCTCTGGCAAGAGGCCCTGCTTGCTGTCTGCAGCCCTGGGAATGCTGGAAGCCCCATCGCAGAGAAGTGGTGAGGCCGCTGGGCACGTGGAGCATGGTTGGCTGGCAGAGAGCTCTGCTTTGCTCTGCAGTAGTCACCATGCAAGTCTGGCAAGTTTTAGGCTGACTTGAAATGTGTGCTGGAACCCAGAGCTTTGGGCCACTTTGGCCAGTGTCATCCACCCTGATGAGAAGCCAGCTGCCACGCAAGAAGATGGACACTAGCCGCCACCCCAGGAGCAACCAGGACCCCCAGGGGTCCCTCCCCTGGAGTTGCTGGCTGGTTGGGAGTCCCAACATGGCAAGGCCTGCAGCTACTCAGCCTCTGGGTCAGGACTCCTACCCTTCTGTTTTGGTTTGGGCAACAGGACAGAGCAACCCCAGAGGCACTTGCAGAGAACTGAAGAGACAGGACTCTGCTCTGCACTCGGTGCCCACCAGCCAGCCATTGCAAGCCCCCCTTTTTCCCTCTCCAAGACAATAGAACCATAGACTTGTAGAGTCAGAAGGGACCCCAAGGGTCATCTAGTCCAACCCCCTTCAATTTAGGAAAGTCAGCTAAAGCATCCATATCAGATGGCCATCCAACCTCTGAGGGAATCTACTCCATTGTCCAACACTTCTTCCCCTGATAAAGCTCTTCCTAATATTTACTCAGAATGCCCTTCCTTGCAAGTTGAATCCATCTATTTGGGTCCTCCTCTCTGGAGCAGCAGGAAGCAAGCTTGCTCCGTCTTTCATGGGACAAGATATTTGAAGATGGCTCTCAGCACCTCATGGTCCTTTACTGTGAGGCGAAGGGAGTGGGAATAGCTGGTCTTGTTCAGAACAAGAGTGAACCAGTGAGTGTAAACCTGCCTGGGATGCACGTGCTTTTGCTTTCCCTTTCAGCATTCACACGTAACACACGGGCATTCAGCAATGTCCCAAGTTAAAAAGAAGACCCCGGTCCTGCAGACCTCTGCGAAACTGCAGCAGCCAAGACGCACCCTCTAGTGGCCAAATGCAGAGTGGCGGGAGGCCAAGGAATGTAATGCTGGATTCCGCAAGTCCCGAATCAAAGGTGCAAACTTTTGAGCAGCATAGATCTGCACTGTTGCCTGGCAAAGAGAAAAGATTCCTGGCTCCCGCCCTGGTTCCTCCTAGCCTCTGAAAATAGCCCAGCTCTAAACCTGGTATCGCTCCTGTTTTCTTCAGTCCTCCAGAATGGCTGCCGCTTTGAACAGTGGATGGACTGCACACCTGGTTCAATGCCCAGCTGGCTGCCCAAGCAAGAAAGGGGTTTTCCTTGCCTGGAGAAAGTTGCCAGGAGAGAACACACGCAATACACACCCCTTCTCTGTGCTGCAGCTGCACTGCTGGCACATCCTTTGGTGAGCAGTTAGGCCTCCAAAGGGGCAGGCAGGTCGCCAAGACTTACCCCTGGGCACAGGCAAAATGTGAGGTTGTTTTGAAATCCAAGATACAGTGGTGCCTCGCAAGACGAAATTAATCCGTTCCGCGAGTGTCTTCGTCTAGCGGGTTTTCCGTCTTGCGAGGCATTCGTCTTGCGGGGCACCACTGTATTTGATCCCCACATAGGACAGCTGCATATTCCTGCATTGCAGGAGGTTGGACTACATGATCCTCAGGGTCCCTTCCAACTCTACAATTCTGTGATTTAATTCTTTTAAGAGGTACCACACCTTTTTAATAGCTGTTTGATGGCCTTGCTGCTGTAGGCTGCTAAATACTGGAGATTTTGGGCGAAAGATTTAAGAGAAGGTGCAGAGAGAGGAGGAGAAAGAGACACATACAGAGAGAGAAAGAGGAGTGGACACTGGGGATATATCTGTAGAATAGTGAACAGTCGGCCCTATTAGTGCAATGAAGGACACCTTTCATGAAGTTCCCACAATGGTCTCATATTCCAAAAGTAAATGAAGTCACATAGCTCCTCCACTAAACAGAGAGGTTTGCGATGTAGATGGTGTGTGCAAATTTAGGGACCTTGTGAAAGCATGCAACTCCCCCCCCCCAAAAAAAAAACCTATTAGTGATTACTTATATGATGCTCACTTTTCTGTGCTAACTGTGGGCAATCTTAAAATGAAAATATGCAGGGAAAGGGCCTGCTGGGTGATTTGTAAGCCAATGCAAGAAGGAAATGCCACATGACTATCTCAGCTGGAGTATTGCTGCAGGAAAGGAACGAATGTCCCCATCATATGCACGTCTACGGCTATTGTGAGGGGGGCAGAGGAGAAGAGGCAATGGTCCCTAAAAAAAAGCAGACTCTTACATGCTGTAGAAGAGAAAGGTTGAAAGTACCACTTGTTGCATTGGCACATACGTCTCCTTGGCTTATAATATTTGAAACCTTTTATTGTTTTCTAAAGAACAAATTAAAAAGAAGTGTTCTCAGGTTCCAGTGAAGCTGGTGGTGACCTTGGGTTGTGTGATTCTGCCCTGTAGCAGTTGCTGATGATGGAAGAGACACAAGGCAAACCTGATCCTTGCGTGAGGAAAGGGCAAAGTTCAGTTCCTCCAGGAGGCTGAGCCTTTGTCTCCCTGACTCCGGAATAGAGGAAAATGGGTCAAATGTCTGGAAGGATGACCTCACCCTCCCAAAAGCACTCTTGGTGGCTGCCACAGGCTGAACCTCCAAATCCAGCAACGTCCCTTGCTTGGGAGCAGTGTAAAATACTCATAAGTTAGAAGAAATAAAGGGGGATACTGTATTTCAGTGCAAGTTGCAGTTTAGGGAATGGCACTTTCCTCTCTGGAAAGCCAGTCAGCTCTACCAGATGCAGCCTGCTGGCTGATGGACAATGGCAGAACCATTGCTTGAAGTGAAACTCTGGGGGATCCTGTTTAGTTTTCCTTGTAGATAAGAACACTGGGAGCACACTGGTTGGCCAGGATGCCACCGGCCAGTAGCTTCCCCATGCAATAGAGATGCATGCAGAATGGGGAAGCAGGAGGTGCCTGGCGGAAATTCTGTGTCCTGTTCTCCTGGGACTTTAGGGTCACAGCTGCTGGCTTTGATCAGTGGCTGATGTTCACACATTCTCATTGCCAGCTACCCAGAATCCTGTTAGCACTAGTAGGGTCCAGCTCTCTTGACTTTTGCCTTACAGGCCTCACCCTCCAAAAATACTCTGGTTGCTAGACAAAGGTAGTACCAGAAAGTGCCCCAATTCTTGCACACAGACCCCACCTTCCTTGCTTGGGTACATCAATGACAAAGGGGGGGGGGACTTTGTTTGTTCCATGCACACACCCAAAAAGCAGTTCTTACCAACCCCAAATCCTGCAACGATCAAGTCTATTTACATTCACTCATTCCCTGCGGTTCAGAATATGAAGAGGAAGGGCATGGAGAAGCACCCAAGTTAGAAACTTGCTTCGTTTGTTTCATACAAGAGGAGCTGCAATCCACACCGAGGTGCTCATGATGAAGTCACACAGCTCCTGTTTCTCCTAAGTGGAAACTGTTGGACCATCCCAGCAAGGGGAGGGGAGGGAGGGAGGGAACGACAGATGCTGTGGAAAAGAGCTCCTGCACAAGCAGCAGCAGAGAGCGGACAAGGGTCCAGGCTCCCCACTGCCCAGTCTCTCTCTAGGGCCCTGCCTGGCTGCCACCCCCCTTACAGGCTCTCCCTCCCGCAGGCTCGGCAGGCTTGACCTGCAGTGCGGCCTCTAAACCTCAGTAAAAGAAACCTGGGGGCCCTGGATTTCTTCGCAGCCATGCCAAGGCCCCAGCGCTTATTACTGGCTGTGGCTGGGTAACCCCAGGCGGGATAAATATAGCTCCCTTGTGCCTGCTGGGCTGCTCAGGTTCCATTGACTGGTCTCTGCAGACATCCTCTCTGCAGCTTGAGGGTGAGGGTGGCAGCCAGCTCCAAACTTGTCTGCAACACAGGAGGTTCCTGGACTTGGGCTGCATCACAAATGCACCTCCCGCTTCAATTTCCGACTGCCTTCCAGTCAAGCCCCCTCACCCCTTTCCTTTTGAGACCTCATTGGGCTTCCGAGTTACTATGCAAGGATATCAATGGTCAGAAGTGCAAGTTGGTGTTAGGCCTCGAAAGTTCTCCAAAGAGCAGGCAGAAGGGAAGGGAGGGTCACTTCCATTGCAAGAGGCATTTCGAATTAGGGGTGCAACAGCAAGACCTTCCCAAATATAAGCAGCTCCATGACTCTTATGGGGGAGGGCTCTGCCTTTGCAGCCCAGAGGCATCGTGGCAGAAAGAGAGCACCATCTTTCCTGGGCTGCACTCAAGTCTTAGAGGTTGTGGGCCGTGGCTGAGCCTAGTGACGCAGCGAACATCCCAACTCTTACTAACTTGTGCTACAGGATCTGAGATTATTCCATAAAGGTAAATCCAGCTGTTTCTGTTTTAAGCAAGAGGTGGGAAGAAAATGAAGGGAAGGGCTTCAGATCTCAGCTGGATGAGTCAGCCAACACCTGGGCTTGGGCCTAGCCGAGGGGCGGGGGGGCAGCTACCCCCCTAGATCAAGGAAACAATAGAAATACTAAACTAACTGACCAATCACTTCGGTTTTGCCCCCCCGAACAAAAATCCTGGCTATGCCCATGCACTTGGGTGAAGGTAAAACCCAATTGAGCAGCTGAAAAGGGCAGAGAAGTTGGCAGGCGAGGGAAGAAGCCATCTTCTTCTGCAAGAAGGTGGGAAAGAACAGGCTCAGAGGCAGGGATGAGTGGGCAATCCCTCCAGACACTGCTGGGCTTCCATCATCTTCTCTGGCCAGGGCTGGTGGGAGTCTCAGCCCAGCAACTGCCACCACAGGTGGGCTGCATTTGGCCAGGAATGTGACCTCCCAGCAGAAAATGAAGTCAAACAAGACCAGAAAGGACCTTGAGTCAACAGGGAGAGCGGATACAGTGAGGCGGAGGAGGAAGGAACTGCTGACAAAGACCCTCCAAGAACCTGAAAGTCACAGCAGCCTCTGAAATACAGGCAGGAGCATTTTGCCAGAACCAAAGGAGAGAGCAAAGTTTCCGCTCCCCTTTCCTTCCTCAGCACCAGAGGAACTGGGAAGTGGCAGAGCCAAGCGACACCTCAGGCACATCTCCTCCCAATACTCCACAAGTGATGCACAACACTTCCTCAAGAGGGAAACTCAAAACACAACAACTGGGAACAGAGAACGGTGCCCACCTGGGACTCCGCTCCATCAAACTCAAGCTAAAGGCAAGGCTGGCTGGCTTGCCAGGGGGGTCAGGCACGGAGCAGGACCACTGGGGGACTCACTGGGGAAAGTGAGGCTGCTGTTGGCTGGAGGGGGAAGCCCAGGAGCCCACCCCCAGTCGCACCAGGAGAGAAGGCAGCTTTGGCCCTTCATCTCCATTTCATCCCCTCTCACCTCCCCACTGTCTGCAGAAGCGCCAGGCCAGGTAATGCAGGTAGCTCAGGTAGGGCAGCCCCCCCCATCCCTGCAGTGGGAGGAGGGCCACAGGGGTTTATTCCTTGAAAACATTCCTTAAATGCCTTTCATCAAACGATTCTAGGGCTCTGAACAAAGTGTGAATAAAATCAATTCACACAGCATATAAATACAATTTCAAGCCAACAATTAAGCATAACGAAATACAGCAAGACAAAAACCAACCCTGAAAGCTAAAGACAGGATAAGCACGGTTCTGAAAACACCCATCTACTATCCAAAACACGAGCAAACAGAGAGGTCTTCGTGGGACACCCAAAAAAATGGCACTCCTGGTGCAGGGCAAGCCAGTTCCATACAGAAGCGCATTCTAAAGCCAGGATGCCAACCCAGAAAGCCATCTCCGCCCCCCAAGGGTATTCCTGAGAGCAAGACAGGGCCTCTCAAGAGCATTTCACTGGCCTGGGAAGAGGCCCTGCCAGCCTTCCGGCCAGCCCCCAGCCCCTCAACAGGCCCCCAAGCCAGGGGCACTCAGGACTCAGCCCTGAAAGCTGTTTTCAATATACAGACAAGGGCAAAATGGGCTCAGCCAGTGTGACCTGATGGCACACCCCAAGATACCGAGGGGAGAATCATCTGGGATACAGAAAACCCAGGGGGAGACTGAAAGAGCTGGTCCTCATGGGTGCCTGGCCTTGCTTCTCTGCTCCACCTGGGCTCCAGCTGCAGGTGAGCATCAGCTCAGGTCTTGGCTCAGATGCAGACACCAGGGTCACCAGGAAGCTCTGTGTGCCCTTTGCCCACTTCCAGAGCCCACAAGATAGCAGGAACCTTTGCCAGGGGGCAAATAGAGGGTCACCATCAAGCTCCAGAGCAGATTCCAAACCAGGTGCAATTCGGGGGCTCAACGTGTTTGTGTGTGTGTGTGTTCTACCAGGTCCAGCAGAGCCATAGCAAGGGCACCCCGTGCCCCACAGAAAGTGGGAGGGGAGGGGGATCCCCAGCCCCCCACTAGTCCCTTTTGTTCTTGAGAATGACAAAGGATGTCCTTAAAAGGAGGCAAATCCGCAGCCCTGGCTCCTCCGTGACAGTGCGAGGAGGCAGCAGCTGAGCTGGCCATGGCAGGGAGGGGGCTTGGGGGGGTCCAGTTACACGCCTGTTTCCATACTTAGCCATCCTGTGGCAGCTGGGCATATAGCGTCCAGCCTGAGAGACCAAATTAACTCAAGGGCAACCAAGGGGAACGCTGGCAGGCGGGCACACACTCTCTCCACCGACAGGTCCCCAAAAGAGGGGGGCAGCCGAAAGCACCACGAGGGCACAGCACAGCAGTGGCAGGATGCCCGCCCCAGAGCCAACCTTCTACTCTGGTGTGGAGAGTAGCCAGCCAGTCACCTTCTCTTTCCACCAGTGCAGGCCAGGTGGTCCAGCATCAAGTCCACACTGCAGCTGTCCTCAGGTGGCTCCTTGGGCACTGGCAGGGGGTGGTGAAGGAGGCCTGCCAGCTTTGCCCCCCCTCCAACCCTCCCTCTCCAGAGACAGCCTGCCTGGCTGGCTCCCAGGGGGACAGGCTGAAAGGCACCCACATCCTCCTGCACACCCACCCGGCCCCTGCCTAGCGCTGCCAGGGCCATCCACAGCCCAGAGATTCTGTGCCACCAAGCTGTGGCCCATGACAAGGGGGGGATGGCAGAGCGGAGGCCAGGGGTGCAGGAGGGAGACCCGGGAGGGGGCAGGACAAGCCTCTTACCTGCCCGCGCCCCAAGGAGCAGGATCGGGGCCACGCAGCAGCAGAAGAGCCTCAATCCGTGCATGGTGGTGGCCTGGAACTGCCTCTCCTTCCACCCCTCTGTCTCTGCCGCGGAGGCTGTGGAGCAGGCAGCTGGCCGGCTGGGCTGCAGAGGGGCCTGCACAGATGGTGCCTGGAGCTGGACTGCCCGAGGCCCCTCCCTGCCCGGCCACTTCAGGCCCCGTGTCAGTCACCCAGGAGGCGCAGCCAGGCCCAAGTAGGGAGAGGGGAGGAGCAGCAGCAAGCAGGCAGACGGATCCTTGCAGCTGAAGTAGGCCATTGCCATTCCAGCCAGCACCAGTGGGGCACAGTGGCTAGGAGTCCTGGGCTATGGGCTGGAAGAGACCAAGGTTTGAACCACCCCACTTAGCCAAGAAGCTCACCGGGTGTGAACTGGAGTGGCGGCGGCGGCAGTCACCATTTCCCTCTCTGCCTCGCAGGGTTGTTGTGGGGACTCAGTGAGGACCCTGGAGAGACCAGGGTTCCTCAACATGGCCATGAAACTCCTTTGGTGACTTGAGGCCAGTCACTGTCTCTCGGCCTCTCCTGCCTCGCAGGGCTATTGTGAGGATTAAATGCAGAAGGGGAGAACCCTGTACATGACCTTGAGCTCCGTGGAAAGAAAAAGGCGGTCTATTCATGCAATAAAGAAATAAACAAGTGGCCAGTTCTCCTCATGACTACTACGCAAAGGAGACAGGGGAAGGGGCAGTTTGAGCAAACCGGGGGTGGCCACTGAGAGAGCCAAGGAGGCTCCTCAGCCTGGTGTGCTTGAGACAAGGAGCAGCAAGCCTGTACCCGCCTCCCCAGCAGATGCACCTGCCGGTTGTCCCACTCTATAGATTCTTCTTGGCATCCGTCTTTCTCAAGAGACAAGGGGGTGCGCCTCTGGGGGTGAAGCCAAACTGCTGCATTGGGGCAGCACCAAAGTGACCTATCCGGGGTGCAAGCATATGGGGGGTCTTGGGTTGCCCAGACAACAAGACCCCCCTCTTGGCTGCACAGATGGGATCCAAAGGAAAACAGAGCAAGACGTTTGGCACCTGCTTGGCTGCAGGAGTTGCCAGAAGGCTCATCCAACTCTGGATTTCTGTGGGTTTTCCTCCTGAGTCTTTTCTTCTCACAAAGATATCCTGCAAGGCAGCAGAGGTTTAGGACTAGAGTTTTCCTTCTCAGGAGGGTGAGCCCCATCTGCCCCTCACTTCCCTCTACAGCAGAAGCTGCCTTCATGGCCACAGGAACCACTATTGGACTCATCCGCCCAACCGGGCAGAGCCTGTCTTCACATGCAAGGGAATACATAAAGGTAAAGGGACCCCTGACCATTAGGTCCAGTTGTGACCGACTCTGGGGTTGTGGCGCTCATCTCGCTTTATTGGCTGAGGGAGCCAGTGTACAGCTTACGGGTCATGTGGCCAGCATCTGGCGAACCAGAGCAGCGCATGGAAACGCCGTTTACCTTCCCGCCGGAGCGGTACCTATTTATCTACTTGCACTTTGACGTTCTTTCGAACTGCTAGGTTGGCAGGAGCAGGGACCGAGCAACGGGAGCTCACCCCGTCACGGGGATTTGAACCGCCGACCTTCTAATTGGCAAGTCCTAGGCTCTGTGGTTTAACCCACAGCGCCACCCGCATCCCTTAAGGGAATACATACATACATACATGTGTGCTGACATACCCTGGGACCCAACAGCAGAAGAGGCCAGGCAGCTAGATAGTCCTGGAGAAGGTGTGGCACTTCAAGCGAGTGACTCTGGCTGCCTTCCATAGTCCTGGGCACACGCTGGGCAACCTTCAGGAAGCAAGCAGCTGCTCCCCATCAGCCCCAGCTGGATGCCTGCCTCTTCCTTGGCTCATCTGTGTGGCTTTTCCAGTGCAACACCCCACTACCGCCACCACTCCCATTTCCCTCCTGCCTTTCTGGGTGGTGGGCCTGTTTGTGTCCTCTCTGCGCAGAAATCCACTTCCACACAGAGCATGAGCTGCACACCCCCTTGGACATTGTTCAGGGAGTCCTCTCTGGGCTCTCTTCCCAGGATTCAAGTAACAGCATGTGGGAAAACTGGGGTGGAGCTGGGAGAGAAGCAGGTGCCCCCCCCTCCACCCACCCCCCATGCCAAAAGAAAAAGAGAAGAGTACCAGCTGGCAGGCTTGGCTCTCAGCACTGCATGATGCACACTTGAACATTCGCATGTTGCACAATTCTCCTTACCTTTATTTCTCACACTATGAAGACCTCTGGAACTGTGGGGCAAAGGTTTTCTGCCCAGCTGCTGGCCAGCCCCTCCTGCACCACCCCTGAGCTAGTGAGCAGCCTTCAAGGGGGTGGCCCCAGCAGAAGAGGCACCCCAGGGCTCCCCGTGCGAGTCACGTGTGATCGAAAGATTCCATCAATGGTGTCTCCAAAATTTTTTACACATCACTTGGGAAGACAGGTGAACTAATATCAGTGTACTGGCAGAAGAAAAGATCACCAGTGTTGAAGCAATGATTCTTCAACATCAACTTCATTGGACTGGTCATGTTGTGCGGATGCTTGATGATCATCTTCCAAAGCAACTACTCTATTCCGAACTTAAAAATGGAAAGCATAATGCTGGTGATCAACAAAAGAGGTTTAAAGACTGTCTCAAGGCAAATCTTAAAAAATGTAGTATAAACACTGACAACTGGGAAACACTGGTCTGCGATCACTCCAGTTGGAGAAGAGGTGTCATGAGCTTTGAAGACACTCAGACTCAGGATGCAAGGGAGAAACATGCTAAGAGGAAGGCACGCTTGGCAAATCCACAGTGATCAACTCCCACCCGGAAACCAATGTCCCCACTGTGGAAGGACGTGTGGATCCAGAATTGGCCTCCACAGTCACTTATGGACTCACTGCTAAGACCGTGTTTATGGAAGACAATCTTACTCAGCTACGAGGGATCGCCAAAGAAGAAGACGTGCACTTGAGACAAGGAAACGTCCTGGCCCCTCCTGGCATACACTAGACCAAAAGGCAGTCACGGGTTCCCAGGAGGAGACAGAGGGCATTTCTTTGCCCCATGGTTTCATGAAAGAACTTTAAAACGTGCTGAGCCATCACCTAGACATCTTTCAATGCCTGTCCTACACAAGGTTGCCGTTTTGGAATGTCTCCCTCTGGTGGGAAACCCGGAAACTGCAGGCAAAGGAACACAATTCCAAGCACAACCAAATTAGAGTGAAGTATTCACGCAAGCCCGGTATTATAGGGGTGCCTGCCTGTGCGTGCATTTTTTGCTTCTCGGCTGTTCTCACAACTTGCCTTGCACCCTCCTTCCAGGACTGTGAGGTGACCTCTTGTAGCAAACAGATATGGGGCAAGTGAGCTGCTTTGAACAGCGGGAGCCCAAGCGGTTCCAGCGCCAGAGAGCAGGTGAGAGCCCCCCCCCTCCCAAGCACAGGTGCTGCCATTGTTTGTTTTCAGACCCAATTCAAGGTGCTCGCATTTCTGTTCAAAGCCCCAAATGACTCAGGCCCCAAATACCTGCAAGGCTGCCTGCTTCCCTACACTCTCTCAGGTGCCGAGACTGGTAAAGGGGGCCCTCTTGGTTGTTCCTCCACCCTCTGGGGCCTGGGGGTGGCTGCCCAGGAGGAGAGGCCTTCTCTGTGGTGGCCCTTGAGCTGTGGGACTCCCTCCCCACGGTGCCATGCCTGGCACCTTCATTGCACAACTTCTTGCCTTTGACCCTTGAGTTGTCATGTTTTTACAACTCACCTTATTTTTGGGTGATTGTAAGTTGCTTTGCACTGTTTTTAATATTGTACTTTCCTATCAATGTTTCTTAATTTAAGGGTGTATCGGATGTTGGTGGGGAGGACACTGTGCTCCTTCTGGGGTAGTTTGTCCACCTTTGGTCCCCACCCTGCCCTCCCTCCGCTGTGGCTCCTAGAAGCCATCAGTCAGCATGTGGCAGCGGCCACAATCCCGCCATGGCTTCAACTAGCTGGCTCAACCAGGTGAGGGGAGCTGCTGGGTCTCAAAACCTAGGACTTTTCCTGCATGCAAAGACAAGCTATGGCAGATGGAGCAGAGACCAAGAGTGGGTCAAACGGTCAAGAAAGCAGGTTCTGCATGTGCTGTGCAGCGCTCCGTCTCCCTGTTCTGGCTTTGGGCTTAGCTGCGCAGCCTGCATTCACTCCATAAGACGCACACACATTTTGCCTTACTTTTTAGAAGGGAAAAAGTGCGTCCTATAGAGCGAAAAATACGGTACATCCCACAGAAATACAGAGTGGAGTCCCTAAGACGGCTGGGTGGTGCTTTGTGTGCCTCCTTCCAGCAACTCCTGCAACTGGTGCCCAACATCCTGCTCTGCTTTCCTTTGGACCCCATCAGCGAGGCCGAGAGGGGCTGGTCTTGTCGTCTGGGCAGCCCAGGACCTCCATGCACACTGCCCAGGCTTGTGCCCGGAGGGTCACTTCAGTGCTGCTAACGCAGCAAAAATAATGCAGAAGGCAGCAGATTTGAGTTACCTGTCTCTGCAGCCACAGCAGGCACCGTGATTCTCCAGTGGTTTGACTTCACCCCCAGAGGCACACTCCACAGTCTCTCGAGACAGATGGATACCAGAAATATACAGTGGTACCTTGGTTTTCGAACGTCTCGGAAGTTGAACATTTCAGTTTTCGAACGCCGAAAAGCTGGAAGTACGCGCCATGGAAGTCGAACGGGAAACGCAGCTTCTGTTTTGAGTTTTCTGCAAGTAAATGCTTCCGGAAGTAACTGCTTCAGTTTTCAAACGTTTCAGAAGTCAAATGGTCTTCCAGAACGGATTACGTTTGAAAACCGGGAAGAAGAGGAGGAGGAGTTTGGATTTGATATCCCGCTTTATCGATACCCTAGGGAGTCTCAAAGCAGTTAACAATCTCCTTTCCCTTCCTCCCCCACAACAAACACTCTGTGAGGTGAGTGGGGCTGGGAGACTTCAGAGAAGTGTGACTAGCCCAAGGTCACACAGCAGCTGCATGTGGAGGAGCGGAGACACGAACCAGGTTCACCAGATTACGACTCCACTGCTCTTAAGCACTACACCACACTGGTGAGGTACCACTGCATATAATTCCATCTTTTTATTTTATTTTATTGTTTTTTTCCTATGTTTTAGAGGTTCTTATTTTTATCTTTAAGCCACCTTGAATCCCTATCAGGGCAAAAGTAGTACAGTGGTACCTCGGGTTAAGAACTTAATTCATTCCGGAGGTCCGTTCTTAACCTGAAACTGTTCTTAACCTGAAGCACCACTTTAGCTAATGGGGCCTCCTGCTGCCGCTGCGCCGCCAGAGCACAATTTCTGTTCTCATCCTGAAGCAAAGTTCTTAACCTGAAGCACTATTTCTGGGTTAGCGGAGTCTGTAATCTGAAGCGTATGTAACTTGAGGTATCACTGTAGTAGTAGTAGTAGTAGTAGTAGTAGTAGTAGTAATTTGCTGTAACCCTGCCCTGAGGCCTTAGGGAGAAAGATGGGTAATAAATTCTAATACAGTGGTACCTCTGGATGCGAACGGGATCCGTTCCAGAGCCCCGTTCGCATCCAGAGCAGAACGCAACCCGTGTCTGCGGGTCGCAATTCGCCGCTTCTGCGCATGATGTCATTTTGAGCGTCTGCGCATGCGCGAGTGGCGAAACCTGGAAGTAACACATTCCATTACTTCCAGGTCGCAGCTGAGCGTAACCTGAAAACGCTCAACCTGAAGCGACTTTAACTTGAGGTATGACTGTAATAATTAGAGGAGAAGATGCAGCCCCCAAGTCCGCACCCCAAAGACCAACACCCCAGACAAAGGCATCTAAAAAACAAAGTACAAACTTTATTTTGTTTCTTTACAAAGGCACAAGCCTCATTTTTCCCACTTTCTTAACAAAATATAATAGCATCTCAATGAACACGAAGACCCGAAAACTGTAAAAAAAGAGAAAAAAAGAACAAAAACAAAACAGAAAAACCATATAAAAAAATGAAAGAACTGAGGAAAAGCTGCGGCTGGGGAGGAACCTACCAAATACCAACAGCCCTAAACAACACTGGCCTAGGCCTCTAGCCAAATTGGGGGAAGCTGGGTGGGGGGGAACGGGGAAGGACGCAACAAAAAGCAACGATCACAGAACACGCACGCCCTCATGACCCAGTCGGACCCACGGAACAGATTAAGTGCTTCGAAAAAAAGGAGGAAAGAAGCCACGGGGGGTGGGGGGGGAGCCAAAAGTGGCCAACGTGGCAGGCTGAGGCCCACCCCAGAAACGGCGCCATCTTTGAAAAGGGACACCCCCCACCCAGACTGCCGCTAAGGCCAAAAACCTGAACTGGCCCCCTGAGAACGGAGGGAAGCCTGCCGTCCCGTGATGCAGGGGGGACTGCAGGCAGGGGCCCCCGGGGTGGCAGCGTGGGCACCGGCCCTGCTATGGGCAGACCTTCCGTCGCCCCCTGGGTCCTTTTGCCTCCCCTGGGGGTGATGCCAAGGAACCAAGCCCCCGGCAGGACAGACCTTGAGGGGCCCTTGCAAGGCCAACTAGCAGGGAGGAAACAGGAGGCCCAGAGAAGTCTGTCGCAGAGATTTGGGAGGGGGGATGACTGGGGAGGCAAGGCAACCCAGCAGGGCCTAGGAGGGCGCCGGGAGATGGGGGGCACCCGCCACTCTGCGTGGCCGCAGGCAATTTATATGAACGTTCCCCCCTGAGTATTTGGGGCTCCGATCTGCCCCCACACGGTCGCACGCAGGCCAGGCACTCTGAAAACCCCTGCGCTGCTGCCCTCTCCCCTCCGCCCCCCTTCCCGTTGGCTTTGAAGAGGGCAAGGATTTGGCCCCTGCAGGTTCTAACGCTCCCGTTTACAGTATCGAAAGGTCATAAAAGAGACCCGAATTCCATGGTATTTTGTAAAAAAATTCAGCGCAAGTTTCTCCATAGTCCCCTCACCCACACCCTGCCCGCCTGCCCGCCCCCCGCGGCCAGGTGGGGGTCAGGGCATCTCAGCCTTGCTGTGCTCCATGGAGTCGCTGTCGTCCGCCTCGGAGTCGGAGGCCGTGTCCGAGTTGGAGGGCTCCAGGCCGGTCCGCGCAGGGGTCACGATGACGGCACGACGGCGCTCCTCCTCCTCCTCCTCCTCCAGCAGCCGCTTCTCCTGTGTCCCCTCGATGTGCTGGATTGCCTGATTTTTTGGGGGGGGAGACACCAGTGTGAGACAGCAAGCTGGCCCCCCTGAAGCCCCCCAACACACACCCAAGACTCTGTCTGCGGAAAAGAAGCTCCCAGGAGCTGCCTAAGATCAGAGAGCACTTGGGCAAAAAAAAATGAGAGTCACAAATACAAGATGGGTGACACCTGGCTTGAGAGCAGTACATGTGAAAAGGATCTAGGAGTCTTGGTTGACCACAAACTTGACATGAGCCAACAGTGTGACGCGGCAGCTAAAAAAGCCAATGCAATTCTGGGCTGCATCAATAGGAGTATAGCATCTAGATGAAGGGAAGTAATAGTGCCACTGTATTCTGCTCTGGTCAGACCTCACCTGGAGTACTGTGTCCAGTTCTGGGCACTACAGTTCAAGAAGGACACTGACAAACTGGAACGTGTCCAGAGGAGGGCAACCAAAATGGTCAAAGGCCTGGAAACGATGCCTTATGAGGAACGGCTAAGGGAGCTGGGCATGTTCAGCCTGGAGAAGAGGAGGTTAAGGGGTGATATGATAGCCATGTTCCAATATATAAAAGGATGTCACATAGAGGAGGGAGAAAGGTTGTTTTCTGCTGCTCCAGAGAAGCGGACACGGAGCAATGGATCCAAACTACAAGAAAGAAGATTCCACCTAAACATTAGGAAGAACTTCCTGACAGTAAGAGCTGTTTGACAGTGGAATTTGCTGCCAAGGAGTGTGGTGGAGTCTCCTTCTTTGGAGGTCTTTAAGCAGAGGCTTGACAACCATATGTCAGAAGTGCTCTGATGGTGTTTCCTGCTTGGCAGGGGGTTGGACTCGATGGCCCTTGTGGTCTCTTCCAACTCTATGATTCTAGGAAAAGTCCTTGGCTATGTCCACCGGCAGACTGAGGGTCCTGCAGGGTCTAACCAGTTCAGGGGCCCTGCAAGGTCTCAGACGCAGGTGGGAGGGTTGCAGAGGGACCTTCCCCAACCCCTTCGTATCCCAGAGCCTTTGAGCTGCCTGGGACTGGTCAGAATTAGGTCCAAGGAAGGCTCAGTGGTTAGAGCACCTGCTTTGCATGCAGAAGGTCCTGGATTCCGTTTCTGGGGATTCAGCCCCAGGGAAAGGGAGCGTCCCCCCTCTTCTCCCTTCCCCTGACCCCAAAGGGATCTCCAGGAGAGGCCGTTGAGCAGCAAAACTTCAAAAGCGCCACAGGGTCTAAGATTTTGAGGACCTCAGACCACTTCCACAGAAGCTTTCTGCTACGAAAAAGGAGCCACGAGACCCTGCGGCATTTTCTAACAGGAGTGTGTCTCAAAAATAGCAGGCAAACCACACCCAAAATTGCACACGGATGAGACACCTCCATCTCCCGCCAGGCTTAGAGGTTCTCTATAGAGGGCTGCCCCCCTGAGCCCCCCCCCCCAACTGCTCTAGAAGGATCCAACATCTCTTTACTCGCCTGGCCCTGAGGAAAAGGCGGCTGGGCGGGGTAGAAATAATGAATTATTATCATATTATGGGGGCTTGTCACACAGCGACTAGCAACACTCGTCCAGGGAAACAGGACACAGAGGTGCAAAATTTGGTGCATTTGTGGGGGCTTCTGTCTTCCAGGGCAGGTGCAGGACACCTCAAAGTCAGAGTGAACCCTCAGTACCTGGAGTGATTGGCTGTTGTCTCCAGGATATGGCTTGGCTCACTCACTCGAGCCATGCAGAGCTTCTGCAGCCCAATGCCCAGCTAGGCCATTGGCCAATCCCCACGGGCCCAGGGGATCTCTCCCTGCCCTCCCTAGGGATGCCACTGGGGATCTGAACCTGGGACCTCCTGCGTCCAAATCCAACGCTCTCCTGCCCCCCCCCCCACGGACGCGGGTCTCCCTGTCTCACCTGAACGATGGTATCCAGATTCTGCCTGGATGTGGAGATAGTGTTGATCACGGAGGACGGGCCCATGGTTACCACGGTGACGTGGTGAGAGGGTGGCAGCGGCGCAGGCACGATCACAGTCGGGTGGTGGGTTGGGGCTGGGGGGCCGTGTGCCGACAAGAGCTGCGGGGGGAGAGAAAAAGAGACCGGCCGTGTCACCAGGGGCTGCCTCTAAGAAGGTCCTGCAGTCAGAGGCAGAATGGCTGAGCCTGGAGCAGATAAGACCTCGGGGCAGGGAGTTGGCTCTGGCCTAGAGAGGCAGCCACGAGCCACTCCTGGCTCCTGACGGGGAGGGCGGGTCTCCCTTTGTCCAGGGGGACTCAGGCCCCACATGGCCACGTCTGGAGGGGAGAGCGGAGGCTGCAGCCTTGGCCTCCCACATCCCCCCCCCCAAGCACAAAGGCAGCAGCATGGGCTGGGCTTTGTTGCAGGCAGGTGGCCTACGCTGTGCCCCCCCCCCAACGCTCCCCCTGCAGCTTGAACTCGTGGAGCAAGGGCTTGGAAGAGGCAGACCCCAGGGGTGGAAGTGACTACATGGCTTCAGGCCTCTCCCTGCAGGGGAAGCCCAGAGACAGTACAGGGTGCACCATCCTCCAGGAGGGACCTGGGGACAGCAAGGCCCCCCGTCACCTCCAAGAAGATGTGGCAAGCGGGCGACCCAGGCAGGCAGGCATAAGCAGGTAAGAAGGGCATATTGCATCAGGGCATTGGCCCACCTAGAGTCCATCATTCTGTTTTGACAGCAGGCGCCCACTTGGGGAAGCTCATGAGCAGAATATGAGCACCAGACCCTTCTCCCGCCCTGTGGTTTCGCCCCACCGTCAAGAGCTGCAAAAGGCAGCCGAGATTTCCCAGCACCACAGAAGCACTGCAGAAGCGGCAGCCAGGCCTGCAGGGGCTATGCCACGGAGGGGAGGGCAGTTCCCGCAAGACCCCTGCCCCCCAATTCCAGCCGGAGCTGCAAGGGAAAGCCTCTTGCCAAACGCTCGGCAGCTACGGATGCGTGGAACCTGGCCGAGTGGCAGCGGCTTGCCGGGGATGGAGCCCCCGAGACTCCTGCCTGCCCAGGTGTGCAAGGACCCTCCCCGGGGGGAAGGAAGCATTGCTGCAGCAGCCAGGCCCCCCAGGCCCCCAGGTGAATGCTGAGCCTTCCTGCAGGAGGCGCCGTCCAACTCCCTTGGATTTCAGCCCCCGCGAGTCTCCCAGGGGGCTCTGGGGGGCTGGGGCAAGAGCGCTGCCCCCCCAGCTGCATCACAAGGGGGCTGGGTGGGAGGCAAGCCGCGCACTCACCTGGGGGCGGCCCTGCTGCTGGTGCTCAGGTGTCTCCTGGCGCAGGAGCCTCACCTGTTCCTGCTGCTGCTGCTGGAGCTGAACCTGCTGCGCAATCACCTTCAGCTTCTCGGGGTACATGTGGGCCTCTAAGGAGCGCACCTGCCGGGGGAGCAGGAGAAGAAGGCCCTGTCATGGGCTGGGAGGGCACGGCAACACCCCACAAAGGCCGCAGAGAGGGCCAGGCACTCAGTGTGCCAGTCGGGTGCACAATGGGCACATCCTGTTCTGAACCCCATTCGCAAGGGAAACCAAATTCCTTGGCCAAACCTGCTACTCTTTTCTCTCTGTTCCTCCAGAAACATTCTGGGGCCTTCACTGGTTTGACAACACCCTGAAGGATGCGGCCCCGGGAGGTTGCTCCTCCTGACTGTGGGGCCAGGGAAGCGGTCCAAGCAATCTCCCCTCCCAGCCAAGCCCACGGAGACCCCACGGCACAGGCGATGCCCCCATCCTCTCACCTGCTCCTCCAGCATCAGGCGGACGGAGCGCTCCTTGTCCAGCTGTTGGCGCAGCTCAATCATCTCCCGGCGGAGGTCCTCAGCCTTCTCGTCCTCCCAGATGTCTGGGGACCCGATGCCCTCGTCTTTGTCCTCCGCCCTCCGCCGCTTCGGGGAGGAGCCGCTGAACTCCTGGCCAAGCAGACGCAGCGTGAGCATCAGGGATGGGAAGCCCGGGGAGAGAGAGACGGCCTGCCCTCCACTTCCTCTCTAATGCAGCCAAGCGGCGACCAAGAGGCTCAGCCACGCAAAGCAAGCCAAAGGCTTGTGGCAGCTCCAAGGAGAAAAGGAGCACATGCAGAGGCCCCCCACCCTCTATGCATAGAGGAGCAACCCCCCACCCCAGTCTGGAATGTTATAAGCGCTCTCTCTCTCGCTCTCTCTCTCTCTCACACACACAGACACACACACACACGAGGGAGCAGCCTCAGCAGATACCTGGATGAACCTCTTGAGCTGGGCGTTCTGCTGCAGCAAACGTGTCTTCTCCTGTTCCAAAGAGAAGATGTACTCTGCTGTCTGCTGGAGAATCGCTGCCTGGGGAGGGGCAATTGGAAGGTGAGGGGGTGCAGAGTCAAACAGAACATCCAGCATGTATTATCATCATCATCAAAATGCAAAATAGATGTGCAAAATAAATAGTTAAAACATTTATATCCTCCTCCCACAAACACGTTTGTCTGGCACCTGAAGGCGTAGGATGAAGGCGCCAGGCAAACCTCTCTGAGGAAAGCATTCCACAAATGTGGAGCCACCACAGAAAAGGCCCTCTTCTCATGTTGCCACCCTACGGACCTCCTGTGGAGGAGACACGCCAAGAAGGTCTAGGTAGGTTCACATGGAAAGAGGCATTTCTTGAGGTATTGCAGTCCTGATCCGTTGAAAGATTTCTAGGTCAAAACCAGCACTTGGAATTGGGCCCCGAAATTAATTGGCAGTCAGTGCAGTTGGGCCAGGATTGGTGTAAGATGCTCAAACCGCCGTGCTCCAGTGAGCAACCTGGCCCATCTTGCTCTATAGGCTGAGGGAGCCGGCGTTTGTCCGCAGACAGCTTCCGGGTCATGTGGCCAGCATGACTAAGCCGCTTCTGGCGAACCAGAGCAGCACACGGAAACTCTGTTTACCTTCCCGCCGGAGCGGTGCCTATTTATCTACTTGCACTTTGACGTGCTTTCGAACTGCTAGGTTGGCAGGAGCTGGGACCGAGCAATGGGAGCTCACCCCGTCGCAGGGATTCGAACCGCCGACCTTCTGATTGGCAAGTCCTAGGCTCTGTGGTTTAACCCACAGCGCCACCCGCGTCCCCTATTTCTATATATAGCTGTATGCTTTTTGTAATATTTTAAGTTGTCTGCTGCTGCTTCAGTTATTGATACGCTGCTTAGATATGATTTTAATATATTAAGCGGTACAGCGAGTTCCACGGTTTCACTGCGCTGCGTGAAAAATTCCTCCTTCCTTTTGCCCGTCCTGAGCCTCCCAGCCTTGGGCTTCCTGGGATGACTCCTGAGTGCCTCTATATGGGGGTGTTGGTTCTCCTCCTGCCTTTGCTCCAAGGAGCAGAAAAGGCAGCCCAGAGGGTCTCTTCTCCCTCCACCCCAATTTTATCCTCATAAGAGCTCCGTGAGGAATCTCAGGCTGAGAGCTGGTGACTGGCCAACCTGGAGGTGGGCTTTAAAAAAGACAGTGTTTGGACCTTTCCGCATAGGGGACTCTTGCCCTCCCCTTGAGATATTGGCGGCCCTGTTTTGAACTCTACAATACCCCTTTTGAGGAGAGCTGGCCTGCACTGTACACAGTATTCCAAATGCAGCCGCATCATTTGAACGATGGCCTTATGGTAGTGGCAGTGTTGTTTTCTATTCCTTTCCTAAAGATCCCTAGCATGGAATTTGCCTTTTTACAGCTGCAGATCACTGGGTCAACATCATCTTTGAGCCAGCTGCCACAACCATCAGTTCAGACCCCAGGAGCATCTATGTGAAATTAAGATTATTTTTTGCCCAAACATGCATCACTTTACCTTTGTTTATACAGTCATACCTTGGGTTACAGCCGCTTCAGGTTGCGTTTTTTCAGGTTGCGGACCGCCGAAACCTGGAAGTACTGAAACGGGTTACTTCCAGGTTTCGGTGGTCACGCATGCGCAGAAGTGCTAAATTGCGCTTTGCGCATAAGCGCCAAATCGCAAGCCGCACGTGCACAGACGTGGGTTGCAAATGCTGCGAGTTGCAAATGTGCATCCCACACGGATCGCGTTCGCAACCCAAGTGTCCATTGTACACTGAACTGCATTTGTGATTTTACCATTCATTCGCTCCTTTCAAAGCTCTTCTCTTCCTGGTTCAACCACCCTCAACAATTTAGTGCCATTGGCAGACTTGGCCACCTCAGTGCTCACATTGAGCACAAGATTGTTTATGAACAAATTAAAAAGCCCCCATACCTATCCTTGGGGGACTCCACTTTCTACCTCTCTCCACTGGGAGAACTGCCCATTGATTCCTCCTCTCTGTTTCCAGTTTCTAACCAAATCCTGCTCCCTAAGAGGACCTCTCCTCTTATCGCGCAGCAGCTAGACTTAGTACTAAGGTTAAACTCAAGTGGAATCCTAGGAGACAGGAGCCTCCAGCCAAGCTCCTTGCATCTGGGACACAGAAAATGCCAAGCCCAGCTGCTCCCCATCCCAACCCCTGTCCGCTGCCACAATCACCAGCAATATTTTTTTTTGGGGGGGGGTGTCATACGTGGTACAGCACAGAAGTCTCCAGAAAGGACTAGCAGGCAGCCCCGGTGAGGAAAGGGCTTTGTGCGCCTGACCCTTACCTTGCTGAGCTTCTCCCCATCCGTGTGTGGGATGAGGGTCTTCAGCGACTGGAACCCTGCGTTGATGCTTTGCATGCGGCGCCGCTCATTGCTGTTGGCGATCTCCCTGCGTATCCGCCGCTCCTGGTCCCTTTGCGTCTCTGGGGTCAGCGGGATGTTGGCCAGGCTGCGGGGGAGACGAGCAGCTTTAAGGGAGGCTCAGTCCCTCTGTGGCCCTGCACCCCTGGAGAACGGCTGCCCGCCAGCGGGCCCCAGGGCTGGGGGATGCCGTGGCTGCCCAGAGGGTCTTGGGCTAAAGCTCCTGCCCGCTCTGGTCAGCACAGCCAACAGCCAGGGATGGGGGAAGTCAGGACACACCATTGCAAAGAGGACAAAGGGTCTGATTTGGCACAGAGTGAGATCCCGCCTGCCTGCCTGCCTGCCCAAATCACACACAATTTGACTGAAATGCCCGGTTGGGTCCTGTCCTGAGGAATGAGCAGGGGCTCGTTTTCTTTTAATGCCTTTAAATGAAACGTTAACACCGTGTTGGCCTCTAAAGCAGATCCCTGCAGCCTGGGAACTCGAGTGCTCCCATGGAGAGATGGGGACCCATCCGGTCCCAGGCAGGTTCACGCCTTAGAGGGCTCAGGCTGGCAGGCTAACTCCAACCTGAATGGCACAAGCTGCCCCAAAGCCTCAGAACCATTGCCTAGAGGGACCCGCAGGGAGCTGGGAGGAGGAAAAGGATGCGACCTGTCTGGCTGCAGCCAACAAGCGATACATTATCCCCCCTGAATGGAGAGCTGATCCAGGGATGTGCTGGGCCTCAGGCCAACTAATATGCAGCAATGACTTTTTTAAATAAACAAAAAATCACTTTGGGGCATACCAAAGAGTTAAGACAGAAAAGTTTTTTAATATGCCCAACTATTCAATACAAAGTCAACTCACAGCTGCAGGACTGTCTCCCAGCACAAGACCCTCACCAGGCGGGGGTGGGGGGTGAGCTCCAGGTTTGGCAGGAGAGATAGGCTAGAGACAAACTGGGGGTGCTTTTTACACAATTGCTTTATTCCTTTCTTTGTGCATTGTGTGTAGACTGCAGATATCAATTTAAGGAGCCAACCTTCAAGGGGCCTTTGGTCAAGCAGGTTCCCAGCACAGGGCCAAGAGCCTCAACATCTGTTTGACTTCAGTCCATGCTGCAAGGCGCTGGTCTTTTAGACCTGCTCCAACTCTTTAGAAAAACTCTCCTCTGTCTCCGGACTGAGATCTTGGACCAGGCAGAAATGCTCTCTGCTGGCGCTAAGAGAACCCAGAGGAGCAATGTGCAACTGGCCGCTACCTGGGAGCAAGAGGGAGGGGTCGCGGGAGGCCACCTGGACGCGCAGAGGAATCCCACCACCACCATTTGTGATGGGTTCAAATCCCGCGGTCCCTGGGCTCCAGCTGGCACCTGAAAGCCACCGTTTGCCAATGCATAAAAGGCGGGGGGGGGGGCAGGTAAGCCAGGTGTATGTGGCGGGAAAAGAGTCTGGGGGGCCGGCCAGACGGGCAGCGGCCAGGGCCAAAATTTGGAGCGGAATCACCCCCCCGCAGCAGCGCTGGACCCTCTGCCCCACCAGCCCGCCCTGCCCCGCGCTCTGGCCGCAGGAGCTCAGCCGAGCTGCCCCACTGAGCAGCCCCCTCCTCCGCAGGCAGGGGGTCCCGCGTCCCCGCCGCCGCCCTCCCGTCCCAGGGCGCCCGGGAGCAGAGCGGCAAGAGCGCGGCGAAGGGTCCCGGGCTCCCTTTGTCTGGCTGCGGCCGCTGCTCGGCTCCCTTCCCTCCCCGCTGCCCCGGGCACAAAGGCGGCCCGCCGGGCGAGGAGCGCGCCGGCCCTGCAAAGCAGCAGGCCAGGCCTTCCCCGCGCGGCCTCCGCAGCCCCAGCCACGTGCGCGGCTGGCCCGGAGCGCCCGGGCGCCTTTGTGCGGAGCGGCGGCGGCGGCGGCGTGGCCCGGCCGAGCGCAGCACTACATGTCCCGGCAGCCCGCGGCGGAAAGGCCCGCCCCTTCGGAGGCTGCACAGTCACCGCCAGGCTAGGCCCGGCCGCCGCCGCCGGAGTCCCCACGCGGCCGGGCGGCGGCACCAGCGCCCCGGGGAGCCCCGAGGGGGCGGCCGCCCAGCCCCGAAAGCCCCCGCCCCAGGGGGAGGCCGGCCGCGGGGCGCCTGGGAGGCGGCGCGCCGAGGGGAAGGCGAGGGAGCCGCGGCGGCGGCGGCGGCATGGCTGCCTTGCGCCCTCCTCCCTCCCTCGCCCGCCCGCCCAGCTGCACGCCTTCGCCCTCGCCGCGCCCGCCCGCCCGCCCGGCCCGGCAGCCCCTCGCCGCCGCCGCGCTCCTCGCCGGGGCTCGGGCCGGGCGCGCAGCCGGGCAGGCGCAGCGGGCGCAGCAGGTCGGCGGCGGCAGCATGGCCGGGGCGCCCGCTCTGCCTGCAAACAGACCCACGTGCTCCCGCCAGCGGCCCTCCCGCCGCTCCGGGGGCGACCGGGCGCGTCCCGAGGGAGACCCCGCCGCCCTCCCCGCGCAGCCCCGGCCCGGAGCGCACGGGGGTCCCGGGCAGCGGAGGCCCCCGCTCGGCCGGCCCGTCGCTCGGTGCCGCTCTCTCCCCCGGCCCGGCCCGGCCCTGCGCGGCTGCCCGTTTCCCGGGCTCGGTGGGGCGCGCACCCACCTGCACAGCCCGCCGATCACCTCCTTCTCGGATTTCCTGAAGTGCTGCAGCGACGGCACCTTCGGCGCGGGCACCATGAAGTACTCCATGCCCGGCCGGGGCGCGCGGGAGGCGGAGGGAGGGAGGGAGCGGCGCCCGCGGGGATCGGGGCCGGGCAGGCGGCGCGGGGGCTGCGGGGGCGCGCGTGGGGCGCGGCGGCGGCGTTGGCGGCGTGTGCGTGTCCGTCCCCGCCCGGCGGCGCCGCTGCTGCTCCTCCTCGGCTCGCTCGCTCGCTCGCTCCTCCGTGCGGCTCCGGCTCCTCTGTGCGCGTCTCCTCAAGGCGGGAAACAGCTGGTGCGAGCGCAGCGCTCCCTCCCCGCCGGCGCCGCCTCCGCCAGCCGCCGGCCCATGTAAACAAAGGACTATTTGCCGCGGCCCCCGCGCCCCGCCGCCGCCCCCGGCCGCCCCGGCCCGCGCGCGCCCCGCCCGCCGCCCCCGCGGCCCCCGCGCCTCGCCTGGCCCCGCGCCCGCCCGCCCCGCCGCCCGGCCGGCCCGCGGCTGCCTGCGCCACTACGGGGTGATGCGGCCCATCAGCTGACGGCTTGGCACGGAGCAGCCCAGCAGGAGCGCACGGGCGGGCGGGCGGGCCAGGCGGCCCCCGAGGGCCACCCCCCAACTTCCGAGGGGAAGCCACCCGCGTGGCCTTCGGGCGGCAGTCGTCGCGGGCTCGGACACCCCCCCCCCCGCCAAGCGCGGGCTCTGCCCCGAGGAGCTTCCCATCTGCGCTCTGGTTGCAAAGGGAACGGAGTAAGCGCGAGAGGCGCGCCGCGAGGCTCCATCGCAGCAGCCTTCCCTGGAGGAAAACGGCTCCGTTGCTCGCCAGTAAAGACCCGCAGGAGCCCGGCCTTGCCCAGAGGAAGAGCCCGGCACTGTCAGAGGCTCTTCTGGGGAACCTCTGGCCCTTCTGGACCAGGATCTGCACAGCGCACACGGATCGGGGCCAGCAGGGACAAGCACCCTCTGCCCAGCGGGGACCTGGGGCATTTAATTGTGGCTTTCGTGCCAACTGCAGTTGGAATGCAGGGGTATTTATTTATTACTGATATTAACATCATGCCCACTCTGAGGCTGCTTAAATTTACAAAGGCCCTACATCCATGCTGGCGATAAAAACCTTAAAATTAGGCAAGGAAGATGATTTCTCCCGTGGGTGACACGGATGACTCAAGGTTAACTAGTGGTGCAGCAAAAAGGCTGCCAGCACATTTGCAAAGTTAAGCAGAGTCCAGTATTGTTTCTGAAGAGCCAAGGGGCAGAAAACCCCACAAGTAGGGTAAAAATACAATAATAATACATTAGGAGTCCCCAGCAACTTGCAGCCCCTTCAGGACACGCAAAGCCCAAATCCTGAGATGGACTTTCCCCTTCCCTAACAGTTGGGCCGGCCCTTTCCTCACCAGCTCTTCTCCAGCTGCCTCCTCATCTTACCTGACTGGTTCCCTGCCTCTTTGCAGCTGGTGCCCCTTTTACTTTCAAAAGGGTGGGGAGGAGCCTGTGCTGTGCAGGTGTGTGTGCCATTTCTCCCCTCCCCCCAGGCAGCAGGTGCTGGTCAAGGCCCCTCTCCCCACTGAGGCCCTGGGGGGGGGGCACCGGAAGGGCAGGCCAGAGGCCTGGCTCAAGTCTCCTTGGTCTGTGCGGGGCCTGAGCAGAAGAGTGTTGGTGGCACCCTGAAGCCCGGCTGGGTCTGCAAGACGGAGTTCTTCTTGGGGAGCGGGTCGGCTCCGATGCACTTAGAGTCCAGCCCAACTATTGTCCTTTAGCGCCTGGCTGCCAGAGCACCCTTTATCTGACCAACAACTTGTCTTCTGGGAGGACAACCTTTTCTAACTCTGCCTCCCCCAGCTTGGTGCTCTTCAGATGTTCTGGCCCAGAATTCCCATCGGCACCAGGTGGGGGGGAAGTGGTTCTGAGCAGTGACCCTCTCCTCCCTGCCACCATAAATGCACCGGCACACACTATCCTGCCTGGGGAAAAGGCAGGCAGGAACTCGCCCGCTGGACGGGCAGTGCCAGGGACCCCTGGTTCTGAGCAGCAGATTTTGGAGAAGTGGTATTTTCTGCCTTACATCCTCTTGCGTTTTGTGGGGGGAGGGTTTCAACAGAGCAGCAGCAGCAGCAATCCAGAGCAGGATAGGACCGTTGGGGCCTTTTGGGGTGGGGTGACAAATGTCTGCTCCCCAGACGACAAGCACATCATTTGCCTCTGGCCGGTCTGGTCTAGAGCTCCTTCCAGCACCCTTTTAACCCTACTGGGGAGAGAACTCAGCAGTGGTGGTGGCCGTCAGCTACTCCCGCCCTCCTCTCCCAGCTGGCAGGCGGCCACGCTCCACTCCGCCCTCGCCACTCACTCACCTGGGCAAGGGACTTCCCCAACCAGCTCTAAGGGTCTAACTGAGCTTGTCTGCCAATGCCTCGTCCCCAAAACAAGCCAGTGCCAAGGAAGAGCCAGCTTCCGCCAAGCCTGGAGACTGGTTCACTTCTCCTGCTGCAGCCGCTCTCTGCTGAGAACTCTCTTGCATAGCTGGGGCTGGTTCTCTCCCCTGCCGTGGCCCTGAGACTGCTCACCCCAGGGCAGAGGAGCACTTGGGGTCCCCCTTCTGTTCCGCAACGGACGTGGCTCCAACTGCCAGGGAACTCTCAAGGCCCGGCATTCCGCCACCCCTCTCGGTCCAGGCCCAAGCCCCTGCCGCAGGGTGAAGGAAGAGAGACTCTCCCCATGCTCTGGCCAGTGACCAGAGGCAGCAGCCACACCTCGAAAGCCTCTGCGCCAAGGCTGCAGGTGCCCCTCTTGCCACCTCTCGGCTGCTGTGCCCGGCATCTCTCTTCAATTTGCCCCTCTCCCTTTCAGCCTGCAGGAGAGAAGGGTGGCAGAGGGGAGGTGCCCGTTGGTTCCTTTTCCCAGTGTGGCCAGCTCCCCCAGGAGGAAGGAGGCTTGCCCTCAGCCATGCATGCATTGGTTCTACCCAGGCTAGACAGCTGCAACGCATTCTGTGTGGGGCTGCCTTTGAAAATCGCTCAGGATCATTATACCTCAAGAACCGCCTCTCCCCACATAAGCCAATCCAGACCCTGAGATCATCCTCTGAGGCCCTTCTTCATGTGTCTCCTCCACAAGAGAACCAGAAGGTGGCAACACAAGAACAGGGCCTTTTCTGCAGTGGCTCCCCGTCTGTGGAATGCTCTCCCCAGGAAGGCTTGCCTGGTGCCTTCATTTAGGTGACAGGCAAAAACATTCCTCTTCAACCAGGCCTCTGGCTGATTGATATTCTACAGGCTTTTAAATGTGTTTGTGGAAGGGGGGTATTGGTTTGTTGCTTTTGTTTTAACTTTTTATTTGTGCTTTTACTTTGTATTTTTATCTTGTGACCTGCCCTTAGATCTTGGGATGAAGGGTGGTATGTCAGTCTAATAAATAAAATAGAAATAAAATATAATGACCTGGAAATGCCAGTGGTGTGGAATGTTGCTGTTTCTGCGCTGACTGAGGGTCAGATGATCAGAGCAGATAACACCAGTGCTGAACCAGTTCTGTGCTGGGGATGTATGTGTTTCCAGTTCAATGTGCTGGTTTTGTCCTTTAACCAGCTTGTGACCATGTCACTTGAAGGACCAGTTGAAAGTTGCTCATTGGCTGCCTTTAAGGTTAGTTTGGTTGATGGGCAGGAGGGCAGGGCCTTCTCACTCACGGCACCTCCCTTACTTAACTCCCTCCCTAGGGAAGCCCACTGAGCTCCAGTATTCAAAGCAGCCTCCAAATCTCTCCAGTTTCGAATGGATTTTATTGGTTCTAGTTAGTCATGCTGCAATTTTGTCGATTTCACTGGTTGAATTATTGCATTTGAATGTGCTGCTGCTTTTGTGTATCTTTTGAATGTAAAGTATTTCATCATCATCGTCGTTGTTTATTATTTCTACCCCGCCCATCTGACTGGGTTTCCCCGGCCACTCTGGGTGGCTTTCAACAGAACATTAAAAACACAATAAAATTTCAAGCATTAAAAACTTCCTTAAACAGGGCTCCCTTTAGATGTCTTCTAAAAGGTGGATAGTTGTTTATTTCCTTGACATCTGTTGGGAGGGCGTTCCACAGGGCAGGCGCCACTACCCAGAAGGCCCTCTGCCTGGTTCCCTGTAACTTCACTTCTGGCAGGGAGGGAACTGCCAGAAGGCCCTTGGCGCTGGACCTCAGTGTCCGGGCAGAACGACGGGGGTGGAGACGCTCCTTCAGGTATACTGGACTGAGGCCATTTAGGGCTTTCAAGGCCAGCACCAACACTTTGAATTGTGCTCAGAAACTTACTGGGAGCCAATGTAGGTCTTTCAGGACTGGTGTTATGTGGTCTTGGTGGCCGCTCCCAGTCCCCGGTCTAGCTGCCGGATTCTGGATTAGTTGTAGGTTCTGGGTCACCTTCAATGGTAGCTCCACCTAGAGCGCATGGCAGTACAAGTGGGAGATAACCAGAGCATGCGCCACTCTGGCGCATGGCAGTACAAGGGCAGAGAGGGTCTCATCCTGCATACCAGATGGAGCTGGTAAACAGCTGCCCTGGACACAGAACTGACCTGACCTCCATGGACAGCTGTGAGTCCAAAATGACCCCCAGACTGCGCACCTGGTCCTTCAGGGGCACAGTTACCCCATTCAGGACCAGGGAGTCCCCCACACCAGCCCACTCCCTGGCCCCCAAAAAGAGTACTTCTGTCTTGTCATAATACAGTATTGTAGTGTGTCTTGTGTGTGTCTTTTCAACAGTTCACCCCCTTGGGTGATCCTGGTCTAGAGAGGTAGCGTCCAAATATTTAAGAGAAAGAAAGCTGGGCGGCCTAGAGAAACGGGGGTCCGTCCCTGCTTCTTCTTGCCGTGACTCCACTTGCTTAGTTTCTCGAGGGCCCCTCCTTCCGTTTCTTGTCTTGCCGTCCCCCAGAGCCGTTGGAGGTGGAGGCGGTTTCCAAAAGCCACCAAAGAAATCGGATGTGGATGACAGTCTGTGTCGCAAGAAGGGCACGGGAGGCTGCTGGAGGCGAGGGGAGGAGGTGCGCGCAGGCCGAGCCGAGCCCCAGGAGCGGTCCTTCTGAGCTCCAGCTGCGGCTCTTTCTGCGCAGAGTTTTGTGGCACCCGAAAGCTGACCCCTTTTGTGGCCTCGAAGGTGCCACGGGGCGCTGCCCCTTCTGCGGCTGCAGCCACGAGGCTCCTGCCCAAACTCTCCCAACCAGGCGGGCAGAAGGCGGCTGCCACGCCAGGCGCTGCCTTTGCGCTCTCGTCTTGTTGGTTTCAGTTTCCTGCTCTGCAGCTGACGCGCAGGAGCTGCCTGACCCCAGCTGCAAGGGAGAGAGAGAGAGAGAGAGCCGAGGGGAATTGTCTTGTCAGGCTTGCTTGCCTCCGCCCTGCAGCCCCGCTTTATGCAAAGAAGCAGCGGCAGCAGCACCCTCGAAGCAGCGCCCTCCATCCACCAGGCGCCAGGACCTGGTGCCCAATAAAATAATAACTCCTTGGGGGGCATTGATTGTTCTTTCCCCCCGACCCCAGTCTCTGCGCTCTGAGTCTTTCCGACTGGCTTTCCGGCTTCGCTGTGGTTCAGTTTTCTTGGGAGGAGATGATCCCAGCGGCTCTTGCTGCCATCAACAAAACCATGCTTGGCTGCAGTTCCCTGCGTGGAGAGCCACCGCCACGGACCGCCTGCCCTCTCGGCTGCTCCGCCCGCCGCCAGGGATGCTTTTGTGCAGGGCTCAGCGCCGAGAGGGGAAGAAGGAAGGGACAGGCCCGCAAGGCTCCTGCTGCTCTCTGCCAAGGCCTGGGCCAGCCAGCCCAACTCTCGCGGAGGCGCTGGTGCAACTGCCACGAGGGGGCCGGTCCCTCGGCTGCCCTTGCGGAGCTCGCAGCTGCTGCAGTGAGGGCGCAAGGTGCTGGAGGAAGCTGCGCGCCTGCCGAGAGGGGCTGGATCAGTGCAAGAGCTCAGTTGCCCACAAAGCGGCACAGAACGGAGACTGACTCCACTTGCCCCTTTAGCCTCCGGCTGCAAGGCGAGAGCCACCTTCAAACGTCCGAAAGGCTGCTTGTCACACGCAAGAGGGAGCAAGCTTGTTTTCTTCTCCTCTGGAGGGCAGGACTCGAACCCACGGCTTTAAGAGGTGGGGGACTCTCCTACCTTGGAGGTTTTTAAGCAGAGGTTGAATGGTCACCTGCCATGGATGCTTTAGTGGAGATTCCTGCATTGCAGGAGGTGGGAGATGACTCTTATTAATAAATAATAATATTTTTTTATTTATACCCCGCCCTTCCCGGTTCAGAAAACCGGGCTCAGGACGGCTAACAACAAATTTAAAACACTTAATTAATGCAACAAAGAACAGCATAAAATACAGTATAAAACGTGAATAAAGAGTATAAAACTCTTAGGGTCCCTTCCGGCTTTTCAATTCTATGATCCTAAGATGGCCAGATGTTCTCCCCATCTTGGTTCCTAACTGGGACAACGCTGCCTCTGCCGTTGGGACAACAAGCCCAGCCCACTTCAGAAAAGTTCTCAAGGTGCCTGGCATTGAACACAGGCGGAGGGGTCCGTTCCCCAAACATCCCTTTAAAAAAAAACCAAAAAACTTATATTGATAAATGCAATACTTACAAACACAAACCAGAACACTAAACAAACTGATTATACATAGATACATGTACACCTCTCAACTTAGATTACAAAAAACAAACAAACATACAAACTAGACATACAGACATAAATTTGGACTTGCCTCCACCTATATGTGGCTTCCTTCTTTTCTTTTCGCTGTGTTATCAATATTATTTTTGACTATCTTATACCCATTTCTTCTTCGTTCCCCAAACATTCCGTCACACTCCAATGTGACCAAGGAACGGCGTGGGCGGGGCTATGTAGATGAAGGGGCGGGGCTATGCAGATAGGCAGCTTGGTTCCCAAGGGCTGAGCTCCCGGGGGTCCTGGCGGGGCGTCCGCGCCGTGAAACGCGTGGCTCTTGCAGGACCCGCAGAGCGAGGGACCCTTCTCGTGGGGCTCTCAGTTTCCTGGCCTTTTCACCACCAGAACGACTGCCTGCAGGTGGGATTGTGGCCAAAGGATGGAGGGCTGCCCTTTCGGCCGGGTTGAGAGAGAGGGGGGCGCAGCTCAAAGCCCGTCCTGCTGAGGGGGCAGCACAGGAAAACCCTCCACTTGGGGAGGGGAGCCAACTGCCTGGCCCCAAGCAACCCCCTTGGCTGGGTGCATCGCTGAGGGGGGGGGGAGAGGGAGCAGCCCGCCCGCCTCTCTCGCCCGGAGGCACGAGGGATGGAGGACGTGCCTAGGGGGGCAAAGGAGGCCACGTTCTCCACCTGCCACTTTCGGCTCGCTCTTGGACGAGGCCACCTGCCTCTCGATCTCCCACATCGGGCAGGATGCGTGCAAAAGAAATAGAAATACTTAACTGACCAATTGCGAAAAATTTGCCCAGGGAGGCGAGCAGGAGCCTTGGCTTCCCCCTAGTGGCCCGAAGTGTGCACTGCAGCCTCCCAAAGCAGGCAAGGGGGAGCAACTGGTAATTCCATATGTGAGGAAGTTTTGTTTTTTAAGGGTTGATGTTTTATTGTGCCTTTATATCTGTTGGAAG